GGATCAACCGAGATCTTAAGTATATAAGGATACATAATCTGAATATACAAGTGTATTAATAACAAGTCGCACTTAGGAAAGTACCACGGTAATTCATTCTAACTAAAACAACTACCACCCGAGCCAGTCATACTCAAGGTCCATTCAATTACTACCACCCAAATATTGAATATTACACGGCCTGAATACACCAATCAACAAGAGTGTGTACTGCATATATGATGACAATTCCAGCCGCATAATTTCTTCTACCCCATTTCATGTGGGGTTAAAAGTGGGGGCTACCACATGTCGTAAGAGAGCTATGGTAGTACCAACAGCAGTCCTATAATCGTGTGACCAGAAGAAGCCCACTCGGCATTAGCAGCAGCAGAACCAAGAGCGGTAACAGAGCAATGGTGCTTGTAATAATTTGCAACGGCACGGTGTTTGGTGGCTGGATGCAACATTCAATGTTGTCTCATTATGAATGCGTAATGATTTTAAGAAAGATCAAAACCAGATTCACTTTCAATCACATAGAGTAGTTTCCTCTTCAACGTGGCTCTGTCTTGGTAATCCGGAAGTTTTAGTAAATTGACGCAGGTTGAAGCTGTTGGAAGTCGATCAACTTCTCGACCGCTGTTTCGAATGCCAAACATCGGAGATAAGGATCCAAATCCTAGTAAAGGTGCACGGCTTACCGAAGTTACAAACTTTAAAAGCTCACATCTTTGTTTGGCAGTAAACTCATTCTCCACAACGTCCCAGAATAATTGTATTGTTAAGTCATCTTCAAGGTAGCCTCCATAGGAAACGTGCAGTTTCCAGTCCCTCAAGTCAACATCGGGGTTATCTCCGCCGGATATAAGCATTTGCAACTCTGATGGACTAAACATTGCAAGTCGATCGATATTAATTAATTTCGATAGTCCTTCAACAAAATATTTGGTTTGAATGTATAGTGATTGATTCAACTTGAAATTAGCTATTTGGTGAATGTAATTGAGAACATTAGCCGAGTTCACCTTAGTATTGGCTCCATCTGGTATCAATTCGTAGTTCAAATCTCTATCATTCACTTTGACGTTGATGGTGAAGTATAAATCGAGATCTTCAATCTCTTTGGTAGGTAGTTTTGATAATTTAATCAAGTTTTCAAAATATTCCCGATCATAATAGTAAAGATCATTAATGGAGTTCTTTTGAGAGTACCCAATTTTACTTAGAAAGAATGGTGCAAATGCAATATCCACAAGTACATTTTCATAAAAGCATTTCCCAATAATGTTTCCCAAGAACTTAATCATCTTCAACTGTTCGTGACTTTCTTCCACGTCCATATTCTTACTAAGCCTATAGTAGATGTCTTCATTGGGATAAACTGTATGTTCAGGTGTTGTTTTAAAATACGTGGTCTTGGAAAACCCATCAGCTATAACTGCAGTTAAAAACTCTTTTGTAAGCCCACCTCCATCGATTCCAGCTTCCACTCCAAATTCATTATGAAAAGTAACGGATATTTTAGCCTTAAGTAAACTTCCAGCCTTATGAAAATGCGTATAAGCATCTTCCAATACATTAGCACGACGTATGTCACCCGACAATCTTGATTCAGGAATGAAGAAATCTTCTGTACCTTCCTTTGTTGAAAGCCGTTTGAATATCTTGACTCTATCCATGAAGGGAACCAAGAAGGGGAGCTTGCGCAAAAGTTCCAATCTGGCAGTAGAATGAGATGTTGATCCTTTCAACTTAGAAAGTGTGGAAAACCTTCTATACTTATGGGATTGCTTCTCTAAGGAGTTATCCGCATCTTCATCTATTTGCAGTTTCTCTTCCTGTTGAATAAGTTGAACAATAGCAGCAACATTGATCTGGTTGGAATCAAGTCTCCAGAAGTTTTCATTGTCTGGAATAAGCTTTAACCTGGAATTCTTTTGGTATAGCTGATTTAAAAGCACTATGGATATCTCTTTCAAACACCGTAGCCTTTCGGGACACAAGTTCAAGACTAAGGAAATACATAGCCGTTTGAGAAACTTTAGGTATGGCACAATGTCCTCCCTTGTGAGTTTATCTTCATTGAAACTTTCAAAATCATTCGATACCAACAACCAATAGGAATATGACTCATGGAAAACATACACTGAGTTCCAAAAGCCACTAGCATCGTCTTCGGAATACTCTATTGGGATAATATCTCGTGAATCATCAGTTATAGCAGTGTATAACTGTGAGTCTTGGAGTATGTTTAGCATTTTCTTGTGGAAACCCGGGACCAAAGTTATGAACATTCCTATTCTATCTTTAAACTGTGGAACCAATTTAAGCAAGCAAACAAGGACATTTAAATACATGGTGGTGGATTCATTATTGGTTCTAAAGCAAGACACAACATATTGTACTATATGTGGAGCATATAGTTTATAGATATTGTTCATTATTTTAGCATCGACCTCCAAACACTCTTCTTTGGAGGATGTCGACTCTTCTTGATAATCCAAGTTCAATTTATCCTCATCGTCAATATCATCATCTTCGTCTTTGTCTTCGTCTTCGTCTTCATGCGAAAGTGCAACCTGGAAATCCATCTTGGCCAATAACGGAAACAAAGTAGCATAGTCCTCTTCAGTCCAAGAGCTGGAGTCTCCGAACACAGTTATTATATTGGATACAGTGCTGATAAGTCTTTTTGGGTCTGTGTCTGACACTCGAACAAACTCAATGGCATTAGCATTAATTATTCGTTGGTAGTCTGTATTGGGTTCTAGACTCCATTGATCTTCGTCTGCCATGAACTCCATAAACCCCTCAGAGCCTTCTCGAACATTTACGTGGAACACAATGTCCAAAACCAACTTACTATTGGACTCCAGTAAAGCACCAAGTACATTCTTGATTGTGCCTCGAGGAAATCTGACAATGCCATTATCATTATCACCACATGAATGGACCATTCTCAGGATCATTTTGAGAGCAATATGACTCGAGCTGTCTCTCAGTAGGATACAACTCAATCCACGGATCACGATGTAAATATGTCGTCTATCAATCTGAAGATGCTGATTGTTCCGGTCTATCTCTGCTTCTAATTTGGCCACCAATTCATAGTCATCAATGGTTCTTTTAGTAGAGAGGAACCCAAACTCCACGAGCCATTCATTCCATTCATTCTGATCTCGGAACTCCTCTGTCCGTATCCAAGTATCGTAGATCTCTTTAGCTGCTTGCGTTAAATCAAGATGTCTTCTAGTGGCTGATTGAAGCACAATGGCTGCATGTTCACGAGCTCTTTCTCTCTCTCTTTTCTGTCGTTCTAATTGTGTTTGCTGTAAGAAATTCAGTGAACGAGCTCCTCGACTGTTGCCGAGGTTGACCACCCGTTTACTTGTCAGACCAGTAAAGTTTAGCATTGATAAGGGGAAAGGAAAATGTGGATCCAAGAATCGAGCTAACATGGGTGTGACAATTATATAGATCAATCATTAAGTCGCTGAATTACGTAATCAAAAGTCACACCATACCATTTTCAGAATTAACATAACCTAAGCTTATACCATCGTCTCATCTATTCTCTATTTATTAATTCTATAATGTCACCAAAACTGTTGATCACATACAGTGGAATCATGGTATCATCAAATACAGCCACTTCATTAGGATCTTCAAGAAACTTATCTAATGTCAGTTTCTTGGTTTGTCCTGTTAAAACCAATAAGGACGAGCCATTTGTACCTCCAAGTTCTCCATCATTACCAAACTTGATGTCAGTGTATAAAGTATCACCAACCATAATGGTTCTTTCTCTTTCAAACCTGCATATCTTCAAGATATCATCTAAAAGAATTCTACTTGGTTTCCCCACATTTATACAATCACGATGAGAAGTGTATTCCATGAAGTTAACCACCGAACCTCCAGCTGGCAAAATAAGTCCCTTGGGTCCCGGATAAACCCTATCTATGTTGGTACCTATGAAGGGCATTTTGGGATCAAGTAAGTACTGTAATGTCAGAGATATTCGCATATAGTTGATGCTCTTGGTAGAACCAACCACAGTTGCCTTTACCTCTGGATCAGGTACCAATAGAGGGCTATTATCATCAAATGGACCATCCAATTCAACACTTGAACCACCCACAGGAATATAATTGAATTCCCTTAGTTCTTCCTCTATTCCATGATCTCCTAGAACCCAGACCTTAGAACCTTCAGGAATGTCTAGCTCATTATTTAAGTGTACTGCTGCAGCATACGAAGTTGGAAAGATTCGGTCTTTAGATACGTTTGTATATCCGAGACGCTCAAACTTCTTCATGTAGTAGTCTCTCGATCTGGACGAGTTATTGGTGACAAAGGCTACTTGCTTGTTCAACAGTGATAAGTATTCTATGGTGTCTTTGACTCCTTTGATGGCCACATCGTCTAGCCATATAACTCCGTCACAATCAAACAAAAAGTTATCGTACTTGTTTATCAACTGCATAGCAGCATCCTTGCTGTCTACGACAACCGTGCTAGTCACAGTCATACTACGCACGCTATACAATATACAGCAGGAAGTGAACAAGAGTAGTCGAGATGTATTTGTTATTACGCATAGTAGTCCGGTATATAAGGACACGACTAGCGGATTTACAATACAAAATCCGACCATTACAACAGTAGGATGACGGTCACCCTAGCTATCGTCTTTAGTAATACATTGATCAGCAGTACAGCATCTTCAAACAAATCGTCTTCGATGGCTTCTCGGATACATGGAAGCAGTTGACCTTCATAACCCGTGTATCTTCCACTGGCAAATATAATGTGCTTGAACCAACTTCTATCCTTAAGTCCGCCTTCATGAATGAAATGTCTTTCCAAGTATTTAAGTCTTAAGTTGACATGTTTCAATCTGATAGTCAACCACACCTTTTCCCAGAACGAAAGCTTATCGTTTTTATCTAGTCTGACTTGAAGTTGGTCCTTGTACTTATCAAACTTGGTGCTCATCTTGGTGAACACTGTCAATGCCGCATGAGTTAGTTGTACCAAGTCTTTGAAATGGGGGTTATTGTGGTGGCTCCGATGAATTAAAGTGAAATTAGTGGGTTTCTTAAACCATTCCTTGGGAGCGGACTCAAGAGTATCGTTGAAATATCCATGAATATCATTGGCATATGTTGTAACATCAAAGTTGATAACCTCACGAGAACTCAACTCCAAGAGCACCAAGCCTAAATATTGAGCCATGGCATTATGCAATTTGAACCCAGGATCGGCCATGGTATCCATCCAATAGAACAGATCATAGTTTGAATGATATTGATACACAGGATCTTTATTTGACCCGGATCCGAACCCAGCATCCATAGATGGGATACCTAAATGTTCCAAAAACACAGTGAAATCTGATCCACTGCCTAGAATATCAATCTTACCTTCAAAGGGTCCTGATTGATAGTGTTCATAAAGAGTAATAGTCCTACCCGATTCAGTCGGTCTGGGATAAGTAACTTTCTTTGCACATTCCATTAATACTTTATTCAAAACTGGTGACAGTGATAGTGTGAGTGCAGACCCTCCAACTGCTATATCCATATTCAAATAGGCAATAACTTTCTTTTGCAACGACTTCAGGAGATCTTCGGCCCATTCAGTGGATCCAAGCATTCCTTGTTCTTCGCCATCAAATGATGCAAAAATAATCGTCCTCAAAGGTTTCCATTCTGGATGAGTTCTCTTGATAGCCTGGAGCCCACGAATGATTTCAAACATGGTAGCAGATCCAGAATTAGGGTCTCCAGCAGAACCTGCCCAGGAGTCTCTGTGGTTACCAATAACGACCACTTCATCATCAAATATACCTTTAATCTCCCCCATCACGTTCCAGATTGGGGTAACGTTATATTTTTGAAGGTTGTATAAGTTTAATTGGGGGGCTGATTCATCGCTTGGACCAATGGAGTAGTTGTAACCTTGTAGTTCACCTATCCAGTCCTTCTGCTTGGGGATAGGACCGTTCAATTGTTGTAAAATGGGTAAGATGTCTCTGTAACTAACAGGTAAACTGGGAATATGAGGAAGAACATGGGAAGGGTCTTTCCTTGCAACATCTGGAGAACTTGAAGCATAACCAGGAGTTGTAGGATCCCCCACTCCATAACTTAAGAACAACACACTTCCTCTTTGTACTGAAGATTCGTGTCTAGCAGGACCATCTGGATATTGTTTGAACCCATTCGCAGGAGTAACCCCCATATCATCTCCAGGATCCAGATACATCACTACACCAATACAACCGTGTTCTTGAGCAAATTTCACCTTCAACCCTCGGTATGTATAGCCATATCTAACTATAGCTATTTTCCCCTTCATATCAATTCCATCATCTTGTAGCTTTTCAAAATCTTCCTTACGGCCATAATTAGCATAGAAGAATTGACCTGTCACATTTCCACTGGCGGAATAGCCATGGAACGTGGGAACAGAGTTATTTCTCCAAGAACTTGGATCCTGTGCAAGTTCATCTTCTTCTAATGAGGCTTGGTATACGACATCGCCTTTCTGCGTCACCATGCTAAGCAGATGGTCCAAGGGGAAGTTTGTGTACACATAATAAGGCTTAATTTCAACATTAGACAAGCCAAACTCTTTAAACTGGGTCTGAGTCCATTCGGCCAACGAGAGCCCGGAACTACTACCTGCAAGATGAGGGTGTTCTGTGAACTTCAAAGACCAATTTCTAGCGTAATTTGTTTCCTCAAGGACTTTGACATACGCGTCTTCCATCTGAAGATACGACACAGAATCATGGAGTAAAAGCCTCCAATATGGTGACACCAATGAAAAGGCAACCTGGTGAGAAAGATAGAGGAATGCAAACCCCACAGTAAAAAGACTTAGATATCTCCATACATTTGCCTCTCGTTTAGTATGCCGTCTTGTTGTTGTTTGTTCAATGAGTGGAGTGCTCTCTTCCAGAACATGGATCAACTGGGAATTATCCGACATCGGATAAACATGAACTAGTGGAGAAGAACTTGAGGTTGTATGCCCTTTAAGATAAGCAATTGTGAAAAGGATCGATCCCCAAATGAAAGTACACAAAGTCCCGATTGGGTAATACTCCCCTCGGGTTATTCCGCGATGACATAAATAGGTATACTACTTTCGTCTAAGGGTATATTAGTACTGTTATTAGTCTATGGTATAATTAGTGTTGTATTCGTACTGCTGCTATTGGTATACTCTTTCCCATGTCCGAAGCAAAGGCAAAGAAGGTGAGAAAGCCTCAACCAGAAGAAGAGTACATACGACAGAGAGATGAGTTCAAACAAGTAGGACCAACTATTAATACTGACGGATGGCTAGAGAATGACTGGAACGCATTAGATCCAGAACGAAAGGTCGACAGAGTAAGAATGCTACATGCATGTGAAAGAGCGTACTTCCTACGAGATTGGGGCAAGTGTTTGGAGTTGATCCAAAGGACTGAAGAGCTTCTAGGAGTTAGCGAGCGAGCCATACAAGATGCTACGGCACTGCTTGAGTTTAAGAAAGTTCGAAAGTCTGCTAAAGTCGAGAGACATATAGTTGAACTCATTAATATCAAAGAAAGGGTACTTAAGAGAATGGAGCAAGAGTAATATAATCGTAGTGTCTATACATATATAAGTACTTCGACGGAACTCTGTTTTCGTTCTTGAACAATGACATCATTAGACTTGTGAAGTTCATCAACTACCAGGACAGTTCCTGTGAGTATATCCACCTTCCTATCGGATTTGAAATGTAAAGCTATGCACATGGCTGTCGGTATAGCTCTTCCCATAGCTTTAACCTTGATGTAACTGACTCGAGGGTACTTCTTCTTGACTCTATCAATCATCTTCGACACTCGTTTGATGGCCATGACGTAGTTGGAGGTACCTTTAAGTAAAAACGTACATTCTCTATCTAGAAACGTCAGCGTCAGCTTAGAGGATTTGTGTCTTATATGTTGAATGACTTGGGTGTTTCTGGGCATGGCAATGGACCTATTATAGCGAAGCAATGGAACAGTACTAGATGTTATTCTATACGGGTGACAATAAGGTACGTTCCTGTTGATGGTTGAGAAGAGATGTGCTTGAGATGATTAAGTGTTCGCGAAAGTTACAATGTCAAACCATCACCATTTCTTCTTCACCAGATCATGAAAAGAAGAGTTGGTGATGTTGATGATGAAACGCTGACGTTGGGATCTGGTGCCGGCTCGTCCAGTGCTCTGTCTGAAGGTATAAAGAAATGGCAACACCAAAGGATATTCTCTGATGCTCACATTTACACGGTAGATATGCTTATGACTCTGATGAAAGAGGCACAGAAACATGAACACATACAAACAGGTGATTCAACACCAATAGTAGAGGAGCAGGAACCAGAAGGTACTAAGCAAAAACCATACTGGCCAGTAATTACTCGCTTGAAACGGCCAGAGCAGTAACACAATCTTATCCTCATTCCCAAACTGTGTCTGACTCCTGTTGATGCTCTACACATGATCTTTATGAATCATAGATATTCCCTTATTCAAATGTTTAATGACTATATATAATGCCAAATATGATTCACCTTCTCGGAGAACTCCGGATAGTAATAGTAGTATACAATGTAATATCTTCCTTATCGACTTTAACGGGTCAGTCTGAGCTTTCTCTTGTTCTTCAATGCAATCTTGACCTTTACACGTTCTTCTTCTGACTCTGACTCTGATTCGTCAACACTCATCATTTCTTCTTCTTCGGATGCTTCCTCTTCCTCTTCAACATCTTCTTCTTCCATGGCATTGTTCTTAGCTTCTAACTTCTCTGCCTTTCTTCTCAACTCAACTTCTCTCATCTTCAATAATTCTGGGTTCATTTCAACCAATTTTCTATCAGAAGCCAAATCCTTGTCCTTGTTACCTCTCATTCTATTCTTATAGAAGGCCCGTTCTCTCTTACGTCTAATTTCTTCAATTCTTGTCATCGCCTTCAAAGTAGTAGCAACCAAATCTCTGTTGTATCTAACTGGAACATTTCTTCTAGCAGCAAAGGTTAATGTAGAATCCACAACCAACTCCTTACCAGCTGCCTTTCTAAAAGCTTTGGTCCACTTCAACTTACGGGGGTTTCTTCTTTGTTTGAATGCCTTGTGACATTTGGAACGACAGAATCTAAATTCTTTGGCATCGTTTCTCACAAACATTATACCGTGACCGGGATATACCGGCGACGAACAGAAATGGCATTGATATACTCTCATGACCCCTTACTGCTATAAAAAGGTTACTTGATAAGGAATAGTTTTACGGCTAATGAATTTGAAAAATTTCAAGATGAGCTGCGAAGACCTGTGATATGGTCACGTGACAAACATGACAAACATGTAGTGAATAAAGGGCTTTTTAAGCAGGAACCTAGCAAAAGATCACAAATATATATAGGCATGTACATATTAAGGATCTCTATGTCTACAAGTCAATGTAACATATATATAAATACATATCTATATCTCAGTATGGTCTAATGTAGTTGTTCTTTTGTATCACTATTACTAACGTATAATCGGTTCATAGTCGGTTCTAGCACGACTATTTTGAAGTTTATGAAAATGAAAATTTGTTCTGACCTAAGGCAAAACCTATAGCCAACACCCATTAAACAACAACCATGTCTAACACATCGATGGAGATCCCCACTTTGGCCATACCCGGCGAGACATCGCAACTGCAACAACAGCAACTGCAACAACAACAGCAGGCCATGTATACCGGCCAGCTTCAAAGAAAGAAGGCGCAAGAAGGATCTGCTGAATGGTACTTCGATAAAGCATCTGAATGGGTTGGAGAACATCCATATTTAACTGGAATTGGATGTTTTGGAATAGCATATGTTATTGCTGGTAGATTCAAGTCCAGCCAACCGGGTTTAAACGGCAAGGCGTTCATTAAAGGAGGGTTTGGACAAAAGATGTCAGCCAAGGAAGCATTACAGATTTTGAACTTGAAGGAATCAACATTAACGAAAGCTCGTTTGAAGGATCAACATAGAAAGTTAATGATGGCTAATCATCCAGATAAGGGAGGATCTTCATACTTGGCCACTAAGGTGAATGAAGCAAAGGATTTCCTTGAAAAGAGAGGAGGCATGAAAGATAAATAGATTGAAGTATGATACTTGTAAATAGATTGTATGATAGGAGAATAGTACTACTGTGCTACGCCTCAACTACACCGTTGCATTGCACTGTACCAGTATGCTACCCACTGGGTTCCGCGCTACCATCCACTCAGCCTGTCGTGTCGCGAAGCACATACTGGAATCAAGTTTCAACAACAAATCCCACCGTAACACCCGATAACAAATACAAAAGGGGTGAGCTATTGAAACTTGTAGTTGATAAGTAAGACATTCATTGGTGGCCATTCAATTGCTGTCCATCACTGTCAATCATCGTCATTCAATCACCATCCGTCCATTCAATTGCCGTCAATCACCGTCCAATAAGTCACTAAGTGTGTTGTACAATAATCATGACTACGTACGAGAAGATCGTCAAGGGTGCCACCAAGGTCAAGGTTGCGGCGCCGAAACCAAAGTATATCGAGCCAATTCTTATGCTGACACTGATAGATAACCATCTTGGAGCCGAGAACTTCAATACGGTCATGAGAACTTTGCAGTGCCGACTTCAAGATAGCGCATGGCTGGTTGTATATAAGGCCCTTATAGTGATCCATATTATGATCCGTGAAGGAGATAAAAACGTTACCTTGAAGTATTTGGCCGATCATCCCAACATTCTCAATGTCCTGCAACTGACTATTGGTAAGAGTGGCGTTGCGGGCTACTCTTCAGATATACGGTTCATTACTCGGTACACCAAGTATCTTTCAACCCGAGCTCGTCAATTTGGTCACACCCATATTGATTACGTCCGAGACGAAAAGAGTAACAACTCCACATCCCAATCAGGCGGGAGATTGCGTTCGTTAACGGTTGAAAAGGGTTTATTAAGAGAGACCATTAGTGTTCAGAAACAGATTGATGCATTACTAAAGAATAATTTTGTGGAAAACGACATTAACAACGACATTGTGTTGACATCGTTCCGGTTATTAGTCAATGACTTGTTGGCATTCTTTCAAGAGTTGAACGAAGCAGTAGTCAATATATTGGAACACTACTTTGAGATGTCCAAATACGATGCAGAAGAAGCCCTTGCAATCTATAAGAAGTTTGTGGACCAAACCAAATATGTTATTGATTACCTTCGAGTTGCTAAGCATTTAGAGTACGCAACGAAGTTGAATGTTCCTACTATTAAACATGCTCCCACTGCCTTAACGTCTTCGTTAGAAGAGTACTTGGATGATCCGCTTTTCGAACAGAATAGGAAACAGTATCTTTTAGAGAAGAAGAAGGGTCCAATAAACAAAGATAGTAATGGAGCAGTTCATAATAGCGAGGCAGTCCAGACTAATTCTACTACTAATGCTAATGCTGCTGCTACTCCTAATACTGCTGACTTGCAACAACAGCAGTTGTTACAACAACAGCAGTTACAGCAACAGCAGCTACAGCAACAACAATTGCTTCAACAACAATTGGTCCAACAATCGTTACAACAACAAACCCAAGACTTCTTTTCCAATCCACAACTTGTGGACTCTGCTGCTAGTGGTTTACAGAGATCAGGTACCTTGCTCGTGCAGCAGAACACTTATAATCCATGGGCAAATACCTTTGTTCCCAATCAAGTTCAAGTTCAACCACAGCTTCAACCTCAACATCAACCAGTTTCCATTCAACCAACTGGTGCTGGGTTTGGAGGTTATGGTAATACCATGGTCTCACAACCAACAGGTAACCCATTCATGCAACAACAACAGCAACAAGCTTCCATTAACGGCACTTACCCAAATCAGCCGCACTTTCTACAAACCATTCCTGAAGCCCAACAACAAGCTATGGGTCCTCAATATACACAACCACAGACACAACCACCACAACTCCAAAGTCAAAACACAAATCCATTCCTCAAGATGTCTCAAGGTTCAGCAGTGGAGCCTACGGCCACTGGAAATCCCTTTGCAAATACTCGATTCTCCACTTCGTCCAACACCACTGCATTGTCTTTTAACTATAATAATAATAATAATAATAATAATAATAATTCTGTGGCATCACCACCGACAAGGGTGACGTCCAACATCACAGGGAATAACCCATTCAAAGTGTCACAGGCAACCACTGAATTGTTTAACTCCGTCGAAAACTCCATGCTTCAACAGCAGCAACAGAAACAACCTCTAAAGAGTCAACCAACAGCTGGTGGTCTTGAAGCGTTGCCAACCGTGCCAGTATTTCCTCAGACTCAACTGGAACTCCAGAGACAACAATACTTAGCGAGTGCTCAGATGGGCTTAAACCAAGCTGTCTTCCAGCAGCAACAGCAACAGCAACAGCAACAGCAACAATACAATCAAGCACAAATGCCAATGCGAATGACTTACCAAACGTACGATGGTCCCAGTTTAATCTGATACCAATGCATGCTTTTCATTAGATAAAGAAGAAGGTCAAAGAGCAGAATGTTTATTCAAGGTGCACAAGAGTTCTGTCATTCTATCAACAGCTTCAACAAGAGGGGTAACATAGTTGAAAGGGGGTAACAACACTGTCAACAACGCAGCACAGTTAGTGGCTTGATTTATCTTCACCAGATTGGCATGGGACTTTGTCAATGTCAAATCTTGAAGCAGTAAGTTCAGATCGTTGCGCACTTTCACTCGTGAAACGATAAGGATAAATACAAAGGAATTATGGCCATCTTATGCATTTTTCGTAGCACAATCATACAGCCATAAGTTAAAAATGACTGAAATCAATAGATGTAGTATAATAAATAGTGCTTTTCAGAAGAAGAAAATAAAAAAGTCTGCATTTTTGAAACACCGATTTCATTCCCCAATGGGAAAATCCCAGCCCATATCCCGTATCTCTCAACGTGACATTATAGATCTGACTTTCAGTATCAGATTCGACCTCTATAGTATAATGTACCTGTGGATGAGGTACAAGCGCAAACAGGTATCTTAGAACCTCACAGTAACCTTATTATCATTACCATACAATCTATGCCATGCTTGATAACCACCTTCAAGCACCCATACGTTGATTTGATCGAGTTGACGGGATTCATCTTCGCGTAATGAATTCAAAGCCCGAAGATATTTAAGAGTAGCTTTTGGTCCTCTAACTTGAGATAATGCACAATGGAATATAATGTCGCTGTAATCTTTTGCCAATAGTGTCTGCTGGAGTTGAGGGAGATAACTATCGAATTCATGTGACAGAATATGGAAACAGTCTCTGATATGACCAGTTTGGAAGTCATCGTCTCTAACGTCTACTATTATTAGTCTTTTGGACTCTTTGGTTAACCAATTGCGTAGGACTTCGGGTGCAAGGAACTTGAGATCACTATAGGAGTATAACTTTGACATAATCTGAGCAGAATGTAACGGTACAGTAGCTTTAAGGAGTATAATGATGAGTATAGCAAGACGTACAAGTTGTAGAGCAGAACTTGATTTGACTTACATAATGTCTCTAAAAATGTCGTCAAAAACGGTTTATTTCCGAGGGTGTTTCCCAGAAGATCGGCTTCAAGTACATACAGTATGCACTGTATCGTAGCTGGTTCTCCTAATGAATATGTGAATCTTAAAGACTTACAACATTTAGGTTGTTCAAATAAGTAAGTAGGTACGTTTGACAACATTTGCCTATTAAAGGCGGCTAAATATAAATACATTTGGTTAAAGCGTATGGTAAAGGAAATGTCTGCGGAGATAACAGCATAATAAGGACATCATTAGACGCATAAATGAAAGACTATACATAGTGCTAGAAGAACCGCTACATAATATAATAAAGTACAGAGCAGTAAAGTACGGTTCAATTGGTTTAACTAATAATAATGTTGTTTGGTTGTTCGGTTGCCTGATGTCATTGCATCCATTTTGCACCCAAGTGAAAAATTCTTCCCAAATATTTAAACATGAATTTGAAGTAAGGTTCTTCTAAAGTGCCTAAATGCCTTCATTAGAAGAATTACATTGATCATCGACAGAAAGCACATAGCTGACCATTTGTAGAAAAGAATCAGACAAGTAGCGCACGGGATGGAATCACCGAACAAACACCGGTGAGCGCCAATTAAACACCGATAAACACCGAATAGATATGTATCAAACGCCAATTTGACTCGGATCAGCAGCCCAACAAACGATCAGACAACAAGTAGACACTGAACAGACACTGAACAGACATTTACAAGGCATCAAGCAGACACTGAACCGACACAGTAAAGAGACAGTAAGGAGGAAGAAATTATTTTAAAAAACAGATACTTTACAGATAACAAAAACTAACAGAGCAGAAACTGGATAATTGGAAAGAATTCAACACATAATCATTATTACTAGTGAAGTATAAAACAGTATAGCAACCGTGTTGTACGCAATAAATTAGAGTTTCTCAAGTCCTGCACACAAATCACGTGACCATTGTTAGTACAAAAACATATTCAAGACACAACACCAAAGAATATACCAATTGCATTTCTCCTACCAACCATGGGTGAAGATTCTGACAGTATCAACTCGCTTAAGCGGACCATATCCGTGGAGAACATTGTTCCGAAGCTCACGTCGGTATTCAAGAAGAGAAAGAGAGCCCACACTGATGTTTCGGATATACTGCTGGAAGAGGAACATGTGAAAGTCGAAGGAGTGAAGAAGCGGAAGATCAAAACTCAGGCAGAGGAAGACTTTGATAAGCAAGAGATTGAGTATGATAACGAATTACCTGAAGAGTATCGGAAGTATCGTCCTCGGGGATTTAGATTCAATATCCCCCCAATTGACCGACCAATCAGAATCTATGCTGATGGGGTCTTTGATTTGTTCCACTTGGGACACATGAAACAATTGGAACAAGCCAAAAAGTCGTTTAAGAATGTCGAATTAGTCTGTGGAATCCCCAGTGACATTGAGACCCATAAACGGAAGGGGTTGACGGTATTATCCGACAAGCAACGATGTGAAACGTTGATGCATTGCCGATGGGTTGATGAAGTGATTCCCAATGCTCCATGGTGTGTTACGCCTGAGTTCCTTGTGGAACATAAGATCGACTACGTTGCCCATGATGATCTCCCCTATGCCCTGGGAGATTCTGACGACATTTATAGACCAATCAAAGTGATGGGGAAATTCTTAACCACCCAAAGAACAGATGGGATTCTGACTTCAGATATTATCACCAAAATCATCAGAGACTATGACAAATATCTCATGAGAAACTTTGCTAGAGGAGCCACCAGGAAGGAATTGAATGTTTCATGGTTGAAGAAGAATGAATTGGAGATCAAGAAACAATTCAAAGACTTTAGAACTTATGTTTTAAAGAATAAAGAGAATTTCAACAATGTTTCCAAAGATCTATACTTTGAAGTAAGAGAATATATGAAGAGATCTCGCAGAAGTCCCAATAGTTCTGCTGCTTCTTCATTGAGAGAATCAACTCCAAGTATAAGTGATTCGGAAGATAGTCGGTCTCCATTGTTCGAGTTTGCTTCGAAATATGTGGGCAACGATAATAAGGAAATGAACAAACGGTCTATCCTTAGTAATGTTAAAGATTGGATTAAAGGTGATGAGCTGGAATATTCAACCAATGATGAAAGTGAACCGGAACTGAAGATTCCTGTACGGAAACTTAGAAAGAAGAGTTCCCAATTGTCTGATCCATAAGTATTGTTTTTATATCAATAATATTGTTGAGTGAGTGAATTGGCGGCGTAGTTTTATAGGGTATACCCAACCTGGTTATACCATTTGAAGTATAGTCGTGCCTCTACCAACAGTACAAAATTTACTTCGACCGGAGTAAAGTACAGTACAGTGCATTATCAATAAAACCTTAACTCCATAATTCACCACCGCAGACCACAGTTTCACCACAACCACCACAATGGACTTATCAATATCACCAACAATGGATACCGACATCCAACACAAACTAGACTCCCTCCAACGCTTACAAGAGCAACTCTTCAAACAACAACGTGATCTTCTTTTCCATCAGCAGCAACAAGGTGTTTCGACCGAAACCCTACGTCCATCACACTCAAACTCCGGATCGACCAATTGGTCGTTCACTCAAGGACTTATTGTCGGCCAATTGAGTGTCATCTTCGTGATAGCAGTATTTATCAAGTTCTTTGTGTTTGCAGATCACAACTCGACCACATCATCGTCTTCATCTTCCAACTCCGCCGTAGGGGTTATCATCAATAGAGACGAACAACGTAAAGAGAAAGACAGTGGTGGTGGTGGCGGCAGTCTAGACCCAGCAACAACATCAGATGCTACGCTCAAACTCAATACAATTCTTGAAAAGACTTACTATGATGTTCTGAACCATTCACCGGAACTGTTGGATTGGTTTACGGTTCTCATCGCCCAAGCCATACAACAACTTCGTGTGGATGCCTTGGTGGCTGATAACGTTTATCATTCGCTCAATGACTTCTTGCAAACCCTGGAACTCCCTGACTTCCTCGACACCATCTCGTTGACGGAGATCGACGTCGGCGATGACTTTCCCATCTTCTCCAATTGTCGGATTCAAAAAAATAGTCTTGGACGGTTGGAAGCAAAGATAGACGTGGATTTGTCAGATACGTTGACGTTGGGAATTAAAACCAAGCTATTATTAAACCAACCAAGGCCCTTGACGGCCGTTCTTCCGGTAGAATTGTCTGTTTCCATCGTCAGATTCTCCGCATGCTTGTCTGTTTCTATGTTCTCTGATGATGAAGATGAAGGCACGGCCCTAGTGTTTAGTTTTGGTCAGGATTATCGTTTGGAATTCACAGTAAAGTCTTCAATTGGATCAAGAGCAAAGCTTCAAGACGTTCCCAAGATTGGTCAGTTGATAGACTCAAGATTGAGGAAATGGTTCCAAGATAGATGCGTGGAACCAAAGTCTCAGGTCGTAATGCTTCCTTCCTTTTGGCCCAGAAGTAAGAACACAAGAGAGCAGCCACAGCCGGTTGACTAATGGAACTAGTTGGTCACCATGAAGGTAATTTGGCTGGGGTATCATGGAAGTAGTTTGGCTTTAGCATCATCTGAATCAGTATACAACTCACCATTCACGTCCGCTTCACAGCCAGCTTCACTGTCGTCTTCACTGTCGTCTTCGCTGTCGTTATCTTCTTCCTCTTCACTGTCATCCTCACTTTCTTTACTGTCTTCTTCCTCCCCCTCCAACTCGCTACTGTCACTGTCATCGTTGCCAAAGAAATCGTCCAAACTCTGTAACTGGTCTCTGGCCTTCTTTGCTGTTATCTCCACATTGGAGTTGCCTTGAAAGGCCTTAGATGAAATAGAATGGCTAGTTATAGGCGGAGTTAATGTCCGTGGTGAAGAAGTTGAAGACCGGAAATCACTCGAAGCGATCTTTGATGCATAACTATTGACCAACACACCTACTTCATTCCGAATTGTTGATGAAGGTAACGTTTTTGGATCTACCCAGTTTGTCACCACCAAATATTTATTCAAGGCTGATGATTTGATCATATTATCTTGATCGTCATGATCTTTCAGAAGCATAGGTTTGGGTGATTGTAAGAACAAACATGCCAATTCTGAGTTACTGCTGGTGTTGGTGTTATCAAGTAAAACACTCAATACTCTAGCTCTATCTCTTGTATCAAAGCTAGTATCATATTTGGCACAATGTAAAACATGCTTAAACATCATGGTTATGGTTTCATTGGGTACACTGGCTTTGCTGACTTCATAGCAATAAATTTTAGCGGCTAGTAATAAAGTTTGGTACCGGACAACTTCACTTTCAAATGCATAATTTTTAATTAAATTCCGTAAAACATCAGGACCAATTTTATTCTGACATTGAACTGTAAACTCACCAATAATCCAAATAACTCTTGCCTTAGGTTCCAGTAATAGCTCCGTTTGAATTAAAATCTGGGAAAGAATCATACAAGTCTTGGAGATATCTTCATTGGGATCACCTGAATTTAAAATTTGTTGAAGCAAATAACTTAATAGACTCAAGATCTCCGAGAGAATAGACCCTTTGGCTAATTTAAGCAAACTCAAACACCATTTCAAGATATTTCCATTCCAAATGTCGGAGATACGAGCACAATCTCCAATAGCAATGATGGCTTTCCTTGCAACACTTGGTTTGGGGAACTTAATGCTGTAGTACTTCAATTCTTCCAAGATATATCTAATATTTGTTTCTTCTACTAAAGCACAAAGAATCTTCAACTTCATACTGGCAATGGATAAAGGGTCTGTGGGGTACAAGAAGAAATTGGTATAATAAGACCCAAACACTTTCTTGTCCATTAGGGAGATATTTAGTATCATTCCATAGACTAGTTCTGATATCTTGAATGATTCCTGGGCATTGGTTGCGATTCTAAGAAGTGCTTTATTCAAACCGGATTTAATGAAATGGACTGGCGGAGTTAAGCAATAGTAAGCTTTGGCAACACTTAGAACCACCGCATCGGAACTGGAAAACGTCAACATGCCTAGAGAGTCAATGAAGAGGAGATAGTCGTCATCGTAGCTAACGTCATAATCAACGGCTGCTGCAGCAGCACTCCCCAAAGAACTAAAATCATTGGGCATGTCAATAATAACGTTCGAGTCAAGATAAAGTTTGGGTCTGGCAATGAATAATCGACAATATTCGACTAAAATCTCCACCACGAAGCATTGGGTCCATTCGTCAAACTCGCCAATTACAGAACAAAGTCGACGGAAATTCCCATGGATCGGAAGCCACTGTTTCAGAGGTTTAAGTTGACTTCGTATACTATAGTAACATTTAACAGCCGACTCAACCACTTGGATCTCGCTATCAGCCAATAACTTGGTTAAATATCCCACCAATTCCTTCCCGTTGGTGTCGTCCAAGCCATAACAACTTTCTATGGCTCCAGCAGTGGCACTACGTACCAATGGCGAGGGATCAGCGACCGTTCGCTTGATGGTCAAGAGCATAATGGGCACAATGGCCAAGATCAGAATTCCACACAACGTTCTTGTCGACCGAGCCCTCACAACAGAGTCCTTTTCGTTAAGTAACTTTTGGATAGAATTAATGGCCAATAACGCAGTATCAGGCTCAACCTCGGCATACTTGGTAACATACACCATCACCAAATTCTTGATCTTCACATTGGATGACGTAATGTTCTTGACAACATCAGCAAAATACTCCAACACATCTTCGCCTTTACCCATAAGGTATATGACGCTTCTGATGCCCCGGAGGATGTCGGTTTCAACTCTAGAGTTAAGACACTTTGAGATCTCTTGCGGACTTAACTTCTGTGTAGAATCAGAGAGTCGAGACGAGGCCGTAGCCGCCGCCTCGATCGTCATGTTCTTTGCAGCCTCCAAGAGTGACGTAAGCTTCCCTAGAGGCTCTGTCATTTGATGTCTATAATGGTAAAGAGTGGTGGTCGATTCATACGTATAATAATTTTGTATGCACCGTTATACTGTGCTGGATTTAAAGATTACGTAAGCATTAATTGGTTTACATAATAAACGGTACTAGAACATTATATACAGGTTTCAAAAGTAGTATAAACTGTAACAGTAGTATAGTATTGTACATATATATTATTTTTTAGTTAATTTGGCAGCAGCTTTCTTTATCCGTTTACCCGAAGCAAGTTCCTTTCTTGTCAGAATCAAATCCCGAGGGAAGAACTCCTCTAACGTAGTTTGCATAGTTCTTCTCTTGTTCATGTCTCTAATTAGTGGAACCATAACATCATCAACCTTTTGTTGAGACCATTTGACATTATACATCAAGAACGAACGGACTTGATCAAGATCAGGGATACCCCATTTGAATTGCGTATCATCATGATCAACTTCTGGATGCTTATAAGCATTTGAAATGGCTGAATCAGGAAACGTTTCGGCTAAAAACAACTTTCCATTCTTAATTCTACTTAGGAGACTCTTCTTCAAAGTAGTGTTATTGTTAGTAGCATCATCAACAATGGTTTGAGTATTTTTATCAAACCATTTCTTGAATTCCTTGACACTTCCAAACTCTGCTAAGATTTCCATCGCTAATACCGGCCCGATACCGGAGACACCTTCAGTATAATCACTACCAAGTAACATTGCCAATTCAATTAGTCTCTCTTGAGTTAAACCTAATTGTCCCTCAATATCTGCCATCTGGTAGCACTCCACGTATTGTTTCTGGTTAAACATGTTCTTATAGATCCTATCTCCTCCAAATAAAAAACAATCACTATCATCCGTAATGATACCATCCACTAGTTTTAGTTTAAGCAATTCAGCACATTGTGCCTCGGCTTCCATTGGTGCTGTTATATATGGAATACCAAATCTTCTTAAAAGCTCTTGTACTCCTTTAATCATTGTGTCCGTGACCTCATCAGAATCTCTCTTTGCCTTTTGAAGTTGTTCTTGAAGTAATTGCTCATCAGTAACAACAGAATTGATACTTTCATGATTCAAACTCTCATTCCCTGCAAGTTCTTGCCTAAACTTCTCATGATCTGCTTCTTCAGAGTTCATTTGTCTAACAAGATCCAACTCTTCATCTTCTTCAAAGTCGTAGTCAAATACCATCGGCTTTCGACCTGAAGACGCTTCTTCAATGGATATCACATGTTCAGGTACAACAATTTTAGATGGATCTTGGATCTCTTGAACATCATAAACATCACTTTCATCGGAGCTTTCTGCCTTTTCAAGCATCGTTTGGGCTTCCTTCCAGGGTATAAGTTCGTCTTTAAGTTCTTTATCTTCATCTATAATTGTTTCTTTATAATAAGCAACTTCTTGATGCGGATTGGTGATTGTGAAATCCTCTTTAAACCATTGGGGTAATTGATTTTGTTCACTTTGCTTGATCCTCCGCAATTGCTCTTCATCCTGGCCATCGTCACCAGACTCTTCATCCTCTGCTGCTACTTTGACCTCTGAAATAGTGACAACAACAGACTTATCACCATCAGCCTGTCCATTGGTACCACTAGCAGACTTAAACTCTTTCACCAGGGGTGCATAATTGGAAGGTTCGGTTGTAGGGTGATTCAGGATCTGACTTTTTGCACTTTCACTGCTCTTAATCTGTTCCTTCAGGATGTTATTGGAACCCGTCACAGGAGCCCGTGGGCTGTTGATAGCAGTCGATCTTGTAGCAGTCAATCTCTCAGTAGAACTCGATCTCTTAATATCACTCGATCTCTTACCATCACCCAATACATCATCTTGCAACGTAACCTCTTCTGCTACCGCAACTTCAGTCTCTATTGGACCAGCCAATAGAGATTGTGAAAAAGAAAAACCGTCCTTGACCTCACAAATTGGTGCACTGGAAGGTCGTTCAATCTTGGGTACCTCATATTTATCGTATAAGGACTTGAGAAACTGCTCTTGTTCTTCTCTGTGTTCAACTGGCTCTGGCTTTGTGACAAGTGGAACCTCATCAAAATCAGAAAGACTGTCGTCGTCATCAGAATCATGAGTTTGTATTTTCCTCTTCTTAAATAAACCTTGCTTACTGCCTTCATCTTCTTCAAGAGTAATTGGCTTATCCAGAGTCGAACCTTCATGATCTTTAACCAACGACAACGTCCAACCGTCATCGTTTCTGACCAAAGAATACTCTCGATCCTTTTCCCCAGCTACTCGTTTAGTCACATTGCCATCGTCTCCCATCCCACTGATCTCCATGAGTCGTTGGGTGAAGAAGTTTCTCTTCTGCACCTGGTTGATTTGAAACTTGGAAAACTCCATCTCGTCGGGAAACATCGTCTCCAATTGGTCCTTATCAAAACCCATCCGCAACCTGGACTTGAGTCGCAAATGTGATAAGATCATATATTGGGTCGCCTTGGGAAGGGCATGAAACTGCTTAGACGAAGGATCAATGGTGTTAATGTCAATACCATCAACCATATCAAAATCAAAATTGCCATTCTCGTCATATTCTTGCCCCGGTAAGATTCTGGTATCGTTAGTTGAAACTTTAAACGACCTTAGACCTGGTAAATGATAATCATCTTCTCTTCTAAATGGTTTAGTTCTTTCGTAGTTCTTCTCCATGTTCAAGTTCTGTAGATCTTCAAAGTAAACCTGGTCAGAGTCACTATCATCTTCATCAATATCCACATTATTGTCTATGACAACTGCCTTCCTCTTCCTTCCCTTATCTCCGCCTCCAGTGGCAAGCCGTCGAAGTTGTATGGCCAATAACTTCTTAGCTGCGGTGTTAACCGTATCACGGTTCCCCAGTCGTCTGTCTTGACGCTTCCGAATGGTATCCCGCTTCAATGCCGGTGCCCCTCCGTCAAATACAAGTATCGGATAAATCCCATGATATAACAACTTGCAGATCCTTCGGAAAAACCCTACAATATGGGCATGGGGTAGAACATCGCCTTTATCATCCCGTACTGCCTTGAGGAATTGGTAGATCCAAATCGACCCGTCAACCGCAAGTTTCTTTCTCAGAAGTGACTCTAGCTTCACCGGTCGTGCAGTAGGGCCAAGTATGGTCCATAACGAATGCACACCCATAGTAGTAGTAGTAGAAGAAGAGGGTAGTTGTGTAGAGTAAGGGTGAATTACATTGGTGATAATTAAAATACGGGGAAGGTCGTGCGAGAAAACGTGGTAGCACCATGTAATTACGTAAGCAGAAGAATTGTATTGAAATCAGTACAATATATTATTGTCTTAAAGTATATATAACTATGTGAATACGCTAGTATCATCATCATTAAATTTATAAGTGTTTATGCTTAGTACGATGTCTGTTACTTTTGCGTTAACTAGTATGTCAAGGTATGTGCAACCAAAAGAAGTGCATACCCTCTCTCGCAGTACCCTATCACTACTAGTACTGTTTCATGTCAACTAATGCTGTTTCATATCACTAATTATGTCTTCTATTGCAGTTTCACATTACTTCTACCGTCAGTAATGACTACCAGTGTTGTTCATCCATAGTTGCACTGTTCCCATATTTGTTACACAAAACCTCTGACCAAATATAATGGTTGCAGGTCTTAGCTGCAAAAAGAAACTCAGGGTCTGTTACTACTACCTCCCCCTTCTCTACCCCCCCTTCTTTAATCCCTAACCCCATGAGGCATAATACAGACAAGAAAGATCACACGCTTGACCTGGACAACCGTGTTGTGTATCGGAAAGGATCGGAACCAGACTTGGAGAACGAAAACGGCAACAGAGCGGCTATCAACCCTATGTTGTACCGTCAACCACCACCACCACCACCACCACAGCAGAATGGGATACCAATTCCGATACTTGTGGTTGATCCGTATTATGGGAATGAAAATGAAGGATACTTCCGTCAGCAGCCAATCAGAAGAAGCAGCAGAAGTCCGGTGATGGTGGTGACTGACTCTTATCCGACACCCACCAACAATAACAAGTTCCCAGCAGCATTTCTACCTAGAAAGGCAGAGAAAATGTCGTTTGAAGAGAAGGTTCTGAAATGGCTTTGTAAAATCCCTATGGACTTTGATGTTCCAACTCCTTACGTCGATTGCTATCCACCAACTGTTTCATCGTCCAGTTCATACGAAGTTAATGGTGGTGTTAATGAGGTCATTGATTATGGCGACACAGATCTTGTACTTGAACGTCAGTCCCATGTGATCACAAAGCTTTCAAAGAAGTTGTATCAAGCAGAAAGAGCTGTCGCAGGAGATCAAGTACAACAACACAATGCTTCAACTCCTCCTCCACCCCCTCATGATAATAATAATATCGAACCACAAAGGTTAAACGGTCCGCTTAATTCTTGGATCAATTATCAACTGAAATATGTCTTAAACCCACGTGTTAGAGTGCCATCAGAAGATACTGGAGCTCAAGCTCAACAGCCGTATACCAAGGGATATGTGGGTGAACAAGAGAAGTTGTATCCTGAATTGATCAAACTTCTAGATGATTGTCATTAAATAATTAAATGAAAATATCCAATTCAGGTATGTTGTAGTCTTTTCCACCTTCAAGCTTATCGAACCGAGGATAATAAGGAACCAAACTATCACTGTTGTAAATTATAGCTTGATTCAACATCTTCCAATAGGGTGAACGTACTTTCCTAGCAGGATGGAATAATCCACTCCATAAGTAGTTCGAAAATACTCCAATCCCGATGGATATCCGAAGAGATTCAATAGCCTCTAAAATCCGGAAGATAACATGGGGTGATGTCTCAAAGATATTGGGTAAGATAAGGTTCAAATAATGAACAAGAACCTCAGCATAATCATCATAAAGTAACCCCACACAATTCATAGCAATATGTTTGACCACCGTAGCCGCTGTTTGACGATGAACTTGATCTCTATCGGTTAAAGCGTCTTCAATCAATGGAGATATGGCAAAGAGATAATCCTTGGTAGTTTCTCCTTCTATGTACTCAAAAAGAAAACTTAAAGACTTCAAAATCCCATTTTGAATATTCTTATCTGGAATCCTATATTCATTCATCAACGCAGGTAACACCGTATATGGCAGACATGTCTCTGCCACTATTCCTATAGCAACAGCAGTACAAACTCTTAATTGACGTTCTTGGACTCTCAAATTGTTTAAGAGCATCACCAATACATCTTGAGGCCCTATAGTTCTAGCAATGGACCCAAAGGTACTGTTGGCAGCGATTCGAATTCTTTTCTTGGAAGATTTCAACATATCAAGCATCTCAAAGGAGATTCTCATCCATTCTCTGGCATTGATGGTCTCTCCACTTCTCTGAGCAACCATACCAACCAATTTAATACATGCTTCTTGAACCTTCTCCTGTCTGTTCTTCAAAATAGGTGTAATGGTCGGGAGAAGCTGGTTAATAGACGGGTTATCCATGTTGTTCATCGATGATTTGTCCATGCACTCTAAACATGTGTGTAAGGCGGAGATAATGGAGCCCAAGACTTCAGGATATACTTCCCCCAAAGATTCATAAAGTACAAGCACAAGTTTCATTAATAGTGTATCATCATCTCGATTGCACAATTTGATAGCCGGAGCAATGATCACGATCAAATCAGTGGCCTGTTGTCGGACTTCAGGACTCTTATTCTTAACTCGGTACAACACTGTACTTATTATGGAATCGATATGAGGACCCATTCTCTCTTTTAATGCTAAAAATAAACTCTTGAATGCCTGTAAGTACGTCTTACTTCTTACTGTTTGTTCTTGGAAAGCATATAGTACCCCATCGACCAAGGTATATTCCAAATGAGAGTCTAGTCCAATTAAAGTGTCGCTAGAACTTGTGATCAAGGCATTCACAGCACTAACACAGAGTAACCTTAGTGATTCATTTTCATCCTTAGAATACACAATGATGCGTTCCAACAAGTCAAGCAAGTCAAACTTCGTCCCCAAGCCCACTGTGGCATCGACAACCAATTTGGAAAGTTTCTGAGAGTCACCTGCCAACCTTCTGTTCCAGAAATTCTTAAGGAACGGATCAATAATATCCTTTTGGTAAGCAGGGATAAGCTGTTTTGATAAGGGTAGTTTAGGTAAAATCAGCAAGACAGTCTTCTTCATGTCTTCATCTGGAGAAGAGAATTCTCTCAGTAGAGTTCTTGTAATTTCCTTTGTATAATAGTTTGAATATTCTTCATAGGAAGGGTCTCGTTCCATCAACGAGATAATAGAGCCAATAGCCCTAAGGAACCCTGCTAACCCCTTCCCTCTATGTTTCTTTAACCCTAGCCATAGATCTTCTAAACTGCCTTCAAAGGCATCAACACCATAGGGATATACACTATCCGCTAATTGAGAGATGGTCAACGCAGCAATGGTTCGAACCTGGAACTGCTCATCCTGCAAACAAGGTTGAATGACATCAATTAGCTTCTTGAGATAGGGGAGAATAGAGTTCCCATTACCTCCACCGAGTAAGATCCCTAATTGTTGAATGATTTTAATACCTGTATGTCTGGCCATCCAAGATTTCCTTGATTTAACCACTGCTCTTAAAAAGGGCAAGAACTGTACAAGTCCAAGGGTATTGGCAACTATGGCAAACACTCTAGAAGTTAAATTTCGTACATATTCATCGACATTATCCAAATCCGGTCTTAGATTGGCTATCATTGTTGCAAGACCTACTGCTTTAGACAAGTTAGCAATGATATCTCTTGCTTCCAATCTTAGATTGAAGTTTTCATCTATCAAAAGTGGTGAGATCACCGTTAATATCTTTCTCGTATAGGGCCCCACCAAAGCATCGAGTTGGAACATTATACGGCCGGTTAACTTGACAATTAAATGCCGTTCTTGATCATCAAGGTCTGGTTCCAACATTAGGGGTAAAATGGCATTGAAAAGGGCCTCCGGTCCAAACTTCCGGGCATTATCGGTCAATTGTCTAAGTGACCGTTTCCGGACTACTTGAGATCCATTCTTCACCTTCAATAATAACGATAGCACCCTTTTCTCCTTCTTTGCGTCATCTGTAAGGTGATGGTCATCTTCGACATTGTTCTGACTCGTCAACACTGCCGCAAAATGTTTTTTATCGGCTTCTTTATAAAACTGGACCCCGGCCATTCCAGGAGCATCCACAGGCAAGTCTTTAGCCAAGTTCTTCGACTCCATTAGCGCATTCTCAATGGATGGAGGTATATAGTAGTCATTCGATAAGGCAATCACATCTGGATGACTATCATTGGTCAAGTACTCCGTGGGGATGGCTATCTTCGTGTATTGTGGAGGAAGTATCTTATCAAGTATTTCATCTGTTAACGGTATCCCATTGATTACAGGGACCTTGTCCTTGGTATTTAATAGAGATTGAAGTAGTTTGGATTCCAGAATCACTCGTTGATCCTTGTGCTTGTTCTGTTCGTACTCTTCAGGAGTAACGTCCCATCTTCTCTTACGTCTGCGTGTGGGTTGAGGGACGACATTGCTATCAATGCTATTATCAGTACTTTGCGTATGTTTCGCTAATCTCATTTCTTCTCGTTCAAGATTCCTTTCTTGCATTACCTGCTTATACGACATGGTGGTACCCTTTTCAAAGGCCACTCTAGTGGCATTGCCTCTCTTCTTGTAGTCATTGTGCTGAAGACTATTGGTGAGCGTTGATGCTTCTAGAAGCTCTTCTTCTTGCTGCAATTCGTCTCGTAGACGTTTATGCAACGCATATCCCTCCAGCAATGACCGTGACATGGGTCTATGTATGCAATGGAAGAAGAAGGTGATGTATAACATTTGTGTTGTATTACGTTTGTGTGGTGATTTTCAACCTCGCACTTTTACGTCATGAGTTCGAACCGTAAGCACAACGACTTCTTTCTTTCCAGCATCACCACCATAATCATGACACTGTCGAATCAGAATGCAGACCTTCTACTTAGACGACTTTTGCTGTTAAAGGAGCCATCGTCGTTCTACGTGGTGTTTGACTCCGTGTCTCAAGGAGGTCATCCGTTGCTTGACGAGTTGGTGTTACTGTGTGGAAAAGCTCATCTCACATACTTATCATTTGAGACCATCAATAGACCCAAATATGCCACGGAGTTTATACCCTGTTTGGGTCAAACTCCCCAGCAGATTGTCCAGAATGTTAGGAAGCAACAGACTGGCGCTATCAAACTGTTGATAGTGGTGGACTCTTTAAACTACATTTTTAACTCACAATTACCAGAGTTCATCAAAGGACTAATGCACCCTTCAACAGTGCTAGTGGGAATATTCCATACGGATGTCCTAGATTCCTTGGACCCGAATCACAAATCGTATCCCTCCAGCCACCAGTTGTTGCAATTCATGGGCACTACGCTCTTCACTGTAGAGCCACTCATTAGTGATGATCGTGAAGAGACCATAGCCAATGAAACAGCCCATATGTTTATTTCCAGTGCTCCAGAATTGAACAGCTCCAAGTTTAGATTGTCCGTGGCCAATAGAAGGAAGTCTGGGCGTGCCGTCTCCTACGACTTTATCATGGACACTAAACTTCATAGTGCAGAGTTGGTGAAGGAAGCTCAAGCTCCAGTGGAAGAAGATGAGAGCTTACTTAAGGACTTGACTACCTTCAACTTGACTACCAGTTCTAAAGAGAAACTTGCAAGAGAACAAGTGGAACTCCCTTTCATGGAAGCACAAGATTCCTTAGGGTCAATGGGAGGTGCCATAGTGTACGAATTTGAAAAGGATGATGATTACGATGAAGAAGATCCATACGAAGATCCATTTTAATAAATAACTTAATAAATAACTTAATAAATAGTTTAATGAATAATTTCCCTATACCCATTTTTTAATTCCGAACTGTTCTCAATTGCTTAATCCCCGAATCCATTGCTTAGTCCCCGAATCCATTGCTTAGTCCCCGAATTCTAATTGCTTAGTCCCCGAAGCAACTTCACAGTATCCCAATCACTGTTCTCCTTTGCATCGTAGATCTCCCTGGCAATCTCTCTATCCCAGTTGAGCCACTCATTATACGATGTAAAGTACCGAGGTCCAAACTCATCTGTCAGTCTCAATTTGGCTTGATCGTAACCACGAGTACAGAACCATGTACCCGACCGATTCCAAAATCCGACCCCCTCTAGGGATTGACATTTGGAAAGCTCTTCCATGGTAGGAACCCCCTTCGTCAATAAATGTAGCTTCTTTCGCTTCATGTCGTGCAAGTACAACGCAGGCACAATGATTCGAAGCACCAGCTCCGGAAAGAACCGAGCAAGCGTGCCAGCATCGAAATGTGAGTAGTGATATTCGGTATCTAAATTAGACGATTTTCTAGGGAATTGGGAGTGGAAAAAGTTGGGTCTTTCAGGTACTATTCTGCTTATTCTTAACTGTTCCGAATTCTTCGAGAACCATTCTTCCATAGCATTTAAAAAGGTATCTGTAATTTGACGAGCCAGCGTCTCGCTGAAATGTACTCGCCGCCGTACTACGTTCTCTTCTTCAGGGATAGAATCATCAAAGATAGTCATATTGGGTATATTAATGAAGAATAATGTAGATCAAACACCGATTTATACCGTCACATGTATGCATATATATATAATTTATATGCAGTATAGGAATACGACGTCCTCCGGGCCGGCATTCGGCGAATCTACTGGGGATCGGCCTTCTACCGGGAATCGGTCACTATAATAAATAGCGCTGTGGGGTTGTTAATTATGGCATTATTATAATAATCTACTTCTTTTGTGGCTCTTCTGTCACAGTATCACGCTTACGCTTACCCAATTTGGATTTTACTCTACTCACAAGCCCTTTGATACCAGAGTCAACACTGGCAGCTTCAAACTCTTCTTCTGTGACCACCTTCTTCACCAAAAGCTGGTACAAAGAACCAAATGCTAGCGACATCACAGTGCAAGTAAAGATAATAACGTTGTAAGGCATAGAGAAATCCGGTGTAGGAAGACTAAGAACCAAACTTGTTGATCTGACTTCGTAAATACCTCTTTTATTGTCATCAATTATTGTGATCACCGCTGGGTCAATTGCAAACCCATGATTAGCGTCTGGAGGGTATTCATCTAGTAATAGAATAGACTTATCAAACTCATAGCTGAACAAAAGAGTCAGCTTTGGAGGTAATGAAATGCTCAATTCTATTTGTGCTGGTCTTTTCCTATCGACAGCCGGCTTGTAGTAAATATCTTTAATATGAGTGCTTCCATCAATACCAGCTATGGTATATGATGAAGTTTCATTCTCAAAGGAAACAACCATACTGCTTAAATAAAGTCTCATGAACCATGGTAACGTTTCAAAATAGACAAAGTCCATAGAGGAGTTGGAAGGGTTGGTGATTTCGGTTCTAAGTCCACCATGATCTTGAGAGTATCCAGTCAATGCTCTGGATAAAAGAATGGGTGGTTTTTCAATGGGGGCAACATTGATCCCACCATTTGCAGTTTCAAATGAAACATCATATTCAATATCATCGTCAAGATAGAATGCAATAGAATTTCCAACAATATCGTGTCTTTCCGAACCACTTTTCTTGTGTTTAACCAACTGAGTTTTCCAGTGATTGGAATCAACTTTGAGTCCAAGAATTGAACTCCTTATATTCCCACTAAAAGCCTGACCCTTGATGTTTCTACCAAAGATCGTGCCCAAATTCCATTTAAGATCTACAGGGTCATCCAAGGGGAAACATTGCCATGGATTGTGAGTTTTGGAGGGGTCACACCGAAGTTCGTCCCCTTTAACAGGTCTAGGGATCCCCCCTTCCTTATGCTTCCGTAACGATCTAAGTACATCCACAATCGCAGTCACTGACTGTTCCATACGCAAATGGCACTTATTATTATCTTGTGTATCATCACACACAGATGTGACGTCCACAGCCATACTGTGCCATAAGGAATCAAATACCTTGTGACCATCAAGTAATGATGAAATTCCGGCTTTCCCTCTTGTGGGTAAGAGCTTCAAGAATGGGGTAAGATTTTCTGTACATATTGGTTCACTTGGTAAAGCCGCGCGAAGGATGTATAGCTTATTCCCAGGCTTTTGTATGTAATGAAGACTGGTTATATCGTTTGCTTTGTATTGTGGATAAGTCGTGATGGCCGGTTCAATGAAGTTAAGAGAGGCACAAAAGAACCCCGATAATGCCTTTGAAAGACGGAACCAATTCCGTTGAGCTTCCTTTACATCATATGCTTCTATAACTGCCAACACTTCAACTCCGGTCCCACCACTCTTAAGTCCGTTCTTAGGCAACGCACCCCAAGTATCTGAATCCCACCAACCTTGGGTGAATCGTAAGTGCAACTCACGTGCATTGGACTGCTGAATAATAGGCGCAATTGCCTTGGAGAAAAACGTGAAATGCTCAGGACCGTATTGCTCCTGTTCCGGAGTCGTGCTGTTCCAATACCGCAATTCAATTGGCTCTGATGCGATCTCAAAATCAAATGATGCCAACAACGCATTACGAGGTAACGGCTTAACCATCAACGTCTCATTGTATAGAGTATGTGCGTTGACTCCTTGTAAACAGAGACCTAATGCTGTGATCACGTGAGAGACCACAGTAATCCATGACATTGCCATTAGTTTGTACTTAAAACTAAGATACTCTGTGTGGAAGTCTATACGTCGCTGAGAAATACGTTTGATACTTGGGTACTTCGTCCGGGTAACATGGTCGCGAAAATTGAACGGTAGCGCAGAGTTTATTACTGTAATGTAAACAAACGCAGGTAGGGTAAGTTAAAGAGAGGCTGCAACTTACAACTACTGCGCAAAAGAGTTATGTCCATGTATGTTGATGGGTCTATGCTAGAAGAGCATAAAGAAAATGTGGTTCCGCGAGCGGCAGGAAGACCTGTATCGAAGCTTGCGACATCTTTAAGACTCACTCAATCGCAACTCAAAGAGCTTCGCATTACCGAACGAGAAGAGTTCGAACGGAAACTTGAAGACTTGGAGATGGAAGATGATCCCCTTCAAATATACGTTGATTACATAAGCTGGATACATACGCGTTATCCTCTGGGAGCCAACACCGAAAGTGGGCTATTGCGTTTACTCGAGAAGTGCACGTCAAGCTTTAGAGATGTTGGTCACTACAAGAATGACCCTCGGTATTTGAAGATCTGGCTTGAATATGTGCGGTTTGCCGAATCAAAACGGGATATATTCATTTATTTGGCTAAGAAGGAGATTGGAAGTCAATTGGCATTGTACTACGAGGAGTTTGCCCGGCATTTAATAGAAATAGATAAATGGAACGATGCTCAGGAAATATTGGAAATGGGGTTGAAAGTTAAGGCACTGCCGTTTGCTCGTTTATCTCAAAGTTACCAGAGGTTTCTCACTGAAGCCAAGGATAGTAGGTCATCATCTTCATCTGGCCATAGCAGACATGCATTGGTTACTGTTGAAGAGTCAGCTACCCTTTCTCGTTCAGAGGAAGCTGTTCCTGGAAATAGGAAACGACAAAAAATTGAAGTCTTTAGAGACAATACTGACCAACAGAACAGTATAAGTTCTCAGCTTCAACCTGGAAATCAATCAGAGCTAGGGTCTTTCAGTGTTAGACGTAAAGAAAATTATGTGGTTCCAGAAAAGTGGTCAGGACAATTGCTTCGTCAGCAGAGTGGTCATGAAAGACCAATCAGTAGCAGTAAGTTTCAAGTCTACAATGATGATGATAATGAAAACGTAAACTCTGTGCCAGAAGTTGAAAGGACATATGTAACCACAAATACAGGAGAAACAGTAACGGTGGTGAAACAAACAGGCAAGACAACAGAACGCGTGTGGGTTAATATGCAACTATTAAAAACGGAAACAGGAGAAGAGTTATGTTTTGAAGAAGTACTTGGGAGATTAATGCAAGAAAAGTTTAAGAAGTTGAATAAGGAAATGGATGCTGAAATACCCAACAACAACATGTTAAAAGTGTCAAAGAATAAACTATCAGCAAAAACCGTTCATCCAAGTACACCAAGTTCACCGACTATGACCATGTATTCCAAAATGGCGAATCATGAAGTCATAAATATGTTCAATGATGCAGCACAAGATTTAAATTCTGAAGATGAAGTTTCACTTAGAAGAGACGATACAACAACAAATTTTGATGGGTTTGTAACAGAAACTGTAAACTTTCATCCAACCAAAGAGGCATTAGAGCCAGAACCCACACCACCTACAGATAGAGAAGAAGAAACTAATTTAGGACTGGCACCTAGCTCACCTTTCTTAGAGATGCCCTCAATGAGTTACATTGATTACCCTATTAAAACTATTGACCCATTAGATCTTGCATTGAGACAACAATTATTATTACAGCTAAGCATCCCACTATCAATTTATACCACTTATCATAAGTCAAGTTCAGTTTCCAATATCATTTCCGAACTACAGGATAGCAGGAGATCGAACAAACCAGTGATTTTAAACTCCTTTACAAATGAAGGTTTGATCTCTATCAAATCGTTTTTGGGTAAAGGAGGTTATGGTCTTGTCTATTTGGGAGAAACTGAGTCAGCTCGACCAATCGCCATAAAAATGGAGTCCCCTGCCTCAAATTGGGAATATTACATTCTCTCACAAGTTCATAAAAGGTGTCGAACAGCCCTGGTGGTAAGACCACAAGCAATTTATGAATTTGAAAATGAAAGCTTTATGCTAATGGACTATTTTCCACAGGGGACAGTTTTAGATGTGGTTAACGTTTTTAAGCAAAACGACATTTCAACTCAACTTGGTGAAGAGTTTGCACTTTTCGTAGCCAGTCAACTTCTTAAGACAGTTGAAAAGTTGCATAACGTGGGTATAATACATGGCGACTTGAAAGCCGACAATTGTCTTGTAAATATCGACGAAGAATTGGTTGCCGGTGGTAGAGAGGATGGCAGTATTGTTTTAATAGACTTTGGAAGATCAGTGGATCTAAGCTTACTTCCAGATACTGTGCAATGTGTTAGTCATTGGAAGAGTGATACTCAGGACTGCACAGCAATGAGAAACGGTAAACCTTGGAAATACGATGCGGATTATTATGGCATTGCATGTATTCTTCATACCATATTATTCGGAGAATATATACGAACGATCAACCTGTCTTCCGGGACAATTAGGCTTTCAAATCAATGGAGGCCGTATTGGTCTTCTGAAGTTTGGGAGCCATTGTTTGATTTCCTTCTTAACCCATACGTGAGCCTAGACGTTCAACAGAAACCACTGCTTTCTCATGAGCTTAAATTGCATTATTCTCACATTGATAAGCATTTACGACACCAGACACGAGCCCTGAAATTAAGAGAGTCATTGATAGCAATTATTGATTCCACGCATAAATAGATATGCAAAGGGGAAAAGTATAGGATACACGAGTGATATAATTGGTTATGCCACACAGAACAATTAACGTACTTTTCTTTTATAGTGCATTAAAAGCCTCTCCCGGGGAACCAAATGCATTTCTCCGCGCTAAAAATATACTTCATTCTGGTGCTACCATATACTGGTCGTAGCGTGCATTTTTCTATTATGCACAGATGGATTCGATAAATATGTTAGATTTGCGACTTCGCTTTTCCATCAAAATGTAAGCAGACAAAGACCCTCACACCAATTGGGGGAGTAGAACACTAGTTTCTTATCTATGTAATTAACTGACGTTAAAGCGTAAAACACGACAGAAGGTATGCCCCTAATTTTCTCATTCTAATTATGTTAGAGTAAACGTTTCCGCTGTTGGATAATGCCATTTCGTATTTTGGCCATTCACAATGCGTCATCAATACACATACCGAACAATCTCCGAGTCGGAAAATTTTGGGTCCAGCCACCTTGAATCAAAACAAGTCGACAAAGTATAAAGAACAGGCGAGGTTACTTTGAAGCAGAAGAGTTCTGTGAGTATATCACAGCAGTGATTGTTTCTTATACTCTAGTGAACTTCAGTATATGACAGCACGGAATAATTGATACATTGCAGTACATTACAGGACGGAATAACCCAGTGCCTTGCATAATATTTTTATAATACTTGACTATCATTCGCTTATTATATCTGGGACAGATTGTTAATAGTCACCCAATAATCTAGAATTACGGTTTTACCTAAGAACCATTAGCATACTTTATTTAGTCTGGGAGTACATCCGTTCATTTATTCCAATCTCATGTCACGTACTAGAAGAATTAGTCCACCCACTGTGCTCACATCAAGCTTAGAAGCGCAAGACTTTAGCACTAATGTTTTAGTGGTTGGAGGTGCATTTGCAGGGCTATCAGCCATCACCAGTCTCCAAAATCATATTTCCGAACGGTGCAAGTATTCCAATGCATTCTCATCTCGGTCCCATAAGCTCTCTATAACCGTAATTGAACCAAGGGCAGGTCTATTGAACATACTTGGTATACCTCATGCAGTTTTAGACCCTGAGTTTGCTCAATCGCAGTACCTACCACTACATGAAATGAAGACCCTTCATATTGAAACCGTACACACTCCCTTTGGTGAATTGATACAACAAGTGAGACCCAAAGTGTATGACGAAGCAGCATTCTCGATCCACTTTGTACAGGGAAAAGTCACCAATGTAGCTCGAGACTATGTTGATTATCATTTGGTGGAGTCTCGGACCATTAAGCGAATCAAGTTTGATTATATAGTACTAGCAATGGGGAGAGACCGGCTGTGGCCAATCACACCAGATGCATTGACTGCTGATACGTTCTTGGACGAGATGAATAAGACTAAAAACATATTGGAATTAAAGTCTTCTATTAGTATTGTTGGAGGAGGAGCTGTTGGTATTGAAATGGCTGGTTGTTTAAAGAGAAACTTCCCAGATAAATGTGTTCGGATAATTCATCCGCATGATAGACTATTACCGGAACCATTAAGCAATGAGCTTAAAGATACTATATTTACTTCATTGACTTCTTACGGGGTGGATGTTATGCTTAATACTCGAATAAAGGAAGAGCTTGACAATGGTTATTTGGTAACCACCACTAATGACACTATTAAAAGCGACCTAACCATATGGTGTACGAATTTTCGGAATAACTTGGATATTCTTGATGACGTGGTTTATAGTAAAGCCATCACTAATCATCAAAACTTGGCTGTTAACGAGTATCTACAAATTGAAGTAGCTGGAGATGTCTTGGACAATGTGTTTGCTATTGGAGACATAGTAGAGCTTGACATCATTAAGTCCGCTGGCTGGGCCATGTATATGGGTCGACAAACGGCAAACAACATTGCTAGTGATATATTTGAAGGAAAGCTAGCGGAGAAGATACCTGATATGAAGACAGTACCTCGAGGAATGGTAATTGTGGCTGGGAATGAAGAGATTGTTAGTGAGTTGAGTGGTGAGGTTGAGGTTAACAATAGGAATTATGTTGAAGAGTACAAGGATTATTGTATGGGGAAAATCCGAGTTACCATAGGCGTGTAAGTTCACGAGGAATTTACGATATTATGTACCGCAGTATTTATAGGTATCTCCGAGTCACCTTAGGAGGTTTACGAGAAATTTACGATTAAGGTATCATGTACAACATCAAATGCATTCAACATAGCTTCGAGCGGATTAAACTGGAATTGCAATTAACTAGAAATAAATCTATATTAGACTGTTTTATATTGCTGTAAAATCATATTACAAAGGAGTATATACCCATCACGTTGTTTACCCCATTTATAATATAATGTAATATTATATTTCTGATATATCATATAAGTTTCCAGAGCTTTGATTTCCTATTTGAGAATCTGGAGGCCCGTTTACTTATTTAAGTTTTAACTCCGAACTCCGAAGTTAAAGGTATACCAGTTTCGATTTACCAGCTGGCAAAACACATTGGTTTGTAAGATTAGCCCTCTCATTAAGATGAGTTATTGACGGAGATTAAGTGAGTTGTGGGAGCTTATATGAACACTGGAAGAACACTCAATTGAGTCTTTCCTTGTAGACTTACAGTTGTTATACTAACTTTTAATCCGGTCTAATAATAGTAGTATGATTTCAAGCCATTAGAGGTTTCACTTTAGACCTTAGAGTTGTTCATTTTCCTACTACTAGATTCAGAGCTGCTGATGGTCACTGCCACGGATTTACAAGTGAAATAGTACGGAGATAGAGCTGCTATTCCTGGAACCTTATAAGTTCCCTAAGTCTCATCTCCATCTCCCCGAACAGGATTTTAACCTAACCTTCCTTCTATGTGGCAGTCCAAACACATCGATTCATGGAAGATGATAACCAAAGCAGTTCACGAGAAGGGCTCTTTCAACACTATGCAACTTGGAACTTTGTGTGGGACATTCCACCGGCTTTAGCCAAGGCGCATGAGCTTGAATTGTCACTGCCTCGGTCAACTATGAAAGCGAGAAGGCCAAACAGGAAGCCGAGATTGTTGGTGTGCCCCTTAGAGCATTGACTGAAGAAGAAATTAAAGATCTCATAGTCACTGATCTCTTTAATTGAGTTAAGAACGATTTAGAAGCTGACTTCGATTTTGTTGAAATTCATGGCACTAACGGGTTCTTAGTGGAACAATTTATCCAACCAAGTTCGAACCACAGGACAGATAAATAAAGTGGTTCCATTGAGAACAGAGCCGGATTCATTTATTAACGTTTGTTCCCGCTGAAAAGTTGGCCCTTAGATTATTGCCATTTCCGACTTCCCAAGGGTTCTTGATTAAACATGAAACCTTCCGTTTGGTCGTCCAATAAGGTTCGATTTTCGAACAATTGCAAAAGAGAGCCGAAAGATCGGGCAAGGAATTGGCATACATTTCAATTGTAGATTCTTCTGCAACTGTCCCTGGTTCCATCAAGTAGACGTTCAGTTTTTTAGAGCTTTTTATATAAAGGTGTTTTGTTGAAAGCTGAGCTAATATTTTTTTTTGATGATGCTAAGGAAACCATTGTCTACAACATTCAAGATGAAAAGGTCTTGATCGGGTTCGGGAGAGAGTTTATTCTAAACCTGATTTGACCGATAAAATCAAGGAAGGTTACCCATTGAATCCTTATGATAGTACTACTTTGTACGCCAAATCTAAATGAGGTTACAACACATATCTTAGATATAACGAAAAGACGGTATTTGATGAGGACGTTGCATCCAAGGTCCTACCAAAATCATTATTTACTAAGGCTTAATAATATAAGTTAATGAGATATACTCAATGTAATGATAACCTACTTAGTCACACGTATTTAGTATGTCCCTCGTAAAGTTGTCCATTTATTTGATACTTCGTTCAACCAAGATATACTTATTAATGGCTGCAAAGAACTTGTATTTTAGTCATATCACTAGCTACTACAACTTAAAATGGTGATATTATGCTATACAAAATAAGCTGACCAGTCAAGTAGAAGCTCTGTTTATATATTGTAATTGTCCCTTATCGTATATTCATTTACGACTTAGGAAAAATAATGCGTATGTAACTAATCTGTATGTACCTAATGCGTATGTAGCTATCAGTATTCGCTTCGTATGTGCAGTTCAGAATGTGAGTGAAAAATAGATCTAAAGAGCAACAGCATAGAATAACGTCAACGCCCCATATTAATAATAATAATACCTAGTATATATGACCGAAGCGGAAACTGACACCGAGAATGTTCCTCAATCGAAGTATACCAAGGATAAAAAGGTCGGTGAAGGGACATATGCTGTGGTTTATTTAGGAGTTCAAAAGCATACCAAGAGGAAAATAGCCATCAAAGAAATCAAAACCGGATTATTTAAAGATGGATTGGATATGTCTGCATTAAGAGAAGTCAAATACTTACAGGAGCTCAGACACCCCAATGTAATTGAGCTTGTTGATGTTTTTGGTACTTCCAATAATTTGAACTTGGTATTAGAGTTTTTACCCTGTGATTTAGAAGTGTTGATAAAGTCTAAAGATATTATGTTTCTGGCAGCTGATATCAAGTCGTGGCTACTAATGACATTCAGAGGTCTTCATCATTGTCATCGGATGTCTATCTTACATCGAGATTTGAAGCCAAACAATTTATTACTAGCACCAGATGGTCAGTTAAAGATTGCTGATTTTGGTTTGGCTCGAGGCTTGGGTAACTTAAACGAAGATCTTTCATCTAATGTGGTTACTCGATGGTACAGAGCACCGGAATTACTCTTTGGAGCTAAACACTATACTGCAGCCATTGATATTTGGTCGGTGGGGATTATCTTTGCGGAATTGATGTTAAGAATTCCGTATTTACCTGGGAAAGATGATGTTGATCAACTTGATGTTACTTTCAAGGCTTTAGGAACTCCAACAGAACAGATATGGCCTAATGTTTCCAATCTACCATTGTATAATTCGCTTAGGGTGTATCCTCCACCTTCAAGACAAGAACTACGGAATAGATTTATTGCTGCTACTGATAAGGCTCTTGATTTGATGATCTCCATGACTCAGTTGGATCCCAGTAGACGGTGCAATACCTCTCAAGCATTGTTACATGAATATTTCACAGAGTTACCAAGTCCGACAGACCCAAAGAACTTACCCAAGAATAAACCGAATGAGCCAACAGTAGAATCCAATGGTAATACTACAAAGAGAAGGAAAGTAGAATAAATAAATATATAAATAAATAAATCTTATATACATGAAGTTGTGATTGTTTATCCGTTATGTATCTTAGTAGCATAAATTTATCCGTGATGTGTATGATCGTAACATAAATTTATCCCTGATGAATGTTCGTTACATAATTTTATCCGCGATAAATGTTTGAATAGTTTATCCGTGATATATGTTTTTAACATAATCAGCAATTGCCCAAGAAGCAGTTACCCCTGGACTTTCAATGCCTAATAAGTTAACAAATCCAGGGAACCCCTCTTCTTCTCTAATGACAAAGTCTGAGAATTGGTTCTTGCTTTGTTCTTGACTTAGTAATTTAGGTCTTATACCTGAATATGAGGGTTCCAAGTCTTGTAATTGTAGCGAAGGAAAATAATCTTTAATAGTGTTATAAGCAGGTTTCAAGTTATCAGACAGAACCATATAATCCAAATCATTAGTATCAATATTTTTATTATTTAACCATTCAATATCTGGGCCAAATCTGATTTGACCCCCCAAATCAAAAGTCAAATGAGTTCCTAATGAAGAAGCAAATGGTTTTGGACAAGGATAAATAAGCTTCAGACCAATATCTTTGGCAATATTAATAGGTGTTTGAGGTTGATAACTATAATAGTTTCCCTTAGCAAAATAAGGTTCGATATGACGATCTGGGGGTAATAACATATTAGAAATAAAGGGTGCATTTAATCCGCCGGAATTAATGACATTTTCCGAAGTAATAGAAAAGAATGTATCATCAACCAGATCTTGTAAATGTAATAGATATTCCTTTCTTCCCTTAGAATAAGAAATATCAACTACTTTGGATAAGATCCCCACATCACCTCCGGCATTTTCAAATACACCATCGAAATACACCACCAAACTATGAACATCTATTATTCCGGTTGTTGGACTTTGTAATATCAATTGAGATGCTCGGATTAATGGTGCTTGTTTTTTCCCTTCACTCGGACTAATAAATGATACCGGAACATTTAATGATTTAGCTCGAGCTTCCAATAAATATAGATGTTCCGCTTCAGCTTCTGATTGGGCAACAACCCATTTCCCACATTGATGGATTGGAACCTTGCTATTCTTACTATTACTATTAGTGCCAAACTCTCGATAAAGCTTATTCTTCCCTTCAATACATAACTTGGCCTTAAGCGAATCTTGAGGATAATATATTCCCGCATGAATAACTTCAGAGTTCCTGGCCGTTGTCTCGGTTCCTAAATGCTCATGTTGTTCCACTAAAAGTACCAGATTACCGGCAACCTGTTGAAGTTCACTGGCTATGGCCGTACCAATAATACCGCCTCCTATAACCACATGTGAAAAGTCGGCTCTTCGCACCGAACTAGTACTGAAGCAACGGCGTATACCTGTAAATCGTATCATATCTTGAGAAATGAATGGTTCAAGGAATCAACCCTACGCTGATACTGTTGATCTTTAACTTACGGGTTTACTAACCTCGGACAAACGAAAGAAAAGCTTATACGTAAACCTCCGGGATGTTTCTGAACAGTGCAAAAATCAAAAAAAGAAGGTCGTACCCGGATTCGAACCGGGGTTGGTCGGATCAAAACCGACAGTGATAACCACTACACTATACAACCGAATAATTGAAAGATAAAGTGAATCTGCAGTCACAACTTGTCCGAGATCAAAACATTAAATCGCACAAAATTTGCAATAACACTTACGTGCACTATAACTTTTATAAGAAATTGGGCACGTGGTCTAGTGGTATGATTCACCCTTAGGGTGGGTGCGGTCCCCGGTTCGATTCCGGGCTTGCCCCTTTTCTTTTTTTGTTTGGATTAGACTACATTGTATAGATCATTTGTCGAACGTTCAGATATATAAATTGATTAGTCGAACGATAACGGGTCTATCACAATATAATTATTAGCCTTATCTGGGATCTATATTCTTTACAGTTTTGTGTGTTGCGTGTTCGCCCACGTGGGAGATTACCTTAATAAATTGACAGTTCCCAAATAGGCGGCTGGTATTAAATGTACGGTACAAACTATTGTTCATGATGCAGGTGACGGTATATTGAATTGTAGTCTCCTCCTCTAAGCCTATGCAGAGTCAATGTCGGCAATACAAACGGCACAACAATAATATAACAATATTACAAGTAAAATTACTAATAGTATTATTACTACTAGTATTACTACTAGTATTATTACTAGTATTATTACTAGTATTATATCTAGTATTATATCTAGTAGCAGCACCGCCAGGAATAATATACTAACTTTGATATACTGCATACTCGTATTATTTGATCCGTATATATCGTATTTTCATGTAGCTTTTCACATTAAGTATTGGGTTGTGCACGACCCACCCACGCTCTTAATTATCAGCATTAATCATATAATAAACGAATCGATAGACGGGTTAATTATCAAGTGGTTACTTATTTCTTTCTTTTGTCCACCGCCATAGCAGAATGAAGTTTGGTGAGCATCTTAGAAACGCTCTCATCAAGAGCTACAGCTTCTACTACATTGACTACGATGACTTGAAGCATCAATTGAAGAAGGGGTTGAAGGTCAACGATAATGTGTGGAACAATGATTTGGAGGAAGAGTTTTTGAACACCTTGGAAAACGAATTAGACAAGGTTTATTCCTTCACCAAGGTCAAGAATACTGAGGTGAACCGTCGTATAAAGGATTCGGAAAAATATGTTTACGAAGTTGTTGGAGCATTGAGCAACCCACTGGCTGCTCAACCTCTGGAACAAGATTTTGAAGAGTTGGAAGAAGAATTGTCGGATATTATTGCTGATGTTCACGATTTGGCCAAATACACTCGGTTGAATTACACTGGGTTCCAAAAGATTGTGAAGAAGCACGATAAGACCACCAAGTTCAACTTGAAGCCAATTTTCCAAGTCAGATTGAATGCCAAACCATTTTATAAGGACAATTACGATGCCTTGATTGTCAAATTATCGAAACTATACGATTTGGTGAGAACAAGAGGTAACCCTGTTAAAGGAGATTCATCAGCCGGTGGATCTCAGCAGAATTTCGTGAGACAGACCACCAAATATTGGGTTCATCCGGATAACATCACTGAGTTGAAGTTGATTATCTTGAAACATTTACCTGTGTTGGTTTTCAATGCTGATAAGGAGTTTGAAACAGAAGACTCAGCCATTACGTCGATTTATTTCGATAACCGTCCTTGTGATTTATACTACGGAAGATTACGTAAGGACGAAGGTGCTGAAGCCATTAGATTGAGATGGTATGGGGGGATGAAACTGGAGCAAATCTTTGTGGAAAGAAAGACACATAGAGAAGATTGGACTGGTGAAAAGTCGGTTAAGGCAAGATTTGCATTGAAAGAGAAGAAGGTAAATCAGTTTTTAAGTGGTGAATTTACTGCTTCTCAAGCTTTTGAAAAGATGAGGAAAGATGGTAAGAAATCAGTTCAAGAAATTGATAATTTGGAAAGATTGGCCAAAGAAGTTCAATATCGAGTTCTTAAAGATAAAATGAGACCGGTGATGAGATCTTTCTATAATAGAACAGCTTTCCAATTACCTGGTGATGCTAGAGTTCGTATTTCTTTGGATACGGAATTGACCATGGTAAGAGAAGATAATTTCGATGGTCATGATAGAACTAATGGTAATTGGAGAAGAATGGATATTGGTGTTGATTATCCATTCAGTCAATTACCTGAAGCTGATGTCTGTCGTTTCCCATATGCTGTTTTAGAGGTGAAATTACAGACTCAATTGGGTCAAGAACCTCCTCAATGGATTAGAGATTTAATTGCTTCTCATTTGGTTGAAGCTGTCCCCAAATTCTCCAAGTTTATTCATGGTACTGCAACTTTGTTAACTGACATGGTCGATTTATTGCCATTTTGGTACACTCAAATGGATATTGATATCAGAAAACCAAAGATCCAAAACGAATATGGTATTAATAGACACCAAAGAACCATCAAATCTTCAAGTAGTGGTGGTGAAATGGATGAAGAGGAATACCTCGGCAATGGTGTTAGCTTCTCCAATGATATTAACCCGTTAGAAGAAGATTTGGATGAATCGACTCCTTTATTGGTTCCTTACCAACAAAAGAGATCCTCAAATGCTGTGCAGAACTTCTTCAACGGGATCTACGGTTCTTTCTTGCACTTTTTCAACGATGACAGAACCTTCACTGTTAAAGCAGGTACTAACTTTGACTTGAACCAAACATTTTCCGATAAAATTCCAAAGGGTAAAACCATTGCTGTTCCCATCCGAATTGAGCCTAAAGTTTATTTCGCAGCGGAAAGAACTTTCTTATCTTGGTTATCTATTGGTATGATCTTATCTGCCACGGCTACAACTTTAATGAATTATGGTAACCGTACTGCATTGACCGCTAGTATTGGATTCTTTATCAGTGCACTTTTCACCATGACTTATGCTATCTACAGATACATATGGAGAGTGGTTAATATTAGAGAAAAGAAGATTGTTCAATATGGTGATAAGTTTGGTCCCAACATGGTCTGTTTCCTTATTGCTGCATCCACATTTGCGACATTTATTTTCCGTTTCTTGGATGTCTGATTTGTGAAGCGTGAATCTTTAAATGCATCTTTTCCACTTCTTCACTTTAATTAACTACAATTACATTCGGAAAAACTCTTTGTAAATAATTGCAAAAAATAATAATTTTTGTCGTTATACGAGTTCGTATTATGTCTTATTATGCGTCGTAAATTCCATTTTCTCAGTTCTCTCAATTTTCACAACTTTGATTGATGTAACAATGTCCCCAATAATTCATAAACTTTGGTAGCAGCACCATAACTTAATTCGTAACCCATGCCTCCAGCTCCGTAATTATGGATGACAGGTATATCGTGTGATTGATCCAATGATAAATGTAATCCATTCTTCCGAGCAGGCCTAAATCCAACATTGATCCTGATAATATCGAGGTTCTTGTTGCCCTGATTATCCGACTTTAGAAGAAAGGGGAAAAACTTTGATCCGCGTTCAATTAAAGCCTTTGTATCTTCTTCCCGAGGCAAAGGATCAGTTTCCCCGACCTGCTTTGTTCCTCCAACTATCCAACCCCCGTTGTTAGGTCTGGGAATACAAAATGTCCACATGCCATTACTATGTTGTCTGGTGATAGTAACTTCTTCCTTGAGGTTTGCTGGAGGAGACACTAATAAAGTTTGACCCCGAATTGGGAAACAAGTTTCGTCATAACCTCCATCATATTGAAGACCCATCCCGGAACAATTGATAATTACCTGCGTTCCCGTAATATGTTCCGTGACCTGTTTTAATGATGCAAGTTTGGATCGGATAAAAGTTACTCCGTAGCGATTCCGCAATAGTCTGTAAAGATAATTGAGGTACATAGGAGCATCAAGAACCCAGGCCTCGTATTTCGTTCCCCAAGCATCTTCAGCAAACGCATGTGGAGCCTTATTCAAGTCAAGGACTTCAAATTCACTCATTTCTTCACTATATCCATATTTAGTTTCGGTGTAGTAGTGATCAGGGTTCTCAAGGTATTCTTCCGCTCGGATGAACTTGATGGTCAGGTTCGGAGCCACTAGTGCCAACTGACGGAAATAACACTGAGTTATCCGTGTCAATTGCATCATACGTTCATCATTGCCATCTCTACTGGGGAAAGGACGAAAATGAGCTCCTGCCCAAGCCGATGTGAACTCAGCTGTGTACGAGTCTCCAGTGGGGAGATATTCCGCAATAACACTTATTTGATGGTTTATCCGAAGCTTCTCGCTAATGACAAGAGCAGCCGAGAGTCCAAGTATCCCTCCGCCAACTATAACTATTTGTAATGGATCTTTAGAAGACATAATATTGTTTATAGTGACTTTTAATGAAGGAGTATGCATAGTGTGTATATTTAGCGTACGATAACTTTGGGGGTACAATAAAAGTTAGTGTGTGACTCAGACTTGAATCGGCTTCCATTTCCAGCCAACACCTGGACACCAACCGGTAAGCACCATTAAAATATTCTCAAACCTGAAAACCCTTCAATCTCTGGTCGATAATGGCATCAACATCTTCTTCAGGTTCGCTCTTGAATCCAAACCGATTTCCAACCATTTGAGCCCAAGATTCTCCTCTTTTACGTTTAACCTTCTTCCCCAGCGGAAGAACTTCATATTGACTTGAAATAGCTTCCCCATCTGCCCCCGGAGGAAGCTCTGTGGGGTTGGGATTAGTCCCGGCTCTTTTCCTGTAGACTGCACTTTGAACAAAGTTATCAAAGTCATCAGTTTTGGTCTCTTCTTGCGTATGCTGTGGGTGCTTCTTTATGAAAAAGAAAATCTTACCAACAAGACGTTTAATGCGTCCAAAAGTAGTACTGGGTTCTCTCTGGAAAGTCCACCCTTGATAGAGCTCACTATAGGCTTTCTTCTCGAACGTTCTGCGTAAATCAATATCCTTTTCAAACATCTTGAAGAGTTCATCATCTCCTGGTCGGAATATGAATTTCAATGTCTTAAGAAGTAAATCAATTAAGATGGGAATCGTCACTAACATCAAGCAACTTGCCCACCAACTCTGATCTGACCCAAACTCAATCAAACCATAACTCACAAAGAAAATAGGCGACTCCATGGTTCGATACAACAACATGATCAACACATTCCAAAGCATATAGCCACCCACTGAAATAATGAAAGCCGCAAATGCCAAAAAGGTACGGTTTTGCAACTCTATAAACTCACATTTGGCATTGATCACGATCACCAACACTGCAAAAACCATAGTACCCAATGGTAAAACAGTATTGTCCTTTAAAGCATACCAACCCCACACGTAGATGGCCAAGAAGGTTATGGTGACACTTTGCAGAGCAGCTAGTAACATCCAAGAAAGAAATAATTTTAGATTAAACCCTCTATACTCTCTACCTTTGGCATACAATTCTGGAACCGCCAAAAGGGTAGCTGGTTTCAAGTCCTTATCAAACATACCAATCACTAACACCGGCAATGAAGTGAATAATGTATTGAACATGGATAACGACCAACTTTCATACATTGAAGATCCTGAAAAAAGTGTCTGCCGTTGATAGATGCATTGGGTCAAATAGAATAGCAATTCTTTGTAAAATGTACAAAGGACAAATTTGCATGTTCTGACATAGTTGTATCTCCCATTAACCAATAAAAGCTTAAGAAGAAACCGGAACTGAGCTATGGCATAGTCTGCAGATCTTGCTGCTTGTAGACCTTCTTTCCCAGTAATTCCAATGCCTATATCTGCACTCTGAATCATGGCAATGTCATTGGCACCGTCACCAATGGCTAACGTAACTTCTTTAGGTCTTAATTCTCGGATAGAAGAAACCATTTTAGCCTTCTGGGATGGAGATGCCCTGCAACAAATAGTAGAATCCACTTTGATACAAAGATCAAGAAATAACAGAAACACGGCAGGATCATTTTCCACTTCAGCTAAAGTAGCACCATCAATGACAACTACTGAATGGGCAACTCTCCCTGCCGAAATTTCTGATGTCGCCGTTGTAATACGCTGCACCAAAACATTATTGCCATCATCACTACTCAAAATAACAATTGTCGAATAATCTTTGATTAAACGACAAGAATAACCAATGTTGATGGCTGTTTCTCTCTTGTCACCAGTAAGCATCCATAATTTAATACCTGCTCTCCGTAATTTATCAATTGCGTCACTTACACCTTCTTGCAATTTGTCTTCAATGGCTGTTGCTCCAATTAATTCCAAACTATGTTCCATCATTTCTCCAACTCGTTCAACCTTTTCATTTCTGTCTACTAAAGATGTCTTTGCTGCTGCGTATTCTTTGGACCAGGATTCATATTCAGCTTTGCCTAGCCAACGGAAAGAATACATCAAGGTTCTTAAACCCTCAGTGGAGTATTCCTCAATATGTTCCAAGGTCTTTTCAACAACAAACTCATCGTTGATCAACAACTTATCGTTCGGAATGCAAAGCTCGGCCGCCATACCATCTATGGTGGTTGGAAGTCCAACACCAAGAGGAGAATCCTCGTTATCCACGCTATACTTCTTTTGTTGTTGAAGATGTAAAGATTTTTTAGCTTCTGCAGCTACGCCCGCCAACTCTTCTCCGTCTTTATTTTGCAAATAATTATCAATGGATGCCATTCTCTGTTCTACATTCATCGAGTCTCTAAAGGAGCCCATTGAGGCTCCTCTGACCTTCTCATGTGACAACTTATTATGCAAAACAATGTCTGCTTCCTTCGTCTTACGGTCTGCCGATGCGTGGGCAATCTCTCTTGCTTTGGCTTCTGCCATGTCCTTATATTTCAATCTCTCTAAGATAATCGAGTCTGCACCTTTACAGATAAGCCCAATTCTTCCGTCGGGATATTGGACTATAACCGACATTCTCTTTCTATTTGAAGTGAAATCAATTGTGTCTAAAACTTCATACTCTTCAAATTTTGGCTCATAATCAAACCCTTCAGGGTAAGTCTTCAATGTGATTTTTCCGGATTGTCTATTATACACAATAAACCCCAAATCTCGAGCAGCTTTAACTAATGCCAACTCGTCAGGCGAAGTAGCTTGGTATTCTATGTCACCATCATCGATTACTTGGGTAAGCTCATCAAGAGTGATGGCGGAACCGGAGAAAACATCTGCAGTTGATGTTGGCTTTCGAGGAAGGCATGTACTGCAAAGTGCAATGGAAATGAGCAATTGCTTTGCCTTTTTGGCAAATAATGTTTGTGGATGTAATTGAATGTACTTCAAAATCTGTAAGGAGGTGGGAGAATCCTGAGGTCGTATGGGATCGGCAGTAGAAACCCAACTAATAGTTGATCTGACTTTACCCAACTCTAAACTTTGACGGACAAGGGAAGAAGTAGTATTCCCATCGGTGGTTTTCCCTGTCCCTATTAGGCCACTATTTCGAGGCAGAGAAGAATTGGGCAGACCGTATTGAGGTGATGGCAGTACACCTTGGGAAGGAATTACAACCGGGGTTGCTATCAATGAAGTCACATCACTGGCACCCTTTGATCTTTCAGTTAACATGAGATCTAAATCATGCATTACACTAACACCACTAATACTGAACTTTCGGAACACCATTTTATTGTCAGTTAAGGTCCCCGTCTTGTCACTAAAGATATAACTGACTTGGCCCAATTCTTCCAAGATGGTAGCTGTTTTGGCGTCTGCTGGAGTGTTTGTCTCCACGTGATACATGTCCAAGTCGTATTGAAGGAAAAGAAGTTGCATGACTTTAATAATTTCCATGGTCACATAAAGGGAAAGGGGAATCAAGGTGTTATACATAATAATGAACCCCATGAAAGTAGCTGCAACGCCCACATCTTGATTATACAAATACCATGCCTTGTGAACGTGACTATCCTTTAATAATCTTTGAGCCATTAATGAAAATGATGATAAACTTAGCACCACAAACACCATAAATATCACAATATAATTGATATTCTTTTGTAATTTAGGTGCCTTTGTTCTTGGGTTCTTGATATTGTTCATTCTTATCTTGGTTTCTTCACCAGTGAAGATGACCATTCCAAAAATTGATTTGGTATTTCTTAAAATGCTGCCCCTGTAAACCACATTGTCGGAACCCAAGGAGTAAGTGTGGTCGTTCAATTCAAACTTACCGTCAAAATTGTATAAATCAGTGTTGGGGTCTTCAACGGTGAACAAGCATTGTTGTGATTTCAATCCTACAGCTGTTGAGAACCGACTAGCAATTTCAGGGTGCGGTTGTCTCGTCTTAAGGCTTGTCTCTCCGTCCATTGCCATGGTTTCAATGTATGCTTCGTTATCTTCACTCGAGGTGGAAAGCAAAATAATATCCGCAGGACACCATTCGTCTTCATTCAAACGAACAATTTGACCAACCTTGACGTCTTTCCAACACACTTTGTGTTCGAATAATCCATACGTACGCATAGCTTCTGGACTAGTAAGTCGTTCCGAACTACTACCACCACCACCACCGACACCAAGTCCACCGCCTTGGTCCTCATCGGAAGTATCACAACTGTAGCGAGGAGATGGTTGTTGTCTGGTATAATGCTCGTTGTCTACCTCTATTATGGTTGTAGACTTGTTGTTTTCCTCCTTATCGTGGGCATGTCTTTTCCAATCGTCGAACCCTTCACGGGCAATAGAGATAGACATGAAGATCATCAAGGGAATGATTGTGGTGAACTTCCCCGTTGTAGACCAGCCAGGAATCATTTGCATGATGGCCACAACCATGAAATAGCAATTGGCGATCTTGGAGAACTGAGCCTTCAATTGCTTTGGAAGAAAGTCATAAACTGTATATTTAGATGACGTGATCAGATTATTACAGTACGGTTGATCAGTTCTTTCGTCGATGAACTGTTTGGCCGACAGGCTGTAATATTCGTCGCCATACGTTTCATTGGCGGTAGCCGGATCGACTGCCAACGGAATGATTCTACCGTTTTCCGTACGGTGATGTTCTTGAATGCCCAAGATCCGATTTTTGATTCGATTGAAATAAAACATAGTATGCCGTTTTTTGGGTCTGTGATGCAGTGGCAATGAACCGTCGTCGTCATAAGAGCTCATATCGGAAGTTGTTGAATGAGTGGATAGTCTTGTTGATGAGTTTAAGTACTTGGATGATGTGTAAGGAGTGTACCTTTGGATGACTGTGTTTTCTAAGGAGGTGATTTCATCTTCATTTGCTTCTTCTATTTTGATCTCTGGTACGTTCAACGTCTGTAGTTCGATATTACCTGTATTATTGTTACCTGTAATATTGGTATCACCATTGAAAGGACTGGTCACATTGCTCGCACTTGATGAAGATCGAGATCGACCGTACCATGTTCTACCACCATTATCAGGTTCTACAGACGGCGATAAGGTATCGGCCGCCGCACCCTGTAAAAGATTCTTATTGAACATCTGGGATCGAAGCGATAACCCTCTCTTTCGCCTCAGATGTTGCCGTGTGGGGGGAACTTCCAACCGCAGGCCAGCCGTCATTCCAACGGTGCTCGTGCCCGTGGTGGCAGTGGCAGTAGCCAGCGAGTCGCTACTGCTGGCTTCCTTCTCTTCTTGTATTGGGAAGTCCATAGCGAATCAGATCAAACTCCGAGGCCAATTTTGTCTGCTTGTTGATGCTGTTAAGTCCTCTCGGTCGATAAAAAATTTGAGTCTATTTGGACCAAGACTCAATCTTTGTTTGGTCTGGGAACAAGGGATAACGCTAAACGAACCAAAGAAATTTGTATGGTGTTTATGTATATAACTGTTGGTGTGACGCTATACAGCTAGTAGAAGACGTCGCTACTGTTGGGAAACGGTAGTTGGAATGGAATTATGAAGCGGTGATGGTTGATAGGCAGTAGACCTTTCAGTGAAGATGGCTGTGCAGGAAATGAATCAAGGCTATGGACCGGAGCTACCATACACAACACTACACTGACATATGACTATACAATGTACGCTGACTATACTACAGACAGCTGTACTGCATTGGCGGCGGTTTCAGCACACGGTCATTCCTAGCTCAAATCTTTGAGAGCTAGTTTACACTGTGACACGGTATACGTTTGATGTATTTTCACCTGCATACAATGTGCAACCTTCGGATCAATGGCTGCGAATCTTACTCTGTAAATCATTAATTAACTGCTTATATAAATGAGTGGACGGACAAGAGGATCTAATTAACACATTCCCATTGACAAAATACATACCAGCTATTGCCACTATCTCCCACGGTTAGCCCTCGGTACGTACCCGGTTCAAGATTCTTGATGTTGGTACTATAAGTTCCAAACGCTAATGAAGGATCATCTTTTGTAAGCTTAAAGTATTTCCCACTGGGTGATTGGATTACCAATTTGAAATCAGGATTAGGCTGTGTGGCTTCATCCATACCTTTGGAGGGATGTTGTAAAATCTTAAAGTTGTAGGAATTTTTGGCAATCAACTTGGACACTTGTGGTTGTTTAATGTATAAATCATTATCTTGGCTTTGAGCCGTGGGGAACCGGGGTACAAATTTACATGGCTTCAATTCTCCATCATGTTGCAATGGAATGACCACTGCCAACTCATGAACATTCTCTAAATGTTTCTGCTTACCTTTAGGTCCAGCAAATATTTGTAATACCCCAATAGAATCTCCCTCTGGAAGTAAGGCCTTGATTTTAGCAACTCTCTTGTCTCCCTTGGGCCAATGAACTTGACTTAAGCTATAATCATTGGTTGTCAAACTGGCAGTTTTAATTAATGTGAATATTTCAATCTCAGGAGAGATTTCCATCTCCAATTCAAATATCTCCATGTCTTTAAGTTTGGTTAAGGCATTATTGAAATTAATGAATTTTAATTCATTCTTGAAATACCCAGAATAAACTCGTGGCAAGTAAAAAGCAACATTTTGATCGATAGGTGGAACAACGTGTTGTAATTCAACAACTGATGGAATATGTGTTGACACCAATTGAAGTGGCTCAGCTAAAAAGTAAAACTCATTAAAGCCAGAAATATGGCAAATAGACCCCTTTCTAAATAAAAGAAGATCAATGAACCGATACTGATCTTCAACCAATAAGCTTAACCAACAATGATTAATAACGTATTGCTCATCATGATAATACTCATTAGGTTTTTTCCAGAATCCAAGGACAAGCTTGGAATCAATTCTTAAAGCATCCAAAATCTTTTTGAATAAATAATTCAATTGATAAATGGTTGCTTCACCTGATTCTGCAATCTCTTTTAATTTGGGTTTTTGTTGCAGAATTTTATTAGGCTCTTCAATAATTGTGTACTTACACAAATGAAGAAGAACAGCAAAGATTTGATTCAATTTGGACGTTCTAAACTTGATGCTGACATCGGATATTAAATCATTCAAGTCTGTATCAACACTATAAGTCTTGACAAAGGATGAAACCTTGTTATAGGAGATATTGTTCATGGAGAAAACAGCTTGTGAGTTTCCAACAATTTCATTGGTGTTAATCTCAGAAATAAATTCCAATGGTTTGACTATCATTCCTCCATCGTTTCTTACTACTCTTTTGGTCCGATTTTGTCTGTCTTGAGTAGTCAATGAACTCATTCTATTTAAGTCTGCTTTAAGTTCATTCCATTCCAACCCTTCAGAGGCTTGGGCATCAGATACTGAAGGATCTTCTTTCTTTTTGGATAACAATTTCCGGAAAATATTTGGTTGTTTGGAGGTTTTTCTATCTTGTGCCAACTCCATCAATTCTTCATCAGAAGTTTTGGTGGCATTATGCAGTAATAAAGTCAGAGGTGCCATTTGCCTCAGTAAAGACTCTGCTCCACTTTTATGTCTTAAATAGGATCCAGCACTAGTGGCACTTAACTCTGAAAGGTTCAAAACGTCACTTTGAAGTGATTTAACAGAAGTTCTTAAATGTTCTTGTTGAGCTTTTGAAGAAGACAGAGACTTTTCATCTTCAACTTTATTTCTTGATCCTGAAAACGCAAAGTCATCTGCATCGTAAGGGATTCTAACTTTTTTAACCTCAGATGATAATCCTATCATACTGATTCTATTATTATTATGGGATGGTGATAAATGCTTTGGAGGTGGTGGTGGAGGAGGAGAAGATGAAGATGAAAGGTCTTCTTCTTCATCATCAGCATCAGCTTCATCGTCATACTTTTCCTGTTTGGCTTCTAGTTGGGTTTTCTGACTTAACAGGTCTTCAGCAGAGCTCTGGTTCTTTTTGGATGAGACAAGGTCTTCACTCATGTAAGATTCAGTAGAACTGTCTTCTTTGACGAGGTACTGAGACCTTCTCTTTTGGGTCATTTCAACTAACTTCAATTTCTCAAGCTCCATCTCCAATTGCTTTCTCTTCAAGCTCAACTCTTCTAAAGTCATTGAGTCGTATTCACTAGTAAGTGTATGGTAAGAAGACTTGGCGGGAGGAGTTTGCACTGCGGAAGCTGGGTACGCTTTTAATGCAGCCTTATTTGGTGAATTGGAAATATTATTATGAAGAGGAGACCCACCAAACCCTAATGAGGAATTGTACTGATGAGACTTCAGTGAAGGTGACTCGTCAGGAGTTTCATCATGATGCAATAACTTTCCTCTCATAGACAGTTGCTTATGCTGTTGGTGCTGATGCTGTTGTTCAATTGGAGTCAATGCTGGTTTGGATGACAAATGCAGGGCATTTTGAAGAAGCATATGGATCTGCTGTTCTTGTAATTGAAGCTTCAATTCCAATTCTCGTTCTCTCCCCAATTGTTGTTGCATATCCTCGTACATCATAACCTTTTGAGATGATGATAACTTCTTTTTCATCAGAACAGGGTTGGAAATAGTAGCAGCAGTTGAGCCACCACCAGACTTCAACTCTTGGTTTATCGATAGGATACTTTGATTGGAATAATCATAATCAGCCATCTCCTTAGCTGAAGGAGTGTATTTGTTGATTATAGGTGTTCCAGACTTACTGTTTCTTCTCAGACCATCAGGAGTAGTAGCTCTCAGAGCAACCAATGAAACATGAGAAGTGGACTTCAGAAGCTTATCATCAAGAACTTCAACATAATCTTTAGGGAAGATCCCCTCAGCTCCATTCCGTCTCAATCTACCATTCCACCAACTATCATCAACGGCAGCAAACACCTCTACAATCTCATTCTCAATAAATCCCAAGTCTCCCTCTTGTTCACCAGGCCACGACACTAAAGTCTTCACTCGTAAGGGAAATGTAGTCGAAGCCATGGCCAACACTAATACAAATGACAGCAAATGTGACCAGTCACAACGATGATGGAAAAAAGGATCAAACCAAAAATAATAATACCACCAGATCACTACAAGCAAAACGGCTATGTTCTCGCCAATTGTTTGATTTTCCTTTTCTTGTTAGCCTGCTGCTTTGTTTGCAGTCATCTAGATTGGGTTATTCTACCGATGATGTAAGGACTTGCTGTAGATCAAAGTCTTTATCCGGTTATGGCAGTTTCATAAACATTAGACTTCATATAGTACCTTTTGTGGCGCTACCATTTTCTAAGTCGTGTGTATTTGCCAATACCTTGTAGGTTATCTGGGTTCTACACTTACAGCAGTTTCATTTGGGCTACATTCTCCATATAAGTCGGAAGGGTCCTCTCCTTTTACTATACAAGACTCTGTCTGAAATTATTGAGTCGTCCGACATTATTGAGTCGTCCGAACACCACTAACAATATCATCGACTCTTAATAAAAGACAAGCACTTTCTATACTTGTTTTAAGAGATTGCAGTTTAACAGCTTCTGGTTCCCAAATGCCATAATCTTGCATATCGACGACTTTCCCATTATCACCATCAATACCAAAAGTATGTTTACCCTCGGCATGTTTAGCTCTTAATTGAGCCATGGTACGAATGGTATTACCACCACAGTTTTGAATCAATGTTCTTGGGATAACTTCATAAGCATCGGCCACAGCTTGATATGGCCATTGGGCAACACCTTCAATAGATTTAGCCTTTTCAGATAATTTTACACTAATGGCCATTTCAGTAGCACCTCCACCAGGCAGTAATGAAGGTTCAAACATTACATTCCGAGTGACAGCCATAGCATCATGTAAATTACGTTCAACTTCATTTAAAATGTCTTTAGAAGCTCCTCTTAACATGACAGTACATGCTTGGGGCTCCTGACATTCAACAATAAAAGTGAAGTATTCATCACCAATCAATTCCACTTTGAAAACTCCGCATCTAGTACCAACATCAGATTCTTTCAAGTCTTCTATCCTGTTAACAATGGTAGCACCAGTCGCACGAGCAATACGGTTATTATCAGTTTTCTTGACTCTTCTTAAAGCAGTGACTCCTCCCTTTAACAAATAATGTTGAGCTAAATCACTAACACCCTTTTCAGTAATCACCAAATCAGGTTTGAATTCTAATAATTGTTCACACATTAACTTTACTTGTTCTTCTTCAATTTGTAAAATCCGATTCCAATCTTCTTCCTTTGAGATCTCAATATTAGTTTGTGATTCACCCTTTTTATATTCCAAGGGACAATCCAATAATATGATTCTCGGGTTTTCAATGTATCTCTTCATCTTAGGGTGGGTGACATCTTTGTTTAATAAAATACCATCTAATACTTCACTATCAGTGACTTCTCCACCGGGTATCTTTTCGATTCTAACGTATCTTTTGATATCAATCTCTTTATGGTCACCTTGATCTATAACCACGGTTCTTACGGCTTTTAAAGCCAATTCACACATTTTTTCAGACCATTTGTTAACATATTTGGTACCAATAGATGCTTTAATCAACTTAATCATAGCTTCATTATTGTAAATGTCAACCGGAACAGAAATCTCGTGTATTATAGCCAAAGCATCATTCAATGCTTGTTTCAAAGCCTTAATGATAACAACAGGATGGATGTGTTTCTCAATGTATGGGAAAGTTTGGGCTAAAATCTCCCCAGCTAAAATGATCACTGAAGTGGTACCATCACCAACTTCTTCATCTTGAGTTCTACTCAACTCAATCATAGACTTGGCAGCTGACTGAGACACGTCAATTTCACGAAGAATTGCATGCCCATCGTTGGTCAATACAATCCCTCCCATTGGATCCAATAACATCTTAAGCATCGCCTTGGGGCCCAAACATGTTCTGATGATGTCAGCCACTGCCTTAGCAGCAGTAATGTTGGCAATCTGCGCCTGGTGGCCAGACTGTCTCTGGGTGGTCGTATTCAAGTAAACCACGGGTGCCTGCATGCTTTAGGGGTAATAGTGATAGGTAAAAGTTAAGGTATGGGATTTGGGAGTTTGATCTTCGATATAGGTTTTTTTTTCACTGGAAAGTTCTTATGGTATAGGAACGACTTTTTTGATGAACAGTTATAGAAGTACGAATAGTAGATGGGCATAGTAGTAGAGATAATATACCAAAGAAACGCGTCAATTGTAAATGTTATAAGTAGATTATAAGTGTGGCCTCTCTTTATTTACCACTATATGTGTACTTATGTGTACTTATGGATATTTACAGGCGTTCATCGGTAAATAGGTATTCCAATAACCGCGCTACCATCTTTATACATTATGTCATGGCAACTTCACCATTGATACCGATCACTAGTGAATATTATCTTCAGTTCAATGACTACTAATGCAGACTAATAGATCTGTATAATGCACTTACACAAGGCGTTCAAGCATATATACGAAACAATTATATCAGTGATTCAGCCTTACTCCCCACCACTTGGTATATACTTGGTTAATACACGACTTTGCTTGATACAGCAAGAAATCTAACAACCCCAATCTAAAGCAGTATATGCTCTTTAGTGAACACCAACTCAATTCCATGGACTATCTTAACAGTCACTTTGTGTCTGTTAAGTCCTTAGCGGGATTAGACGACAGAATCTCCGATCTTCAACAGGAAAGGAAGCAATTAGTGGCGGCTAAAGAAACCACCACTACGCTCAACCAAGAAAAGCCACCAGCTAGAGCCACCACCCGACAGACATTTCTTCGAGAAAAGGTGCAACGACTTAGTAATGGGTTTGATATTGCCAGTGCATTGTCTGAGGTCGATCTGTTGATCGAGAAAAACAGTGACGTCGAAGGGTTGACGGAGTTAAGAAGACTCTACTTTGAGAAGCAGAGTGCTTTGAATGATAATCGAATACTTGCAATTGGGAGTGAATTGGAACGGGAAATCACCCGCTTAGCTGGCGATGAGAAAGGGATATTGAACCTGGTGATTGACATTGATCGTCGTATCAACAGTTTGAAGTCGTACAATTCCAATTTGCATGAGGTTATTAGGAATGAATTGAGGGCCCAACTTAATGAGATTGTTAATGAGCAGATGACGGTTTATAAGAAAGAGCTTTCCCAGTTATTGAGGGACTGTAAATGGTTGACGTCAGTCTCAGCATCAACTTCAACATCGTTGAAAGACCAAGTAGCTGCAACTGTTCCGTTGGAAGAGATTCATGATAAAGTCAATGTTCTTATTCAACTACAAGCTATAAAGGGTATACCCAAATATCCGGATACTTGGGTGGGAATTGATCTTTTGGTTGAGATAGTGATTCAAAAGTTTGATTATCATTTCAATTCCTTCAATAAAGAAACAAATAAGCTTCTGAAACCAGAATGGGCTTTCAATTATATTGAATTATTTCTTGAAAACCATTTGGAACTCTTGGTGATGGTCATAGGCGACAGTTTCCCTCCATACCAAAAGATTTCATCGTATGAGATTATTTCTTCGTTGCTTAAACCACTTCGAGAGAAAATATTCTCTACTGTCAAACAACTAGATAAGACCATCAAAGAAAGACCTGAGAGAATAGAGAAGAATGGAAGACTCTTAACCCATCTTATATTTGAAGTTGTCTCCTTTGACCAACGGATCAGAAGTACCTATAATTATAATCCGTATATTGAGAATATTTATGAGGTTCCGGTGAAGCCATGGGAGGGAATAACTGGAGATTTACTTCATAATCCGGACACTAATGCTGCCGATCAATGGTTTGAATTTGAACAGAAACTAGCAGAAAGAAGATTTGAAAGTGAAATCTTGAACGCCCCCAACGCCAATGCAATAGAATATGATTATAGAGTTCACGATAATGTCACTGATTTATTTGAAAGAAGACACTTGAAACCAACCGTGGCTGCGTATAATCTTATTAAGCTTTTTGATAATTTGACTACCCATTATCTGACCATCAGTATAGTGAAATATCAATTGAAATATGTTTCTAGCATTCAATTGAGGTTTATCGATAGATATTTGGCTACACTTGCGACCTCATTAAAAAAATTCGATGTCAAATTCAATTTTATACCTGGGAACACACCACAACCAATGGATGATGAAGATAAAGTTTTGGAGACTTTGACCCAGCTCTTTTGTCTGGCTAAATTTGTGGAAGAGAATTTACAAAAACGAACCCAAGAGATTTTGTTTGTTGAGCTTTGGAATACTTTTAAAGCCATGGAATATGAAAATAATGAATATAATGATGATAATAATGATTTCGACATCTTCTCAAGTCTTTTCGACAGCAGCATTCAACAATATACCAAGTTTATCACCAAAGTCCAGATCAAAATCACGGATTACTTGAAGAAGCAAGCTAAAAACTCATTGAAAAAATACGTCAACACTTCTCAATGGAACATTCCTGAATCCGATGGTGACCTAGAACCTTCGGGAGATCTCCGTGGACTTATAGTTAATGTTTTGAAAGACGCAGACTTATTAAGGAAAGCAGTATCTGACTTGGAGTTCTCCTACTTGGCTCAAGTCATGTTATCTACCATAGCAAAGATTTTCCAAGAGTTTATTATCACCAATAATAAGTTCTCCGTCACTGGAGTGGAGCAGTTGTCCGTTGACTATCACTATATTCTTTCTCAAATTGATAGCCAATTGTTACTCCATGAGACATACAAATATTCCGTCGGTGATAACCAAGACCATCACACTGTTCTTCAGTCCATCAGTGTACTTAAGGCAGCCAGTCGTCGTGGTCCAGACCTTGGCCTTATAAGAAGAGACCTTGAAACTTTTAGAATGGAATTCGACAATCTTCTTCTGGCTTTATCAAACAGACAAATCGACGACTTGCTCCAAAGAATGTTATAGTGCTGCTAATATAATACTGTATATGTTCCTGTATACTATTACAATGTATGTTCTTGTATATACATTCTGATCTCGGCTAATTGTTTATCCGCAGAATCTCAACCACAATAAACATCACTCATAATGTGCAACCCAAATACTATGGATATCTTCTATTTCCCCTACTGAGATGTCACTAACGAGGAAACGCGTACGTATATGCGAGAGATCAGCTTGACGTGGTAAACTTGTACTAACCATAACCTTTATAGGGACTTTTATTGCCACTAGAATCAGACAAGAAACAACGTCTCAATAGTCACAAATGTACGGTCACACTATACAACACCAAGCCTTGTCTTCCTCACATACAAGTTCCGACAGAAGGACGCGAGGAGATAAGTATAGGACGTAGCAGCAAGAGTGATGTTCGGATAAGCGGAGGCGACGTTAGTGGGTTACATTGTAAGTTGCAGTTCACAAGATTAAACACTGCTCAATTGGTGATTGCCGTAGTAGACACAAGTTCCAATGGGACATATATCAATCAGGAAAAACTACAAAAGGGAATAGCTAAGATAATCCGAAGTGGAGATACCGTATCCTTTGCCAAATCTGGAGGTTCGTATATCTTAAGATATTCCGATGCTGATTATGAAGATGACGGTAATAATACAAGTGAAAAAAAGTTGGTTCCAATTAAGAAGCAAAGTTTTTTTGATTTTTACATTCTTGGAGGTCAATTGGGGTCGGGACATTATGCTGTAGTTAAAGAAGCCAAGGATCGTCGTTCTGGAGATTCAGTTGCTGTTAAAATCTTTCATGCTAGTAAAACCAACAAAACCACTTCAAATGATCACAATGCCAAATTACTTCAAGAAATGGAATTATTATTGGCGGTTCAACATCCAAATATTGTCAAGTTTATCAATCATTTCCAAGAGCCAATTTCACCTACCATGTCGACTAGTTATCTTGTTTTAGAGAAGGTGAATGGTGGGGAATTATTCCAGAGAATTGTTTCAAAGGGTAAGCTTCGACAAAATGAGACAAAAGAGCTATTCAGACAATTACTTGGCGGGTTGAATTATTTACATTCAAGAAATATCATTCACAGAGACATAAAACCAGAGAACATCTTACTAGATATTAAAAGAAGAACTACCCCAGATCAAATAGCAAATGGTCCATGGGATGAAGATGAACTTGATGTTCAAGTGAAAATAGCAGATTTTGGGTTAGCTAAATTCATTGGAGAACTTAAATTTACCAATACTTTATGTGGTACTCCTGCTTATGTTGCACCTGAAATTCTTAGTGACAAGCGAAATTATTCCACAAAAGTTGATACTTGGCTGAGTGGTGTATTACTTTATGTTTGTCTCTGTGGGTTCCCTCCATTTAGTGAAGAATTGGGACCTCCAACTATGAAAGAACAAATTTTAACTGCAAAATATGCATTTTATTCTCCATATTGGGACGAGATAGACGATTTGGTTTTAGACCTTATTCAAAATCTTTTAAAGGTTGATCCTGATAAAAGATATGATTATTCACAAGCATTGAAACATCCATGGTTTTTCAATGATTATACTACAGAATCGGATAAAGATGAAGACTATGATGAAATTGACATGGATATAGAAAGACCAAAAATAGAGAAACAGCCAACTACTTTACAGCAAGAATATTCGATGATTTGAGTTGGAATCATTTTAATTATTTACAAGAGCTATTTCTGCCTTTCTGGTTTGAAAAAACGTATTAAATTGGTTAATGTTTTGATTAACCGTGGCTTTGAATGATTCTGGCATTTTACGTCCTCCATTCTGGGAATTCGTTCGAGCTCGTTGAAGCTCATTCATAATATTGGATACCGTTATTAGTATTTGTCTTGCATCCTTTAGGTTTTCCAACTTGATATAGCAATCGAATTGTCCAATATAGCATTGAGCATCCTTAGAAAGTTCTACTCCGAGTTTAAACCATTCCAAAGCTCTTTGATAATCCAGGAAAACATTCAATTCCAAGAATCCCAAAGCAGCAAAGCTTTCTTTGAACCCCTTACTGGCTGCAGTTTCCAAATGATATCGTGAAAGTTCTGGATTAGTTGTGGAATATAAATTACCCAAGTAATAGTGAGCTTGGGTTACATGTTGATCTAATTCGCCATATTTTATTGACTTTTCAAAGTACATTTTGGCTTTAATCAAGTCGGGTTGAGGTACTTTATACGAGAAATAAAAAGCCCCTAATTTGGAATACACCTGGCTTGACAATACGGTATTATTTTCTAGTTGTAAAAACTGCTCCCAATAATCGGCTGCTTGTTGGTAAGCACCGTTTTCGTGGGCCAAATCCCCTGCTAATTTGAATACCAAAGGATGTTTCAATTCTGTTAACTGTTTCACCAAATCACTGGCATATTGATAATCTTCCTTTGACCTGTCTTTACGGTTTCTAATGGTTTCGAACGCTAATAGGCAAATGGCATCGCTATTTCCAAGTTCTGCTGCTTGTTCGACTAATTCATTCTCTAAGGCGACCAAATCTGGGCTGATGGTGTTCGTTTGAGCGCGTACTGCGCCTAATACCGATTTAAACACCATTAGATCATTTGCCTTAACGTAGGATGGAAGTTTTATTGTTTCTGGTGCGTCGATAGCGTTGTAGACAATATTAAGAGTGTTCATCATCTTTTTATAAGGCAACCGACTATCAGCGTCGAAAAGCACTCGATTTAGAAACTTTTTGGACGGCAATAATCCATTGAGTCGTGGTCGCTGTGTTGTCGACTGAAATCTTATTTGCGATCGGAAATGTTGTGCGATCATTTGTTGTGGGGTTGATCGTGGTAAGAGATGAAGAGTGTACAATTTGCGATTGATTTCTCGCGTTAAAATGGTGATACCCCAAAGTTTCGTGCGAGGGCCGGAAATAGTTGTGCATCGTTGTAGAACCTTTGGACATTCGCTCTACAACCAAACTACATAAAGAAGACGACTTATAACGAGATGGTACTGATTGTAATTGTTATAGACATATTCAATTGTTACACATGTAAATATAATTATGCGAGAGTTTACCTATAAGTCTACATTACTTACAAGCATCGTTCGAAAAGGTAGAGCTTACCCTGAATTGTATTCCTCAACAAATGACATATTTATGGGTAAATTAAGCATATTATGAAAATAATGTATTAAAGCGAATAACCATGAATTAATGTAACAGTGTAGAATAAGTCTAAAGGTAGATTCTACAGAATGCGTGGGATAATGTACATTTACATCTATTGTCGACTGAAAACAAATGCAAAAATGAAGCTGCTAATTGACGTAATGACTCAGATAATCGATAAAGGTGTCCATATGCGTATTATTAGACGGCGAAGTCACCTGTCCCGGTACGGATTTATCTGGATCTTCGAAGTAGTCGAATGGAGTATTAGTGGGGAATGGAGAATTGGTGTAACCCGTATAACCATGAACATTCGCGGGATTGGTTTGCATTAGTGCGTCCTCGATATGAGTTGACTGAGGAATAGTTGTGCCTGCGTTGCCCAACGGAGCGGAACTCGTTTGATTAATTTGATTATTGAAATATTCGTTGTCTGCGGTATGAAACATTTCCTCCAATTCTGGGTGGTCGCCATCTAATTGGGCATGGTTCGAGAATGAATTACCAACGTGCAATTGAGCCGAATCATGAGGTGTTGCTTGACTGTTGGTGGTTGAAGCAGCATTAACAAATTGTCCATTATTGGAAACCGCAGCCCCTGCTGCATTGAGCGAAGTTAATGGTGATGCCACCATGCTAGCAGGAGTTTCGCTTGTGTTTGCTCGACCGGAACTACCAGAACCAGTTTCCATTGCAAAATTGCTATTTTGCTGTACAAGCGGCGACTGAGTCGATGATGGAGACATCCCATGATCAAAATGCGTCGGGGAAAAAGCTACATTGTTGGGGTGACGTGGTGTCGCATCGTTCCACGCCGAAAGATCGTGGTTTTCTGGTGTATCATCGAGTTGTTGTTGTTGATGCTGTTGATGGTGGTGGGGATGTTGTTGAATTTGGTGCGACTGGTCGGAATCATCTTGTGGTTCGACCCCAGAAACTTGAGAAGCCACGGATGCTGTTCCATAGACCTTATTCTCTAAGATGTAGCTATTGAGGAACTGAAGTGAGTTTTTAACTCCTACCAATACATGAGGTATAGATGTACCTGATTCGGCATAGTATGCTAAAGAAACTTGATGTCCTTCACTGAAGTCATCACAAATCGACCATTTGTTTGAACCCGAGGACGCAGCGTTGAAAAAATAGACTGAGAATTTAGGGCGATGAGTTAACGAAAGCCGTAACTCACTATTTCCCTTGTCGATATTGTTATCGAGAAGCAGGCAACTAATAATGGAACTAACCGGAAAAAAGATTCGGAATAATATCTTGGAGTTATTCAGAATGACACAGAAGAAATAGTTTATTTCCAAGTTCTTCTTGGAAAGAATCACAAGTAAATCCACGTTGTTCATTACTTGGTCGATTGCGATTGGACTAAGATTTGAAAGGGCAGAGCGAAGTAACTCACCGTCGTGGTAGCCAGTGCGAATCCGCTGCCACGATCCAACAGAAAGGGAAGAACAATCAATGAAACAATACTTGTCATTTACTTCGATGGGGATTTCTAAAGCATTTGAGGAAGAGCCAGTCGACCCAGATGTCAGTATATTCGACACATGCATGTGCTGCCGAGGTGAATTAAGATTCAGAAGACTATTCGACCTCGACGAAGAAATGGAGTTTGATCCACCGCCATGCGTAATGCCATTTCCCCCCAGTCGACCCAATCTTTCAAATTTTCTCACCTTAGCTCTTTTATTTTGAAACCAAATTCTTACTGCCTTCTCGGACATGCCAGTTTTATCAGCTATTTCTTTCCTTTGCTCAGGAGTTGGGTTGGGATTATTTTCAAACTCCAGAAGGAGATAATCCAACACCTCACCTGAAGCCCTGCTTCGTTTGTAGGTGTTTGCGTCTTCAGCCATGGATGATCTATCGACCAAAATTATTAAGTCCTATCCACAAGTCGATGCAAGCTGGGTTTTTTAAAGGAACGATATACAAAGCGGTGAAGAAGAATTTGCAGACCAAAAGCAACCAGTACTTTCCGTTCTAGACGACTGTTTTCTCTTATACTAAATCAAGCGGGAAGCGAAACGGTTAAAAGAAAAAAAACACACAACTCCTAAGTTGAAGATCAAATGTAGTCAAACCAGACGGACCTGTGACAAAATAAAATCCATGGTAAAGTTCGCTCTCTCAACTCCACAAAGCGATCTCCAACTTTGTCACACCCACCCACCGTGCGTGGGCTAAGGGCTAATTGGCCACTACCTCCTGGTGGTGCACAAAAGGAATAAAAATCAAAAAAAAAAGGCTAAAGCCCATAACAAACAATGTTTTAGTCGACAACAGGCCCAATGTTGCGTTGTGGCATACGGCGGAATTTGGTCGCGTGCTGGTACCACATCGGCCCTACAAAATAACGAAGTATAAAACTTGCAGATGCGGGTTCTGGACTACAAAAATATGTACATTACTTGTATCCGTTCTGTTCCGTTCCGCTCCCACTTGATTATAATTCATGAATCATCTCGTATTCTATCGATCCAAAAATATACTTTATCACTTTACTTCAGTTACACCATTTTCCTAACACCAAAGGGTTGATTCATTACACCGGCTGCATAGTGAAGTATTGTCTTTAATCTATATCCTATTGTGTAGTGAGCCTCACTGTTCATGTTCATTTTGCAACAATAGCACATTGTTGCTCGATCGGGGTTTGCCCTTACCGATTTCTGCAACCCACGTTGCTCATCTATCTTTTTTGTTAGTGGATGCATTCTGCAAGGTCGTGTCCCATACCTGGAAAGACACACAATAGCCACTAAAAGAACCCTAATTATACAAAGGGTTAACAATGTATATGACAAAGATTTTGATGAGATTCATTCAATTCAAATACCCCGTAGCCTCAAAATAGGTCGATATTTAATCTACCCCTCCCCCCCTCAAATGCCTTCTCTTTCTTGCCATATTCCTTTTTATTCCCTTTATTTCTGATCTGATCCCCGATAAGTGGGATTCAATATACTGCAGAATGCAGAATGCACAATGTAGTGCTGCACGTGCGGTAAGCTGCGCAGACGTAAATCCTATCTCCACCGCCGCCGCCGTGTGGGGGGGGGGGGGGGGGGGCCCCAAACCAAAATTATCTCTCTCACTCTCACGGCAATTACCTCAGTGTAGTAAAGATAGTGTTCTTAACCTCAAACGAATGAACGGCCACTAGAAAATAAATAGTGTCAATTGTTGGGTGTCCGCCAAAATAACTAAAATATCAATTCGTCGATATCAATCTCTCCAACTCCATTGAAGCACATTTTGATATCTTTCCAATGCTTCTGCGTAGGCTGCCACAAATGATAATCGGACACAAGCTGACGGATTAAGTCTAGACTATGGAAATTCCGGTTCTGCATTTGCATAAGCTCGTTAATCATTAGTCGTAAATCCCAAGGTAAATGAAACAAATTTAGTTCTCGCTTGGTGTTACTCATTTCGTACGAAACTCGTAAACCTCGACTTTGCTTCAAACTTGTTGTTTCTAAAGCATGTTTAATGCCGGCATAATAAACATTATCATCGTGCTGAATGTTCCAGTGTTCGAGTCCATCGTCTACTTCAACTTCATCAACAAATCTGTCGGACGAACGTGGTGGTTCCTCAATAAATGTCTTTCCATGGTCTCCAGTACCATTGGATGTAGTAGTAGCCGAACGAGGTAATATTATAGTAGAGCCAGCCTTATTCGAAAAAGACGAATTGAGTTTGGGGGGTGACGTTGAAGATCTCCTACTTACGTTATAGTCGACTGCTGATGAAATTCGAGATCCTCCTCCTCTATTAGAAGAAGGAACTGATGATGGAATAAGTGGAGGCGATAACCTGGTACTATTGTCCAATTTCAAATCTTCCATTATTTGGCTGTATTCTCTTAATAAATCATAATCCGAATGACCCAAGTTTTTTATAACCAAAATCAACTTGCCCAAAGTAACCAAAAACGGAGGCACATGTCCGCTTTTCTCTACATATGCAAAACGATAAATATTTGGATGCAGTAAGTGACATGCCAATGAAGACATTAGAGGAACAAATTGGTCTGTTAGACTTCCACAAAAGGTTATTTTGACGTTATGATTAACCAAAATTTCCAAGTCTTTAACATATCGTTGACTTAATTTGCTGGTAGGTTTTTGGAGTTCAAATAATTCATTGATTACTTCATTTTCCCATGATGAATATGCTCTTATGACTAATTTAGAGTCCAAACCAACAATTGGTCCAATATTGATACCTGCAATACTTAAGAACCCCACAGGAATATGTTTGCTCTTCAATGAGTAGGTATTCAAGATGTGCGCCAAAAGACTGGCTGCCACTATAGTAGCATGACAATGACCCACAACATAAATAAAATCACTTGACTCTATTTTGGACTTCCAATTGGCCAAAAGCTTACAAAGCTTGACGAACCGTTTTTCGTGTCTGCCTTGGCCCTCTAAGGCCACACAATCTATTATATAATCTTGAGGATTTTTACCTTGATCTCTCAACCAAGTCTCCATCATCTTCCTCGAAGAACGGGTGAAATAAAGGGCATCTGCATAGTTATTGTCGCCCACATGTGATTTAACAAACTTGCTGGGTAAATAACCGTGCACACCAATTATAAGTATTCGTTTAATGGACCCTAATTTATGCTCTATGTTCTTACGAGCATATAAGTGACACTCGGAAGTCTTCTCCTTTAGCACCAACTTCTCGCTCCAGAGTCTCAAATTGGTGACCCAAGTTATATCTCTATAAGTTTGAGCCATGCTCGGAACAATGCGATTTCTATGCGTAGCTTTGCTGGACGGATGACGAGAACTCGACGAAAGTTTGTAATAGATAGGACTGGTTTCGGTAATCGAATCACTTAGAGCCATTTCACTACCACCACCACTTTCGCCGTTAAAATAAATACCATAGTTCACAGAACCTTTACTGTTTTCAACAGCCAGTCGGAACTTCCGTACAAGAATTCTACCAGCTTCCAGTTGACCCCCGTTAGAGCCATATCCATGCCCAAAATTGTCCGCTCGACCAGAATCAGAATCTGCTCTGTCCAGAACACCACCGTTAGCACTCCAAGAAGGAATGAACCCATAAATGTACCCCAACCATCCGTTATTGCTATCCGTGACATCGTCATCGTTCAGTACGGAAACAGAGAGAAGAGAAGTCGACTCCGTTTCTTGATACGACGGCGCTATACTAGATGCATAGACACTATGATTACTGCTGATGATGGTGGTTGTTTCCTGGTCGTCTTCGTTTCTTCGCCATCCCCACTTCCATATGCTCCATTCAGACATGCGGAACTCCCACGCTATTTATACCTCCAGATCAAGATGGGGAGCCCTGGCTGTTAACGTTTATATTTGGCTTTGTTATAGCTATTGATATCTTTCCTATAGATTGGCTAAAGTTGGCTTTATTGGCACCTGTTGCCATTCCATTTACTTTGTACGCTATATCGGGGTTTGTGTCATATAGCTTACCATTTATCCGCGCTACCATTAAACATAACATCATAAGCCAAGTTCATTTGGTAATTATATCGTGTAAGTGATCCCGATGATAGCAGTTAAGTTTGAGGTGGAAATGAGAGAAGATAACGGTGGTGACTGTTATTAGAAATTGACTTTTTTTTAAGTTTAATTAGCTTCTTTTTTGGCCATTTTACGACAATTTTGTAACGAAAAGTTTACAGTCACAAAGGAAAGGAAACACTAACACAACCATAGCACATATAAGATGATGTAACTGACTTTAATTGGAAAGTTATATTTGGAGTCTGCTTTTGAACATCTCGTATTTATCATGTCAAAAATGAAGTGTATAAAGTCGAAGAGTATATGCAGAATCTAAATATACGAAGTGAAGGTATATGTATATATGTATATATATACTCAGCATGTGATTTAAGGCACATAACGGTAGTATAACCACTATAGAAATAAGAGCTATTCCACAAACGCACATACAATAGTAGTACGATACGTTGGTGATTGAGTTTGTTAAGAAGCCTTCTTGCACAGAGGGTGTTAGTGATTGGAACGACATTTGACCATTAAAACGACATTTTGCACGACATTATTGAAGATTCTAATCAATGAAACGGTACAGTGACTTACTGTTCACTTTTACTCTTTAATATGGCAATGATAGAAGACAATGAGCGCTGGACGCTGGATCTACTTCGTAAATTGATTGAGCGGGATGAATACGAGAAACGAGATACGAGACTTTTCCATGCGTTCCAAGAGCTCAATGATCGACTACACCAAAAGGAAGTAGTAATAGGCCAACATGGAGAAGAGCTGCCAATCAACCAATCACAGACTCGGGAGATTAACAAGTTAGCCGCTCTTCTTGATAAGAAGGAAATGATGCTACAAAGTCAGAAGAAACGGATTTCGGACTTTGAAAGCCGAGAGAAGCAAATGTCCAACAAGATCCACGCATTAAAGTATGAGCTTCAAGAGAAGAACAAGGCCATACAGATAGCCAACGACGAGATTCTAATGGGTCAAATACAACTCAATCTTCTTACTGAGAAGGCGGAGAAATTGACTCGGGAGAACGAAAATCTTGTGACTCGGTGGATGGAACGAGTCAAATTAGAGGCAGACCAAATGAACGAAGTCAATGAATTTCTCAAACAGAAGAGCACATAGTTACAGTCATCTATATTAATCATATTATTGTCATAAACATCATCATAACCCTAAATTTTATTTGCTGGTATCAATAACGTATCTACCGATAATCTTACCGGCTTCCATCAATTCGTAAATCTTTGGTAATTCAGACATTCCGACAACCTTGATGGGACACTTGATCAACCCTCTGGCGAAGAAGTCAATGGCCTCAGCAGAGTCGGCTCTGTTACCAACATAAGAACCTCTGATGGAAACTGACTTGACCACAGCATCGAAAACTGGAGTCTTGACTTGGGCACCAGCTGGTAACCCAACCAAGACAACAGTACCACAGCTTCTAACATATTCACAAGATTGAGCAATGGCCTTTTCAGAAACAGAAACGTTGATAACACCATGTGGACCACCGTTAGTTGCAGCAACAACATCCTTAACCATATCCTTAGATTTGGTGAAGTCAATGAAAGCTTCAGCACCTAATGACTTACAGAATTCACCCTTTTCATCACCACCGTCAATGGCAGCGACTCTGTAACCCATGGCTTTAGCGTATTGGATGGCAAGGGAACCTAATCCACCACCAGCACCAGAGATACAGACCCATTGACCGGGTTCTAATTGAGCGGTCTTCAAGGCCTTGTAGACAGTAATACCTGCACACAAGATTGGAGCAGCTTGAGCCAAGTCGGTACCAGCTGGGATTCTAGCAGCTTGAACGGCATCAGCAGTAGCATATTCTTGGAATGAACCGTCGTGAGTGTAACCAGATAAGTCCGCATCTGGACAATTAGATTCATTGGACTTTTGACAGAATTCACACGACAAACAAGAACCATTTAACCATTTAATACCGGCCAAGTCACCGATTTTCCAGCCGTTAACATTCTTACCGACGGCAACAACTTCACCAGCACCTTCATGTCCACCAACCAATGGTAACTTGGTTGGCAAGGGCCAGTCACCCTTCCAGGCATGCAAATCAGTGTGACAAACACCAGAGTATCTGACATGAATTAAGATTTCGTTAGCCTTTGGTTCAGGAACGGGGATTTCCTTGTATTCCAATGGACCACCATTGGTTTCAAAGACAACAGCCTTTTGCGTTTTTGGGATAGACATTTGTATAGTTTTTAAAGTATTTGTGTTTAGGACCAGTTGATCTTAAGCCTGCTGAAAAATATAACAAAATAATATTGACAAATGAGTGGGATTGCTCTGTACTTATAGTCGGAAATAAAATTGCAACAGTGCATTAATTATCCAGAAATGTCATAGACTCCTAAACCCCGTCTGCCTGTGAAGGAGCCAACGCATGCCATGCTAGTAAGTCTATTCGCTTAGAGGGTGCCCTTGATAAGTGGACACGGCTTTCATACACTCCTACTTTTCACCTGATGAAGCTTTCACGAAGGACAATAAACTCTTAGCCTTTAAACGTTAAGTGCTGACGTATTGATTATTGGATGTTACCACCAGATTTTCCGACACCATAACGCATACTTCGGAAAAATCCAAGTACGTGAGTGTCCCGCATTTTTCCGCATAAAGTGTCCCGTGCAAGTATGCTATTATAAAACCGGTGTTAAGTGTACTATGTAAACACCAGAAAAAATGCGCTTAGGAAAATCGTTCCCAAAATTGCACAAAAGTGCCATTAGGAAGACCCAACGAATATTACTAAATGTCGTATTCGCTTTCTCGCTGATCGTCCCTGCAATAGACTATTAAATCACCCCGGCGCCGAGGATCCCAGTGCAAGTAGGAGTTGAAAAAGCGGCGACATTCGTGATATTGCGGCTCGTGTTGTGTTGATCCGCTTATGATTGGATTCATAAGTTCTTTCTTCAATAATGAGTCCAACGCTTCAAATGCAATCAATTGATGTGGCCATACGAGATTATCACGCTCATCTTTATTGGGTGTTTTCCCCTTCTCACTGATTCTTCCATGAAGGAAGTTAACTGGATCATCATAAAATTGATCCGAAATATCTCTGTAATTACGAACCAGCTCTAATGTACCGTGTTGGAGATGCAAAGGTGGCTCACAAGTGAGAAACCAAGTTTGGTTTTCCATGCGCTCTAAGTGTAGATGGCTCTGCCAAGGTGTAGAATGACAAGGAGTTAGAAACCCAACAATTGCATTCTCAGGTACTTCTTCTCGCAAGTAGCTCATGATATCAATAACGCCACGTTCATTGATCTGTGAAAAGAAGTAGGCTGGGACCACATTACCAACCACAGCAGTTATAAGCAAGATCTTGCGACATCTACCACCAGCAACTTGATGATACGCTTTGCATGCTAGCACTAGTAATATTGGCTGCAACGCATAAATGAACCGGAATTCTTTGTGTGCAACGCACAGAAACATTCCTATCACGAATGCAACAACATGACTAAGAGGGTCGGCATAGTTGTAATAGAAGGAAACAAGTAGAAGAGGAAGGAAACCGAGAGTCAATATAGGCAATCCTTGGAATATATAAAAGTGCCAAGGAGCTGATCCGTAGAATATAGATAAGTTCTTAACCACATTGAACTCAATAAAGTTGTAAAGCGGGAAAGTTAACTCACCATAGAACCAATAGTCCAAACCACCACTAAGAGCGAGGACTAAGAATAGCTCAGCAAAGATAAAAGCAATAATCTTGATAATAAATACTATTGGTTTATTTCTTTGTTTGAGAAGGTACAAACCTCCAAGGTATAACCAAAGCAAACCGTTTGTTGGTCTGAGAATGCAAGTTACCATGCCAAAAGCGCATGCGATTAAGTGCTTTGAGGTTAATTGCCCCCCCCAAGACCAAAGACTCAAAGCTACGGCAGTCAAGACCATCTCCAATGTATTGGAGAACGATCTGGTTATCATATGCCAGTTGAAGCCACTAATGATCGACATTCCCAAAGTCTCTAAAGCCATTGTTTCGTTGCCCAAATATGTCTGTGCATATCTGTAAGTATAGAAATCTCCAATAGTGGCAATGATAGCATTGATGATCTTGGGTCCATTAAAGATGATCCATTGTGACTGATTACGAAATGCAGATGCTACAGTGTACACAATAACATATACCATAGGGTGTAAGGAAGACCGTAGTTTCTCCTTCCATTCCCAAGTGATGTAGCCATACCCAAAGACTCTCGAATGTGCAACCTCTAACAGTTGATAGTATTCGTCTGCTTGGAAGAACGTCTTGGTGGTGAAGGCATTGAATAATCGTATGGATAACACCACCAATAGCAATAGCCATGTACGGCTATTGTGCACATGCATTTTCCGGGTCTTCGTGCTGGAGACAACATCCACATGACCCTCCGTAAACGGCTCACGTCCCTTGCGGTGTCTTAATTGACTCATGAATGAATTGTATAGTGAATGTTTGAAATGTGGAGTACTTTTGGTAGTTAGATACATTGTAATGGGTAAGACAAAATATGGTAAACACACGTAACAGGTGGACATGCAATTTCCTAATATGGGTCTATGTGTCGTTTTCTTATGTCATTGCTTCTATTGATAAAGTTATACAAAGGTCGGCAAAAGGCTAGGTTCAATTATACGACTTATTTATACATTGGCAAGCCAGCCAATGGGGGACCTGGAATTACTAGCGGATCTCTTGAAGAATATTAACAGTACGGTATTCAATGCTTGTGTTGTAGCCAACAAGTCTAATGCCAAAGATGAGTGCATCAAATGCATAAAGATCATGAACGGACTTTTAGCTGGGAACACTCAAGATAAAGATAGATTGATGGCGATTTCGTCATATTTAATGAGTCTTTACGGTCGTATAACTGAGAACAAGATTGGGATCCAAGAAAGGTTTCTATGGCTTTGTTCCAAACGAAACGGTGTTCTTTATTATCCTGTGGTGGAGTTCAACTGTCGATACGACTCAGTGAGTGCGTGGGAAGGCTTGAAACTGTCGACCTATGATGATAGTCGGTTGGTTCAATTAGAGATACCACCGGAATATAACTTCCAACAGATACAGATCACCAACTGGGACATGGATGGCACTTGCCAATTGTACCAAGATTTATTGAACGACTGTTCATATGTCTCTTCGGTGTTAAGCATTGCAGAGAATACTATGGCTACTGAAAAGTTGAACGGTTGTGTGTATCCAAGGGAAGCGTCGTCTCTATATCATGTGAGGCTTTTCTTTAACGGCTGTGAACGGATTGTAGTGGTGGATAATCTGCTCCCGTTTCCCGAGCAGCATCCATCGAGTAATAGGAATAATAGGCAGTTGATAATTAGCTCTATTGAGACTAAGGATTTATATTGGCCAGCTTTAGTGGAAAAGGCGTACATACAATTATTACTGAATCATGGTTATCATGATTTCCAAGGTTCAAATATGGCTACAGACACATTCATGTTGATTGGCTGGATTCCTGAAGTTGTTAGAATTCATCTGGATAACCTTGATGAGATGTTAGTCAATTATTTCCAACGTGGAGAAGTTCTTATTGGACTAGGAACTGGTGTTTTGACAGATAAGGTGTGTAAGGAGTTAAAATTAGTTTCAAATCATGACTACGCTGTTACATCAATCGCTAAAGAAGATGGAAACTGTTTACAGTTGAAAAACTCATGGTTAAACCAAAGAAGCTTGTCTATTACTGGCTTATCAAATTTCAAATACTTATACTTGAACTGGAACCCCAAGACATTGTTTGGTTTCAAATCGACTATAACGTTCAAGTACCAGAATAGAGCAGCATTTGGAGAGACGCAACAATTTCTTATTCATAATAAAAGCCACCAGAAACAGGAATTATGGATACTTTTAGAAAGACACTTATCAGACAGTCCCGAAGATGATGACGCCGTTGATATTTGGATTAACATTAACATTTACGACGTCCGAACCAAATTATTGAACAGAGCAGAGCATTTAAACATTACCAGGAACAAAGAGATGAACAATAGGTTATTTTTACTTAAATTCATTCTCGAGCCTTCCAAAGAGTACATGGTGGTCCCGGAGTGTTCCACGAGCACTCTTTTCTCCCTTCATGCCTACAACAATATTGGTCCGGAGTTTAGCTTTGAAAAAGCTGCCTATGAGAAGCCGTTCACAAAGGAAATAACTGGAAATTGGGATACAACAAATCTGGGAAGCCCATACAATAAGTCTTCATACATTAGAAACCCTCAATATGTCATACCAGTTACTGAAAGAACAGATGTTGATATTGCATTGTTTGCTAATGATCCTGGCATTCATGTGAACTTCCATATATTCTATTGTGGTGAGGAAGAAATTACCTCCGGAACACGAGAATTTGATCCCAAATCGCTCCTTTCTCATGAGTCTTATGAACAAAATACCGTGGTTCAGAACTTTAAAGATCTTGAGGTGGGTAACTACAGAATAGTTGTATCTAATATTGAAAACGTCATTGGAAAGTATAAATTGGTGTTAAACTCAACCAAAGAATTAAAGATAGCAAAGATTCCAACATCATTAGGATTATTCTTACGACAGTGTACCTTTGACTGGAACAACAACAACAGTCATAAGTTATTAATCCGGACTACTGATTATAACAATAATATCAGACTTCATTTACACAATTATCTTGATACTCCTATCACCGAACTACTGCAATACCGTCCATTTATGCGAGCATCTCTTTTCAACAGGTTTACGTCACAAAGTGTGTTTATTAATGAAACCTGGTGCAATAACTTGTATGGACTTTTCTACGATTGGACGATTGAATTGCCAGGTGAATTCATATTATTAGTGGAGTTGCAACATACCAGTGAATTTCACTGTTCAGTGAGCCTCGGGAACAATAAGGACATTAGTTTAGTGGACATGGAGTGAATCAGTGATAAGGACAAGGACAAGGACAAGGAGAAGGACTACGGATTATATAACACGGATAAATTATACATACTGAACAAAGCCTATAATAAACCATGCGCTACCATAAAGTGGTAGCGCCCAAATATTGAAATTTTTCTATTAAAAGCGACCGTGTCAGGACTGCCCAACACTGTAAATACCCCATTCACAGCCACCTTCAAGATGTTTGGAGTTCAAAAAGTTATTGCTCTCTTCTTGAGTTTGGCAGTAGTAATTGCTGGAGTCGCTCCAGCCACTTTACAAAACCAATTGACCAAAAAAACCGGTTCCAAATGGCTTCAAATCACAGACAATAACTATCGGGATATCATGGGCGGAGCAAGAGACTATCATTTAGTATTAATGATGACTACTGATCTGACGATGATTAATTGCGTGTTATGTCAAGAATTCAAGCCTGCCTTCAGCTTAATGGCAGATTCGTGGTTCCAAGATCACCCTACGGGAGTTTCTGGAGGTGATAATAATGATATTAAAGATGTTTTCTTTGGGTATACTGACTTTGCCAATTCACGTGCCTTGTTCAGTGAATTTGGCTTACAAAGTATTCCCAAGGTGTTTTACTTCCCACCAACCAATTCCAAGTTGCCTTCCAATTACTTGAAGTCGTACACTGAATATCCGTTTTACCAAGGCGATCATGTGGAGTTGTTGAAGAATTGGGTAAGTGAAAACACCGGACAAACTTTCAACGTATATGTTCCTTTGAATTACAACTTGATTATTTTCAACGCCGTCATGACGTTTGTTGTTCTTGTTTCTGTCTATTTGTTTTCTGCTAAATTGAAAAAGCTTATAGCTTCCAAATTCCTCTGGTGTGCTTTATCTTTAATTGCCGTGCTACTTTTCACTTGCGGTTCAATGTTCAACCGCATAAGAAACACGCCCTTTGTAAAGGAAACAGAGAATGGTCCTCAATACTTTGCTCCAGGTCAACAGGCCCAATACGGTATTGAAACACAGCTTATCTCTTTTCTCTATGGAGTCTTAAGTTTGTGTGTGATTCTCTTAGTTAAGAAGTTACCCCAATTGAGCGATGGTAAAGTTCAGCTCTTGGGCTCAGCTATTGTGTGTGCCATAGTCTTGTTTGCTTATTCCATGTTGCTTAACATCTTCTCAGTTAAGAGTCAAGGCTATCCATACCGTCTAGCCATTTAGAACTGCAGCAGTACACACACACACACACATATATATATATACTGAAATCATTACGTACTAAATCATTGTACTAACTTTCAAGTCGGGATACCCGGTCTTCCACCCGTCGTATGGTCTTATCACAAGTATGTAGTCTTTGTTTCAAAGACTTGATCTGACGTGCTAAGACGGTCACATCAATGACATCATCATCATCCTTTTCTACCACGTCTTTGAAATGAACCAACCGTTCTTCAATCGTTCGAAGTCTAGTTAATAGTATGTATTGCGATTGTGTCAACAGATCAAACTCGGTGTTAATGGTTTCAAGCGGGCCCCCAAGGATCCCTTGAGCTGTAAGTTCTATAGGATGAAAGTCCAGCATGTGATGATGATAAAAGCAAGTATAGTCTGTCAGTTGAGTGCATACCTTCAACAAGGTTTATCCGTTTGAGCTTACGTAATAGATTACGTAACAAAAACTTAACTTCACATGAGTATAAGGACCCCACGGAATCATACCAGTTAAACTTTATATGCTTTGGCCCATCTCTCTACCGAATTGTATTAGCATTCGGAAGTTGCATATGTGTTGTGTTTTGGTTACTTCACTCCACTGTTCTATCATACCTTGCTTTATTGTTAGTACCATTGTTTGCATTTATATTATTACTATTGTTCTATCACCACATTCATTACTTCTAGACTGCTCATTACTACACTACTCTTATCCTTATGAGTTCTGACGACCGCTTATTATACCGAGAAACAAGAGCTGTTAAGATTGGTGAAGTAGAACGCTTCAAGATACGGTATACCCCGGAACAAGTTGATGATAATGACGGCAACATAGCCAGGATGCCACCCGATCTTTGGGTTAAGGTTCGCAACTGCGAGTCTCTTGCATTTAGAGCTGCATTCATAGCTGGTCCGCATGTTCTCTATGTTGATTGTACACTGGACGATTATGATCAGAATCAAAAGTGTTTTGTCACTGCTGACCAACCAGTGTTTGTTCCACAACTTCAACCTGGTCAATCGTTTTACGCTCAACTCTGTTGTCACACATTAAAGCCCGAATACAGTTGGAAAGTCGATATTGTATCTCAGATTATCTTCAACACTTCTCTCTCTGTTAATTTTGAAATCATGATAGGAACGTCAAAGGAGATCCTACACGATGCTTCTTCAACCGATAAAGATATCCCCCATAAATACGATGAAGGGTTGTTCTGTTCCACGACATTACTTACGGTCTTCAATCAGAGCACCCTTGACTTGTGGAACTTGCCTCAACCAGATCCACAAAGGCCCATCCATTTGGTCATTCTCACCCATGGTCTTCATTCGAACGTCAGCGCGGACATGCTTTATTTGAAAGAACTGATAGACAAAGCTTGCGGTGACGATAATGTAGTGGTGAAGGGCTATTTTGGCAACGCTGGAAAAACAGAGAGAGGAGTGAAATATTTAGGGTGCAGAGTTGCTGAATATATTGTTGAATTGGTGACTAAACATGAGACCTTTAATAATCGTAGAGTCAATAAGATTTCATTTATTGGCCATTCACTTGGTGGCTTAATTCAGACGTTTGCAATTTCTTATTTGCAATATAACTTCCCCTGGTTCTTCCAGCAAATCCAGCCCATAAATTTCATTACCGTGGCCACACCTTTACTAGGTGTATATTCCGACAACCCATTATATGTGAAAATAGCTCTCCTGGCAGGCATAGTCGGAAAAACAGGACAAGATTTGAGCTTGAAGGATCTGGAACAAGGCGGGAAGCCTTTACTTTATCTTTTGCCCACAGGTCCGACCCATATTGTACTTGAGAAGTTTAAAAGACGAACAGTTTATGCCAACGTTGTTAATGATGGGGTAGTTCCCTTAAGAACAGCATCGTTGATGTTTTTAGACTGTCAGGAACTTCTACAATTAATAGAAAAGTCCGAAGAAGAAAAGAAAGAGGTAGAAGCTGAACAGCAGCCAATTAGATCGAAAGCCGCTTCGTTTCTTCCCCTGACCCTGTTAATATCATTCTTTCTTCCCCATATATTTTCCACCACCAATAATGGCAATGGTAATGGACAAACTCCTGAGCTGCTGGTTCTTCCTGATGTCAATGATGTTGATGACGATGTACGAGCGTTCCAAGCTACAGATATAGCCAGTTTATCCGGAAGAATCAAGAAATTATCAATGCTTGAAACTGCCTCTTCATTAATTCTTCCCCCACTTCCCGAAAGCAGTTTTATCTTGGACCCCAAGAACCGTGACGGAATTATAGTTCACGATAAAATTTATGGTGAAGGTGATTTACCTACCAAGAGTCGTGAACTGCTTGATGATTTACAAAACAGTTCAACAGAAAAACGGTACGAACTTCTTGAAGAGGAAATAGCCCGTCAATATCACACTAATATGAAATGGAGGAAGGTTTTGATCCGTTTGAAGCCGGACGCACACAATAATGCTGTTGTGAGAAGAAGATTTGCCAATGCGTATGGCTGGCCCGTTGTGGATCACCTTGTGAAAGCACATTTTGTTGATATCGATATGGAAGATAATGCATCCCAAATTAATCCGGATCCTATTGATTATAACCTTGATTTGACTCCTGTTCTCTCTAGAGACTTGAACCTTGAGAAGAATAAGGCCATTGAAAAGGAATGTCTGCCGAGTTCATCATCGAAAGAAGATGAAATCTCCGAAAAGGCAGTGATAACTCAAGGGACTCCGGATGAACACCAATGGATTAATAACAAAGGAAATGCTGAATCTCTCTTTGCTGTTGGACCCACGGGGTTGCTTGCAGATGTTGGAGATATGGTTGACAATTTCAGTCAATGGTACAATAGTGTCGGTTTGCGACTGCTTATAAAGAGTCCAGCAACGGTGACTGAAGATAAGTTAGAGATACCTGAGGGACGTTCAGTGATTGGAGATTTCATTTAAATAATAATTTATTATAATACTATAGTACATGCATTTAATTTATCCGATTAATTTATCCGATTAGGATCAATTAATTGTCGGCCTCTGCTTCGACATCTTCACCCTCCACTTCTTCTGCTTCTTCTGCCTCCTCTCCGTCCTCTTCCCCTTCGGCTTCCTCCTCAACTGGATACAACTCATTTATCTTTTCTATTATCAGTTCACTCTCAGCTTCCGAGAATCGTTGGTCGCATTCCTCCACCAAGGCATAAAGAAGTACCATTGATCTGGGCAAAGTATTGACTATTTGCAACTTCTCTGCCTTCATCAACTCAAACTGATTCAAAAATATCATCAACTGCTTGAAACTATCAATAGATCCTATAACTCCACAAGGACTACTTTCTAAATATTGTAAGGAATCCTTCACCACCATTTCCAAATTGACTCCACCGAAATCTCGATGTCTTTTATTCGACTCCTTCTTATCTTTGTCTGAGAACACCCAATTGTTCTTCTTTTGGATTCCTTTCAAGTGTCGCAACACTTCGTAGTTCGATAAGAACTCGCTCCTCGGCTTAACCACCTTCATTGTGTCCACAAAGTGTTTTGGAGGTGATGTTAATGCTGTGGATGGTGGTGGTGATGAGGTGGTTTGTTTTTTTCGCGATGCGAACATCAAGTTTATACCTTGATGATAATGCCAGGCACACTTACATAAGAACAGACTTATGATAACAGACTTATGGTAACAGACTTATGATAACAGACTAACACAGACGGTCTTGACAATATAAAATGTGATATGTAAAATATTTGTGCTGTTCAATGGTTGATTCCAGAACAAGTATACTTGAATTAAAAGGTTATAGAGTGCTACAGTCAGTAGTCGTTAGAGCCTCCACTTCAGGATGTAGAATTGAACGCAGTAATCAGCAGAAATCATCAGTATTCAATAGTGTGATAACTTCTTGCTAATGTTAACTCAGAAGACTTCATTATCATCGGCCGTTTGATCCAGCTTACGTAACCAAGTAATACTTCTGAGACATGATTACGTAATACACGAACTACGGTGTGTGTAATTGAGAGTAAGGCCCCATAATTAATACTACAATCTTCCATCCTTAACTATGGCTTGCCTCATAGTCGATCCCAAACAACTCACATGGAAGTTTCCAGAAGCTTCTACCGCTCTGCCGTGTCGGGTTCGACTCGTGGTCCAAGTGGTTAACTATGTAGACGAAAAGGAGTATATACAAGTTTGTCCAATCCCAGGTATTGGTAATAACCGTAACAATAATGAAGCGTTCTCCATTGATGTTCATAATGTGTTGGGTCAATTGAAACCAGAATCTGTATATGGAGGTGCTATTATAGGAATAGGGGCTTTCTGGGATGGTATTGAACTAAATGTGTTTGAATGTCAACCAATAAACGGTCAAGGATTAGACGCATCACTATTGACTAGCATGTCGGAACTAGAACCAATATAGATGCAAGGGGTTACTAAAGTTAGTCCGAACGTTACGTATTCATAGATATATACATATAAAGGCAATATTCTTTCTATAAGGTACCTATTAATATTGTGATAGTGAACTATGCGATAGCCACCAACAGTTCAATTGGGTGGCATGGTTCCTGGCGGTCCGTTGAAGTTGCCACCTGAAGCAAAATACTGGTCCCAAATCGATTCAGTAGGCATTTGTTGCAAAAGTTCAAACACTTTTCTTCCTTGTTGAATTGTGTAAGGACTATCATCCAAAGGTAACGGTGGTGATACAGACCTCAACGGATTATTAGACGGAACAAATAACAGCAGCAGGTTCGAATGAAGCCGCAGTCGAGGATTGACATAAACTGGTGGCGGTGGTGACATACTGGAGGGGACCTGTACCAGATTGAAATGAACATGAGACTGCTGCAGTTGCAGTTGTTGCAGTTGCAGCATTTGTGCTTGCTGTTGCTGCGGTAGTTGTTGTGAAGGATGATATGAAGATTGAGGGTTGCAAATATTGGTATCCTCTTCAAGTTTCATACTATCACCCGTAATGGGGTCTTCATTCAAGGAATCAACTCCAAGTAATTCTTCTGAATTGGTAGGACTTAGGTTTTCCAATTCGGCAAAGAAGGATTCCAAATTCGTATCTCCTTGGGCATCTGATTGCTCCACATTATCACTACGCCATTCAAAGTCCATTGGTGATTCAGAATAGAACAAATCATTGAAACTGAGAATGTCATTTGGTAAAGCCTTACTCAGTGCTAGCTCCGATGTTCCAGATGTACCACTTGATTGCAACCCATTCGGAGGAACTTGGTAGAATCCTATTGGCGTTGCATTGCCGTTCTTTGTATTAATGAATGAAGCACTGTTAGAAGAAACCATGGGAGGTTGATTCAATGGTAACCCTTGTTGTTGTTGGTGCAAGTGCTTCAATTTTTTCTTATTATTATTATTGGATGAATTCTGCGTGGGTCTCCTTCGTTTACGCTCTCTTTGTAATTCTTCCGTGATGGTACTTTCCAACAACTTTTCAACTAATTTGGTCAAATTGGAGTTCATTTTGATTTTGGGTCGAGTGTTTTCTACCAGAGGATTGGTATTCCCATAAACAACTTCGTTGTATTTCAATTTGATTATGACCATGGTTAGTCGTTTGAAAACTTCACAACAATTGAAAGCTGCATCGCATCGATCAACAAGTGAATGAAGAACAGTAAGACAATCCAGAGTGATTTTCTTCACTTCAATCGATGAGTTCTTGTTTCTAACCTTTTCACTATTATAAATCGCATAGAGGAAAGTACTACCTGCCATGAACAAATTGTGAACTGCGGCCCAAGTATAATTGATCAGTTTGGTTTCAAAAAGTTGATAATAGCACTTAATTAATCCCTGTGCTGAGCTGCACACCACATCATAATCCGCATCACTAAGAATATAATTCTTTGGTGATAAGTTATGCAACATCATCATCGTATGATGGAAATTCAACCTAAAGAATACTGAATTAAAGTTGCAATTCATTATTTCCTCCAGGGGGATCTGGGAATACCAATTAATTAAAAGATGGGACATATCCACCTTCCATTCCTCCAAAGAAGCATATTTCCTAGGGATTTCCAGGTTTTCATACAACACTCTTTGAGTTTCACTTTGGATTTGACGCATTTGGAAGAATGTCAAAGAGATATGCTTGTAACTGGGGATCCTTTCATCATCTTCATTACTAGGATTAGAAGGCATTTGCTCCATCCCACGTACAAGGTACTTATCGTCCAAAAGAGAGGGGAATGAAGTGTTTATACACTCATCAGGAATCCCCACTGGACGGTTTAAATAAAAGCATATCTGACGATCTAAGGAGTAAGTGCACCAGAACAAACGACGCCGCATGTCTCTTGTGAAGGGGTCTTTTGTTATATGAAATATCGAATCATTGTGCAAACCCATATCCACACATAAACGAAGAGCAGTCCCTAAAACGTACCAGATCCCTGGAACTGCTGGTCTCATGGTAGAATAAAGAGCAAGAAGAAGTATACCCTGAAGTGATTCGAGTGGATCAAGTGAAGAATAAATTGAATCAATATACTTCATAGCTGCTGACTTGAATGAATGTGAAATGGTGGTTGGATATTGCAAATGATGAACTGAAGATGCTATTGCAAATACCATATTAAGAAAATATAAAGGTTTGCAGAATTTTGGTGGGGGTATTATGTCGTTCAGAATCTTGAGAAGATCATCCTTATCCGTCAAGTTTTCAAAATGCTTCTTATAATGATACAACCAAGTTTCTTCATATTGAATTGTTCGTGAAGATGTTTTTTCTCCTCCATTATCAGGTGAAAGATGACTTGAAGAAGCATTACAAGAAGAAGAAACAGACCGTTCCTCGTCGTCATATTGAGATGATGCCATTCCTGAAACTGTGGATCCCAGACTTGCTAATTTAGTTGCCTTGGGTTTATTGGCTGCGTTATCTGCAAGAGAAACATCATTATCAATGGCTCCGTAGATGGGTTCGAACCATTTTTCAACAAATTCTTCTCTGTGAAGTATCGGGAGTTGTGCATTCAGTTGTGAAAAGTAAATTCGGATGAATTCTATGGCCGTTGATTTGGGTGGAAGAATTGATGGGAAAGTTGTTGTTTCGTTATTGGATATTGTGGGATCTTGAGGCATCCCTACAAAATGGGGAGTTCCCTTTACTGAACCATTTCCTCCATTATGCAATGACATTTGATTCTTTTGATTAAATTTGACTGCCGTAAAAATCAACTTGTCAAACGATATATTTTTCTCGTATTTTGTTTCTTCCGAAGACTTGATAGGCTCGGAACAACATTCGGGATCTGTTGTTGTATGTGGTCTGCCATTCTGTGTCTGCTCAGAGACATTTTTGTCTGAAATAGGAATGTGTTTTCCAGTCTTCTCATACATTGAAGCACCACTTGAACTAAGATTAGGATAAAGCTCATCTTCATTAATCTTTATCCCATTAGCATCAAGCAATTGCTCTAGTTTCCCTACCCTATTTTCTAAATCAAGGACATAACTTCTAGGTATATCTCTTCCCAGAACCGGGTCTAAACCTATGCATTCAACTCCTGCCTTTTCACATCGAGAACAGTTGGGGAATCGTTGATCACATTTTATCTTTTTTCGCCGACATCTTTTACATGCGGACATAGGTCTTGTGATCCCGAGTACTTTGGAGTTATTTGGATTTATACTTTTCTTCTTTGCTTGTGCTAGTCCCTTCAAAAGTGGTTTTTCCTTTCCTGAAGTTGATTCATCCACTGCATGCTTTAACGTAGAATTGGTTATTGGAGAACTATTCGATGATGCTGCTATAGAGGATGCACCTTCCAGATTTAGATCCAAAGATGAGTTTTCTGCTGCTTCATTTTCCAATTTGAATCTATTAAGATCTCGGTCATTTTTTGGTAGTTTCTTGTTCATTATTATCAACGGTAGTATAAGCGTGAAGTAGTCTTTTAAGGTGGTTATGCTTGATTCTTCAAAACATTAAGAAAGATTTCAAACTGAACTATACCATTCATGAATCGCTGCAGAACTGACGCAGACAAATACAGAAAAAGAAGGACGCACTAATTAATTCGATGCTGCTAAGCGAATTTTCGGTGCAGCTGCTGCAAGTCTTTCTCAAGCTTAAACTTATGTTTGATCCACAGTGATGATGTTTGATCCACAAGTTGTTTTTCTACTGTTGATATTGCGATTTCACAAATTGGTAGAGAGACTCACTGAACTGCTTATCTTCCTGTGTGAATCTGTCATTTTCCCCCTCGAGATAACAAAGATAGTAGCTCCTCTTGAATTCATTGGTTCGATGCATTCCGTGGGCAGTACACGAAACGTAATTTCTTGTCAAGGAGTCGATCACGTGACGCTACAAAAGGTAATAACTAAAAAAATATACATATTAAAAAAGGGTGCATTTGGGACTATGAATGGCGAAGACAGAGAATATTTTTATTCCGGAAATTCATCTCAAATGCTTAATCTTGGCAGTGTCTAATTTATACTTGCCATCTAAGGAAGGAATCCATAATTCATAGGCTGCAGTTTTAGCATGGATGTCCTTAGGTTCAATCTCCACATGAATTGTAGTAACCAAGGTGCTTGGTGTAAGGGGATACTTTGAATGGTGTGGATCTTCATCAGCGGTATGGGGAGTACCTCCTGTAACGGATTGAGTTGCGCCTTTAAGATTACCTGGAGATTTACCTTCTGCTTCAGCTGGCCCAGCACCGTTCGCTGTTGGTTCTTCAACTTCATTAATAGAAGAGTCCAGAGAGTCACCTCTGTAAACATTGGCCCTTGTTTGCTTTGAAGCAGTCAGAGTTTCTCCCACATATCCAGGTTCACGAACTAGACCTTCATTAATATGATCCTTATACTTCGATTGTGGAGCCATGATCAAATCGGCCCAATTACGTCTGTTCAAGAACTGTTGGTTACTCAGTTGGGCTTTCCCCTTGGCATTATGGTCAAAAATAGGTACCATATCTTCATCACAATACTTACTGAAATGATGACCATTTGATCTCTTGTTAAGCAACGTTGCCATAGCATCTGGAGGTGGAGCATTGGTAATGGCGGAGGAAATAACATTAAACATTAATCTTGGATCATTCTGTGGGAAATGAATTGATTTTTCATTTTCCAGTTGAGTACGTTCAGTATGCAACAAATGAAACCCTGGATTATGGTGAAGTTTAGAACGCAATCTTCCTACAGCTGCCAAATGAACATCACCAGAAAGGAGCGTGATTCTAACACCATTCTTAGCAGCAAAGGAATGTAAGTCACTGATCAATTTATTCCGTTCATGTTTGTGATGTCTTGCACACCAATGATCATTTAAGTCATCCAAAACTTCAACACCACCATCAAATTCATTAACCAACCCTTTGTTGATAACACCCTTCTCAGCAATTTTCCTAACTGGTTTCAATATCGCAGAACTCAACAAGTATTCAAGCCAAACCAATCTGGGATATAACATTGGCACACCCACCATAACCAATAAATGGGTGATTTGACCTTTGGAGCCATCAATTTCTTGTTGCAATCTACTGAAAACTGCTCGATAGGCTTCAGGCAGTACAATTTCATTCAACTTCCGTTCAGTACGACAATCCAAACCCAAAAGTGCAATATTCTTCCCCAATTTCGTGTACGTACTGTGGTTCCGTTCTTTGATATAAGGACCAGGTTTTGGACCAAGGATCCAATGGTTCAGTTCAGTATGGATCTTCTCGTGAGGATTGATGTGATGCTGGAATAACATGTAGTATTTGTAAGCAGCCTTACCGATTTCCAAAAAAACAGGAGAACTCATAGTCCGATCATGATATGAACCAAAACCATCAATGATATCGTGGTCATCATAGATATTAACCAGAGGAATTGTGGCCATCAGAAGTGGGAATAACGGTTGTTCCGTGGGAACATCGCATTTCCCCTTCCACCAACCGTATCCAAACCAATTGATATAATGGATGGTGTAATAATCATCCAATTCACTTTTCAACTTTTCCAGGGTTTGCATCAGCCGTTTATTATGGCCGTTGCTTAATTGAGTCCATCTCTTTAACTCAGAAGAGAATAACTTGATGGAGTCAGCGTAAAGTTGGTCACCACCTCCAAGCATCACATGGTAATGTTGTCTATTGTGCTCTCTTAAGACATCTAACCACATGGACGCAGGATAATCGTACGTATCTGTAGCCAAGGAGAACCCATTACAAGAGAAGGTGACAATGTTGAAGTTAGCTTCAGCAGAGGGAATGAAAAAGTGGAACTTCTGGCCATTGCCAATAGGATTGATTTCGTAAGCAACTACCAATTCTTCCTGAGGGTCTTGAGTCAACTCCAATACGACTCTATAAAAGTAAAGGTCTGTGGAAGGTTCAGATGATGGGGGTGACGTTGATGGAGTCTTTTGCTGATAGTACAACTCAAAGGGGACTGGTGAAGGCTGTTTATTGAACAACAGAGTATTTGTCCCCACCTTATAATTCAATGTGAAGGGAGACCCTTCAGATGATGGCATAGAGGTCACCATCATAATGGAGATCTTATACACATTATCAACGAGTGAAATAAACTTCAAATTAGGTCCCATCACCAAGGGATGGTTCCTTGGAGAAACCTCGGCTGGTCCTTCTGATTTGGAAACACATAGTTGTTCCAATCTGGTTGTATCAATTGGCTCGTACCATGAACTCATCTTGATATGTTGATAGTAGTACGTGAAAAGAAAGTGGTAAGGTTAGGCGTTTTTCTGGCCAATGTTATGTTTGGTGAAGGTAATAGCAAGTCAAACGCACGATGATGAAAGAGTCGCAAAGCCAGCCGAGTTCAGACCTATCGGTTGTTGCTCTGGAACAGTACGAGAAGACAATACACCCAATTTGGAAAAGAAGGATTACAATTATGGAAAGTGCGGGTAACACCATGTAATAAGCAGATAAGCAGGTCGTTTGCTTACGTAACATATCGAGATAGCATTTGCATGAGAAGCTTTTATCTTAAAGAGGATATTTTATCTCTGCGCTACCAAACACTATGTCTGTTCTTTCATTAATAGATAGTACGCTCTTGTGATATAACCCCACGTTTTGTTTGATCATAATATTGCTCTCTATCTATTTCCTAAGCAGTCAATAGACGACAATACGAGAATTATACTATTTCACACGCCCTCGGATCTACGTGTATGGTCTTGTGAATTGGATTCAATTGAACTTAAAAAGGACTCACGTGGTGGAGTCGGTGCAATTATACCAAGTGCGTGTCATCTCTCTGGTAATGCTCGTCCCATTCCAGCCGTTGCGTTCGCACATCCTGTTGTGTGGCGAATTTACCGATAAGGATTCTTTATACAACCCAGAATCGACACATATGAATACCAAGAATTAATCACAATTAAGGTATGATCCCTAAGGAAACTCTATTTGTAATAACTGTTAATCGCATAGCCATCCACAAGAATATATATATGTATATGCCCTGGCTCGTGGTAGCGCGGGCCGATACATGCATATAAACTTCTATGTAGGCCATCATATGCATGAAATTGTGTGGAGAGATTTTCACGCCCTCTCATCGAACAAATTGATAATGCCCTTGAAGGCTGTGTTCGTCTCATAACAAGGACAAGGTTTTTTTATTGAAGAGTATTAGTGTATATGCAGTATAGAGGAACTATTCTTGGCAACCCAGTCACAATCTTTAGTCAACTGCAACAGTAGTGCACGCTCGTTCCATGATAGATCACCATATTTTGTAAGAGAAGGGTGGAGTTGGAGTACACTTGATATTTTTATGAAGAGATCAAGAGTGAGAAACTTCAATCCAATGTAAGAATCTAGAACATTTTAGTGGATTATTATGTTCGTGTTCCGTATAGCCGTGTGTTGCATTATCCGCATGATGCCGAGAACTATAAAGAAATTGTAGAACGTGTGACATTTATGCAGATAACTTCTTCCATGCGCAATTTGTCAATTTCCATAATAATTGCTTGGTAAAGCTAGCGGGCCCATAACAACTTTGTGTCACGTTCATACAAAGATTGTCGCTTCTTCCTGCTTCAGAGCCACTCCATCCCCACAACCCATTTATATAGCAAAGCATAACCGGAGCTTTGTTGTCGAGTTAATCGATAAAGCAAAAGGAATATTATCATTATTATTCCTTTTATTATACGTGTTATTCTCCTTCTAAGCGGTTAATCAACACTACCAGTATATAACCGTATCCTGCATTATCAGACACCGATCATTCATATTTATCATCATCAGCTGGCTCGCATTCATAGCATCATCCGCATTGACGACGTTCTAAAGCAACGCTTTCACCATGATGGCTTTTACTCGCCGAGTATCATTCAACAATTTGATGGTATCTGAGTTGGCACCAGCTGCCCCTCAGATCACTCAGAAAGATTTGATGGACTCTGATTTTGGGTATGGGGGTGCAATTCATAGCGACATTTCCGATATCTACGCTCCAAAGGATCAAATCAACGACATTATACGAAACATAAAGCAACAACAACAAGCTCATCAAAATCAAAATAAATGCATACATGACCCCAACGCTACACCCTTGAAACCCATTCTAAAAAATAAAGAATACACGGGGTTACAACTTGACGAATCGGAGTTTGCCTTGAAGCTAGAGGATGAACTGGACGATGAAGTCTTGTCTCCAGAAATATCCCCCACGGTGTCTCGTGACGTCCCCTTTGTCTCATTGTCAACATCTAATTCTGCAGATTCGCCTTTCAAAACCAATTACAGCTTGTCCAAACTGCCGCCAACAGGAGGAAACTCCCTTGCTGTTCCTTCGTTGCTGCAAAGCCCGAGACGGAAGCTGTATCTGGAAATGACTACGGATGAGCTTCTTGCCATGGACCCCCAATTTGCTAGAAGACCCAGTCAAACCAGTAATTTGAACGGCATGAAGTTCAACAACACTTCGACCTTTTACCGGTCGTCATCTAGAAACTCTTCTGGCTCGGCAACTGCGGCTGCCGCCGCTGCTGCCGCCGCTGCTGCTGCCGCTTCTAAAGGTGCTTATCCTACTAGTAACGAGAACAACTACAAGTCGATCTGTCTTACAGTTAAGCATGAAGATTATCAAACGCCAGAGGCTTTTAGAACCATTTTAACAGTCATTTCGGGTAGAAGACATACTTGGAACTCACTTGATTGGTTATTTAATGATGATGACTTCAAGGAAGAACAATCACTGAAACCAACCAATCACCCGAATCAATTTTTGCAAGACGGTGACTATCTTGTTGTGACTGCTCTTTTACCTAACATGAACGAAGAGTATGATTTTTACTATAATAAATGTGAAAGTCTCTTGCAGTATTTAATTCAGTTATCGATTTCCCATGGGTTAAAGCTCAAGATTACCGTGGAGTTTGTGCTAAGTCTGACGGAAACCGTTACCAAAAACAGAGTATCCAAATCAATAAGCGGTACTAAGTACATGCTCTATCATATTACAAATCAGTACCTGCCCAATTTCATAGTCATTGGTAATAAATCAACCAATTTGAACTTCAAATATATGAAGAATGTTTCAAACAATATATTTTTGATCAAATTGGCTTCCTATGCCTTGAAGTATTCAATTGCTCCAGTTATATTTGTTGGGAATGCCACGAGATTCCATAAGGCAATAGCTCAGGCAAATCATCAAGATCATGAAGTCAAATCTCATGGTTTGAAACTTACAATCTCCAATAAAGACTCCCAATTGACGAAACCAGCATTAAAGTTTGCTTCTCCTCCTCCTCGAGTTGTTCCTCCATGCCTGGACCGGAAGAATTCAGCAGGATCCATTGATTCTGATGATTGTAATTCCAGTGACTTGGAAGACCAAGATGACTCCCTTGCTTCATATAAAGGTGATCAACAACCTTCCACCACCACCGAGGCCGCCCCGGAAGTATCCACAGAAGAAGAGTTCCAAAGGGAAATCGGCGCCGTTTTGGAAGACGAAAGAACCCAATACGTCTCAAGATTAGCGCTTGCGATTGATGTTATTTCAGAACATTCTTATGATGCATGCAATCTCTTCCTTTCTGGGAAACCCAACCCCAAGATAGAGGCCATGTATAATGCTCAAAAGGGTATCAATGGTGGTCGTCTGATGTACAAGGTGAAGTCGTTATTTGGCGATGAAGATGCCTCTGCCTCCACACCTGCCTCCACACCTGCCTCTGCCTCCACACCTGCTTCGAGTACTCAAAGAACTTCAGTCACATCATCGTCCACTCCAGGTCTTTTGGGTGTTCCTTCTAGATCATCTGGTGGTAATGCATCGAAGCCAGTGGGAGGAATTAGCACTGGCAGACGTGGTTCAAGTTCGAACCCTTCTGGTAACCCATCAATCTCAGTCCCTGGATCAGCTCCTGTAACCACTAGTGCTGCTCATTTACAGAAAGTGCGGTCGAAAGCCGAGCCATCTTCTGGTGGGACTGGATCAACACCTGCTTCATCTTCATCGTCATCTAACCCTGAACCAAAGAAGGAAAAGAAGAGTGGTGGATTCTGGAAGAAGTTGACGAAGAAGAGGTAAATTTTTTATTTATGCAAATTCCTTTCTTGTTTATATAGTTACATCTGGTATGTTCCATTTATTATTTAGCCTAAGTAATTAGTGTACGTGCTTAATATAAAAGTTCGTGTTCAATGGTTTTAGGGTGTTCATATGTTAGGGTCTCAGAACATACCAAACCGTTTCTTTTTGGAAGTTTGTGTTTCTGATTGAGCTAATCTTTGACTGGCTCTTCCTGTGTCTTCTAATATCGCTTCGCTAGTTACCAACCGTTTACCCTTTTCATTTTCCATTACTGATTTCAAGATAATATTCTTATTATCAATCGATTCCTTAGTTGAAGTCTTGACTACTAAAAATTGATTGGCAACTGTGGGTGCCTTATAGTTTATAACCAATCTCTTGACCATAAAGTCGTCCTTAAGCGGACTACTGGTTAATTCTGACAAACAGGCGTTCCTCTTGAACTGTTCGTTCAAAATAGTGGCTATCATCCCTCCGTGAACCAAGAACGGATACCCGCACAATCTGTACCCAGTATGAATAAAGGCTACACCTTCGTTGGCACTATGATTGAAGAATGTTATTGGTTTGATGACAATGCCACCGGCCTTATGTAACGTATGGGTCAATTTGCCTTCCTCCAAACCCAAATTGAGCTTCTCCATCACAGATTCAAAGTTCTCTAGGTTCTCCCAGCTGGTGTACTTGGTCCAGTTGTCGCTGTTGGAGGGATGGGTCAACTTCTGGTACATGGGGAGTTGTTTCAACTTGTATGTGAGCTGAACAGGTAGTAATGGGTCTTGAGGAACGGCGGTGGCAATTTCATAGGCTTCAAAGATCGCTTCGGAGTATTGGAGATAACAGCCTAATCCAAAGAATACTCCACAAGTTTTCCAATTGATCCATGGTTTCTTATAAGACCGTATTTGGTCAAAGATATGCGTATCATCTGCAGAACGGACCGCATATTGCCGTCTGAATAAGAGCCGGAGAGACATTGGGTGGACGTAGCTGATCAAAGATGTAGTGACGGTTGCGGGGTTATACCCTGGAGTGAATTTTTGGTCGTTCGCTAATTTACTATCACGTGAATAGTCACATGATTAAAGGCACAACCAAAGCACGTGATTTAACCCACGTGTGTCAGATATCCCTGCCTCTAGTACAAGAATGCTACACTGGTATACATGTATGATATACATGTCAATACTATTAACAACTATTATCAGACTACTTCTTCATGCCATAACACATGTCGTATCAGCTTTGTTTATCTAATTTCAACTTTATGTTCAGCCAATTAAGTTTTAAATTGTAATACGAAAGATGGCTTTATATTTTGCTATGGGAATCTCCAGCAATCTTGGAAGTGGTACGATAAGTTGTGATCTGGTGACAGAATTTCAAATCATTGATTAAGGTTTTCTACGGGTATCCTTTATAATAGGGGATTAGTGTTACTGCCGACCGTTGAAGATTGGTCGCACTGCAGTGCGTACAACAAAACGTTGAAATGGATCGTAAACAAGCCATCATCCAACACTCAATGCTGCACATTGTGTGCGAGACCAAGTCCACTGTTTCATGTTATACGCTTCTACTATAGGGCGCGCCCGCAGTATATCCGATTTTGTAGAGAAGCTCGATATGAAAGAGTCTCCTATTTTTGAAGAGATTTTCAGCCCTCAAAATCATCTAATTTTCTTTGCGTTGGATCGTTGTCCAATTTTTACACATTGGAACAGAAAAAGTAGTGTCTGATAAAGCCTAATAGTATAAGAACTCCGTCCTGATATATGTAAATGACATAATAAAAAGGTTGTGATTTTTTTACCTGGAGCACCTGTTAGATCCACTTCTACAGCAATTCTCATACCACTATTACCGTGCAATTACGCAGCCATACACAAGTTCCGTCAAACGCTCCCGTATCTGCAACTATCATGCATCGCACAAACAGGAACAATATGAAGGAAGAAAAGGTCCGACTCTTGTTGGATAAACGTCCTGAACATTAATTCGCTTTCACCACCAACTGGTCTAATGCAAAGACCCCAATTAAAAATCGCTCGACGCAAGAAAGAATAAAGGTAATAATAATAATGTTCTGATTTCTGCCAACTTTGCATCGCTATATACCTGCAAGAAGACGTACAACTTAACGAAGCCCCTTTGTGTACACATCAACTTCTTAGCCCCGTTTGATTTTGCTGTCTTAATTTCAATTGTTCATGCAGTAGATGTAATTCTAAGCCTATTGGATGTCTCTCCGATGCCAGGTATTTTGGTCATGCGTCTTTCAACTGCATATTAATTTCAACGTTTTTATTGTTTTGTTAATTCCGTCTTGGAAAACAATCAACCTGTTGAAAATAGGCATATTTTCTATAAGGTTAGAGTCAGTTGCGACCTGTACTCAATTCTTTTCAACTATCCTGTTAAGAATAGTTTGATTTTAACCACTCTGCTGCAATTCGACAGAGCACAACTTACTCTTATCGGACAAGTCCGCCTCCAATTATACTCAACAGGCTTGAATTCAGGAAAACTAATTGGATTTTAATCTAGAATTATGATTCAACCTTGTTCTGGAAGGCAGAGCGCACTAATTTTTGAAAACTATAGATTACTAGGGCTTGATGTCTATAATAAACATCCTCTTCTATTAGAAACTACTACAGATGCCGTCAGATTTGTCTCGTTCTATCGCATACACCTGATGCAACTAATGCGTTTATTTCTGGTGGGGTTGATTCATCTATATACATTCCAAGAATAAAAACAATACAGACGCAACGAAAAAGCTATGTGCGTGATCATGCAAAGGTTTGACATGTCCCATTAACCAGACATAAAATGTCGCAACATTAGCCACACTGTATATTTTTTTGTCTTCTATGGAGTCTTTTTATAATACTCATGATGACGTTAGGTTTTAATCTTATCTAAATTGCATGTGTAAAATAGGAACTTTATGTAAGAATTTTAAAGTCGTGCCGTTCAATTGTAAGGTGGTCGACAACAAGAAAACCTTTATCCAACATATGTTAAATCTCCTGATAAGTAGTTCTTTCTGAATGTGTAGAAATTACACTCATGCTACCTTCCTCTATGAATGATGGTTAATCCAAGGTGTATGAAGGCTTGTTCAGCTAGTTCAGCTTGCCTTCCTGTTAAGCCAAACTATTTCTTAGTAGGTGAGAGTTTACCAGCTCCTTTATTTCTGGGAGTTGCTGAAAGAGTAACGCTTCAATACGCCTGAAAGCCAGCCCAAATAAAGTCTACGTCAAGCGACTGAACATGGGAACACTAACTCCTAGCCACGAACACCTACTTCTTCTTTACGAAATACATTTTTAACACAACATGCTCTTATGGTCAAGGACGCCTTTCAGGTGTCTGCTTGTAGCAATTGAGTGGAAATGAAGAATTATTTTCGTTCGTTAGGATATAACTCTCATATTCGATCTCATATTCGATCTCATATTCGATCCGGCCTTGCGCTTGAAGGTTTGAAATTCTTGTGGAAGGAGAAGGTGCAGGAACGAAGAACATCCATCAAACCTTCCCTTCTGGCTACAAGCAAAGAGAATATGAGAGCTGATGGTCATTAGTGCCAACGAATGCATGCGGTATAATAATAAAGCATAATCGTTGAAGTTGTAGTCGTCAGGAGAACAATTTATATAATACAACAGGTTATGCCGGCCACAGTTAAATGAGACGTCATTTGTGGACAGTGACATTGCGCATATCACGAACGCATGTAGTAATGCTGTAAAGACCAACAGTGAATCTCATTGGTGTGGTATACACTCTGCAGCAAGCTTAGTATATTGCGTTTAAGTCTACTCTACCAAGCCTTATTTAGTGTTGCATTCATAATTTTGCTTCAGACCTGTATCACTCTGTATCAACAGCTATGCGAGCTGCGGAAGTCTTAACTGATTGCAGTACGAACATCCGCGTGGTGAACGCAAGTAAAATTACAGTTAACGCAAGTGTTACTATCTGCATATTCTCCACAAAGTGCAATCATTAGGGAAGATGTGATGCTATGATGGAAAACATGAAGAGATACGTATGTCGTTAAACTATCAATAAAAATGTCGAGGATTTGATGAAAATGTCGTAACGATCTGAAAAACCAACACTAACAAAGTAAACCCTGAGTGAACTCTGAGAGTCTTATCAACCGTTCCTCCTAACAATAGCATTAATGGTGGCATCAAACATAATTGTTCAGCCACGCTTGAAGCCTCTTGTCTATACCAAGAATGACTTAAATCGACAGTCATTTCCTGCTCCAGTCAGAGCCACCACGACCACCTCTCCAGAACCACAAGCTAAGAAACGTAGTGAATCTCCAGATGGAAGAGAGGGGGGACGAGAATCTATAACTACGGCATCGATTCCATTCTATCGATGGGAGGATCAACCTTACAATCGAAGAGGATACAAATATAAACCATGCAGTCACAATCTGCTATTCCCTGCCAACATATACTCCACAACAGACTTGATGCCCTATCAAGTGAGAGCATCATATTTCGACCGATCCAGTGGGATAATGCTAAGTTCTGATGGCTCAATGGTAACCACAGAACGAGGATGGCGATCTGCACGAGCAAATGTGGGAATACGAGAGGGTAGTTATTACATGGAGTTTAATATTGTACGTGCAAACGAAGGGAAATCACATATAAGATTCGGGCTTTCCCGGAAGGAAGCCAGTTTAGAGGCTCCTGTGGGGTATGATGCATATGGCTATGGGTTACGAGATATTGAGGGTATGAAAGTTCATTTGAGTCGGCCCAGAGAATTTTGTAATGAGCTGTTTCGAAGCGGTGATGTCATCGGGGTATTGGTGACATTACCAAGTTTAAAAGACCATAAAGAGTCTTTGAGCCAATTCATTGAGAATTTGAATCTGAATAATGGAGTAGGAGATTCTCAAGCTCCGAATCCCAATAAGAAAGCTCTGAATAAGCGACTGAAAAAGGCTATCCAAATTGACTCTACCAGGTTCAATGTTCATAATAACATAGTACGAGATCAAATCCCCATTAAATACAAATCCAAGCTTTATTATGAGCAATATGAATACACCCAGATTCCTGAAATGGAACATCTTGTTACTCCAATGAAGTTAGTGGGTGAAAAGGCCATAATTTTTCAGCAGCGAGAAGATGATGATGAAGCTTCTTTAGAAAATAAGCTTCCCAAAATTCCACATTCTTCAATTAGAGTCTTCAAAAATGGTAAGGATATGGGTATAGCATTTCAGAACTTGATTTCGTTTCTTGCTACTGATGATAATAAGTTCCAGAATACCAAACAGAATTCCAACCCAAGCTATCATAATACCGATGATGGAACATTAGGTTATTATCCAACCATGTCAGTGTTTCAAAATGGGATAGTGGGATTAAATGCTGGACCTGATTTCAAATATCCTCCGCTTGAATTTGAATATGAATACAAGCCATTGTGTGAACGATACGACGACCATGTGATCGAAGAATGGTATTGGGACATTATAGATGAAATTGAAGCTGAACAATTGGATGAGCTAGAGGACTTACAGAAAACGAAACTGCTCAAAGGTAGTAATTCCACAGCTTCTGTCGCCGTCCCAATTGAACCACCCATAGTTAACACGAGCCAAATAGCAACACCTCAGCCTATCAAGGAAAACTCGCCATGTCCTTGATTGCAACATCCCACAGCGACGTCGGACCCCTGTTTGTTGATGGAGTCACATTTTCTATGGTAGCCCAACCGGCATTGGGAACAGAAAAAGCCTTCAGTAACAAGCTCGTTACATACTGGGCAACTTACTAAAGACCCGTCTTGGAACTCGCTCATAAGCGCATATCTATCTAATAAATAGCTCTTTAACTCACTTAGACTCCGTATACTTAATTTCACACGCGCAGATTTAATTATAAACCATCCGTCTTCCACCAAGTGGGAAAGAAAGGTATCTGACAAGTCTAGCAGTCTCTTTGTGTCAGCACTGATGGCCCTTACGGCTTCTTGTTTTGGGACACTATACTTTAAAGATGGACTTTCAACTATGAGGTCTATCACCTGTTTGATGGCCTGAAGTTCATTAACAGAGTATCGAGTGTCTTTCTTCATGATCTCGTCACCAAGAATATTGGTATACATGTAGAACAAAGTAAGCTCTTCATTCTGGTCATGTTTCCTTTCTATTCGAAACCCATACTTTTGTATCTCTTTATTGATCAAAGCTATGGAGTTCATTAATTCTTGTTCATTATCAACGTCATCATTATCATCATCTTTTTCAGTATCCGCTACAGCAAGACGTATTCTTCCTTTTATGAAGTTATACTTCTCAACTAGATCAGAATGCGAAATGTACCTGGCACCTCGCATATATGTGAGAAGTACACGGTGGAATTCATCCATAGTCAAAAGCTTACGTTCTTTCGTACGGTGTTTCAAGTTGTATTGGTGTGATCTTAGTTAACTATGTGAATAGTGTCTAAATTATCGGTTGGTACACTATGCGACTCGGTTACATCATTGGAACTAACGTTTGGCGATCTGTTGCTGTCCCCCACAATTGGAACGCCTACCGCCCAAAGTTCAAGGTCAAGGTTCTCATCTACAAAAAAGTACCTCTCCAGTCCATATTTGGTTAACTGTATTATGTCTTTGACGAATCAACAGTATCAACATGGATTTGAGATTTGAACTAATGGAGAGCCGGGAGTGTGTTTCAGTTGGCTCGAGATTTGGGGAAACCCTTTTGGAATCCCGAAAGACGAATTAAATGTGGGGATGTGTTGTTACTTCACTTGCGTCCGCCATATATGCATTATGTTTGGGGTGGTATTAGCCGGCTTAAGGCGAGAACAAAAATAGTCGGTTCGTTCGCCGTAATACTCTGGGCATTTCAAAACGAACAACTTATTGTTGTTGTACTCTTTTCTTCTCTTTAACTTAAATACCACTGAACTTTCCCGTATAGTATATGGATCCATATTGCGATCAACCTAAACCTCTTGATCGACAATGAGATCATATTCAACTTTACTGGCGTGGTTAGCCGCTGTCCTTACGTTATCCACTTGTGCTTTCGGTGCACCTAATAGCGCGTTTACATCAAGCTCAACAGCTTCAAAATCACTAACTAAAAGAAGTCCACAGTGTAATCCTCGGACAGATGCTTCTTGTCTAGCCATAAACCCTGCTTTGAGTGAGCTTATTCTAGATACAAGATATATACAAGTACTTGGGGATCATTTCCATTCAGAGGGAGACGTCGAATCATCTCTTACTGAAGAGCACATCAATGATGTTGATGAGGGTGATAATGATGTACAATATGATGATTTGACTATTTCAATATCTAATGATTACAGTTCTACGGTTGATTTACGGGTGAACCAACGTTTTGATAATCCGGTATTGGTACTGAATAACTACATTTTATATGGAAAGGTACTGTTTGAACTCAAGTCGTCGTCTGGAAAAGGGGTTGTATCAAGCGCCTATTTGCAAAGTGACGATCTTGATGAAATCGATATTTTGGAGATAGTAGGAAGTGATCCTTTTACATTTCAATCCAATTACTTTGTTAAGGGTAATACCCTGAATCACGAAAGAAGCGTTTATCATCGGGGACTTCTAAGAGATGACTTCAATCGCTATAGTCTTGAGTGGACTCCAGGAGGTGTTAAATGGTTTGTAAATGACGTGTTGGTCAGATCAGTTGATAGATTTACCGATACAGACTTTGTTGCAAAGCATGGACTCCCATCTTCTCCAATGGTTCTTAAGTTTAGCATCTGGATAGGAGGAGATGAAGTCAATAGTCCCGGTACCATTGAGTGGGTTGGAGGACTAACTGACTATTCGAAGGTCCCATTTGCTATGTCAGTTCGTAATATTCGTATGGAGGATTACTCCAATGGAGTTTCATATATGTATGGGAATAGCGAAGATTCCTTGTGGACACAACTTCACAGTGTCGGAGGAACCATTTGTGGAAGAATGCCTGAACCAGAAAGGCAAAGATTATTACTGTACATACCAGTATCTGAACGACCAAAGAACTTGATTATGGCAGATGCTAAGGGAGGTCAATTTCGTCTAGTTCAAACGGAAGAGCAATTTATGAGCAATGATTGGGAGGAACAAGAAAATAATGATAATAATGATGGCGAATGGAATTCCAAAACTTACGAACTGGGAGCCAACTCGATAGCACCTGGTTCCCTCAAGTTATTTATAGTGTTGGTTTGCTTTTACTGTATGCATTTGAATCGGTGATATCACACCTGTAATGAAGAGCCAATCAGATTTTGTTCTTAATGACCCTTTATGGTTTTGAATATATAGATAGCATTTTTAGAGTATAGTAGATATGGCGTATATTAGATATTGTGGTTAAATTCACAATTAAGCTATTTATACCCGTTGTGCAAGATGCTTTAATGAGCAATGGGTAGTAAAGTTTTTTTTGCACCCAATTATATATAAAGATGATATATTCTTACAGAGCAGTAGAATCTGCTACAACCCAAAGCATAACTTTTGTCGCCGTAAATTATGCACGACTAAAAAGAGCCTCTTTATTGCTTCTGGTATTGGTTAGGTATCCTCCGGCTGCAATATTCCCTGTCTGGTGTGAGGGCTACATCTACTGACCTCATTTTTGGCCCTTTGCACTAAAGGTTTCCCTTTGTAGCGGAGGAGGTAGCCCCGAACTTTCACTATAAGCGCATATCACCAGTGTTCCGTTATACAACGAGGTAAATCCAAATCTTATAGTCCCTAAAAATTTGGACCTCATGCCACTGCAATTCTTACTCAAGTAAAACTCCGACAATTATCCGTTGAGTTGATCGTTGCACCACCAGACGTCCATTGGTGATTACTTATAGGACCTACTAGCAACAGTTTGGAGAACTGGAGAACACTACGCTTTCTTTCGAAACCATTGCTATTACGATTATTATTTCTTTTAAATATGCCCAGTATCGATACCGTGCAAGGGATTAGTTCCATTTCTTTGGTAACGGATGATGCTGACAAGTTCAATAAAGTTACGAATTTCTACAATTCATTGGGACTCCGTTTGGTGAAGAGCTTTTCCAAATTAGCTCAAGATGGTCAATCATCCGAACCAAAGACTCATTTGGGGATTTCCCATGATTCCTTAAAGGAGATTTGGCTCGAGAGTTTCCCCTTACAAAGGGAAGACGAGACTATTCCAGGTGCGATAGTTCCCTGGCAAGATCTTGAAATCTACATTGGTGATGACTCAGAGCCTCTCTGTGATAACACCTTGTTGAAAATCAGATTATCTACATTTCCAGTTCATGCTTCCGAGAAGGATTTGTTGACATTAAACTTTTTTTCAACCAATTTAACCAAGGCCAAATCTATTTTGACTGAGAAATTGAACGTCAAGCTTATCGAAGATACACCAGATTTCCTCTCACTTAAAGACCCTTTAGACAACGTGTTGATCTTCAGAAATAGTCTAAACGATTTGGCTAGAGAAAAGTACAATTCTCCAAAAGAATATTTGGAGAAGAAAGCCACCGAAATCTTAGCCCATATTACCGAAAAGATAGAATTAGATGCTGAATCCGATGAAACTTCAGAGGCAACCAAAAAGAAGAAGAAAATCGCCGTCATGACCTCTGGTGGAGATGCTCCAGGTATGAACCCTGCTGTCAGAGCTGTTGTAAGAGCAGGTATCTATCTTGGATGTGATGTGTTTGCTGTATACGAAGGTTACACCGGTCTTGTTACCGGGGGAGATTTATTGAAGAAGATGTCTTGGGGTGATGTCAGAGGATTCTTAAGTTATGGGGGTACCAATATCGGAACTGCCAGATGTATGGAGTTCAGAAAAAGAGAAGGTAGATTGATGGGTGCATACAACATGATCAGCAATGGTATTGATGCCTTGATCGTTTGTGGTGGTGACGGTTCATTAACTGGTGCAGATTTATTTAGAGCTGAATGGCCTTCATTATTAGACGAATTGATCGAAACGGGTAGATTGACCAAATCTCAAGTTGCTCCTCATAGGAATTTGACCATTGTGGGGTTAGTGGGGTCCATTGATAATGATATGGCCATGACTGATGCCACAATTGGTGCCTACTCCGCTTTGGAAAGAATCAGTGAAATGGTCGATTACATTGATGCAACTGCTTCTTCTCATTCAAGAGCCTTTGTCGTTGAAGTTATGGGAAGACATTGTGGTTGGTTGGGTTTGATGGCCGGGTTATCAACAGGCGCTGATTTTATATTCATCCCTGAAAGACCTCCAAAGCATGGCAAATGGCAAGAGGATTTGAAGCATGTTTGTTCTAAACATAGAGCAAAGGGTAGAAGAAAGACAACTGTTATTGTTGCCGAAGGTGCTATTGATGATCAACTTCAACCCATCACTTCAGATGAAGTCAAGAAAGTCTTGGTTGAATTGGGCTTGGACACCAGAATTACTACTTTGGGTCATGTTCAAAGAGGTGGTACCGCAGTTGCATATGATCGTTTATTATCCACTTTGCAAGGTGTTGAAGCTGTGAAGGCTGTTTTGGACTTAACTCCTGAAGATCCTTCTCCTATGATTGGTATCTTGGAAAATAGAATTGTCAGACGCCCGTTAGTTGAAGCCGTTGCCTTAACCAAATCTGTAGCTGATGCCATTGAAAGTAAGGATTTCGACAAGGCAATGTCTTTAAGAGATACTAACTTTGCTGAAGCCTATCACAGTTTCAATGCAATTTCTATAGATGATGACGACGAAACAAAGTTGTTACCTGAAAGTGAAAGACTCAACATAGGTGTTGTTCACGTTGGTGCCTCTTCATCTGGGTTAAATGCTGCTACCAGAGCTGCTGCATTGTACTGTTTATCTAAAGGTCATAAGCTTTTTGGTATTGTTGAAGGGTTCAGTGGATTGATTGAAACAGGTGAAGTTAGGGAATTAAAATGGTTAGATGTTGAGAACTGGCACAACAAAGGTGGCTCAGAATTAGGAACAAATAGAAGTTTACCAAGTGCAGACTATGGTAAGGTTGCTTACTATTTGCAAAAATACAACTTGCAAGGTTTAATAATCATTGGTGGGTTTGAAGGGTTCAGTGCTCTACACGAACTTTATTCTGAAACCAAAAGATATCCTATTTTCAATATTCCTAAGATTTTGATTCCTTCTACGGTCTCAAACAATGTACCTGGTTCCGAGTACTCCTTAGGTTCCGACACCTGTTTGAACCAATTGGTCAAGTATTGTGATGCAGTTAAACAAAGTGCCTCTTCTTCAAGAAGAAGAGTGTTTGTTGTTGAAGTACAAGGTGGACACAGTGGATATGTTGCCTCTTATTGTGGTTTAATCACGGGTGCTATTGCAACATACACTCCTGAAGCCAAGATTGATTTATCAGTTTTGCAAAGTGATATTGACTTATTACTCGAAGTATTTGCTAATGATAGGGGTGAAGATAGAAACGGTAAGATGATCATTCGTAATGAGCAAGCATCGACTGTTTATTCCACAGAATTAATTGCTGATTTATTGAAAGAAAACTCTGGTAAGAGATTTGAAACCAGAACCGCAATTCCAGGTCATGTTCAACAAGGTTATACTCCAAGTTCAATGGATCGAGTAGTAGCCATCAGATTTGCTACCAAAGCTATACAATTTATTGAAAGTGAGAATAAGATTATTGCCAATGATGAATATTGTTCACCTTCAGTTGTTTTAGGTGTTCAAGGTACTGACATCAAGTTGCTGAATGTTGCGCACTTGTACAGTGAAGACGCCGATGTGAAGTTAAGAAAGGGTAAGACTGTTCATTGGCGAGAAATGACCTACGTGTCCGACATGTTGAGTGGGAAGTTGATGTTGCTTGAGGGCAAAGAATGCTGAACACCATTTCATTGTTCTCATTCAGCGGTAACATTAGTGGTTAGCCCATAAATTTTCCTAGGCATAACGATATAAATGAACAATTTTTTTATTATTGAACAAGAGTTGTTCTCCACTCTCCAGAAGGTCATTCACAAAAGAATAGAGCCACTGTAGGAACATTATCAGTGTAGGATCCATTGTAGACTGGACAAAGAGATGCAATTGCCTCTTGTCTTAGAGTCGTGCAGAATCTTTGCGAATCATAGCTTCCTGGGTAAACAGACAATACACTTCTGCAACATCTACTTGTCGAAGACGTAAAAAACATACTAAACAGGTTGAGGGAAACAAAAAAGACAAAAATGTGTAGACCAAAACTTAAACAATTAACGGAGGCTTAGATATACTATTGGTTATCAAAAGAATTTGCTTCTTGTGTGCATACAACGAACTTGGGGTAAGAACCCAGGGCAAATAAAACAACTAAGCATTAATACTACATAGGAATTACATCCATGAATTCCGAGATTCGACCCTCTTCTTCAGATCACCACTCTTTCTGCACCTTATTGTCTACAGTTTACAGTTTGGTCAATGTTGCTTGCTTCATCACATAATAATGTGTAATTATCACCTCATTCAGTCTCAATTTCTATCGTCGTGTTCCAAGACATATACACAGTCCAGCTTTGTTATCACATCGTAAATGTGTACTTTGCACTTGTGCCCTCTTTTAGAACGCTCATATGCAAGAAATAGTGTGGATGATTCAGTTAGGAGCAGGTATTACCGTTTAATTGCCAATTCTTTCGGGTGACTGTTTGCTTCTATGCTTCTTATTTTTTTTCCATCGTGCCAGCAGACCTCCCACTGCGCCCCGCTGTATTTGTCGGTCCGAGAGATCTGGATCGAAGATTGATTTGTAAGAGGTTAAAAGTGCCCTTAATTTGATTATAAATAGATGATTCAATGTATGTCTGCATTCTATATCACCTCCCGTTTAGTGTTCATTTACGCTGGGTGGGTTTTTGCCTAAATGTTCGTGGTGGTATTGGCCTCGAACCTTCAGCTTTCTCCTTCATTAAGTAGAGATAAAACGTGCAAAGGGTTCACTTGCCCCCCACAATAGCAGAGCATTTGTAAAGCCTGTTTTATTCTAAGACGTAAATACACACTTGTACAACCTTACTTATTTTAGTTCTCTGGCGAACAAGCTTTGTTAAATTTACCACAATCAAATAAAAGTAATGTGGTGTTTGAAACGTGAGTAATATAAGAGTCCGATTATCTGTCAGTGATTGTCTGATCCTACATGAATTGTTTCCCTTCCCTGAAACAATACTATGTGGCGGTGACAAAGAAAGGAAGTTTCCATTACACCACCACTACCAGAAATCTTGGAAACTTTTAGGCCCCGCTGTTTTTACCACTTAATTATTAATCGTGAAGAAGAGTGTAAGAAAAAATACTGGGGGGCCTGCCAGAACCTACGCAAAGTTACTTAAATGTTGTAGGGCTCAAACCGCGGGGACTCGGATATATTTGCTTATACAAATAAAGGCTTAATCGTTGCGTTCGGTGATGACCTTCAACGTAAGTATATGAATAAAATATACATAAATTTAGTAGTCACCACATCCATAGACGAAGGAAAGGACTGAATCCTACACTTGATATTTCACTGACTTATTTTGTCTGAATTCCCATGAAAGGAGTGATTATTGTGTCGGCAAAGCTTTAGACGTTTATTGTACTTTTTATGTCGATGCTGTTAAGTTGATTGTTTCTCTTAGTACACCGTCATTGCATAGTATATTCAAATACCTACTAGTGCACATGGAAACTATCCGTATTTAGCAAACAATAAATAATAACTTCTGCAGAGATTTGATTCATGTTCAGCCATTACATGTATAACTTAAGTCGCATGAATGTGCGTGGATTATGCACCCAATGTATGATATGTGGTAATTTTATTACGCTCCACTTTCTTGGAAAAGAAGCTGCACAAAATGTATAGACCTTCTGGGCGCCAACTTGAAGGCCCTACTGCTACGGTTACCATTTGATAATATCAACAATTTGTAGTTTGCTTTTGTTAAATAACGTTGAAAGTTTCATCAAGTCGTTGAGCCTATATGAAATACAAAAATGTGCCAAGCAGCCATGTCTGCAGGTGCTAGATGCACCTTTTCCTCAAACGTAAGGGGACAGCGGTTGTGTGGTTTGGCCATTGGAACCGTTGAACGAAAGTGCATCGAAAATCTGAATAAAGTTTGCGCTTTATGTTAAGCGGGTAACCAATATGCAAGAATGCACTCTTTCATAACCCCAACTAAAATTATCTAGTTGACGTAGATCAAATGGGGAAGCATGAGGGGAAGAAATCCCTCAATCATGAATTGAAGATTCTAGAGAGATATAACTGTACATACACAATTAATTAGTTCGTCAAACCAAAAGTAAGATACATATTATATCCAAACTAACACACAATATTTTTATGGAGCGAGGCTTTTGAAAGATTCCATTATGAGTTTGTAACATCCGGGTGTAGAGGAGGCCCGGGCTGTCGCATGAAATCGTAATGCCTCCGACCGTTTTAGGAGCTAAGGATTAGATACCAAAATGTATGAACAATGGTTTTGGTGCAAAAAGATAGGCTTAAAACTTCTTCGGTGTCATAAAGAGTACACTACAGGAGGCCCCGAATAATGAATAATTGAATAAAATTTACGTAAACTTAATTCTAGAACAACACTAAAGCTTAAGCTTAGAACGTTATAATCTGTTTGATATACTTGACGTAAATCGCTTAAAAATGGCCCACGCGAAGTGGTACGATCTCGAAATGGGATTACACGATGAGTTTCACCACATTAGATGTGAAAGGAGGGTCCTGATAGTTTTGTTTGTGATGTAGTATCGTTTGCGGTGTTTAGCGTTGAGTGAACAAGTTAGCGCATCCAATTATGATGAAGTAATCACTTTAAATTCTCGTGGGACTGAGTTTCTGGAAACTTGGGTGGAATGAAAACTATACAACACAAAGTTCAATGACTCTAAATATTTTGAGCGAATTGTTCTGAGAGAAAAGGTTGAAAGAAAAAAAGCTAGCATCGTGCAATCTACTAAGGATGATCTCATCGATTGTGAGGAAGTGAAACTTTCTTGTTGCGAACAATAGTAAAAATTCAAGCATTCGCTATCCTACATTCTAATATACAATTGTTGTACAATCTTATGGATATGAACACTTCTCAAGTTTAAGAGCTGTTGCCGGCAACTGATTGCGTTATTGTGTTTTTCGATCCACGTTTACTTCACTCGACAATAAACTTGATAGCAGCTGTTTCATGAAGCACTCTTGATGTAATATGCACATAATAGGGTGTACTATATCTCATCTCTTGATACCAATACAGATCACTCTGATTGAAACTTCTTCGGTAGTCCCTCCGGAATAAAATCTCAAAGTACTTAACACCGGCCTTCGACCATGAAAAATTCTGAAATCGACCAACACCTGAAAATAAAACGGCATGGTAGGCATCATAATGTCAAGATTTTCATATTGAGGGATAACTGCTCACGCAAACCAGACGTCGACCTTCGCGCTACCGAAAGTTTACGTATTCGACTGATATTCAATCGCACAGTGGTATACACATCGCAAACGGTAATACCACTTACTTAGTGGCTTGGACATTAAAGTGACACTTCAACCATACAGGTACCGTCTTAATTAGTAAAATGAGAATTGAGCTCAAATACAGCCCTCTCAAGTTACTCTAGTTTTCAAAGTTTACTCTACTATACACCGTCCCTACGTATACAATAGCCAGTTGTGTCTCATTTGACGATAGAGCGAACTCAAACTAAGGTTGCGAAAACTGAGCCGAAACAGTAAATTAATTTAAGTTGCAATCGGATGGAATTCTTTACCTATTGACACTTCCACACCAAGCTATATTCAACTTTTTTTTTCTTCTATTGGGCCTTTAAATATGGTCAACAAAACAAAAAAAGTTACATTTAATTTGCAATAAGAGTACTTGACCAACGGTATAATTAAACAACGAGAAAGATGTGTGGTTTCAGCCAAATAAAAATCTGTTAAGAGGGGATGCAAAAGAATCGAACAAAAGAAGGTGAAGTTGAAGGTGAAGGTAGAGGTGAAGGTAGATGTAGAGATGAAGGTGAAGGTAAGGTAAAGGTAAAGGTTGTGTTAGGGTATTATTTAATGAGTAAGGAGGCTGTATTGTTGTAAATCTTAGTATTCTGAAGCAAGCGTTTGTTCGAAAGGTCAATTAGTAATTTCGGAACATACTAAGGAATGTAAATTGAATTCCGAAAATAAAGTGAATGGTAGAGGTAACTTAGAAGGGAAGTGGGTGCAGCCTAGCTGCACCGTTGAATTCACACCTTCCAATCAGCTGGCCTGTTTTAAAAGTGTTGACGGCGATAACAAAAAAGGTTCCTCATATCACTCCCATGGCGAACTCCGTAGCCAGTTAAAATTCTTCTTGAGCGTATCTGGCAACTCTTTCCAATAATACCCCACCAAAATATACCCCGTCTTAGAAGGTAGTGTACGGCAGTGGCTCAAACCCCCCCTGAGCGAGCGACTCAAGCGAGACTTAAATTTTAATAGTTTTATTGTGGTGTGACAAAAATAACAAAAGGGCGTATAACACCTAGCGAAATAAGCTTCTTATTTTGTGTAAAATGTGCTTCAATTAACATGCCATCCCTAGTTGGGTTTAGTTAATGTCTGTAGATCTTCTTTCATCTGTCACGGCTGTATCTCCGAGCTGAACCAGCATGAAATCGCCTATCTGCAGATACTATGCGATGGCACCAAGGCTGTGACACTTGTAATTTCGGAACCTTCTGGTTAGAAAGAGAATCTGATTACAATTGCTCTGAGACGAGCGATGTATAGGAGTTGGAGCTAGAGGGGTTATTCAGCTATTATTAATTGTTATACTTTAGTTTTAAAGTGTTAGGGGTTTCTTTACGAGTGCAATTTTGAGTTTCAAGCTCTGTTTTGCCATAAACTTTTTTATATTCCGCAGCATTATTTCAAGAGGGTGGTGTTTACGCATTTCCTCCGTAAGTCCCACTCTCGGAATGAAAAGAAGCCGCTTACAGTTGATTTATTGGCCACTTCGTTTTATTCTTACCTAATCTATAGAACACATTTTTTTACATCGTCTAGTGCATTGTTAGGGTTTACGCAAACATCAAAAGAATATTCTTTTAATGTTCTGCATGTTGGCACTAACTTGTTTTTGTCTGCATTCTAGTATCTTGCAGAGGTCTGTGGAAATTGTCATGTCGCGCACCCTCTGACATTTTTTATTTATTGGAATACCGACATTTATTATTTTTTTGCCTTCTTGCGCCATCAAAGAGAATCAGCAGGACAATAGCCTTGAGAGAATCCATACAGGGTAGCCCACTAAAATATTCCCTCTAAAGCTATTACTTTTTGTGCGACTTTCTTTTATGTGACGCTTGCTTTTTTGTTTTTTTTTATTTTAGTTTATCTTATTTTACTTTATTTATTTTTACTTCTTTTATTTTTTTTCAGTAGTTTTTTTGTCCCGTTCTCCTCACCGTTTTAATACTTAACCTTGACATTTCCTTGATTGTTAACCAACGTATATTGGATTTCTGATTTTGTCTGTGATTAGTTCCACACCTTTTGAAAACTCGTTCTACCACTACAAACACTATCTTGACTGTGTTCAGGTGTGAACGTGAACTCATCCTCCCTATATCGTGCCGGAAAGTTTCTCCCTATTTGGGTACTCTGAGGTCACCAGGTAACCCACAGACTAAAAAAGAAGATTAATTAAGAAAATTTAAATTAATCTATTCCTTCCATACACTTAATTTCTGATTCTTGTTTTGTCTTAGAGCTGCTACCACTTCACTAGCTTGACTTTATAAGATATACACTGAAAGCAAAGAGTGTTCACTGCCACTTTTTTGACTGATAGAAGTGAACCTTCATCATATTCAATGGCCACAACGTCAGCCATTGTTCCATCAGGATCCGCAATGAGTCCACCCCCACAAATGACTGTTTCTGCCCCCATGCCAGTATCGATGGCCTTGTCTCAAAGCAGTCGTCTGAACGCCGCCAGTATTACTACTTCTAGAACTGGTAGTCCCGTAGACTCTCAAAGAGCTGATTCCCCAGCCCTTTCAACAGATGGCGCAGCAGGTACCAATCCTCCTACAAAGAGAAATGCCTTTGTTCACAAGTTGTTTGCTATGTTGTCAGATCCTGCTTTAAAACATCTTATTTGGTGGACTGAAAGTGAAGAACAAAATATCTTTGCTTTACATCCTGGTGAAGAATTTGCTACTGCCTTAACAAACTATTTTAAGCATGGTAATGTGGCTTCATTTGTTCGTCAATTACATATGTATGGTTTCCATAAAGTTAGCGATCCAAGCAACCATAGCAGCGATAATAACAACAACAATAATAACGCTGCAATTTCTGCATCTTCTTCCAATGAGACTTCTGGTTCACCAAAGTCAGCTTCAAAGTTGCCTGTTTGGGAATTCAAGCATTCTTCAGGTAAGTTCAAAAAGGATGATGAATCATCTCTCAAATACATCAAGAGAAGATCTTCTTCCAACTCCTCCCGACACTCCTTTACTAGTTCAAATGGGGCAGGTTCTATCTCACATAGTGGACCAAATACGTCCATTTCACATAACGGTCCCACTTCGGTTCCAATGCATGCATCGAGTGATGAGTTACTCTCCCAGAATTCGAACATCTTACCTCAATTTCAGCACGCTCATTTTCAACAAGCTGTGCTTCAATCACCCCACCAATATGCTCACATGACTGTATCGTCTCCAATGCAGCAACCTCATTCACAAGTTCAACCTCACTTTGACGCTGCTCACTTTCCTTACCCATATATGCAATCTCCATACGTTTTGGGGGCTCCTCAACAGCACATGTACACAGTAACTGGTCAACCTATGAATCCTGCAACTCCGGTCCCTTTTCATCAACACCAACAATACTCTGCTACAATTGGTCAACATATCCAAGGCTCCATAGTTCATCCTCAGCAAATTGTTGCCCCAATACCTCAAGCTCCTTATGGACCTCATCAACAATATCAAATTCCTCCTGCTGCTCCTGCCGTTCAAGGTCCAGCTAATCTTCCAACACAAACAGAGGCTGTGGGAAAACCTACTACTCCATTTTCTCAAACAGCTGGCGCAGATGCTGAACGGTCGAGAACTCCTCAACTGAATTCAGTATCACATTCACAATACCAACCCCAATACTATGCGCCTAATTTGCAGTTTAGAAAGATATGGGAATCTTCTTCAACAGATCACAGTAAGTCTTTGTCTCGTCCAAGAATCCCATCGTTGTTGTTGGATCCTTTGATTCCAGCAGCAAATCCAAGTTCACTTCCAAGAATTATTCAAAGTAACTTTACATCACCAGTTATGCAAAACAGTGAGGCACCACGTTCAGGTACTTCTCTGGTTAAGCCAAACACTAGTATTTCAAATCTGATCAGACCTTCTTTGGTTGGAATGCAAGCTAGAAGCAGTGGAGCATCCACCCCAAATCCAAGTGGGAAGAGATCACACGAAGAATCTGTGAGTTCAACTAACTCATCGATATTCCTGATGCGGTCGACATCTTCTGCTGCTTCATCGAGTTCATTGTCGTTCGGTCTTGGTAATACTGTTTCTCCTAAACCCTTTTCTGGAATTCCCAGTCAAGTACCATGCCGCAACACTTCATTTGGGGCAGGTTCATTCCCTCTTTTGAATGCAAAAAGTGGATCATTTGCTATTGGTCCAACAGATGTTTCTGAACACTCCAAGACTCAAAGTGTGATTCAAGTAGCACCCATTAGATCAACTTCACCAACTGCAAGATCTGAGACCAATATGGGAGTTGCTACTCCACGTATTGTTCCTAAGTGCAAAGGATCTCGCTCTCAAACGTCTTCACCATTATCACAGTGTCATTCAAGTACAATCAAGGAGGTACTTGAAACACCCAACGTGAAGAAGATGAGTGTTATGGATATGCTTAATGAGCGTTCGGACAAACGGAGAAAGGTTGACTAAATGGGTAGGAAATGGATAAGGGTTCAAGTTGTATTATATTTTACGGTTGCAAAAGTGTTCTGATAACACAAGCTGGGAGTTTCTTTATTATCTTTTATTATTATTACTTTATTACTGTTGTCAAATGGTGTAAATCTTGGGGTCATGTTATCTTTATCATTATTATCATTATTATTATTTTATTACTATATTTATACTATATTTCTGGGTGTCATTTAAAAGATTCTTTATATATAATTAAGCTATTATAGATGTATCTTGTTTATAATATTATTATCTGTTGTATTCCGTAATGTGTGTTAGTGTATATTGATGCTAGTTTGGGAATTCCCTTGGTCAAAAGGGTCTCTTCTTTTTACCAAATTGGAGCCCACTACTTTTGGTCACCGCCCGATGTCGATGCTTATTCGATATTTCATCATCATCGTCTTCAATATCATGGATTTTCTTTATAGTAACTGCTTTCTGCTTATTCAGGGGGTCCTTGTGTACTTTTCCTGTTCCGTTTGCCTTAAATTTATTGGCTGTATTTCGACGTTGCTCATCTCTTATCCTATTTAATAAAGCGGTCATTGGTTGTGATGTAGATGTCTTTTTATCTTTCTCTATTCCGTGAGGTTTCTTGCCGTCTCCTTCGACAAAGTCTTTCACTGTGCTCAAATCTTTCATGTTGGATAAAGTCCCCCCTTGTGGAATGATAGGTAACTGTAGAAATGGATTGTCAGCAGGTATTTCCGGTTGGGCCTCTTTCTTTTCAGGTGATGATAACCAATTGGACACCTTCGTGTTCATTTGCTGAATGGAAAGCTGGAACTTTGCTTGGAGGTCTTGTTTCTCCTGAATCTCCTTACGTCTGTTTGCTCTGGACGACATGACGAGTAAAGATCTGTGACCTAGAGGTAGATTTTGGCTTTAACATGAATAAATTTCTTGATGATGCGACTCAATTAAAGGTATTTGGCCTACATTTTTGCCTTATATACCTACACATCAGTTGTTCACTGGTAGATGATATGATTTTTCAAACAGTAATTATGCATTACACGTTTAGCATATTGCCTGATACTCACAAGTACCATATAACATCAAGATTAAGGCGGTAGAACAAAATTAACTAATATGTAGATTGTTTTGTGGTACGATGCATTCATCTGTCTCAATCTCTTTAACAACAAGTTGGTTTCGTGGTCTAGTTGGTTATGGCATCTGCTTAACACGCAGAACGTCCCCAGTTCGATCCTGGGCGAAATCAAATTGTTTTTTTGTGAGGGTTTTTTCCATTATTGACACAAATGCACACTACTGCTATTGGGAACGATCCAGTAGTGTTATTTGGCCGATTGAATGACCATTGCCATCATTCCTTAATTCCAATACCCCCGAAGGCTGAGTCTCAACCAGACGTACGCCATCGGTTTTAGAGGTTAAGCAATGAGACGTTCCCGTACTAAGTAATAACAAATATGTGGTGCATGCTTCTTTTAGGATGAATTTACGCAGATTCCCAGGTTTAGCCGGGGTTAGCATGCAGTGAACCTTTTGTCACTGTTAGTGCTTGTCACCCAGTCACTACTTGAATATGTAAGGATAAAAAATGACATCACTATGTATGAATTTAAGAGAGACCTGAAACGTATAACTGCGCAGTTGGCTATTCTATTATTGTTGTTAGGACTGCATTTTTCCGATATTTTCTCGAAACAATTATACCGAAATTGTATCAAGATGGTCCGGGGTAGAAAGTGTGGTGTTGAATTGGGAAAGTGTCATTGGTTGATTCACATATTGAATTCTTCAAATAGTCCGGTAAGTTGTGTCCGTCCCATAACCTTAAATATACATGTAACTTTGTATTCGTTCCTGTCAGTATGTGCGCATTTTACCACTTGAGCCTTAGTAGCTTGTCACATTGCTGCTTCTGGAGAAGACATGCAAGTGAAATATGTAGAAAAGAGTCGCTTTGCATAAACACCCAACAAGCATGCTTAATGCCTTGTACAAGTTATCTGTTCACAAACGTGCATGCAATAATACGACACCGCTTTAGCATGAAAGAGTATGAAAATCTGAGTATAAGCGAAGCAAGATGAATTACGCTTAAACATGCTGGGCGCCCCGTAGGCTTTAATGAACGCTCAACTTTTCACATTTGTGCTATAGGGTTATTACGCTCTTTCTAGCAAATTGAGTTTAACTTCATGGAGAGATGAATGAGAAAGGACTTCATTGAATTTAAGGTTTAAAACGACTCCCTTCTAGAAGCGCAAAATAAGCTTCGACCCAGAGCTCAGAAAAGCATTGACGGATTCTTAGATTTTCCGGGAACCTTCTTCTTCCAACAAACTAATGTAGCACAAAAACAAGAGAACAGTTAAGTGTAAATCGAATGAAGTGTTAAGTACGTTGTTGTGTATAATGAATAGATTTGGGAGATGTTGGTACCTCCGGAAGTTTGTGCATCAACAATAGGCCTGGTAAGCGGTGTATTAGAAAACCCTTAACATTCTTCAAAGATACGCTTAATATTACTTTTGACAATTTCAAGTTTTAAATCTTGACAATAATCTTTTTCTTAGTACCGTTAGATGTGCCTTCGGTAGTTCTTCCAAGATAATTCAAAAGAGAGAAAAGAAACTTATTTCAATAAGCGGTGAAATTTTAGGAAAAGCTAACCATTTAAGTTAAAAATATCTTAAAATGCACAAGACCTTTTTCTTATAACAAAGTAATCTTTAGCTTTTACATGCCAATTGCAAAGTTGAAATTTTAGTGAATCAGATCTTAAGCGCAATGATTTGGTACAGGAGCACCCGGTGATAAAATCTCTATCACATATTCAATTCTTTCGCTTATGTCGCCGTTTTCGTTCAAGCTGCAGACAGTACAAAAAAATAGATACTTTATGTGACGGATAACATTTTGGATGATGAAGTAACTATTATGCAAAATGGTTAAGCTTTGCATCAAATTAACTACATGCGTCAAATTTATGTAACAAAAATGGAAAATTCCTTTTCACCTGAGTTATCCCATAATTTAGGACGCCCTGTGCATGTAAACTACAACACCCTTTTTTGACTTGTGATATTAAATGTCTGCGTCTGCAATATTTACCCACTAATACAGCAAGCGCAAGCTGTTTCCCAATCTTGGTACCGGTTTTCCTTTGCCTAAACCGGTACCATTCTGCATCCATTCTGCATCCAAACCTATTTTGACAAGAAATGGTAAATAGCGATCATGGCAAGGTTATTCCGTTTAGCCAAATCCACGACATATAGTTGACCATACATTGAACGAAAGAACATAAGGGATCTTCAACAACAACAGTAATAAAAAGTTGAAAAACAAAAATTAAAGACATGCGCAAACCCGGAATCGAACCGGGGGCCCAACGATGGCAACGTTGGATTTTACCACTAAACCATTTGCGCAAGAGATGTGCTCCGCGACGGGGAATTGAACCCCGGTCTACCACGCGACAAGCGGTAATTCTAGCCACTAAACTATCACGGATTTATTGGGGTGAAAACGCTGCCTGATTAATACACTGTGCCGTCTCGAGAAAAAGTTGTAATGTTAACTCACATTTATGTTGTGACTTTCACTTCAATAAGGCTATGAAAAACTAGAGAATGGGAAGAAATCAATGTAACGGAGATGTTGAAATGATTGGATTGACTTAATTGTAGTTTAGCGCAATTGAGCTCTCTGAAAAACTTCAATAATTATTTCTATCACCCATTGGAATCTAATAAGAAGCGGCCTTTTATTTTAAATATACTTAAATCTTCTGGTCCCATGGGGAAACTGTTTTATGTAACTACCTGTTTTATTCTTCGAAGTCTAGAATATCATTGTAAAGTCTTCGGCAAGAGAAATAGAATCACCAAACTTGGAATAGCAACGGTTGCATCACCTAATATTTATCATTGGCAATTTCAGAAGAAATATAATGAAACGACACTCTTGGAAGCTCTCTCAAATAATGAGTATTAGTTTCATCCAAACAACTATAAAATTTAGTACAGTTAGCCACTTTCTACAGGAAATTGGTAATTGGGTGCAAAAAATTTCGCAGATGAAAACTATTGTTGAAAATTCTCAGATCACAGCACAAAAAAGAACATAGAAGGGCAAACTAGCCTTAGCTCGGCTATAATTACTTTCCTAGCCAAGATCTATCACTAGTCTCATACAAGTGGTCAATCCGTATGGTGTGGATAGGTGTCTTCATAACAAATGTCATTTGTATTACACAAAATCTGACTCGCTGTGTTTTACCGCGGTCTGAAAATCATAGGACTATTCCGTTAAGGGCTTCTTTCCTTTACTACTACTACATAACATTATGTCTACTCTAATAATAATACACCCATCTACATTATGCAGCTATATCATAGCACTATGTGTCAATATCATATATCGTGGAGCCCTCCGGATTGTCATAGTGGAAAGCGAAAATACCCGGGGGTCAGCGTTGTTTGAACAACGACCTTGGGTCGGGATGAATACTATTACCAATTTCCGATTTCAAAATGCTAAACTTGGGACAGACGTACTAAATCAACTTATATTCGATGATTCTCTTGGGATGATACGATTATCCCAGATCCAATTCATTCATCCGCAATTTGTTAATTTCAACGCTGATAAGCCTTCACCACAAGAAATCATTCAAGTATCATCGCATACCAATTTTAATTCTCCAGTTATTGGAATTTTATATCATCCTCAATATGTTCTAGAACGATTAAGAGATCATCTACAGTTGCATAGAAACATTTCATTTGTTTATTCCCTGAATTTCTCTCAAGTCATTGCTGAATTTGCTTCCCCCACGAATCTATTTGCTAATGATAAGCTATATGTACTTGATTTCCATGAAGCTCAAAGAAGCTCATTCCATATGACAAGTTCCGACAAGTATTATTTATTTAATACCAATCTTTCAGGCGTACTTTCTACTACGGGAAAACTACCTCGGAATATTCTTTGGGTTCCTCGATTAATTCAATCTCGTAAAGAGCAAGAATCACCGTTTGTTACGCGAATAGTTAATCAAACAAGGAACTTCTTACATGTGGGCATTAATGGTGGGAGTAATGAACTAGCACAAATTTATTCTACAGTGGATATAATTTCATGTTTAAGATACGCAGATATTTCACTAAGTACTTTGGCTCAGCTTCCACTTGCACAACCTCGGTTATAATAATTAAAACTAATATACATACATACAGACAGTCAGACAGACAGACAGACAGACATACAGACACACACACAGTCACACAGACAATATCTATAGATAACCTTCTTATACTGGTAATGTGGGAGAAATACCAGCTATTCTATTAATGGCTGGTGCAATTATAGGATTAGATAAAATATCACCAATGATTGGAACAGAGCGTAAAAATTGAACTATTGTACCGAAAAAATCACCGAAAAGCCCTAAAATCCCAATACTCTCTACTATAAACCCAATAAACAGTCTTTTCAATAAAATTAAAATTATCCCAAATACAAAAAACACCGTTCCTCTAATCTTATTGGGCCTGGAGAAGAAATTGACCGTACGGTAAGGTCCTATGATTAGAATGAGTCCCAATACAAAGAGAACATTGCCTAAAGCAAGTAGCCCTGAATCAAAAAGGGTCATGATTCCAAATAGGAAGAAGAAGAGTCCTCCAGCAGTGAAGGCGACTCCAAACTCTAAAAGTTGGTTAAGTGGTTAATAGCCAATCTAATCATTGAGAACCTCAACATAAAAAATGCACATACTTTGTCTTTCCGAAAGCCAAATCATCTTACTTAAACAGACAAATTAACCTCCAATGCCTTCAAACGTTAGGTAAATCTATAAATGTTTTGACAGAATCTTTTGTTTTGTCCGTACCATTCAGAGTTCTAAGATCACGTGACTATAAAATTCGATTTCGTGTTGTAACACGTGATAAACAGTGTGCCTCGATTTTGAGTACAGTTTTTCATATTCATTTACCCCGTAAAAACTGTGCCTCTAAATACTCTTAGTTTCATTAGATTATCAATACTTTAAATATAATGCCAAAGCCAGGATACAATGAAGAACTCCCCACGGATGCCCCACCTCCGTATTCCGAGACCCCTGACCCCATATCTGTGAACTCCACCAATAGCAGCAGTGAATACCAAAGACCACTACCTTCTAACTCCACCAACTCATACAAACCCCCACCACCACCAGGAAGACCTCCACGGCCAGCTTCACTGAATACTCCCTTATCCAGTGGATCCTCGTCTTCCAACAAACCGCATTCAGGCTCCGGTTCCGGCTCTTCGTCCTCCAATGTACTGGACATCTATCTGAATAATCTTCAACTCCCATTTCAGTACCCAGCCGGATATCTATGTTCCAAATGTAAGAACACCGGTCTCAAGAAAAACGGTGGCAAGTGCATGAAGTGCTGGGAGAAGTTCTACTTGAACAAACACGCATACAACCCAAACCCCTCCCTTCCCTTCAAATATCCCTTAGGAGTGCTATGTGAAAAATGTGAAAATACAGGGTATAAGAAGAAGAATGGGTTACTGTGTAAGGATTGTTGGGAAAGATACGGACCAAGAAATAGACCCAATGCCGTACAAACATCCTTCAATCCTTTTGATTTGTTTGGGTTAACTACTACTACCACAACCACAATGGTACCTTCACCCTATGGAGCCGTCTCTGGACCTCCAATAAAGGTTCGTCCAGGAGATCCAAGATTGGGAGGTGTTCTCTGTGGGAGATGTAGAGGTTCTGGAATCGTACACTTTCTTTTGGATGAAGAGATGTGTCCTGTTTGCAGTGGGTTAGGACGAATAGTGAACCAACCAAATGGTCCTCCTCCTATGCCTCCACTTCCAGGTCAATTTCCACAACAACAGCCTTATCAACAGCCTTATCAACAACAACCATATCAACATCAACAGCAACAAGGGTACTACCAATCTCCACAACAAAACCATTATGGTGACTACAAACGATAATGTGCTTAAATATAATACCAATAATTTAATATAAATGGGGTTGAATAAATACAATGTCAATTGGGTTTTTTTTAAGGATCCAATATTATTTTAAGTGTTTGTGAAATCATTAACTGTAGTTGGAAGGATACTTATAATCAGTTAATTCATAAAAGTTTTCCTTGATGTTTCTAACAGAAACAAATCTGCTCAAGATATTCCCACTACCAGCTTTATCATTGGTACCAGAAGCTCTAGCACCTCCAAACCATTGTTGTCCAACAACAGCACCAGTACATTTATCATTAATATAAAAGTTACCGGCAGAATATCTCAATGCTTCTTCAGCCACTCTAACTGCACTTCTATCTCTAGCAAACACAGATCCAGTTAATCCATATTTGGTTGTAGAATCAATGGCATTCAAAATAGGAACAAACTCATTATCTGGGTACACATAAACAGTCAATAAAGGCCCGAAGAATTCATTCTTTAAAAATGGATGGTCTTTGGATTTGGCTTGAACAATGGTAGGTTGGACATAATATCCATTGGTCTTATCATATTCACCTCCAGCAATGATTTCCAATTCGGAATCTTGTTTAGCTTCATCAATTGCCAGTGATAACTTGTTGAAGGATTGTTCATGAATAACTGGTCCCATAAATTCATGAATGGTGGAAGAATCAGAAGTATTACCGATAGTTATAGTTTCAACTCCAGCAATAAGTTTCTCTTTAAATTCTGACCAAATAGAATTGGGAACATATAATCTTGAAGTAGCGGAACATTTTTGACCTTGATATTCAAAAGCACCTCTTAAAGTGGATAACACAGAATGATCAATAGAAGCAGATGGGTGAATTAAATGGAAATTTTTACCACCAGTTTCACCAACGATTCTTGGGAAATCTCTATATTTATCAGCAGCAACATTACTATTGATCTTACCGTATAAACTCTTGAAGACTTGAGTAGAGCCAGTAAAATGTAATGCAGAAAATTCAGGATCCTCCAAAACATTATCAGTTACCATATTTGGTTCACCAGGAATGAAGTTGATAACCCCTTTAGGTAAACCAGCTTCTTCCAAAATGTTCATTAAAATATAATTGGATAAAGCAGCAGTAGCAGATGGTTTCCAAACAACAGTATTACCAACCAAAGCTGGTGCACCAACAAGATTAGCAGCAATGGCAGTAAAGTTGAAGGGAGTAACAGCATAAACAAACCCTTCTAAAGGTCTATATTCAGCTCTATTCCAAACACCCGGGGAAGATTTGATTGGTTGAACACCATACATTTCTTCAGCATATTTGACATTAAATCTAAAGAAATCACATAATTCAGCAATAGAATCGATTTCCGCTTGATAAACATTTTTACCTTGTCCCAACATAGTGGCTGCCAACATATCATATCGATATTTAGTAGAGATCAAATCCGCTGCCTTCAAGAAGATAGCTGCTCTATCAGTCCATGGAGTACGAAGCCATTCCGATTTGGCTCTCTTGGCAGAATTGATGGCTGACAATACATCTTCTTCACTGGCTTGTGATACTTGAGCCAACACTTGAGAATGCTTTGCAGGGTTCACTTGAGGAAGAGTATTCTCTTTATAAACCTTCTTACCATCAATAATTAAGGGGATATCAAGAGCTCCATTATCGGTATATTTTGTAAGGGCTACTCTAAGCAAATCCCAATCCTTTTGTTCGTCATAGGAGAAATTCTTTACCGTCTCATTGGTCAACTCGACAGGTACTTTTGGGGTATGCAATTGGGAAGCTATAAATCTCTTGGGGATAACCCTTTGAGTTGTAAGGGCAATTCTTCCCCCTAATGGAATAACACGGGCAACGCTTAACATTTGCAACCGGAAAGAAATGTGATGTGTATTAATATGATACGTGTTTTTTTCTTTAATCAGGAGATCGTTTGCTACTTATATACTGTTGATCCCTCACGCAATTGCTGACCCCATATACTCTTGACTGAAAAATCCGTTATAGGCAAGCGACGCCGAAGGTGGCCGTTAGCGAGGGTCTGAAAATGGTGCGACTAAACGAGCGGATCTGTCTTACCAAATTATTATCGGCACGGCTTAAACCTGATAATGCGTTGCTACATACAGGTGAGGTTGTGCAAAGTTAGCACTGTGAAAGAAGTCAGAGATTCCCCGATTAGGGTGAGGGTTGCAAATGATACAAGCTGCACTTCATAAGTGTGCCACTCTTAAGGAGTTTGGTGCCATGGGGGAATGGAAATGTGCTCTATTGTAACTACTTATGGGTCAAAATTAGTCAGGGTTGAAATGGTTATATAGATAGAACGGAGTTCAACCCAAAAAAGTAATACCTATTTTAAGTGAAGATACAAGTCTGAATACATGAAGGAAGAGATTAAATCAGCTAGTTGAGTTAGTAAGAGTTGGAAAATGCCAAAACTTCCCCAAGAAAGTGTCGACAACTCAGCAGCACCCACGAATGAAGAACATTGGGTGCTGATCTCTTTCGAGGGTCAAACAATAACCTCAGCCAACCATCAATAACTTTAAAAGCTGAGCGAAAAAGATAGTGAGACTGGCATCCTGGGACAGTACGATATCAGGACCAGACATACCATGATCAGACATATCATGGTCAGACAACTAGAAGCTGACCTATAGAGCCTCAAACTGACGCAGGAAGTTATAATGAGGGATCTTGAACTTCAAAATTAAAGCGACGACTATGACTCGAAGCAAAGGGGCCACCACAACAACTTTATCTAACTGTAGTGAAGCTACTGTACCTTCTGTTAGAAGCGAAAAAACCGATAGAGACTACAGCAGTCACCTTTGGACAATCAACACAGGCTCAGAACCTGACGAGCGTACTTTTAATAAAGCTCTAAAGCATAGCGATGAATTTGAGATCGAATATGCTCAAGACATGGCGCACAAAGGTAAGAGCACAATTTGATCGGCGAGCTTTCAAAATACTGTAGTGAAGGAATATTTCATAAATCTTGAGACGTTGGAAGCAAATCAGGGGAACATGTTGGTTATTGATGTCTGCCATGAATAATTTTGATTATAATAAAGTATCAAACAGAAAGTCCAATTGGGTGGATCCATATGTGAAAAATTATTATTACTGTGCATTTGTAGACTATCTTAGGGAGTTATTACAGCAACAATTCCGATTTAAACCTACTGATCTCAATAGACAATGGACGAAACCTAATATACTAGTTTACGAGATGTTATGGCTAAGGTGTTACAAAGGCACCATAGCACTAGTTACAATTCAGGCAAGGCAATGCAATGGATCGAAACGAGATTACATAATATCTCAGTGATCAAAAGGACAATTTATCGACATCAATTCATAAGAAGAAGTTTACCTGAATCTTATTTCTTTATACAGAGAAGCGAAAAGAGCAGATATAAATGTTGCAATGCAATTAGCATTAGCAGCCAAATACATCGGAGCTTCAATCGCTACATTAGGATTAGGAGGAGCAGCTATAGGAATCGCTTTAGTATTCGTAGCTTTAATTAACGGTACATCACGTAACCCTTCGTTTCGTAACAGATTGTCATGAAGAAAGTTGAACGTATCAAATATGTGACTCTAGGGCTCGGTGCTTAACGTTCGTTCCACTTACTAAATAGTGTGCGAGGTCGTGGAACGTCAGTAGATTATCCGATTAAGATTAAGTTGATGGCTGCAAGATTGAAGTCTGCCCTCACCATACTGAGAAAACATGGATGCTGGTGCTAAGGGAATGAGCTGTGTTTTGTTATTACCCGTCGAATTGATCCGATTGAAGTGGTACAAAATAGAGAAGATTATGTAGAAAAGTAGAATACAAGAAGGTTCGTAGTAAAGACACATTTCTATCTGAATATACAAACAAACAAACTACGAGTTGAGTCACTGAAAGCTCAAATATGTTTAAACTTAATCCCATTGCAATTACTGAACCTCTTCAAGGAGGTATGCACGCACCTGAAACATCCACGAATGAAGAATGCCGAAAGTCAATACCATTTGAAGGTTGAATGTGCGAGTCCAATTAGCGGTGCCCTAGTTTTTAAAAAATGCAACAGAGACTGGCTGTTATCGTTAAACGGTTTGTGAATATAATAGACAGATGATAACCATGGAAAGTCATCGTTAGCTCATATTGCAATTTGAAGCGATGTCTAGATTTAGAGGTGAAGATGCCACAACTCCAAATGTCGGGACCCCTTAGGATGACAACAGTGTTGTGCATGATGATGAAAGCAACAATAACCATGCGTTGAGCTATCCAAACTGACATCCCGTTGATAATGCAGCAAAGCATTTGTTGGAAGATCCAACAAAAGAGGCCAGAAGATGGGTCACGGCAACAATGGAAGAAGAACTCAAATAGATAGCACAGAGCTTACACCGCCACTATATTACCAATCTATCATAAGAGGTTGCTCTTGTTGTTATGCTTTGACATCGCTCGTCTACTTTGGTACATAGAAATGTAGAAAGCATGGGGCCTTTATCCTTAAATTGATCTCAGCGAGCTATCAGAAAGGACCAGAAGTAGAAAAGCCAATTGAAGCACATCTCAATGCGGTGAACTCCAATTGGCCTTGACACTAGAGGAAGATTAGAAGAAGTTTTGAACGGTGTTGAATATCTATCTCTCTAAGCTTCGCTCCAAAACAATCAAACAACAAGTACAAACTACTTCAAGCCTACTGAACTTGAACCAATTATGTATCACATCCGAAACCCAGAGAAACTGCTGATACACTAAACTTCTGATATACTAAGGAGTGTCGTACCCCAGAATATTATTTCAATAAAGCATACGTCTCAAGCATGTACAAAGCATATGTATAAACATATGTTACATATGCAGTGCCTTCTCCAATTCGTCCATCTGTTTGAGAATTGACTCCTTATTAGTATTAAAATTCGCTTCATAAGCTTCTAAATTCTCCATACATTTGTTAATGGAAGTATCCCATTTAACCATGTCTGCCATAATACTATTGACAACCAGATCAAGTTCCCCAACAAAGTTAACACAACAAGTGGTATCGATATGAACCCGTTGTAGAGTCTTTAAACGTTCTATAATACGGGGAACTGTATGGTTAACTGCATCGAATTCAGGAATCCGACTACACAATTGTCGAAGTTGGGTTCTCTCAGTTTCAGAAAGACCAGCATCACTTCCTAGACCTGCCAGTCGCTTCAGAATATTATTATTGCCCTGTATTACATTTAGAACTTTGGTTTGAGTTTCTAGAATATCATTCTCTTTCTTGATGCTATCGATTTTCTCCTTCACAATGTCAATGGCATATTCCGGGTTCTGAATAATATGCGTCTTTCGTGTCAATTCCTTGATCACAGCATGGATAGAAGTAGGAAATGCCTCAGTAAAGAACTCCGGACCAATTTGGGTTTCTAATGAATTAATTTTAGTTTCTAGTTCCAGTATAACGCCTGTATCCACAAGATTATTATCATTATTATAATTATTATTATTATTCATGTCACGTGATCTTACCCTCGATTTGTGTAACTCATTCGTTATCAGATCAAACAACGATTTCACTTTAGTCCCATATAAATTCTGCTCAGACCTGTCAGCTTCCTTCTTACCATTTTGAATCGTATCAAGCATTGAAATCAAGCTCTTAACTTGTACATCATCCTCCTCTAAAGACAATTGACTCAATTCTTGTTCTATACGTGCAAGTTTCTGTTGTCGAGTTTCATCGACTCTTGCAACATTGTAGCCTATAAATTTGCCCAAAGATACGTTCCCCAGGAAGTCCACTGCCTCCCCGACAACTACATCGTTGCCAAATCGGATCTCGGCCTCAGATCGGTGTAGGCTTTCTTGTATTATGTTTGGATCGGACCTTGGAGATTCAGGCACGTGACGTTCTTCCTCCACGTCAGAATTCTCAAACACTTCCTGTGCTCCGTAATCCACATCAGGAAGTCCTTTATATTTGCTGACCATAATTAGGATTGAAAGTTAGGAGTAACGTTAACGGTACTGAAGTTATCTAATTCTGTTTACAGTAATGGAAAATATCGTTTCAAAAAGTGACACAAAGCGGTGCTATCTTATGTCTATATATTACATAATATACTATCACCATTCTTCCTTACTTGGTAACAATTTGAACCACATCTTCATCATGAACAGGTTGATTTAATCCACATTTCTGTGGAGAATGCTTTGCACTTGAGCCCCAAACTAAAGCATATTTGAATTGATTTTTCATATCTCGATGAATGGCATCACAAACTTGAAGAATGGTAGAATCTGCTCTGACCACCATTGGGTCATCAAAATTAGGCATTATACCTCTTCTTTTAGTATATAATCTTAGTAAACCAAGTTTCCTCCATATTTCTTCTTTTAAATCTTCTATTCCTAAATCCATTTCACACGACATCACCACGGTATTTGGCTCTCTTGCCAAACGGTCGGTTTCTTCCAATGACACCGCATCAACCTTGTTGTAAACATAAAGACACTTGGTGTATGTTACGTACTGTTCGTTAATAACATCAATGAAATCTTCCATAGTAACGTTCTCATCTCTAATCAATACATCAGCATTATGGACCTTATAATCCTTTAATATAGCACTAACCATTTTCTCATCCAAATATTTAGGAGTTGTCAATGAATTCACCTTTATACCACCGGTTTTCTTCATTTTAAGAGAAATGTTGGGCCTTTCCTTATTTAACCGAATCCCCATACTTTCCAATTCATTTTCCAAGACTTCTCTTTGATCTTTACCCTTGGTAGCATCCAAAACCATTAAAATAAGATCAGATGTTCGAGCAACTGCAATAACTTGTCTCCCTCTACCTTTGCCTTGAGAAGCAGCCTTAATAATCCCGGGTAAATCAACAATTTGAACCTCAGCTCCATTATATTGTAATATACCTCCAACAGATGTCAATGTTGTGAATTCATATCCAGCTGCCTCTGATTTAGTACTAGTCACCTTATTCAAAAAGGAAGATTTACCAACAGATGGGAACCCAATTAAAGATACTCGGGCATCACCAGCTTTAGCCACTTCAAATCCTTGACCTCCTCCACCTCCACTACCACCTTGAGGTTCCAAAAGTTCTCTTCTGTATCTGGCAAGCTTCCCCTTCAATAACCCAATGTGATACTCGGTAGCTTTGTTCTTTTGAGTTCTACTCAACTCCTCCTGGATCTGAGCAATCTTCTCCAATATCCCCATTACTTGACTATAATGGGAAAGGAAAGACTTTGATAGTTTCCTTCTGATCAGCTTGAGTTTATACTTTTCGCAAGTGTCAGTGTAAAGCGGTAAAGACACGCCTTCGCGCGCTCTTCTACCTCATCGGAAATTTTAGGTAGTCTTGTCATCGCAGACTACTATCCAACTACCTACCCGAGTTTACACTGTACTCTAATATCACAACAGTACTTTGGTATAGCGTTGTTCCAATACATTCATTATGGGAAAATCAAGGGAAAAGGTGACCAACAAAGTAAGCAAAAAACCCCAGGGTGTGCTGAGTGCAAAGTTGAAGAAGAAAATAAGAGATGTGGAGAGATTACTTAAGCGGGACTCATTGAATGGAACCACCAGAACCGAAAACGAAAGAAAACTAAAAGCCTTGAAGGTTCAACTAGCAAACAGTAGCCTTAACTTACAAGCCAAGAAGAACGCCAAAAAGTATCACATGGTCAGATTCTTTGAAAAGAAGAAGGCTGTCAGAAAGTTGAAACAAGCAATTAAGACCTTGGAGGAAGCCAAAAAGACTGAAGTAAAAAAAGACATTAAAAAGGCCAGAAAATCAGTGAAGTTCTGTGAAATAGACCTTGTGTATACCATAATGTTCCCCAAGAACGAAAAGTATATTTCATTATATCCTAACCCCAAGGATGAGGACAAACAACTGACATCCACACCTCAAGCAAAGGCAGGAAAGTTGGCCAGTGAAAGTCTTAGAAGAGAAAAGAGAAAGGAATATGAAAGGTTGATTGAAGAAGACAAGTTGCCTTTCACTTTGGAAGACGTTTTGGCAGGTAAGACCATTTCATTAGATTCCGAAGTTCTCACAGCAAAGATGGAACAAGAAATCGATGCCGAAGGAGAAGAAAATGGAGAAGAAGAAGACGATGAGTTTTTGGAAGAAGCTTAATCGCCTTAATCTTTCAACGGATCAAAACCGGTATAGTTATAGATTTGTTATGTTGAGTACCGTTTGTATAATAGTTTCAAAATTTCACAAACTAACATTTTCACAATACCGTAAGTCCATAGCATCATTAATGAGATGTACTTTCACTTCTTGACCTTTCAATTCCGGAGGAATTGTCACCAAGCTCTCGATCTTCCCCCTCTTGCCAATCATCTTGGGACTGGCTCTCTTCAACACAAGTAATTCGTCATCTTGTAGATCAGATACGATCAAGAACCACGACTCTCTTTGGGGTTTGGGGAAATGTGGACAGTAAACTTTGAAATCTTTGTTCAATGGTGGATTCTTGTGGACTAAAGTACATTGGATATTGTTCCCATCAGAAGTCTTTTCAACACTAAACGTACCCACCGGTAATTTGGAAGCAATGGTGATAAATTCATTCTTCATGTCCTCAGTATTGTGAATATAAGGCTTCTCAATGGCCATCTTATCTTGAGTATTGTAAGTAACCCCTAGGGTTTCGCTTAAATTAGCCAACCTTGTCCTATTGAAGTTACCCAAGTTTTCCAAACTTGTCTCTGATGCTTTTTCATTCATGGCTTTAACCATTAAACCTGGTAAGGCGGTCACTGGATCATCATCATACCAATACCTTTGCTTAATGCATTGCATCAACTTAATAAACAGCATTACAGTCTTAAAGTATCCAAGTTCTGCTGCAGCATCAATAAATGCCTGTAAGATACGGAGAGACTGATCAAGCACAGCAATTGTATCTTGGGAATAATCAGCAATTGGAAATTCAATTCGACTTATAAAAGCTTGAACCAACAAATAAGCCTTGATATGAGGGTCCCATATATATTCATAATCCAAGTCTTGAGCAGGGAATCTTGACACTTGGGACAACTCCATATTGATGAGTTCTTCACCATGTCTAGTTGCCAACTCATCGTATTCTGTAGCCTGGCAAAGCAATTGAAGACATTCTCTAAACCCAAAGTCTTTCTTAATTTTTTGTACAAAGTTCCGAATGGTCTTATGGGAAAGATAATAGTATGAAGTAATGTCTAAGAATGGGGTGGAGATAAGTTCATCTTTACCATTCACTAAAACACATTTTGACTCACGTAAATGTTCTATTGTTTCGTCAATAAGTCCTCCAAGGTACTTGGCAACTCCCATAGTACTTTGATCTTCAATTCCATAATAAGTAGGGTTATTATGTGCCCTTCTGTATAAGAACGTCCACGTTAAAAAGTCCATAGCTTCTTGTCTTGTCTTAATAGTTCCTGAAGAAATTTCAGCACCAATATGATCATCAAGTACTTTATGCAATGATGATTCAACAGGGAACCCTATGTTCAAGAAATGCTTATAGAATGCCTTTTTTGATTCCTTCGTATAAACAATTGCTATACCACTGGTATCAAAAGCCGGACGACCAGCTCTCCCCATCATTTGCAAAATGTCTGTCAAATCCATATCTCTATAACCTTCAATTTTGGAATCAAAGAATTGAGTTCCTTTTATAATCACCAAATGAGCTGGCAAATTAACACCCCAAGCCAAAGTCGAAGTTGCAATTAAGATTTGAATCTTCCCTGCTTCAAACAACTTATGAGAGATTTGTCTGTCTGATTCAACCAACCCTGCATGATGAAGCCCCATTCCAAACTGTAAAGCAAGCCTTAAAGTCTCATCCTTAACATTATCCATTATAGATTGAAGTTCATCTTCTCCCATATTAAGGAACCGTCTAGGGTTGGACTCCATGCCACACATATGGATCAAATCTAAAGCAGTAAGTCTTGTTTGTCTACGAGAAGCAACAAAGATCAACACTGGTTTGTGGGGAGAATGCTGTTTAATGGCCATAAATGCTGGCTTATTCATGCTCTTCATCAAGGGACTAAACCCGATATTATCCGGGAAACCATCAATGTACATTTGCAATGGAACAGGCCGTACAGATTGAGGGAAGTTAAATAACCCTTCTTTAACACCTAACCAACCTGCCATATCAAAGGCGTTGGAAACAGCAGTAGACATTCCTAACAATCTTATAGGCTTTCTTGTTTGGGAAGAAATATAGTTCATACGACTAACAATCATTTCCAAAATAGGACCTCTATCACTCGCCAATAAATGGATTTCATCCATGATAACCAAGGAAATACCTTGAACAAACTTTCTGGTTTGCCAATTACGAGATATACCATCAAACTTTTCTGGAGTGGTGATAATAATATCGGCTTCTCTTACCTCATGTGGTTCAGGTAAAGAATCACCCGTCAATTCAACTAATTTATACAGAGTTTGACAACAAATCCGAGCACGCCAGTCGTCAACTCGTTCTCTGACTAAAGCTTTCATCGGTGCAATATAAACCACCTTAGAACCAGGGAACTCATTAAAAGCATGCCAAATTGCAAGCTCTGCCACAACTGTTTTCCCAGAACCAGTTGGAGAACCCACAAACACGCTTGAATTAGTATTGTATAACGAGTGGAAAACCATAGTTTGCATGGGGTTGAAGTATTTGAACTTGGTGGAATAAATCAGCTCAATATCTGGATTATGTAACGCAGTCACTGGCAATGGTTGTAATCTCAAAAGTTTGGTTCTAATTGTTTCATTCTGAGGTCTAATTAAATGTTGGAATGAAATTGCATGAACAGATTCAGATCCAATCCAAGAGTCCGATATAACCCGAACAACAACTTGAGGAGGCAAAGGATCCGATAATGGAATCATAAAATCCAATTCATGGTTCCCTTTCATGGATCTTTTGTTGAGTATCAATTTTTCCACATGAAGAATCTCTGAAGCATTCGACTCTTCGACGGTGATCCAAAACATTTGAACGGTCCCATGATACTTTTCATCCCAAACAAAATCAGGATATAAGTTCACATGAACACGCATGACATTAGTAGCAATTGGGAAGATTTCGGTTTCGATATCAACGTATGGGAATTTCCCAATCAATTTGTATAATGAGTGGCCCATCTTTGAGTTGTGGACATAATCACCCAACTCACCAGGACTCATTTCTCTTAACATATCCATTGAAGGGTTCTTATCTCGAATATTCTTCAACACCGTATCTGGAAGGTCAAATTGGGTCATTGGATGATCAAACTCCCATATCCGTTTATCAATTGCTTTACAGAGGGAAAGCATAACCTTCAGAAATATACCCCATTTCCTGGTGATTCCAATATTAAATAAAGCTCTGCAAATACGAGCAGCATTTTGAGCAACATAATTGGAATCAGCAATTAAAGCAGGCTCTCCAATAGAAGCTCTTGATATAAATGCCTGTAATAAGATGTTAGCTTTGCCCTGTGGCGACTCAACATCTCCTGGAACTTGACAAGCTGAATTGGTTTCATATAACTTTCTAAGTGCACCTTCTTCATCTTTTCTAAACACAATCCCATCAAATTCACTACTCATACTGATCATTGCAAGCACATCTGCTTCAGTAGCTCTTGGGTTCATCATTTGATTAAAGATTTCCACCGAGTTGTTCAACAAATAGAAATCAGAAGCAATTCTACCCAAGTTCTTGGAAGTGAAAGAACCGGAATTCTCATCAAAGATAATCATTTGCAAGTGATGAAGTCTTCTTGCAGACGTTAATATTAAAGTTCTTCTTCTGTTGTATAATAGAGGATCTTCCTTGAGCTCTGCCCATTCAATACCATAACCAAATGGGTTCTGCCTCATTCTTACAAACATATAAGAATAACCCAACCATTGTACACCTTCTTCAATGTTAGTCACAGTTCCCAAAGATATTTCTGCATTCAAATTATCAATTAATTTCTCTGCAAGTTTTGACTCAATCGGGTGTTGTTGAGTAATTAAACTGACATAATGGTCTAATTTATCGATGGTTGTCAAAAGTATACCCGTACCAAATTCTTCAAATTGAGGTCTACCAGCTCTACCAAAAATTTGGATAACGTCAGATATTCCCAAGTCAACAAGACCACCCTTTTTAGAATCATACACTTGGGTTCCCTTGACTATGACAACAGCAGCAGGTAAATTAACACCCCAAGCTAATGTTGCAGTCGTACAAAGTACCTTTAATGCACCATCCATAAACATCCTCTCTGTCAAATTACGATCAGATCTAAGCATACCAGCATTATGAATACCAAATCCACTGGGGAAAAGCTCTCTCATGTCTTTATTTCTATTCTTATGGCCCATTTCTTTGGAGTAAAATGAATACTTGGATGAATTTTCACAAGAGAAAAGTCTTGTTTCACCTTTCTCTCTGGCCATTCTAATAAAAGTTTTAGCTGTTTTGACAGTTTCTTTCCTGGAATGAACAAAGATCATCACCTGCTTTCCCTCTCTTAAATACTCCACCAATTTATTATAACAAACAGAATCTAAATTCTGTTGTATTACTACCATTGGCGGCTTCCTTTCCTCATTCTCTGGTTGGTTCTTATTGACACCAATCAAGTTTTGTTGTAAGGGAACGGGTCTAAAAGTTGCATCAAAATAAAACATCCCAACTTGACGGTTTACACCAAGGAAATCGGCAACATCCATAAAATTAGGAAGCGTGGCAGATAAACCTACAACCCGGATCATCAGTTGGGAACTTTCAACTTGTCTCAACGTTCTGGCAACCAAAGTTTCAATGACAGAACCTCTATCTTCATGTAAGAGATGGACTTCATCAATAATCAATAGCTTAACTTTTGCAACTAAATCGTTATCACCACTCAGTTTTCTGGTGACAACATCCCACTTTTCAGGGGTAGTAACAATGATTTGAGTTGTCATGATCTCCTGCTTGGATAATTGCATGTCCCCTGTCAATTCTTTAACGGTAATCCCTAGCCATGCCAATTTCTTGGAATATTTGTCCACAATTTCAGCTGCAAGGGCCTTTAAAGGAGCAACATATACAATCTTAAACTCTTCGTAATCAATGTCAAGTGTCATACCCTCTTCATGTTGAATTTCATTAGAAAATTCACTGATAGTTCTTAGAATCGTTAACATTGCCACATCGGTTTTACCAGCACCAGTGGGAGCACATACTAACATGTTTTCATTCGTTTCGTAAGCAACTGGGAATACAATGCTTTGCATCATATTCAAAGTCGAATAGTTTTTGAACGTTCCTTGACAAAATAAATCAAGAGAATTAACCTTAATCAACTGTTCCTTAGTGATCCACCGATTGGCCTTTCTTTCTGGAGCAGGAATTATTATTTCTTCATAAGTATTGTATTGTTGACGAGTTGAGCCTTGTGGTAAGGCGTATTTCTTTCCAATACTTGATAGCATTCCTGTTCCAGAGTCTGGAGCTTTGAACACATGCGGATACTGGCGAGACAGCAGTTTAGGGAGAATCCTCTGGTTCTTAGTTCTATTCTGGTTATCAACTAATAGTTGAACTCTTTCTTCGGTGGTCAATAATCTATTTGGATCTTGGTCTATGATCACACTCTCTTTGTTTCTCTGAAGCAAAGAATCCTTATGCTGCAAAATCTTGGATATTAAGTCAAACTTTTCAAACCCTAAAATATCAAACAATTGGGATTGTAATTCTTCTTCCTCAGAACTCAATTCAATCGCTTGACGTATCATATCTAACACTTGATCACCCAAAGTCTCACATTCTCGTACAATTTCCTTAGCAGCGGCATCATTTTTTGAAAAGGAATCGGATCCAACAGGTAGAATTCGACCAACATCTTGTATCTTTACCGATTTAAATCCATCAACTATTTTGTCAATCGAGGTAATTCTACTTCTATCATTATCTATTGTGGGAATCTTAGGTATCGTATCGAGATCACCCAATTGAGCCATTGACTCTTGGAGAAACGACATGGCTCTCATATACGACTTTGTCGCATTCACATCGTAGTGCACCGACATTGTATAGCAGCAATCTATGGTAGTGAAATCAAAATAGTCTATCTTGATGGCAACTTTTGGTAGCGGATTCTCAATAGTGACTTTTAATTATGGATATTCCCAATTAGGAAAGTAGTGTCATTTTGCACAAGTCATGTCGCACTTTCCCATTTTGGTCTGAAGCTTGAGTGATGAGATGAGGTACTGATTGAAAATTCAAAATGCCACTGGTTACCACTATTCATAGTAGATTACCTCCACATTGATCAATGGCTAAAGGTAGTAGCATAAAGAACAAGACTCGGCAAAGAGCTGAAGTTGTGTCAAAGAATAAGAGAAGCCATAAGGAAGTTGAAGAATCAGCTGACGAAGATGAACAAAATGAACAATTGGTGGAAGAATTAGATGAAGAATTTGAAGATGTTGCTGAATTATTAGGTGATGACATTCAAGATCCCGAAGCTAGAAGAAACGAGAAAAGGGCTAAAAGGGAACAAGAAGAAGTTGAAAGGTTGAGTGCTTTGACGAAGCCCCAAGTGAAAGAAATTGCAGAATCCAACAAAACCACAAGTGAAGTGTCAACTAACTTTGAGGATATCGGCTTATCTGAACCTACGTTAAAAGCCATAAAGAGGATGGGTTTCACTAATATGACAGAAGTTCAAGCTAGGACTATTCCACCATTGTTGGCTGGAAGGGATGTCTTGGGTGCTGCAAAGACTGGTTCAGGTAAAACTTTGGCATTTTTGATTCCTGCAATTGAAATGTTATACTCATTGAAGTTCAAGCCACGGAATGGTACTGGTGTGATTGTTGTTTCACCTACTCGTGAATTAGCATTGCAAATCTTTGGTGTTGCTAGAGAATTAATGGAATTCCACACCCAAACTTTTGGAATTGTTATTGGTGGAGCTAATAGAAGACAAGAGGCTGAAAAATTGGCGAAAGGTGTTAATATTTTGATTGCCACCCCAGGAAGACTTTTAGATCATTTGCAAAACACTAAAGGATTTGTATTCAAGAATTTGAAAGCTCTTGTTATTGATGAAGCTGACAGAATATTGGAAATTGGGTTCGAAGATGAAATGAGACAAATCATTAAGATCTTACCAAATGAAGATAGACAATCAATGCTATTTTCTGCTACTCAAACTACCAAGGTTGAGGATTTAGCAAGAATCTCTTTAAGACCAGGCCCATTATATATCAATGTTGTTCCCGAAACGGCTGCTTCCACAGCTGATGGGTTAGAACAAGGGTATGTTGTTTGTGAAAGTGATAAGAGATTTCTTCTTTTATTTTCTTTCTTGAAGAGGAATGCTAAGAAGAAGATCATTGTGTTCCTTTCATCATGTAACTGTGTCAAGTATTTTGGAGAATTATTAAACTATATTGATTTACCAGTTTTGGATCTTCATGGTAAGCAGAAACAACAGAAACGGACAAACACATTCTTTGAGTTTTGTAATGCTAAACAAGGGATTTTGATTTGTACGGATGTGGCTGCTCGTGGGTTGGATATTCCAGCCGTTGATTGGATTATTCAATTTGATCCTCCAGATGATCCAAGAGATTATATTCATCGTGTTGGTCGTACTGCCAGAGGTACTCAAGGTAAGGGTAAGTCATTGATGTTTCTCACACCTCAAGAATTAGGGTTCCTTCGTTACTTAAAGGCCGCAAATGTTCCATTAAATGAATATGAATTCCCTACCAATAAGATTGCTAATGTTCAAAGTCAATTGACAAAGTTAATAAAGAGTAACTATTGGTTACATCAAAGTGCTAAAGATGGTTATAGATCTTATTTACAGGCCTATGCATCTCACCATTTAAAGACTGTTTATCAAATAGATAAATTGGATTTGGTTAAAGTTGCAAAGTCCTTTGGTTTTGATGTTCCTCCAAAGGTTAACATTACCATTGGAGCCAGCGGCAAGTCTTTAGAGAAGAAGCATAAGAAACAGAAAAGGGCATAAAGTGTATAATAAATATATAATTATAAGACGAGTAATAACTTACTGTAATTGTAAATTAGTGTCGTAACAAGTAGTGCGGTGCTCAATGTACTGACGCATCTTTCAGACTGTAGTATCAATAAAGTTCACAGCTACCAACGCGTGTGTACTAACAGTCACGTCACTCTGTTACACCGATGGACTTTAATAAAGAACAGACGACAATGGTTGAGTACGTCAATAAAGATTTGTCTTGCGAATCCACCGTAGATCGGGTCGGTGGATATCTGTATAGCGGGCAATATGAAAAGGTAGATGACTTTTCACTTGATCCAGGTTCTAGACATTACAACCACCAGTTTTATTATATATACCAGGCGAGATCGCGTGAGTTGAGACCTCGGACGGAAAGGGAGGCTCTTAGCAAATGGGGTAACGGTGATAAAAACATAGATGGTCAAACCATTATCAAGAAGGAAAAGATTTTGGATATAACTGCTGGTATTTTGTGTTGGGTAACTGGGACTATATTTCGTGAAATGAAGAATAAGTTGGACATTGTTAAAGATGTTGTCACTGGAGATGATGATGTTTTACCTAGTATACCTGCCAAGTATGTGGGTAATGAAGAAGATGATGACTCAGAGGAAGGAACTTACATAATTGAAGATGAATCTGGGAGAGCTATATTAAACTCTGATACCTTATTTCGCGAGAATTTGATTGTGACTGGATGTTATATGGGAATTTTGGGTATAGAGGTTGAAAGTGGGGTATTTGAAGTTATGGATATAGCATATCCAACTATGGCTCCACAACGGCCATTACCCATTGCAGAAAAAGAAGAAGAAGAAAAAGAAGAATATATTGCTATTGTTTCAGGTTTAAATATAGGGCATGAAGAAGATTTAAAGCTTGATCTTTTATCCCAATATCTTATAGGTGAACTTGGACTGAATGAAACCAGAGACAAGGCTAAAAGAATTATCCGATTATTAATTGTTGGAGACTCTATAAGACCCAAAACAGTTGATCTTCGGAACAAAGATTATCTAAGTTCAAATAATTATGGTCTGAAGAATGTTTCAACTTTAGACTTTCCAAATTTGAAAAAGTTTGATTATTTCACCAATGAAATATTGGCTAGCATACCTATAACGATTTTACCTGGACCTAATGATCCCAGTGATATTTGTTTACCTCAACAACCAATGCATAGATCATTTCTTAAATCCAATAAACAATTGGTTAATGATATCAATGCATTACATTTAGCTACTAATCCTACATGGCTTGAATTCAATGGAATACGAGCCATTGTCTCGTCTGGTCAAAATATCCAAGATATTAGAAGATACATCCCTTTATCTTTGGACAAAGATGCCCAAGATTATAGTGGAGGAAATGAAGGGTTTAAGGGAATTGATATTATGAAATATAATATAGCATGGCAAAATATTGTACCAACTGCCCCAGATACATTATTTTGTTACCCCTTTACAGAAAAGGATCCCTTTGTTCTTTATGATGAGACCCCACATGTATATATAGCCGGGAATCAACGCCGATTCGATGCAGCTAAAGTCGAAATTCCAAATTTCGCTGGGAATGTCAAATTAGTTAGTGTCCCCAGGTTTAGTGACCTGGGGACTATTGTGCTTATGAGTACAAAGACCAGGGACGTAGAGGTTGTTGAATTTAGCATTTGATTTTAATGACGTCATGAAGATCAAATTATATGGATCAGCTTGTTATTGTCCCCCCTTTGCAAGTAAGCCCTGAACATAACTTTGTAACAACGGTCTAGATTTTAGCAATCCCCTCCCGGACCCAGTCAAGCAACGAAGAAGAAGATCAGGGCATAATAAGAGTAAAGATAAGAGTAAAGATAAGAGTAAAGATATTTATACACCATAGCGTAATACCATAGTGTAGTACCATAGTATAGCATAGCATAGCATAGCATAGTATAGTATACCATAGAGTAACACTGCTTAGCACGGTCCCAGTATGGTAGAATAATATTCTATGCTGTGTAAGGTCGTATAGATGAAGACACCTGTATAGACTGGGAAAAGCTATTGTTCCCAACGGAATGTGTCTCAATCTCAATTAGGACAGACAAGGACCATATCTAGCAGTGGGCATTGATATTTGTATATACGCCGTATATCATGGAAGAGGTACATCTATCCCTGCTGAAAGGGGTCTACGCAAGCCACACTACCTCATAAGGGGGAACAAGGGGTATACTTATGGAGTTTAGGCCAGACTCCTGCACTAATGGATAAAGCCAATTTTACTTGCAGATGAGCATACGTTATGTAAATGCCACATATGCATGCACAGTATTCTAGTAGTGTATGGTTCGGATCCGAAGAAACCGGGAACTTGAACCATATTTCTATAAATATATGGACAATTGAATTTATAAGACACAGAAACAACAGAGGGTACACAGAACACACAGAAGAGCGTTTACAGTGGAAAGTGATGTACTGTGCTGTATTGCACTGTATTGCTTTGTAGTACTGTGAGCCGTACGTTGCTCTACCGTAAACTGTTGTTCTGCCATACGAAAATATCGTACTATCTGAACTACACTGTACAAAATACTTACATTACGCTGTGCGTACGCTGTACATACTATTTGACTAGTAAGTAATGCTCTGTAACAGTACTCTGTAACAGTACTCTGTAGCTTTAACAGTACACTGGAACTGTACGCTGTACTCTGTAACTGTACGCTGTACTCTGTAACTGTACGCTGTACTCTGTAACTGTACGCTGTACTCTGTAACTGTACGCTGTACTCTGTAACTGTACGCTGTACTCTGTAACTGTACTCTGTACTCTCTAACTGTACGCTGTACTCTGTAGCTTTACGCTGTACTCTGTAACTTTACACTGTACTCTGTAACTTTACGCTGTACTCTGTAGCACTAGTATGGAGTACTACAGGGTTTTTGTTCTTGTCTGCTGAAAAGTTTTTTTTGTGCGTTTGTGCCTGTAAGGAGCCAATTGTTCCCAATCGACAGTTCCCTCACCCTCAAATTATTCCCATGTCTTTTTCTCCCAAGCCTTTGTCCAATCTGCTCTTACTTTTACTCGCCACCCAAACCAAAATCTAGCGGTATCTCGTTTGAGTGAGTGATCCCAACATTGTCTATATCAATTGTGACATTTGATTCGTTCGACTATTTGTGTTGTGTCGTGTCGGTTTGATTGGTTAGTTGATACAAATTATTTTGGTGAGTCACGCCTTTCCCTTTGTCGTCGTCGCTCAAACTTACTCCTTCCCTCCAATTGTCGTTGATTCGATTCATTGACATTCCAATACCGTTTTCGTTTCGTCTCTATCAGTTCATTCCATTGCCATTGCCTTAGTCATAATCATAGTCATTGCTATTGTCACTGTCATTGTCACCACCCACCACTTTCATTCCCCCACTCATTTCATCCCTTCACCCGTCAACTTAGTTTAATTTGATTCCATTCAATTGGTCTTGTTTTACCTTTCCGCTGCATGTCATTAAAATGTCCTACAACTACAATAGTAACGGTCTAAAAGATTCGCTTCCCATCCCTCAGAATTCTCTGTTGCAACTGCAACTGCAACCTCAATTGTCCCAAGTTTCAACTCCTCCGGGGATTAGCATCCATTCCAATGACTTGTTGTCACCAACTCCCCCTCCTTCGGCTTCTACTCCTCCCACGGGTAGTACCCAGCAGACTGTAGGTCCTAAGAAGGTGAATTTGCACATTGCTCATAGACGTTCCCCTAGTGAATTGACTACGTTGATGATTGAACAGTACAACCTTCAAAAGCAATTGGAGGAAGTACAAGCTCAACAAAAGCAGTTGTTGCAACAACAACAACATCATCACCATCAACAACAAGTTCTGGTTCCTTCTCAGCAACAGCAACTGCAATTGGCTTATCCGAATAGCGAGTTTCTTCCTCCTCCAGCACAATACCGTTCTCACTCTCGTTCAGGTTCAATGAACAATACTTCCATGGGCTCGGTAGTTGGTGGTCAAGCTCCGCAACAACAACTGTTGCAACCCCCACAACCCACTCACAGAAGAGCTGGTTCTGGTGGAGGTGCCAACTCAAGCATGGGACACAACAGAAGACATTCTTTAGGCTTGAATGAAGCTATTAAGGCTGCAGCCAATCAACGTCAGTCAAACAGATCTACGTTGAATCCTAATCAACAAAATCAGTCTCAATCCCAATCCACTGGCACATTCAAATTCCCAGACTCTGGTCCTGGCTCTGGCTCCTCTGATGAGTTGTCTTCTCCCACAGCAACTTCGCCAGGTGGTCACAATCGTTCTCGTTCTTTGGCTTATGGTCAACAGTCTTTTAAGTTCCCCCCAGATTCTACTGATACAAAAGAGTCATTGTTACCTCCAACCCCAACTTTCTCTGGTGTTCAAAGCCCTGAACGTAACAATTCAGGAAACCAAGGTCATCTGAGGCGTTCTTCTCATTACAGGTCTAACTCAAGAAATTATGATATCAATTCAAATTGGAGATCTCAACAACAACCTCTGCAACAACAACCAGGAAACAATAATAACAGGCGTAACTTGTCACAACAATTTGATCCTCCACCAGGAGGAATTTTTGTTCCAGGACATAAAAATCGTTCAGGTAGTCAAGGAGGCTCATCGATATCCTCTTTGTCGCAATTTCTCCCCTCTGGTTCACCTCAAGGAAACCAGACACAAGGAAATGTCAATCCTAATAATGGCAGAAAATCTCTCTTTGCTCCCTACTTACCTCAGTCTTCTTTACCAGGTCTTGTTTCTGAGGGTCGCTTGGTCACTGGTACTTTGCGTGTTAACAAGAAAAATAGATCCGATGCCTATGTTTCTACTGATGGTTTATTGGATGCAGATATTTTCATTTGTGGTTCAAAAGATAGAAACAGAGCACTTGAAGGTGACTTAGTTGCTGTTGAGCTTTTGGTTGTTGATGAAGTCTGGGAATCTAAGAAGGAAAAGGAAGAAAAGAAGAGAAGAAAAGATAACATTGTTACCAGAGGTCCTGGCAATTCGGTTCTCAGCGACGATATTCACAACGATGCAACATCAGCAAGTCAAAGTGTTGGATATGAGACATCTCATGGAATCACGAGTCCTGGTAAAGATGGATCATCGTCTGATGGAGCACCAATTTTACAGAGACGTGGTTCCTTGAAGCAAAGACCAACCATGAAGAAGAATGATGATGTTGAAGTTGAGGGCCAATCACTTTTACTAATTGAAGAAGAAGAAATCAATGACGATGTGAAACCTTTGTATGCTGGTCATGTGGTTGCGGTTGTTGACCGTATTCCTGGACAATTGTTTTCTGGTACTTTAGGCTTGTTGAGACCTGCTCAAGCTGCACAAGCGGCCAAAGATAAAAAGGATGGCAAGGAATCTCTGATCCAAACTCCAAGGGCTCCTAAAATTGTTTGGTTTAAACCCACTGACAAAAAGGTTCCTTTGATTGCTATTCCAACTGAGCAAGCACCAAAAGATTTTGTTAACAATCATGAAAAGTATGCTGATCAATTGTTCGTAGCATCTATTAAAAGATGGCCAATCACCTCCTTGCATCCTTTTGGTACTTTAGTTTCAAAATTGGGTGACATTGAAGACCCAAAGACTGAGATTGACTCCATATTAAGAGATAATAACTTTTTGTGTGATGAATACCCTGAAGATATGTCATTTGAATTTCCGAATTTGGAGGACGAACTCCAAAGCTCACAAAGAGTTGATTATGGAAATGATTATATTATTGCTTTCACTCAAACAGGTAGTTTCACAGATCATGCCTTGCATGTTAAGCGTATATCAGATACCAAAATCGAATTGGGCTTTCATGTTCCGGATATTTCTTACTTTATCAAACTGGGCTCTGCTTTAGACCGTAAAGCAAGGAAGAGATCGTCATCAGTATTTTTACCACAAAAGCTTTCTAACTTATATCCTGATTTCCTCACTGGTGTTGTTTCTTTCAATGAAAATATGAAGAAGTTGGCAGTATCTGTCGTTTTTGAAATTGACACCATGACTTTTGAAGTGGAAGATTTGTATATCCATGAATCTATTGTTGTTGCAAAGCAATTGGTAGGTTATGGACAATTTGACACTGTCATGGCTGGACTTGATTGTCCAACTATCTCATCGGCCACAGCTGATTATATCAAGACATTTAGCCTTATTGCTAAGGAATTTCGTCGCCAAAGATTGAATGATAAGAGCTTGGGTTTAACACCTAATTTGAACTTGTTGGACTTTTTGGATGATGAAAAGGTCAAGTTAGATTTGAACATTTACAAGGGTTCAACTGCTTACGATGTTATTACTGAAATTTCTCACAAGGTTAATAGTGCTATTGCTGCCAAAATCCATGCTAATATTGGAGATCGTGCCATGTTACGTCGTCAAGCTTTACCAACATTGCAAAAAATGGAGAACTTTGTCAGAAGAGCAACACTCTTGGGATTCCAAATTGATACTACTGATTCTGCATCATTACAGAAGTCTATTTTACTGATTGAAGATCCTGTGAAGAGACAATGTGTTGAGACATTATTGTACAAGTGCATGCCCCGAGCCAAATATTACATTGCAGGTAAGCAAGATCCTGATAGTTATGGGCATTACTATTTGAATCTTCCATTATACACTCACTTTACTGCACCATTAAGACGTTATGCTGATTTAGTTGTTCATAGACAACTCAAGTCTGCAATCCACAAGAATGAAGAGTATGAACAAATCAAAGATTTGGAATCTCTTCGTGCCACAGCTGATTACTGTAATTTCAAGAAGGATTGCGCAGCCAATGCTCAGGAACAGGCTATTCATTTGTTATTATCACAAACCATTAATGAAGTGAGTGAGAATGCTGGACAATTACTTTGTATGGGTATTGTGATTCAAGTTTATGAATCCTCATTTGATGTTTTCATTCCTGATTTGGGTGTTGAAAAGCGAGTTCATGGAGATCAATTACCATTAGTTAAGGCTGAATTTGATCGTACCAATAGGATTTTGGAGTTGTATTGGGAAAGAGGCGTTGATTCTGCTACATACATTCCACCAGATGAACAGAGTTCGTTATCGTATCGTACTTCAATCAAGAATAAGTACAGAACCAGTACTATTCAAGCCGCCAGATTACAGAACACGAGCACTCAAACGTTGGAGAAGAAGAATGAAACTATAATTGAACGGTTGTCGAAAATGAACTTGGAACCTCCCCGAGTCAAAGCACCTGCTTCATCATCTACAACTGATAGTCTAAAAGCATATTTACAGAATTGTATTACTCGAGTTGAAGGAGAATTTGCCATTCAAGAAATCAGAGAATTGATGCAAGTTCCTGTGTTGTTGAGAGCAGAAATTGGTATGGCTTTACCTTGTTTGACTGTACGTACAGTTAATCCCTTTGCCATTTATTAATGAATTATCATGCGTTTTCTAATATTTGTTTCCACGATTTATGACTTATAACTATAGGTTATATTAATTACTTTATCATTATAATTATCATTATTACTACTAATATATCCGCTAATCTGTATGGCTCTGCTACCTCCGCTTATCTCTATATGCTTGGTTATATGCAGGATAATCGATCTTGATTTTTAATATGTAAAAATTTTCGACCCATTTTCAATCAGTCATTCAGTGGTCCTTTTACCATTGACTACGATATCATCATGGCCGATAAGAGTTACAATGGGACCGTGACTCCCAAGCCTGTGTTACCCAAAGAATTGGAACAATTGAGAAATGTGGGGGTTACTCCGTTACAAACCCGTGTGGCCTCACCATGTACATTAAATCCGCCTATTGATAGCGATGGATTATCATGGCCAAGTTTAGGGGCCAGAAGTCGGATTGAACAGACGCCGGAAGAGGCCAAAGGACGAGAGGAACGTATAGCCGCGGCCGTGAAGACGATTTTGACCGAATTGGGTGAAGATGTCGACAGAGAGGGATTATTGGAAACACCAGAAAGATATGCTCGAGCCATGTTGTATTTTACCAAGGGTTATGAAGACAATATTCGTGATGTTATTAAGAGAGCTGTGTTTGAAGAGAACCACGATGAGATGGTTATAGTTCGAGATATTGAGATCTACTCGTTGTGTGAACATCATTTGGTGCCATTTTTTGGGAAGGCTCACATTGCTTATATCCCTAACAAGCGAGTACTTGGATTAAGTAAATTGGCAAGATTAGCGGAGATGTATGCCCGAAGATTCCAAGTTCAAGAACGATTAACTAAACAGATAGCCATGGCATTAAGCGAGATCTTGAAACCCAGAGGTGTGGCTGTTGTCATTGAAGCGGCTCATATGTGTATGGTCAGTAGAGGAGTACAGAAGACTGGATCTTCTACTACCACTAGTTGCATGTTGGGATGTTTCCGTGATCAGCAAAAGACCAGAGAGGAGTTTTTGACGTTACTTGGAAGAAGATAGTTAATATTATTAATATAGAGGCATTTAATGAGGTTACGATATTCAACTATATAAGTCATTAGTTATGTTCCGTATGAATTTATATACAATTGTGTTCTATGGTGGACCCAAACTGGAGCACGGCTTCATCATCTCCATATTGACCAATGATCTGGAACCCGGTGTTATCATAAGGTATCAGTAGCGCAGGGAGTCCTGCTAAGGAAGCAGGGACGGTGAACACATCGTTGACGTAAGCAGTCAAGAAGTTCTCCTTTGCGGTGGCCATGGCCTCTTCAAGTGTAGGAGGTTTGGTGATGGTTGTAGGGATCAAGAGGAAGTCGCATTTGGAATCATCACGTTTGATAAGTTCATGGAACAAAGGATTGGTCATATTGAAGATCTGGTTGAACTCTTTAACTAGTGCTTCTCGCTTCTGATTGGCCCGGAGATAATGGTTACCTGAGACTCCACTCAAGGTATATGTTCCTAAGATGATTCTTCTGATGGTCTCAATATGGAACCCTTTAGTTCTTGTCTCCGCCATTATCTCCGGTGCGGAGCTACTCCCAGCACCACCACCAGCAGTATGGCCATACCGTATACCATCAAGCCGTGCTAGATTAGAAGATGCTTCTGCGGTACAGATGGAGTAATATGCCAGAAGCAGCTTGGGGATATGAGGAATAGAAACTGTTCTAATCTGATGGCCCATTTGCTTCAACTGGCTCAATAGTTTCAACCATGAGTCTTTTATCTCCGGGACCAACTCTGTTACAAGACACTCAATGGGTATACCAATAGTCAAGGACGTCGATGCTGGGGATACAGGTGATAGCCTCTTTATTCTTCTTCTCGTCTCTATGGTCATACTTGTGGGATCCTTCTCGTCATATTGATCCAAAAGCTCATAGGCCCCTCTTAAGACAGCCATGTCTTTCGATACAATTCCAACGGTATCTAAACTTTGTGCATATGCAACCACCCCCCATCTGGAGATCCGTCCATATGATGGTTTATACCCAATTTGACCACAATAAGTAGCTGGAAGTCTCACTGACCCTCCAGTATCAGTTCCTATGCCGAAATCAGCAGACCCCAGAGCCACTGCTGCCGCTGTACCGCCTGAAGAACCACCTGCTACCCTTGGATTGTCTTCTATGGGATATTTGGGATTGAGCACAGGTCCAAAGACCAGGTTGGTGTTATTAGACCCCATTCCAAACTGGTCCAAATTGGTCTTACCAACCATTGTGCAATTGGGTGCATTTTCAAGTAGATCAACTACTGTGGCATTGAAGGGAGATTGATAGTTATCAAGTAGTTGTGCTCCACTTGTAGTTAGGCCTTCTTTGGTGACTATGTTATCCTTAATGACATACCGAAGACTGCTAGGCGGCAGTGACCGAATTAGTGTGGAGACATAAGCGTTGTATGGATCAGCCCCCGTTGTAAGGAACCGTCGAATCATGGTACACTATGACTGTACTATATACTATGACTTTAGTATACAGCTTTACTATACTATGGTATACTGTACTATACTATGTATACTGTACTATGTATACTGTACTATACTCTGTTCTATAAGTTACACCGTCGCTGTAGATACTATACCGCACAACTCTTATCGAAAATTTTTCAATGAGACAGAATCAAACCAGTTGCTCTTTTTATACCATCAACACACATAATGCAGTTGTTTGGATCAACCAGTAGCTCGTTATGGGCTTTGTCTACCAACTTGAAGTTTGCTCTTGCCACCAAAGTGTTTGCTCCGTTGACTATAAATACCGAACCAGACTCCGTGGTGCAATTGAAGGATAAAGATTTCGAATTGTTTGAACCCAATGCCATAGTCCGTTATTTGGCCGATGACTTTGAAGATGATTCCTTGGTTAATGCCGAGCAGACTATTTTGTATCGTGGTATCAAGCTGAACAAGAAGGAGAAGGCTGTAGCTGCATTGCAAGAGATGATTAATTGTGCCACTAAGTGGTACGCCAAGGCAGAAGTGACTGCTCATCAAGTGATTGTATTTGCCTCAGTCTATGCCATATTAAAAGATTCAGAGGATACAGACTCTGAAGTGTATCAATGGTTTAACCAGTTTAAGCAATTACCTAAAGTCCAAGATGCTATTGCCTTGGCTCTTCTGATCACTAAAGTTGAAAGAACCCCAGAAACCAATACGGGCGTCCGTAGAGTTAAGTTGGATCATAAGGTTAGAGTTTTAGGCAATAATATCTTGCCTAAGGAAGGTGAAAGAAATATCTTGATCACCAGTGCCTTACCATATGTTAATAACGTTCCTCATTTGGGTAATGTGGTGGGGTCTGTGTTATCTGCTGATATTTACTCTCGTTATGCAAAGAACAGAAACTATAATGTTCTTTTTGTTTGTGGTACCGATGAATATGGTACTGCTACTGAAACCAAGGCCTTGGAAGAAAAGGTTACTCCAAGACAATTGTGTGATAAATATAACAAAATCCATAAAGATGTCTATGATTGGTTTGACATCAACTTTGACTACTTTGGTCGGACTTCAACTCCTCAACAAACAGAAATTGCTCAAGATATCTTTAACAAGTTACATCAACATGGTTACTTAGAGGAACAAACCAACGAACAATTGTATTGTGAAACCCATAATGCTTTCCTTGCTGATAGATTTGTTGAAGGTACATGTCCTAAATGTGGTTATGAAGATGCTAGAGGTGATCAATGTGATAAATGTGGTAATTTGTTGGACCCTTTTGAATTAATTAATCCTCGTTGTAAAGTTGATGATTCGACTCCTGTTAAGAAAGAATCCACTCATATTTACCTTAAATTGAATGAATTGGAACCAGAATTGAAAGAATGGGTTGCTGAAGCCAGTGAAAGGGGCCATTGGTCCAAAAACTCCAAGACAATCACCAACTCTTGGTTGAAACAAGGCTTAGAACCAAGATGTATCACTCGTGATTTGGTTTGGGGTACTCCAGTTCCCTTGGAAGGTTACGAAAAGAAGGTGTTGTACGTCTGGTTCGATGCCTGTATCGGTTATGTTTCCATTACTGCAAATTACTTTAAGGACAAGAATCCAAACGATTGGGAAAAATGGTGGAGAAACCCCGAAAACGTTGAATTGTATCAATTCATGGGTAAAGATAATGTTCCATTCCATACCGTGGTCTTCCCATCTTCTTTAATTGGTACTCGTGATAAATGGACTAAATTACACCATTTAAATACTACCGAATACTTGCAATACGAAGGAGGTAAGTTCTCTAAGTCTAGAGGTGTTGGTGTTTTTGGTAACAGTGCTAAGGATACTGGAGTTCCCGCATCTGTTTGGAGATACTATTTGGCAAGTGTTAGACCAGAAACTTCAGACTCTCATTTCTCTTGGGATGAATTTGTTACCAAGAATAACAGCGAATTGTTGGCTAACTTGGGTAATTTTGTTAACCGGGTAGTTAAATTTGCCATTGCCAAATACAACGGTGTTGTACCTGAGTTCAACACCAAGAACATTAAGGGTTACGAGGAATTTGAATCTGATGTCAACGCCATCTTAAACAACTATAATGATCAAATGGAACAAGTTAACATGAGAAGAGGTTTGGAAATTGCCATGTCCTTGAGTAGTAGAGGTAATTTGTTCTTACAAGATAACAAATTAGATAACAGTTTGTATTCCAACTTCCCAGAAGTTTCAGATGCTGTTGTTGCTGTTGCCTTGAACTTGATTTACTTAGTTGGTGCTGTTATTTCTCCATTTATGCCAGAAACAAGAGATCAAATTGATGAAATCTTGAACACTCCAAGCTTGTCTATCACAGACAAGTTTGTTTTACCTTTGGAACCTGGCCATTGTATTGGTAAGGCCCAATACTTATTCAAACGTATAGACGAGAAGAAGATTGAAGAATGGAGAGCCAAATATGGCGGTCAAAAGAAGTAGATTCGAGACAATCATAGTTTAAAGATAGATAATTAGAAATGTTTGTTAGGAATGAGGATTCGTACAATTTTAGTAAGGTGAGTTTACATAATTTTGCATTCGTATATTCTTAATATACCAGTAGAAATTCGCAAGTAGTTGAAATACGAGATGATGAAATACGAGGGAATAAAATAGTACGAGGAGAAAATATTAAACTTTATACGAAGCCATTAAACTCAATAATCTATGTGTATATCTCTTTTAGTACTCATATCATCACTCCATTATGCACCATTTAAAGGTGCCGCAGTTTCGGTTACACGAAGTAACACATATGTTAAGAAGAAGCATTCTGATATCTTATTTGGGTTCACCTCATATCACAACCTGTACAATTAGTGGACTTATTTTTTGGAAGGTTTTATGGTTTATTTGGTTATCTATATACTCTATATACTATGAGCCCTAGAAAAGGGTTTAATTACGCCCAAAAAGGGCTTAGGGTCCCCATCACTTAGTATTACCAGGTGCCCGAGTACGTTTCCGTATCTGCTTGGGATGTTGGTACATTCTAAGGAAGTCTCTTGGAATCTTGTCATGATAATAAGCCTCACTACCACTGGAGTAACCACTCAAACCTGGGCTGATACAAGCGTCCGATCGGTACAGATCACCACTAATGATCCGCTCCAGACCATTACTGTTCAGTTCAGCAGTGGGGAGATACTCAGAGAGCAGAAGAGGGGGACTAGTAGGCTGAAGTGGGACTTCTTCTACTTCCTGAAACATGTCGTTAGGGGTTTCAACAACTGAAGAAGCAGCTGGGGGTTCAATTGAGGGACTGAAGACTTTGACCGGTTCTTGGTTAAGCTCAAGAGGTTTTTTCCATTTGTTAGGCTCAAAGGAACAATCGCAGTCATTGTCTGTCTCAGTCTCCATAGCCTTTGCTTGGCTAGACTTAGTTTGATAGTCGGTGTACTCAAAGATCACGAGGAGTGCTTTTTCAAGTAAGGAAGCTTGAAGTGGTGGAGTAAATAAGATGTTCTCCTTGTCATCGGTCTCAACAGCAATGGTAGTAGCTGGAGTCTCAATGGGTACATGATGGGAAAGGGGGGTGGGAAGGGTGCTTGGAGCAGTGTCAATGGTAACTGGCAGGCTGCTTGAAGTAGTCAATGCTTTCCCAGCTTGATTGTCGCAGGACATTGGCAGGACAATGGCGTCAGAAGTGAGCGCCAGTTCAAGGATATCTTGTTGGTGGTCACGTACTTTGTCATTAACTTGGTGACGGTGGAAGAAGTTGTGGAACTTCTTGCGGAAGGCAGAGAGTTTGGCCCTGGAGAGCCGATGCTAGTTCTGGAGAATTTCATAATTCTGTAAACTGATGTGTTGTCTGATTAAAGAAGAGGAAGAAAGAAATCCAAGATGCTCAGCGAGTAGACCTCTTTATATACCCAAAGTTTTCGCAGCCATTAGGAGAGGTTCCATATACTTTTAAGTACACAGAGACTCCTAATTAGGAAATGGTTCCTCCGGTGAAATTTCGCAGCCAAGGATTACCAGACTGAGTGCAGCGGTAATAAAGTAAGCTACAGTTTTGCAGCAAGAATAAATAAGGGAGGTATTGAGTATAATTTGATATAATGTTATGGGAGTACGAGGTCTTGCATAATTGAACAGATTAGTTCACTAATAACAACAAATAATGGCGCATCATTTATTACTTCTCTACATAGTACACAATTTCTTAGGTTCAATTATGATCCACTTTGTTGTCACCATTCCACGCTGAGCCTCTCTTAGTCTAACCCTTACTCGTTTTCTCCTTTTGGATAATGGGGTCATTCATCTTGGTATTGTTGTTGTTCTGGGTTTTCCTTGCAGTCTGCTGTAGTTAACCTTGAAGTAATGTCGGTGTTTCTTATCTGCACAGGAAACATGTAATTGGGATTATGGTTATCCAGATTATGAACTCCCTCCGTAAACCTTGCACTTTTCAGCTTGAACCATTACTGCTCATTTAATGAACTTTTGTGGGGTCGTTTAAACTGAATCTCATTGTACGGTACATCGGGGAAAATCTTCAACCATGTGGTTCAATTGGTCTACAGCTCCAGTTTCATATGGGCATAATTCAATGCTGTTCAACTGATGAAACTATTGCGGGTTCATTGCAACCTCATTTGGCAAATAATTTGCAGTCAGATTAACCCTAGAATAGTTATAAACGAATTCAACTGTGCCTTTACGTAAGTATCGATAATATATGTTTTATTTCGTTCCGATAATTGCCTCTATAAACTCGGTATAAGACTGCTTTTCCATGCAGTCTAGCCGATATTGTGACACTTGGGCCATCGGGCACCAGTTCGGAGTCGAGAGGATCAACACGAGCCCGGGGCTCTGTACATTATAAGCACACCAACAGCAACTTATATACAGTAGTAAGTGGGTTCACATGGAGTCATCAAGTATTTTTTGGCGTGGTCAGCCGGAGTTGGAGGGGAGTTACCAAAGCCTTATCCCAATACGGATGTAGACGGGTGTACGATAAAAGTAGGGTGCTAGTAATAGTAATTGTAGGAGTACTATTGCGACTACTAGTTAGTGGCAGTAGTAGTACGACTAGTTAGTAGCAGTAATACACACTGTACTTACGCTATCTTACTAAAATTTACTCTATGGGCATTTAGTGGTCCCAATCCATTTCCTTTCCGATTCTTCTTGAAGGTGGCAGCTGAGTCGCAATGATTTTGTACGCTCAAAGATGTGAAAATTCACAAGTATAAATACCCCAGGCGTCCCCTCGTTTGTCATCTCCAGCATTTTATTTACAACACTTATACCTGATTTACTATATTATGGCAAGCATTGCTAAGAAGTCGCTTGTGCTAGGCATGGTAGCGGGCCTGATAGTTCCACCTTTGATTTGCAAGCTCTACATTTATCCAAGCATGGTGCTGGAACCTTATAAAGAAGTGGTTAATCTTCGACACACCATAGACCATTTGGGATGGCATGTACGGAACCTTCAAGAGGAAGCGGGAATAAAGGAAGAAAATCTTTATGTTCCGATGCTGTACTTTCAAGGTCACTAATCATATTTCATCATTCATTACTTGAGCTTAATGTGATTAATACCGTTGGGCATTACGTATGCTGCGATTGTATGCAGTACAGATAATAATACGAGTAAAGAACTTACGTGGGGTAATAGCAGGCTCCGAAACCCACCACACATTTCTTGGTTGATCAAATTAGAATAATAATATGGCATAAATTTAGGTTTTAAAATACAGGCATTTAGTATACAAAAAGAATAAAATTTGAAGATTATTTTTTTCTTCATGTCAAGCTTTTAAGCAGGCATTGATCATCATCGTCTTCCTCGTTTTCTTCTCCATAATCAATATTATCAAATGCAGTATCAAGGTCTTGTCTCGTAATGCTCATATTTCTGGATTCCCAATTACTTAACTCTTTAGAGTCCTTCAAGTCTCCACCAGTAATCACCCGAATCAACTTCATTTTGAAATCTTCACTTTGTTTGCTGAAATCAAGTCTCTCTCGCTTCAAAGACGGTACACTCTTGTGATGACCGATGCTTTGTCCAACTCGGATAAGTGTTTCCACCGACAGTTCCAGGTTATGGACCAAATCTTGATCAAACTTAAATCGAGTCTTATCAAAGAGAAGTAAAATGGTCGAGCCGCCAAACTTGAAGTACCCGATCTCATCTCCTCTGTCTACTTCAGTTCCTTCTTCTACAGAAAGAACAATAGACCCCACCATCATTGCTCCGATACATGCATACACTACGGTACCAAACTTTTCAGTGTCTATAACGATAATGCTTCTGACGTTTTCTCCATAGACATCCAACTTACTACGGATAGCCATGGGGTTCACAGTGTAGTATTCTCCATCAATGTGCTTAATAGATCTTATTCTTCCCTTCACAGGACAATGGAAACGATGATAATCTTGAGGTGCAAGGCGGAAAATACCCAATGAATAATTGGAGTCGTTGGCAATGTCTTGGAAATGACCATTGAAAAGCTTAATGACGCTAAAGTTTCTTCCCTTGATCCAAAACTCAGTTGCATCATTAACAGTTCCAAATGCTGTACAACGACAATCTGCTGGTGAAACTATGATATTACTATCACCTTCATTTGGTCTTGCGTCGCTCTTAAGACGTCTGTAAAAGAAGTCATTAAAAGTTGCATATTTCTGATAATCATCCTCTAAACAGTCCGATAAATCAAGCTTGTGGAACTTGATGAATGATGGAATATCCTCCTTCAGCTCCGGGCTATCAAACTTGGCACCCTGTTTAACAGTTAACTTCTTAAGAAGTATACGGAAGTGTTTGGACTTGGACAGATCCACACCATTATAAAGAAGTCTGATCCCCATTCTAACGTATACACTCATCTTCTCTTCTAGGATGATACCTGTGGTACGATCTTGCACCAAGATATTGGCTGAATGTGATCCCAATTGATACTTCCCGTAGGAAACCTTCATTACAATCTTCAGGAACCATTTCCTGGTGGCTATTTGAGGTGTGACATACGAAGCTACCAAAAACTTACTCACAATACTCCAATCTTTGCTTGCACATATAGCAACATGGGTAACGATATCAATGTCTTGTTTCTTACTGAGTCTTTTCTGACAACAAATAGGACATCTTTCTATTTCAAAGATCCGAAGACTCTCGTTATCTCCTTCACCTTCATTATTGATATGAGTTTGAACTGATTCAATAATCTGGTCATAGGTTAAACTATCACCAGACCAAGGAGTTTTATCATAATCCGCAAAAAATTTGCCCACAATGCTGTCACTGTTCTTACAACCCAAAGTATCCAATAAGGAAATCAATTCAATGTAGTCATAAGTTTTTGATTCGTTCAGCAAAAATTGGTCCAATAGGATCTCCCAGAATCTTCGAGTGAGCGAGTGATAAGTTTCAAATCTTGCACCGATCTTCAATTTGGGTTGACTTGAATCAGCATACTTTTCGCGGAACACTTGTAAGTCCAAGTTCATGGTTCTTAATTTAGAAGCATTGGCATTCTTATCAGACAGCGAGGATTTATGTTTAAGAGATAATCGATTCCGTTTGGACTGTTTCATTGGTTTTGTCTTGGGAGTCTCTGAATCATCAATTACCTTGATAATGGGGTGGTCTATTTCATAAGTGGAATCAAAGTCCGATAAGGATACATTTGCACTAGAAGAATCTGGTGTAGATAATTCGTTTTTAACAGTTGCAACTTTAAGAATGTCTTTCATTGGTAACGTGACATTTGCTATCATATCATGGAATGAAAAGTGGTCTTTATCTAAGACAGAAAACTGAATGTCGTAATTCCGTTCACTAGACAAGATTTCAAAAGCCATACGTTCATGAAACACTGGATTCAAGGTATGTCTCTTCCAACTTGTACGGAATGTCTTCTTACCAAAAGTTACCACCACAAAGGGGTCAATATCATATGTGGTTCTGGTAAAGTTCCTATACGGTGGAAGATCAGAACATGAAACAATCTCTAGAAACACAACCCCATACACATCTCGTTTAGAGATTCTGAATGGTTCATCTGTTTTATCTGTGGACGCTTTTGAAAATCCCAATCTTGATCGTCTCAGGGGTTTCTTGACGGGGCCACTGTGGAAGCTGGAACCACTAGGAGTTCTACTTAGGGCAATGGATGAGGTCTCGGTATAAATCGTAGAAACATCACTATCACTGGCAAAATTACTACTGGCATCCTTCTCAGCAGTTGCTATTCTCCGGACACTCAAGAACTTGCTATTACTACCTGACCAACCACCACCAGCTGCTGCTGTTGACGAGTTAACGGAAAGTGAGCTGCCATTGAAGTTACCAATGGAGTTGTCACCATGGAGGTACAGTTGTCTATCGTCTAGATTCATATGGGAAAACTCCACGGTAGTGGTACGTACAGACTCAATATCTGACTGGTCATCAATAGTAATAGCAGCCTCATAGAACCCTTGTTCATTGGGCATATAATAGTCTTGATCGGGGTTAGGGAAGTTCAACAGTTTGAGCCAACTTATGAGCATGTTTTGTTTTGTTGATGATGTCGCCACAGGAGGCAACTGTAGCAAGCCCGAGGTATCAACCGTCTCCGGTCTTCCCACAACCATCGTTGAGTCCTTGAGGTCAGGCGTAGAGTTGCCAGCATCAATGACGGCTACTTGGGGGACAGGAATATGAGAATTGCTTACAATGTTGATGGATAGTTCCAGTCCATCCAGCTTCAGCCGAGCTCTCTTTGATGGCTGACATAGTTCAAACGATAAAAGAATAGAGCCTGGTATGTATCCGTGTTTGTCGTCACTGGAATATAACTTGTACCACTTAAGTTCTGATGGGTTCTGGAACTTGTTGTCTTTGTTGAAGAAAATGTCTGTTATTATCAACCTCAACTCCCCTAAATATGACTTGAAACGTTTATGCTTGTCCCATACAGTTAAGTTCAATATTTGGGTGTGATCATTGTGTTTCAAAGGAAGGATCAACACATCATCCCAAGACGGCTGAGACGTATTACACTTTCTCAGTGTCTTTTTACGTTCATTGTTCAATGTAGCCACTAGTATAGGATTGACTGGTTTCCTTCTATGTTTCAGTTTCTCCTCGCCTGAAACATTAGGCGCAAAGGTAGTCAAATCAGCGGCTTTGAAGGCATTAATCTGGAGATATAAGTCCGAAGTTTGCTTTCTCAGTGAGTTCATATTGGAATGGACAGTGGAATTAACTGAGACAAAAAAGAATTAAATGCATAAACATTAACTAGATAAATAAAAATAATATGGGATTGACAAACTAGTAAGAATTTGAGTATATATATTAAGCAACGTAGGCTTGTAGTTAGTAGTACGCTGGTGAGTAGTGTCTTCTGATGTCACTTTGTTTGACACACCTGTGTTGGTGGGGTAAAAGAAGTACAAATAAGGGAATAGGACATTTTGGCGTGCATACACGACTGGCACCGCGGCACAGATATTTTTTATGGTGTAGTCCCTACGCGGATATACGATAGAAGTAGTATATTTAGGTTCGTATTTATTTCATGTACGATTCGGATCATGCAATTACTATATACGAGGACAATATAAATAATAATTTCATCACTTCATCAACAGATTAACAACTGACTTAACACTTAATCGTTTAATGTCTGTATATGTTTGTCCAGTACCAACAAACAAAATAGGAACTTTTGTAGCCATCACCATATTAATCATAGTTCCTACTAAATCTCCAACAGTATCAACTTTAGATATAATGAAGAAATCCAATTTCCTCTTACTACCAAATGCATTATTGAAATTGATTGCTTGTTCAACAGAATCACTTCCAACAAGGGCTTCTCCTACCATAATAATTTTATTAGGATCAGCAGCTTCACCAAATTTCTTTAATGGGGCCATCAATTTGGCATTAGAATGCGTCCGTCCTGCAGTATCAATTAGAACAACATCAAATCCATTGTTACCAGCAAATTCAATTGCCAGTTTAGCTGTTTGTACAACATGATCTCCTCCACCATAACCCTTTTCAAAAATATCAATTTTGGTCGATTCAACATTATTCAATTGTTGAAGATTATTAACATGCACTTTTAATTGTTCTACTGCACCACTTCTAAATGTATCACAAGCACAAATAAGTACATTTAAATGATTTTGTAAAAGCCAATAGGACAATTTGGCTAAATTTGTGGATTTACCAACTCCATTGACACCAACCACGGAAATAACATATGGACGGCCCAGTTTATTCTTTTTTATATCGTAAAGTAAATCAGTACCAACATTTGGAGTTAAAATCTTGGTCAATTCATCAATCAATGTTTGTCGATATAATGTTAATGTTATATTGGATTTTGATTGAAGTTTCTCTTTGATTCTAGATATGATTGACGTAGCAGTTTGAGGAGCTATATTCTTAGATACCAATTGATCATAGAATTTCTTTGAAACTTCATCCAAATTAACTGTCCCTGTGAAATACGAACTAAACTTAGAGAAAATTGAACCAAATTTGGATGTTTCAACTGTCTTTTCCTCATCAGATTCATATTCTTCATCCTCTAATAATTCATTAAGTTCTTTAACCAATACTAATTCATTTTCCTTTGTAAATGCACCTTGATCAACGGTTAATGTTGATAAAAGATTTGGATTTGAATTTGAATTTGAATTTGCACTTTCAACTTTTTCTGGTGCATCATTAGAATAATCCAATATTTTACCATCAGAATCATCAATCTCATCACCATTCCATTTCCTTAACTTCTTCCCTGGTGCAGTCTTTCTTTTATCAGTTGTAGTTGGAGTAAGTGGATTGGGTGCACCACTTCTTGGTGCACCCCCTAAAGGAGTAGAAGAATTGGAATTTATGTCTTCTCCAATACTTGTAGTCTTTGTTTTCATGAGTTGGTTAAACTGTAAATCTGCTAGTGATTTGAACTTCTCCATATTGATCTCCTCTTCTTCATACTTATTGAATGTCTTTAAAATGCTTTGCAAAGTACTCTTAACTTTATTCCCATCCAAAGTGACAACCCCATCAAAATATAACGCTACATAGGTATCATGCTCGGAGTTTTGGAAGGCATAGAACTTTTTCCGATTAACAGTGTTGGTAAAAAAGTTGCTGTCTAATTCCACAGCTGTCTCATTGACAATGGTCCCTATAAATTCATTGAATGCATGAACTTTATTATTGTGTTGATATTCAACCTTCCCTGAAGTTCGGAACACAATTAATGATTGAGACATTGCTTAATATGATCTTTCATCAAGCAGCTAAAAGTATTATCGGTGATTAATTTTTTTGATCACTGACCAACTAAGTAGATTTTGCGGGTACTGCATATAGAGTTGCTTTTTAATGTTATGCCTCTTGATAGTGAAATGCAGTATCGCAATCAGCCACACCATATGAATGATTCCAATAATTCTAATACAGTAAACGGACAGTCGTGAACAAGCAGTTAAGGGAAGGAAAGTATCAACTTGAAAATAAAAAAATAGAAATGGCGTCACAGACAGGATTCGAACCTGCGCAGGTAAAACCCAACGCCTTAGCAGGGCGTCGCCTTAACCACTCGGCCACTGGGACTCCATATAATACAATTGCAAGTTTTTCTTAGACGACTAAACAAGCGTCCGCGCTGCCATAAATCTGCGATTGTAATTCTCAAATAGTTAAAGTTTACTTTTTTCAAGCGCTTGAGGTTTAGTGGTGTAGCGGCTATCACGTTTCGTTTACATATTGCGATTGCAAAGTAAGCGCCGAAAAGGTCCCGAGTTCGATCCTCGGCTAGATCAAGCTTTTTTTTCCCATTTTATACTAATTGTTTAGTAGTTAATGTTCATGTATATACTCATTACTGTACACCATGTTCCATAAGACTAAGTTAATCATAACACTACTTCTTTGTTAAGGAGAATAATGTTAGGTAGAACGGCAAAAATAAATACGCTGGATTCCTGGTACTCATACGTGAAGAGATTTAGTCACGTGATAAAGTCTTCAAATTAGAAGTACTTGCTAATAAGTAACTACTTAAAAAATAGTCTAACTAACCCTAGTTATAATCCTATATTAGCTAAATTTCTTAAATATGAGACGGATTTCAAACAAGTTATTGGCTACCGAATGAACAAATTACTTAAAATATGGTTTGAAATACTCCAAAATGGGCCACACACTATGTAATATGCTCCTTTAATCACAAATTAATTAGAGAGAACTCAATGTGAATAATTGCTTTTACCGTAGAAATTAAGGTAAAATAAATGCAAAAGTGACTGTAGTCGGTATAGGTTTATTTTTCTATAAACTGGAGACATTGTGCTTTTTTACAATGCGATATGTATCCGTTACCCAAAAGTAGGCTGCATTTTTGTCTTGAACTTCACAAGGTGCAAATAAATGTATTGGATAACTTACTCTATGGTCTACTCTTATTTAAGAGAACAAGAAGATATCGTTTAGGTTTTTATAAAAGAATCATGTCAATGAGAATGTCTGTTATGTCACCTGGAAATAAAAGCATTTCGCCTTTCCACTTCAACCGAAAAATAATTGAATGCTTGAATAATTGTGCTTGTGGTAGTTATTATAAAGAGGTGAGTGTCCGATTTTGTTAATGGGTCTACCAAATTAACCAGTTGTAACTAATATATAATTAGTGCTTACAACAGCATTTTCATATAATTGTTGCAAAAAAAAGTACAATATCGCGAAATGAATGCAGAGGCATTGGTAAAAATACTTTAAAACTCAGCAAACAAAATGATTTATTAAGCCAGAAAGGATCACAAGAGATAGCAAATAATTATTTTCATCCTTATACTAAGCTGAAACCGTCTAAACACTCAGGAATATTTTCATTTTGGCCAGGGAGTGTTTTGTTATACACTCTCATTGATCTAGAACGGTGCAAAAGTTGGTTACAACAGGAGCCTGCGTAGCGTAATGGTTAACGCGTTTGACTTCTAATCAAAAGATTGCGGGTTCGACTCCCGCCGTGGGTTTACTTTTTTCTTTTAGGTGCTGAATTACCGATACTCTAACTATCCAGTATGTCCTGATGCAAATCATAACTATTTCTTTTTGCAGAAATCAATTACACTCTATGAAGGCACGCAACAATTATGGGTGACCAGGGGCTGAAGAACATAGCCTTGATGCCTAGTACATTTAGTTCACAGCCCAAGGGAAAAAGATCGCAAAATAATGTGACTGAGCGTTTGCTTCTAGAGGCTGTTTGACAACTGTTACGTCTGATCGTACGACGATAAAAGTTTACATCAGTGAGGGCCAATTAAGTAAATCATGAACCAAAATAGGTTCATCTGATTCAATGCTATAAAAGAACATACAAACAAAATCAAACCATATAAGCACAATCCATCACATGTCAAGAACAAAAGTAGAAAGCGTAAAACAAATTAAAGTGACAACTATTCAGAGATGCAGAGATGCTATTGCATGCATCACTGATGAAAGTCAATATGTAAATACGACTGTAAGCCAGAATGTCGAATACAACCAGGTATTCTCTATCTCATGGGGCTCATATAATTATGACAATTAAAAGATAGCATCTAATGTGCAACAGATACATAATGCTGCCAAGCATGCCATTAAACATGATTGTCCGCCACCACTTGAAGATTGCTGTTGGACATACATTGGTTGTTGTGCTTGATAGTAGCCACCTTGTTGTGGGGGGTAGCCGTATTGTTGCTGTTGTGGAGGATAAGCATTATAACCTTGTTGTTGATAGCCACCTTGCTGATGGCCACCACCCCATCCACGTTCTTGTTGATCTGAGTATCCTTGTTGCTGATTTTGAAAGTTTGGTGGTGGCCCATTAGGAGCCGAATAATTGCCACCGTTATGGCCCGGTGGTGCACCACTTGGTGCTCCGTAGTATTCTTTCGCCGACATTGAATATGTTTGTCTACTAAAAAAGGTTGATATTAATTATCCTTGTTGAGACTATTTAGTTAAATAATCAGTGGGGAAAAAGATACTACCCTTAATGCGGACAACGATGTTTTCTTATATGTATAACGGTCATATCACTATGCATTCTACGTGTGCAGCAAGTTTTCTTACTTTCGGGCTTAGTAGGCAATGACCTCACAAAGAAATATGCGTCGGCATTGTATACAGGGACACCCATCACACAATAGAGTAATCGGATACTCAATGTCCACTGAATGTGTGCACTCGGTGTTCGAGATATAAGTTTGCAAAGTACGGCACCTTGTAGTTTAATTTACGAGGCCACAATCGATAAAGACATATATATGAGAACAAAATCAATATGCCATCAACTATATAAACACAATATAGGCAGTATTCTACCTATATTAGCTTACTTTAATGTACGAACATTGCAGTAATTTTATGCTCATTATTAAATGTGGTTTAGTTGACTCTTTGTTTATTCATGAACACTTTTATCACAATAGAGTTTTAAATTAAAAAGGACGATCATTTAATTATCGTGACGTTATGTGACAATTTCATTGATATTTAGCCTTGTATAGTTGAGTAATTATTTTCTGTCATTAGACCTAAAGTACATGTGCTAAAAGCAAGTACTGTATTACAAAATCAAACATAGCTCACACATAAGTAACTAGTGCTACTACAATCGTCCACTCATAAACAGAACAGTACTTTACCAACTTAAATTAATGGAATACTTAATAAGTACTTAATAAATTCTGTATATGTCTCGTTAACAGTTCAACCGGTACATCAGTCACTTCCTACTATCATTATCATAAGACACAATATCTTGATGTAAAACATGACTCGTTGTATAGTCACTTGAAATCTTCACGCACGTGACCTTATTAGGTCTTATAGCCCCAACAGTATACTTTTTCAAGTCTTATACTGCAACATCTTGTGCGGGTAACTCCCAGATTGGCATACTGTAGAGGAAATTTTTTTTCGATTTTTGAGACTTACAAAAATCGTTACCATATATGCAGGTAAGCAGACCTGTGCGCAGTCGTTCCTTTGCCATAGTGAAACTTTGAATCCAACTTCCTTAAAAAAATTTTCAGCTTGTTCAAGTATACATAGACGTTTTTTCATAATCTTGGTACCATAGTCGAAGCATCAACATAGTCATGTCTGAACAAGAATTCGTTGAAGAACAACCTCAAGAAGTTGTCCAAGAGGAATTGCAATTAGTTGAATTAGCTACCGCTATCCCAGCTGATGTCCAAGCTGCTCAACAAGAAATCAAGTTGTTCAACAAGTGGTCTTTTGAAGATGTTGAAATCAAGGATGTATCTTTAGTTGATTACATTCAAATTAGACAACCTATCTTTGTCTCTCACACTGCCGGCAGATACGCCTCCAAGAGATTCAGAAAGGCTCAATGTCCTATTGTTGAAAGATTGACCAACTCTTTGATGATGAATGGTAGAAACAACGGTAAGAAGTTGAAGGCTGTTAGAATTGTCAAGCACGCTTTGGAAATTGTCCACGTTTTAACTGAACAAAACCCTGTCCAAGTTGTTGTTGACGCTATTGTCAACTCTGGTCCAAGAGAAGACTCCACCAGAATCGGTTCTTCTGGTACCGTTAGAAGACAAGCCGTTGATGTTTCTCCCTTAAGAAGAGTTAACCAAGCTATTGCCTTGTTGACCATTGGTGCTAGAGAAGCTTCTTTCAGAAACATCAAGACTATTGCTGAATGTTTGGCTGAAGAATTGATCAATGCTGCTAAGGGTTCTTCTACTTCTTATGCCATCAAGAAGAAGGATGAATTAGAAAGAGTTGCTAAGTCTAACCGTTAAGACTATCATTGCATTCCCTTTTTCTATTTTATATTTTTCTTCCATACTATCAACCTAATGTATAAAAGTGTCTATAAACTAAGATGTACAATATTTAAAAAAGAAAGATACTCTAAAGTTTGGGGATTTGTAACTTGGTTTTGTAGAGTTTATAAAGGGAATACTCTAATAAATATAAATGTGTCTAAAGTACAGAAGCTTATTACTATTGATGGTGACACCATAAGCCATATAGCGCTTTTTGTGTAACTTTATCCCAAAAGATAATAGCCCTCTGGGTATGAAGGCTGATCAGATATTGTCGAGCCTCTTTTAATAGAGCATTACCATTAAACATCTCCGTAACCAGCATAATAATATAATGAGTGGCTCAGACTCCTTGACAAAAGGAATAGAACTTGTGCAGAAGGCTATTGAAGCCGATACCGCCACCAAATATGAAGAAGCTTACAAATTATATTATAATGGATTAGACTATCTTATGTTGGCCCTTAAATATGAAAAGAATGCCAAACTGAAGGAGTTGATTAAGTCCAAATTTCTGGAGTATTTGAATAGAGCAGAGCAATTGAAGGAGTATTTGAGCAAAGAAGAAGAAAGTAAACGATCGGGTGAAAGTTCAGCTACCAATGGATCCACTAGAGCAAAAAAATCTGGCGGAGATGATGGTGATGATGATACAAAGAAACTTAGAGGTGCTTTAGCTGGAGCTATTTTACTGGAGAAACCAGATGTGAAATGGTCTGATGTTGCTGGGTTAGATCTGGCCAAAGAAGCTCTTAAAGAAGCAGTCATTCTACCTGTGAAGTTCCCTCAATTATTTACTGGTAAACGGAAACCAACTTCTGGTATACTTTTATATGGTCCTCCAGGTACTGGTAAGTCATTTTTGGCCAAAGCTGTTGCTACTGAAGCCAATTCAACTTTCTTTAGTGTATCTTCATCTGATTTAGTATCTAAATGGATGGGTGAATCCGAAAGACTTGTGAAACAATTGTTCACAATGGCCAGAGAAAGTAAACCTTCTATTATTTTTATTGATGAAGTCGATGCATTGTGTGGACCCAGAGGTGAAGGTGAAAGTGAAGCCAGTCGGAGAATTAAAACCGAATTATTGGTACAAATGAATGGGGTGGGGAATGATTCAAGTGGTGTTCTTGTATTGGGAGCTACAAATATCCCTTGGCAATTGGATGCTGCCATTAGAAGAAGATTTGAAAGAAGAATATATATTGCATTGCCAGAATTAGAAGCAAGAACAAGAATGTTTGAGTTAAATATTGGTGATGTTCCTAATGAATGTACTTCTCATGATTTGAAATTATTGGCAGAGATGACAGAGGGATATTCTGGTTCGGATATAGCAGTTGCTGTTAGAGATGCAATGATGGAACCAATTCGTAAGATTCAGCAGGCTACCCACTTCAAACACACAGAAAATGGGAAACTTACACCTTGTTCACCAGGAGATATAGGTGCTAAAGAAATGAGCTGGGAAGAATTAAGTACAGATGAATTACAAGAGCCAGCATTGACTATAAAGGACTTCATAAAGGCAATCAAGAACAATAGACCAACTGTTAATCAAGATGATATTTCTAAACAAGTGAAGTTCACAGAAGAGTTTGGTCAAGAAGGTAATTGAACAAAATTAATATAATGATTGCATATTTTTAAGTCTATTAGAATAATGAAACGTACCTTTTTGAATTATTATTGTTGTCATCTTCTTTCTGGAGATCTATCTCTTAATTTATGAGCAAAAAGATCATCACCTTGATCACCACGACGGTTATTGCTACTACTTTTTCTTCTTTCACGTCCTCCACGATTACCACCACGGCCCCTGCCACGACCACCGCCATATGCTCTATGGCGACGATCCTCAGAAACAGGTTCGTTGTCTGCGCTGTTAATAACTGCATCTAATTCCTGCTCAACGCTTCCTAGCTTAGATGCAAACAAATCTTCCTCTGGCTCCTCTACCTCCTTTCTAACTTCCCGAGGCTCTCTTTCACGGTAGTTATTATTATTACGTCTACCACCTCTGTTGATTCTTCCGTAGTGTCTTCTGTCCGGTTCGCCGTGGAGCAAGTAGTATCTTGAAAACATAGCAGCATTAGAAACTTTCTTGTCAGACTCAAAAGCAAACCTCAAGTATAAAACTACGGACGACTGATCTTCATCCATTACAACAGGGACGTCAGCAACTTCTGGAGTTTCTGATAACGGCTGTGCCTCTTCAACTACTTTTTGACCCAATCTACTACCCAAATCTTGAGACTTCTGGAATGCTATAGTTGAATTATATGGTTTAGATTCACGTTCTTGCACCATCTGAGCCACCAATTCTGGGTTCTTGAGGGTTTGTTCAGCATCAAGGTGTTGTTGATCTTGAATGATATTGGGATTTGACAGGGTTATAGATAATTTTTCAAGTGCATGGTATGCTTGTTCATGAGTTTGAAATACAAGGTTAACTTCTGAATCGTTAATCCATTGAACCTTGAAGGGGATCCCATTTTCAAACTCAATCTCTTCATATGAAACCTCGCCGTTCTCATCCTTCACTTCTATATAGTTGATATAATAATCAACAAACAGTGTAATGTTTTTCGTGGATAAGCTATCCACACCTCTGGCATGAATGACGTTAGGACGTAAGACTTCAACACTGTTGTTGACCGTGATTTCAATAGCTTGTTCCTTAAGCTTTTGTACTCTAGTCTTTTCATCTTCTATGGTTTTCGTAAGCAAACCACCATAGGGTGCCACCTCTGCCATCAGGACGATATTATTCGTAATCTTGCAATAAGGAAGTATATAAATGCTCGTTCAATTAAAGCGTGCAATTTCACCTCGCTTGACATTTTACTGCGAACATTAATATCTTCGACCAAAGTCAATGAATAAAACACCACTACTTAATCCCTTCACCTACATTCATTTACTAGTAGGAATAACCCATTATACAGTATAATTGTATTGTATTGTCGAATCATTATTAAACTATAGTACATTAACATTAGCAATAAGCTCTAAAATTATTCCATTTCTACTTCCTTCATCGTGGTGTCTTCCCGTATGAATAAAACATTGTTACATCTGATGAAAATCTCACCTAATGGCTCTTCTGCCGTCTTATTACCGTCGGAATCACGTATTATCTCGTGTGATTGTTCCAAGTGTAAGTTCATGTAGTTATCTGTAGACACTAATATTCCCGAGTACTCTGTTTGATTCCATTTAAGTCTAACTATCACCTTCTTATCAATAAGTGTCTTTAGGAACGGCTTAGGGTTCACAGGTTCAAACTGATTAATTAGTGTTAGTATTTATTTCATTACTTTCAAGCTCATCCTTCATATCATTGTTGTTATACGTACAGTGGACATGGTTTATTATGTTTAATTAAAATCACTTCATTTCACTTCACTTCATACCCGATGTTATAACATTAGGTTCTTTAAACGGTGCTACCATTTGATACATACACGAATGATTTGTTACTTTCGTTCTACTTATGAACAACCTATAACATAGGCACATATTATACTTTCACGTCACTAAATATTAATCCATTCAATTTCCATTCCCAAAATGGGTACTAAAGCTTCACTGCTTCCCACTGTTTTAGTGGTTGGTGGTCTTATCCGACTTTTACCGCTATTATTTCCCCTGATTCCGTACCAATTGTCTTCAGTAGTGGAAATCTCAACTCCCATCAACTCATACAAATCATTACAAGAAGCCTTCTACTACTTAAAACACGGCATTAACTTATATGATGGTGGGATCAACCATCATCCGCCATTGCTTGTGGTGTTATTAAGTTATGTACCAAATTTCAGCATTTTCTACGCATTGGTTGATGTTTACATCTCCTACAGTCTTGTTAAGCTTCATAGATGGTATCAAGAACATAACTCAATAAGAGAAAAACAGCAATTGGTGGGGTTAGGAGATAATTTGATTGCTGCTTTTTATTTATTCAACCCATTGATATTATTGACATGTTATTCTGGCTCCACACTTCCATTGAGTTTCCTATTCATAGTAGAAGCCTTAGTTCAAGCTTGTATTCAGCAAAAGGGTCCAAGAGCCGTCATGATGCTTTCAATAGCTGCTTATATCTCCTATAATCCTGCTTTTTTGATTTTTCCATTGTTAGGGTTGATTCATGTTTCAGCAAGAAAGGCAGCTGTCAATCTGAAAACCCCATGGAACCCTATCCAAGAATACATTGAATCTTCAGGTATATACATTGCATCATTGAGTTTACTCTTTTTATGTTCCTTCGCTGTCACAGCAGGCACACAATTTGTTGATCAATGTTACTGGACTGTGATTTCCTTATCTAAGATTTCACCCAATATCGGATTATGGTGGTATCTATTCACAGAAATGTTTGAATTCTTCCGTACCTTTTATATTGGGATCTTTAACATTTATGGGTTTATATTTTTGATCCCAATTACGTGGAGATTATTTGAAAGGAAAGACCCTTCAAATATTGCAACTGGTGATTCCTTCTTAGCATTTGTCCTTTGCTTTACCTGGATTAACTATAGCAAATCCTATCCAGTGGTTGGAGATTTGGCTCAAGCTTTACTGTTCTTACCTTTCTTTTACACCACCTCATTACCCCATACTCGATTTGTTTTCGTTCCATTTTTAGTATTCTTCGTGGCATTGATATTAGCCCCAATCTTTTACTACTGTTGGATTGTGTTGGGAAATGGGAACTCCAATTTCTTCTACAGTTTGAATTTGGTATGGGGGATAGGTTACGCACTCTTGCTAACAAATGTGCTTTGGGGAAGACTAGTGAAAAATTACCTAAATACCAACAAGGTTACTCCAGAAAAACATAGTCTGATAAGGTTAACTCAAATGTAACAAAAATTATATAAGTGTATAATAATTACATAATCTATATTAAAGGGAGTAAGAAATGTCTACAACTACTTTTCACCTTAACTAACGTCGTTGTTACGTGAACTTCTTGTTGTGTAGTATAAAAGTCACGTGACATGGCTCGGCCAATCATAAGTGCGAGAAAAATAAGAATTTGGTGTCAGACTATAACCACTCAGGATCGAAGAGAAAAATTTGTATGTAAAGTTTGGTGATAATAAGTAAGTTATAATTAGGAGCGATTGAATTTCATCGTTATAGAGATCATCCAATTTTGTTCTATATACGTCCGTTTCCCCATGTTGTCTCGTTCAGCCGTTCGTGCCTACAGCTCTTCTGCCGTCAAATTGGTTGCCAGAGATGCTCCAGGTAATTTGTCCACTTTAACAGTTGTTGTGAACAATGCTGGTTCCAAAGCTGGTAAGGCTGGTGTAGCCCATTTGTTGTCTAAGTACAACTTCCTTAACAATGAAGTCAAATCCGCATTAAGATTTACCAGAGAATCGGAATTGTTGGGTGGTTCATTTGCTTCTACAGTCACCAGAGATGATATCATTTTGTCCACCCAATTCTTAAAGCAAGATTTACCATACTACGTTGAAGCCTTGGGTAATGTTTTAACCAAGACTTCCTTCAGACCTCACGAATTATCTGAAATTGTGTTACCAGCTGCTAAGGCTGATTTCACCACTGCTGCTGCTGACAATGCTTTCATTGCTCTTGAAGAATTGCATCAATTGTCTTTCAGAACTGGTTACGGTAACCCATTATATTACGACAACACCACCAAATTGTCTGTTGCTGATGTCCAATCCTTTGCCTCTCAAGCTTACACTTCCAGTGGTGTTTCTATTTTTGCTTCTGGTGTCAATGAAGCTGATTTGGCTGGTTTCGTTGGTGAATCTGCCTTCTCCGAATTGCCAGCTGGTTCTCTTGCTTCTCCAGCTGTTAAGACCTTCACCGGTAAGGATGCTAGAATCAGAGCTTCGGGTGCTTCCAGTGCATTGATAGGTGTCCCAGTAAAGCCTGCTGATTTTGCCAAGTTTGAAACCTTGTCTGTTGCAGTCGGTAGCACTGTCTTGCCCAACCCATTTGCTCCATTGGCTTCTATCCCAGGTGCCACCTCCCATTTATACAAGTACAAGGACGCCGGTTTGTTCGTTGTCTCCGTCACGGGTGCCAATGGTGCTGTTGTCAGTGAAGGTATTAAGCAAGCTAAGAAGATTGTTGATGGTGTCACTTCTTCTCAATTGAGCTCCGCTAGTAAGGATGCCGAATTAGCTTTGACCTTGCAATCTACATTCGAAGCTCCTTTGGAAACTGCTGTTTCTTCAGTTTCTGAAGCCAAGTTGGGTGCTTTCAACTATGTTGCCATTGGTGATGTTGATGCTTTGCCATACCCTGAAGAATTGTAATTAGACAACTATAACTAACTCACATATATTCGCCCATCTGTCATGTCAAAAACTTTTACATCATTTTATACATTCACCTTTAGTACCATAGTATGAATAATAACAAAAATATTCATTATTGATAACATTAAATAGTACCTTAGTTAACAAGTTGAACCCTAAGCTATATCTTGCGTCGTGCGTTTACCAACTTTATATTTTTCAAAAGTCTTCAACATCGAATAGTGATGGGCTCTCATCACATCAGTAAGCAAACTTTAAAGAGATATCATATAAAAAAAAGGGCCTGTTGCCATACCAATAGCATAGCAGTAACATTAACTATGTCTGATTTTGAAGAGAATGCCTTCAATGAAGGACCCGAAAACTTTGACGATTTCGATGCTCCAGATCACTTTTCCGAAGATGACTATGAAGAACCCGCAACCAACAACAATAACGAAGATGTGGAAATGAAAACAGAAGATGGTAAAACCATTATCAATGGTGGATTGGGACCTGATGATTCATCGTATGCACAAGCAGCAGCTTTCAAGTCAAAAACACAAAAGGGTTTATCGATACCTAAGGAAAAGAGAACTACCACACCTTATATGACTAAATATGAAAGAGCCAGAATTTTAGGAACCAGAGCATTGCAGATTTCATTGAATGCTCCAGTATTAGTGGACATAGAAGGTGAAACAGATCCTTTACAAATTGCCATGAAGGAATTAGCACAACGAAAAATCCCCTTAATCATTAGAAGATATTTACCTGATGGTTCTTATGAAGATTGGGGATGTGAAGAGTTGATTATTGATCATTAAAGAAGTTTCTACTAACAAGCTTTTGTGTGTTAAATATAAAAATTATAATATTCTGTTATAGTATTCTTTCCATCCATTTACAATTATAATACTAATTTAGACTATTTCTGTTGTATAGGCTTTAATCGATATAAGCATCTAGCCATTTACCTGTTAGAAACAATTTTTTACCGTCTGTTTGTTCCAGTACGAAACCTTTAACTAATTCGTCAAATGTCTGTCTTGTTAATCTATGATCTCCAGACCCAATTTCTCCCAATTGAACTGAGCAGCAAGCATCTTTCAACCGATCCACGTCAATAATCAATTCTTCACTAACTCTATTATAGTCTGCTTCTTCTGCAAACAATTTCAACGCATTGTATATGGTATTTCGATCTTCAAACACCAGCAACTCTTCAGCCATGGTCTGCAGAAATTGGGCGAAATTTATACCCTCACTATTCTTAAGCATTCCATTGAGTTGGTCATCCAGTGGGACCGGTAATCCTAGTTGTTGATAGAGATTTATCAAATCTGTTTTAGTGATTATAGAATCTCGAGACTCTCCATCAATAAGTGTAAAGGCATTCCGCAACTGTTGTTTCTGGTTATTAGAAAGTGTATTTAATGCCAGCATAATAAGAATATATAACAGTTTGTAGTGTGATTATAGCAATACCGCAATGATGATCTTCTCTTTTCGTTCCGTATAATACACCGTTCTGTAATGTTACCATGTTGATTATATATTTATTTCGCGTTTCAGATTTCACCCAACGTAAACACCCACTACCTTCTTATCACCATCTCCATATAATGGACCTTTATAATCAGCCAATTGTGATAGATAATGGCTCGGGTAACTTGAAGGCAGGGTTTGCGGGGGAAGAGCAACCCAAATGCTACCAAGCTAATATGGTTGGAAGACCTAAATATCAAAAGATCATGGCCACTACCACCACAGCAACAGCCGGTGACACTGCTGATACAGCAGACGGACAAAAACTGGAATCACTCTTTGTGGGTCAATTTGCCCAACAGAATAGAGGTCTATTGAAATTGCTGTATCCAGTTGAACATGGGATCGTTACCAAATGGGATGAGATGGAGACATTATGGTACCATACATATTCTACCCAATTGAAAGCCCTGCCTCAAGAACATCCCTTATTGATAACCGAGTGTCCTTTGAATCCTCGACAGAATAGAGATAAAATGTGTCAGGTTCTTTTTGAACAATTCAATGTGCCTTGTTTATATGTACTGATTCAAGCAGTGTTACTGTTGTATGCCAGTGGGAGAACCACTGGTGTAGTCCTTGATTCAGGGGATGGTGTTAGTCACATTGTACCCGTTTATGATGGGTTCCTGTTGCCTACATCTATTAAAAGAGTTGATATCGCTGGTCGAGACATCACTGAACAATTACAATATGAACTTAGACGACTTCAAGGTATTCTGTTACTTTCATCATCTGAGAAGGAAATTGCTAGAATAATTAAAGAAAAATGTTGCTTTGTATCCAAAGATCCCATTAGAGATGAAAAATTATACAATTCAGTGTATTATGATAAATCAAATACGGATTTGTTTTCAACTTATAGACTTCCAGATGGTAAAGAATTGGTTCTTGGAGCTGAAAGATTTAGAGCTTCTGAAATCTTATTTAACCCACAAATAATAGGAAACGAGTCTCCAGGAGTTCATGAATTGGTCAATTTAGCTATTGCCAAAACAGATTTGGATTTGAGGTCTGTCTTATATCAAAACATTATACTATCAGGAGGTACAACAATATTCAAGAACTTTGGAGACCGATTATTAAGTGAATTAAATGCCAGTTCTCCAGGGACTACAAAGGTTAAAATCTATGCACCACCAGAACGGAAATATTCCACTTGGATTGGCGGGTCCATTCTAGCAGGGTTATCTACATTTAAAAAAATGTGGGTTACCTATGAAGAATACCAAGAGGATCCAAATATTGTTCATACAAAATGTCTTTAACTTTAGCTTTCAAATACAGTAATATCTGTCACCAAAATCACCAAGACCAGGGACAATGTATTTGTTTTCATCAAGTTTCTCATCAATACCACCAGTGATAATCTTAACATCTGGATATTTATCATTGAAGGCTTTGATACCTTCAGGGGCAGCCAACAAGTTTAAAAAGAAGATTCTATCCATCTTCACACCTCTACTGAGAAGCACTTCAACTGCCATCATAGCACTACCACCAGTAGCCAACATTGGATCAAGTAAAAATACATATCTATCACTAATATCTTCAGGTAACTTCTCATAGAATAATTTTGGAGTAGCAGTTTTCTCATCTCTTTGGATCAAAATCTTACCGATTCTAACTGATCTACAACAATCTCTAAGGCCCATTTCCATAGATTCACCAGCACGAATGATAGAAACCCCACAGATTTTCCCTAAAAACTTGGATCCCTTATACTCGTTACCACCATGGCACTGTATAGTACATTCTTCGACCGGTAACAAGTTCAAGCCTTCTTCCACAAGCAAACGGATGATTCTATCACTGTAGAAAACAAAGTCACCTCTTTTCGTGGACTTGTCTCTGATGATAGAGTACAACCCAATGAGTTGATTGGTTTGAGGAAGCAAGATCACGTTATCACCAAACTCTGTAGAAGGCATGCTGATGGGGATGTTGTACGATGGAGATTAAGAAAGTAGAATGGAATCTTTTTCTGATAAGAGACCCAAACGATGAATTTGAGATGAGCGAAAAATAGTGTCATGCGACGCAAGTACTAACCTATTCACTAGTACCAGCTCTATTATCTACATGATAATGATAATGAAATAGTGCCAACTAATATTATATTATACAAATGGATTGTCTATGTATTCGCTTCCTGACACAGGTGAAATCGATAGTAATGAAGTACATCTTACGACCACAAGTCCCAAGTCTCTGGTTCTATCAGTAAGTTCTGTATCATCTTCTGGATCTCTGATGTATTCCTTAACCTCTTCCAATACCAAATTCATTAACTGATCATACCCTTTTAATATACCTGTGACGACTCTTCCTCCAGCAAACTCGACACGAACTTGTTGATCTTGGTACTTGGCCAAATCTAAAATAGCTTCTCTCTTGGGACCATCTGGCTTTGAATATCCAGCATTATTTTTTCTTCGGTTATTATTATTATTATTGTTATTGCTATTGTTGTTATTGTGATGGTGATTATGACTGTTGTGGAAAGTACCTCTCTACAAATTTCTGTTAGTAAAATTGAATCAGTAAACAAACAAACAAACAATAAAACTTATACCATAGAATTAAGTTTGTAATATGTCTCTTTATTACTAAAGCTGTTCACATACGCCTGACATCTTGAATGTGCTTAATGTTGTATTGCCTTGCTTTTAATTAGAATCATTAAGTAGTCATTTTTGAGTACCTGCAAATTTTCGACCTCTTTTGACTGCGACAAAGTCGTGTTTCCCTCGTTCACCATAGTTGTTGACATATATTATTTACAGTACGTTGGTTACGATAATGATACACTGTAACCTTCATTATACAAAAATGGCTGACATCAATGTTTATGTAACTTCGGATTTGACATCTTCTGAAAGAAGAATATCTCCTCAATGGACCACAGAGCACTTGAAGGAAAAATTAGAGCATATCACAGGTATCCCTCCGCAATCTCAGGAATTACATCATTACCCTACCCATTCTTCAAACTCATACAAAATAATAGGTCAAGATCCAGATACAACAGTGTCAGCATATGCAATTGCACCATACTCACGGATCCACGTGCTTGATAAGAACCCTGACTCGGAGTTGGGTGCTTTGGTAGATGATGAGGCTACTGGGTCCACGTCTGAGGAATTCAAATTGACTGAAGAAGAATACTCCAAAAGGGAAGGTTCTGTCTTACAATGGAAACAGTCAAATAAACTAGGAAGATTTGATCCTGAATACGTGAAGAGAAAGAATGAGACTCTTGAAGAAAACGAGTCCAAGGCAAAGAATATAAAGGTGGGAGATAGATGTCGTATCATTAACATTCAAGGTGAAAGAAGAGGTGAAGTTAAATTTGTAGGTAAAATAAATGAATTGGACAAGGGTGAGAATATATGGGTTGGTATTGAGTTTGATGAACCAGTGGGGAAAAATGATGGTTCTATTGATGGTACTCGTATATTTTCCAGTCGTCCCTCTCATGGTAGCTTCTTAAAACCAAAGATAGTTGAAGTTGGTGACTTTCCAGAGTTGAACCCATTTGACAATGATAGTGAGGACGAGTTATAGGTTGTTGTATTACGTAATCATTCGACTTCGGAAGTCTCGCTTTCTCTTGGTGAAAAATAAAAACCAAAATAACAAACCACTGAAAATGCATATGTCAGATTTATTACAAACTTTATATATACCCGATGTTTGAGTTCATTTATAATTACGTCGACAAAGAAGAGTTCACCAAGTACCTTCGTTTGACAATTGTGATAAGTTTTTATTTCTTTTGTCGCCACTACTACACCAAATGGGCCACTCAACATCAGATCAAGAGACAAATAGCCATGGATAACCAAGAGAAGTTGGAAAAACCAGAAAGAGAAAAGAAAGAAAGAGAAGCAGAACAAAAACGGTTAGAAGATGAAGCAGCCTCATTTGGATGGGGTAAGAAAACCAGAAGGAATCTTAAAGTCTCGGAAGCGGTTTTGAATGACCAGTTAATGCAAGTGAGAGAAAGACATCAATCAGCATATGATGCAGCTGAAGATCATGATATCGAAGACTTGTTGGAAGAGTAAGAACTTATTCAATGATAATTTCTCATAGTGAGACCATCACAAAATGGTCTAGGTCTTCTACTTCAGTAGTTGATCGTGTGTGTGTATATAAATGTATAGAGTATTATATATCAAAAAAGTATGTTTAAATACAAAATAATTGGTTATTATGCCTCGTATATTAAAAGAAATCGCTTGGAATAATGATCTAGCCGTAGATTTGATAGTATCTTGTCGAAGCAAACTTTTCCACAGTAGCAAAGACAGCAACTACATCGTGATTTTCAGTCGAATTAGAAAATTAATCGCAGCAAGTCTGGCATATATCTAGCACCATTTGACCAATAAACTTGTCAATATGCGATATGCTTCTTGCTTCGTAAAATATTTCACGGAGAGATGTAAGTAGTCAAGGAAGGTCAATAAGTTGGCTCTAACATATAAATAATGAAAGCACTTTAGCTGAAGGCTACTGCAAACCTATGATGGAAGTTGGTTTGCAGGTTTCGTGCTCATAATATGTGCGGAATTGACAAGAGATTAATTAAACGTAATTAACTACATCATTATCTAATGGAACTATATATTTCCGTATAGGTGTAAATATGTAGCATGCTTTGTATGTATTATGATGAGAAGGTCTATTCTCAATTACTTTAGTAACAGGTGACAGCATGTAACAAAATACATACAAACTGTAGCAAACTTTTTGTGCTTCAGTTATACATAAGAGTCACATAAAATTCTCGCCTACTATTCCGTTGCTCTTTTTCTCCTAGGATGGCAAATGGACTTTACCAAACGAACATTCATTTATCAATTCGATGTAATAGATGACTGAAGCTCGAAACTCACGTTTTACTTGATAGAACATTCAGTCCCACGTCGTAAATTCATCGTAACTCGTGTTCTATATGCAGTGTCTTGAGGTTTAGGTGATTTTGCAGCATTTCGTGGGCCGCCCTTAGCTGTCAATCCCACCGCCTTGTGATGAAGAAGGTAGCGGTTTTAAGAACGATGACAAGGTTATCTTCTTGTCGTCTTACAGTTTGATGGCAAGAGATGACAGACCACTTAAATCGATAACGTACTAAAGATTCGATTGTTCTGAGCACATTTAGTGCTGGTGGTGGTGGTGGTGCCCAATCTATTCGATCTTCAGGGACAAACGTTCAATCTTCAGAGAAAATAGACAATTTGATACATTCCAGACGAAATTCTACTCCCAACCATAGGAGATCATTGACATCATATTCTGGATCAGATAAGAAGTCCAAGGATTCTTTCTGAATATATTTCTGAGTCTAGCTCATTCCAAGAGTACTAGAGGATATTTAGACTCTCTTGGTGGAGGAGTTAATAATGATCACCTTGTAAGAAAGCAAAGAACGTAGCGAAGGAATGAGAAAATAAAGTACTATAAAGTTGTGTTAAATGGAAGGGGCCTTATAGATGATCTATGGAATGTAATAATAAATCAACTAGATACAATATATGTGTTGAAACTACTTAGCATTATACCCAAATCAGAAGACTCCAAAAAGCTCTCAACAACTTTGAAACAGGAACTATACGGGAACGGTCTTTTGTTAACAAGCGATAGAGAATTGTTTTCTCAGAATTAATTTTACCAATATTTCCAATGCTCGTCTGGCATGGTTCAAAGTTGATTCAGGAAACTCGGCCATTTCAGCAACTTCAATTGCAAATGATTTCTTGCTAATTCCCGGCTCTAACTTATGATCAATAAAACTATCAATCTTCCCATCAGTAACACCACTTTGGTTCTATAGAAACGAATATGATCCACGTTGACATTATCTGATTTCAACATGGACTCAATGGACTCAATTTCATTACCAAAACGAGTAGCGAATAATATGCTACACTTATTCTCCGGTATTAAAGACAAAATTATGGCATGGGCAATTCCTAAGCCTTCCTTGCCACTTGTCCCTCTTCCAATCAGACTGAAATCGTGGAATTCACTGATCTAGTTCTATGTAGCTACTTAGGTACTAAGAGGTCCTTAATGATATATTAGTGTACCGCTAAAATTTTAACAAGTAAGGGCTCTGTGGCCGAGCGGTCTAAGGCGGCAGACTCAAGTTCTGTTATCGTAAGATGCGCGTGTTCGAATCACGCCGGAGTCATCATACTATACTTCCTTACTTCTTATTTTTTTTCCTGATCTTGCCTAAGTCCATTTATAGACACATGCATTGACTTAAAGGGGTTCTACAATTTAATTGCTTGTGCATTGCATAACGTGGGTTCACTTTTCCTTACAGGGATAGATAATGAAATTCATGACATAATTTGAAAAAGGGCTTTTAACTGGTCGTGTATCTGGCTAAACGTGTGATATATAAAAGGGCCCCTGTGTAAGCTCTTTACGGGTTGGCTGATGTTCTTTTTCACGTGTTATCAATTGTCAACTATTGAAACTAACTTAAATATGTCTCCAATTAACTACTCATCCGAATCTGGCTGCTCTTGTGGTTCTTCCTGTACTTGTGGCACTGCTACTTGCACTTGTGGCAAGAAATAATCTGCTACCACCACCTATATAACTGTGTTTAGCGTTTAATATGTTTTAAATTCATTCATCATGTTTCATTACTATGTATATTATAAACCGTAATTCTGTTTTCCCAACTCCACCAATGATTTATAACTACTGATTCTTATATGTTGGGCGTTAGATACCTTCTTCAATTCAGCTAATCTCTCTCTTAACCCTGGAACATCTCTAAGATTCTTTTCCAAATCCAATCGTTCATCTTCATATTTCAATCTTTTGGTGGCATCCAAAGGTCCAAAATAATATCCACCTTTACCATCAAACTTGAGAATATAATTATGGAAATGCCAAAGGGCTGATCTATGAGCAACAGATAAGAGGGTAATTCCCATGGATTGAGCATGTTCATACATAAATTGTTCCATAGCAGGTGAAACGGCTGAGGTACATTCATCTAAAACTGCAAACATTGGTTGATGATAATATAATCTGGCCATTGCTAATCTTTGTTGAGCACCAACTGAAAGTTCTTCATTCCAATTTCTTACTGAATCAAGAGATCCAATGGGGTCACCTTGGAAAACTTCATCTAAATCTAATGTTCTCATGATTTCAATCAAATCCTTATCAGTTTTTTTGTTCTTCTTTTTGGATTCATATTGTTCCAAGGTAAAGGGGTAAATCACTTGTTCTCTTAATGTCCCTTTACAAAGATATGCTCTTTGAGGTAAATAAAACATATTTTCAGTTTCGGGGATAATGATTTGCCCTTCTTTACAGGGCCATAATCCTCCCAACATTCTGAATAATGATGATTTTCCAGAACCATTAGGTCCAGCAATTAACAAATGATTCCCTCTTTTAAGACTGAAATTCAACTTTGGTATCAAAGTAACATCTGCTGGAGTTACCAATCTGACATCTTTGAAAGTAATTTCTTCACCATATTGAACATTATTAGATGATTGCAGTTCTCTATCCTTAACAATCTTGCTCAATGAATCTTGGAAACTAGATACTCGTGAAGCATGACCAACAACTTGTAAAATATACTTTCTAGCATAAATCAACTTATCAAGAGAATCTGAAGCACTTAGTAATAATCTTCTGTTAGTAATGAAATCTCCTGATGCATTAGGGTCAGGTTCTTGTCCCAAATATTGGTTTATGAAAACAGGTGCAGAACAAAGGACTAAACCAGCAGCTCCCCAAAAATATTTTACAATAAATGTTTGAGCTATTTGATGAATGGCTCTTTTCCAATAATCCATTTTCAAAAAGCCTTCCAATTGATAATAACTTCTATCAATGATATCCAATTCTCTTGGATGACCCTTGAGAAAAGCGATTTCTTCATTATTGGCAGATATTCTTGAATGAGCAGATCTGAGTTGTCCTTCTAATCTTGCTTTATCAGCAGCTAATCTTGCAAAAGGTGGGGATACCAATCTTAAAATCATTGTTGAAAAATGGGCTATAATACCTAAAGCCAAAGTTCCTTCACCACTACCAACGCCACTCTTACCTAATTCTCTAGCACACAAGAGTAAATCTAATGTAGGTTTTAATAATTGGCCTGGTAAGCTTGCCAAAGCACTGGCTAATCTACTTACATCAGTTGAAATTCTTTGATCAGGATCAGCAATTTTCCCTTCAGAAAACAGAACAAGGCTATAGTAATTTGGATCCAAGGAATCTGGTAAATAATCCATAATAATACTTCTGTTCATATTAATTCTCATATGTTGTCTGAATTTACTCTTTGTCCAATTTAAGGAGGCATTGACAACTGAAGCGGGAATACCCAAGAGCATCCAATATATGAGTAACTTTACAAATCTTTTCAATCTTTTGGACACCAAGGCACCCACCAACTTACCATCTAAAGTAGCAACTTTAATAGTCAAATAGGCTCTCATCACCAATAGTAAAAGGTGGCCTGAAAAATATACAACTGTGGCATCTGTAGCTGATGGGATGGCGGATTTAATAAGTCGTTTGAATGAAACTTTGGATATTTTGGGGTGTTTTTTCTGTTCTTCTGGTGGAGATATATTTAATGATTGTGATTTCTGCATATCTGTGGTAGTTATTAAAGTACCAGGTGGTGCTCCTTTGGTTGATGATTTGCTCTCATTGGCACGTGCAAACGTTGTCCCACTGAAAGCTGCAGTTATCAATACCAAATATGACACGTTCAAAAGAAGTGAACGATTCTGCTTGTAAATATCAAAGAGTAGAAGCGGGACCGATTTGGTTCCTGCTTCCACACTAACAGCTGGCATTATTATTATATAGTAGACTCTGTTATATGATTATGTTAGTTCTATCCAACTGTATTTATATGACTATGTACTTGCCCAGAAAGAATACAGTGGTATAAAAAAATGTCTACTCCACAAGTTGATTTCTGTCAGTATAAATAAAAGGTGTGGGGGTGGGGTGGCTATATCTATGTGCAGGATTCTTGGTATGCGAGCTACTTCTATGGCTGGGGATGGAGATCATCATCAAATAGTGTGGAATTGTGTGTCGTGTCATTATCTCCAGATGAATTCATTATATTGAAAATCTTAAGGTCGACTTCTTTAATGATTAAAGATGTTTGTCTATGTGCTGTACTATCTATCCCAGTATTGAAGTAGGTGGGGATCTCGGCCCATGTGAAAAATTGAATTCAATATGGGAAGTGCACGCACACCATCCATTCTCGCAAACAGTCTTAGGTACAAGTAGCTGTAGTAAGGCATCTGTATAGTCAGTATCTCTGTAAGCAATGTGTCGATATCCAGCAATGCATCCGTTTTCAGTAACGTCATTCACGTGTTAAACCCTGTGTCTCCAATAATGCTACTCTGATGGTATACCTGTGTTCAGTGGTATCAGTCCATGCCCATTCCATATTATCCATCGAGGGTTTGAATAAAGTTCTTCTTCATTTGTTGCAACGTATCTTCAATCTCTTGTATCCGATCGTAGTACAAAATGTTAGCCAATTCTGTAGTAGTTGATGCTCCAAATACATTCAATGAGTTAGCGTATAGTTTTGTTATTTGCTTCAACGCCGGTTTATGTTGGAACGGTAATTGATGCATCTCTTGTGATATTTTGATAGCTTTATGATTATACCATTCGTCAATGATTTCAGTCACTTTATCATTGTTATTTTCAACCACATCATCTGGTTGTATGAGATGATTATTATGTAGTAATTGGCACAAGAGAAGAAGATCTCGCTTATTATAATTCTCAGGGTTAGTTATGGCACGATCCATCTCTATAGTAGATGGAGATCTGTACTTGGAAATATCTGTACTACCAATAGGAATGGATCTGGACTATGATGGTGTAAATCTACCAGTTAATTTATGTAGTGCACGTAGATGAATTCCAATTGCTTTGACACGAAACATAAACAACTTGTGTTTAGCACAACTACACGACCTTGATTCATCTATAACCATACATCAACTTACATACATTAAACAGTTGCTTGTACAAGTTTTACCATTACTTCAATTTGGACGACTGCAGTTTGATCAGGCACATTATTATACGTCATATTATTACACGTCACATTATTACACGTCACATTATTATACGTCACATATATAAACAAACATATATAATTACCCTTTTAGTATAATCTGATCATCAACAGTTAGTATTTCCTTCCTTCTATGAACCGACTGCATGAGTTCGAAGATGATTTTGCCCAAATTGCTATCAACAGGCCTTCTAGATACGTGGGGGGGCAAAACATCCTGTCGCCCTCTAAAAAGAAATGCTATCCTTTGTCTGTTGACGGATATTCAAACTCTGACCCACGGCACCCTAATCTAGCTACTGCCAGAAGAGCTGAATCACGACACTATCGAAGTAGTATGACTACCAGTACCTCGCATCATAACATAGGAGCCATAGGACATAATTCTACTAGTAGTAGTTCTACTACAAGCTCTACCACTACTAGTTCCACATATGCACCTACAACTCCATCGTCTACTCATTTGACTGATCACCATTACCCCAACAAAACCAGTCAGACTGCCAGTGCACCATCTTCTGCTACGAGAAGACGAATAGTCAGTTGTCCAACAGATTCCACTACTTCCACCCCTCCTTCCTTCATGAGACAAACATCAGCCTCTTTATCCAAGCAAGTCTCCAGTCCATTTGTCACTCCAAAAAGAGTTCCATCAGGTAGCAGCACACTGTCGGTTACGTCGTCTAAACCTTCTTCAAATAGACCCATCCGAAGATCAGAACAAAACTATAACTTTTTAGCATCATCATCAAAACTGTTTTCCAATAATCCTCTGGATGTAACAAATGTTGCCAATAAATATGTCTTTGAAGAGTCTCCCATAAAGAAACAACCTCTGATTCTGAAACAAAGGAAAGCACATCCTTACTATCAATTACGACAAGCTACAACAGCAGCAGCAGCAGTAGACACGACTATTCAAAGTCCCTTGAAACATTCACAAATAGAAAATTTTACACCAACAATAAGTTCAAAGTACTTGGACGATAAACCCAAACCATTGAAGGTGTCAATTAACAATGTGATACTAGATCCAAATTCTAAAAAGCTAAAAACTGACAATAAAGTTTTAGATTTGAAATCATTGTATGAAATAATTTATGAAAAGGATAGCACTTTGTTTCTTCCATCTCAATGCGATTTTATTGAGCAAGAACCGAAATCACCTTCAGAATTTATAGATGATCCATCTTATCAGCTTAGCATTTATGAAAAGGGTGAAATAATCCGGAAAAAGGTTATATACTATATGCCTAAGAACCAAAGAAACCAAGATATCAATATCAATAATCATAGTGCAAATTACGGGTTTGATAATGATCAAGGCAACTATATATTAAAATGGCATGATCATATTAATTATCGATATGAAACCTTACGGGTTATTGGTAATGGGTCATTTGGGAACGTGGCACAATGTCTTGACCATAAGAATGGGAATATTGTTGCTATTAAAATTATCAAAAATGCTATAAATTGGTCCGCACAGTCGATCAACGAAATCAATATGCTAAAGGCTTTACAACAGAAGGAGGATGAGCTGCTGCTGCTGATACTTAAATATTTTGACCATTTCCATTTCCGAAATCATCTGTGCATTGTGACCGAATTAATGCTGATTAATTTATATACATTGTTGGAATTGACAGAGTTCAGAGGCTTATCACTTAATCTTGTTAAGCAGTTTAGTCGAGAGATATTAAAGGGTTTGGAATATATTCATCAACAAAACATTATTCATTGTGATATCAAGCCAGAAAATATCATGATAAAATTGAATAAAGAAGCTACAGTTTTGGAATTAAAAATAATTGATTTTGGATCTTCGTGTTTTCAAGATGAAATAATGTTCACGTATATTCAATCCCGATTTTACAGAGCTCCAGAGATCATTTTGGGTGCAAATTATGATAGAAAAATAGATATTTGGTCTCTTGGATGTGTTGTTGCGGAGTTATTTACTGCAAAGCCTATTTTACCAGGTCAATCTGAATTAGAACAAGCTGGTTTGATATTGGAATATTTTGGTCCACCACTGCCCAGTACGATTTTACAAATGAGAAGTAAACTTCTTCACCTGTTAAAAGCACAAAGGTTGAAAAGTAAAAATGGAGGGAAAATGCTTGATGGTATCAGTAATTCTTTCAAAACAAGCAGCATGTTGATGCCACCTTCTCATACGGAGAAGTCCGATTCCCAAGCTCTTAAAAGAACTTTACTCTATACCTTGTTTGATACCCAGGGTCGTGTTAACTTACAATCCTTGAATCTTCGTTTGGGCCAATTAGGTGTCAAGAGTAAACGTTTGGGTTCAAAGCCCTTGGTATATCAATTAAGAATCCTGGATAATAGAGAGCAAACTACTCAATTCATTCAATTCTTAGAAGCTATCTTCAAATGGGACCCAAAGGAAAGAGCCAACGTGGAACAATTACTTCAACTTGACTTTATAAAATAATGATACCTGTTAAAAGATATTATTAAATTTTCAATACGCTTTATAGAAAAACATCAAATATAATGAATTACGTGTTAACCAGAGTGATACGGTATGGCGTTGTACTTTATAGGTATAACTTTAGTTGGTTAAAAAAAATTGCGAATTCTGTGGATCGAACACAGGACCTTCAGATTAACTGTGACTGGAGTTTAAACTTCAGTCTGACGCTCTCCCAACTGAGCTAAATCCGCTAATTGTTGAACATAATCTTTCGTGCAAAAACACGACATTTCAGTCTTCAATATTCCTACACATAAACGATAATTTAGGTATGTGATAAGGGAAGGCTTTAGGTACTAGTCAAATGAAATTACTTAACTAATCCAAAGGATTAATCATCGCTTGCTGAGTACTTTTCAGAAGGCAATGTGCGTTCTTCGAAATGGCCAGGTAACACGAAAGATCACTTTTCAAAAACATCAGTCTAAACCGAGTTCTTACATAAGCAATGAAGAAAAGTTACTGAATCCCAAAGGTGTTCTCTGGTACATTGACTGACACTCTTTTGCAAAGATTAAATGATTGTTTCACAGATCTTTTTGACTCTATCCAATTTATTCTATGAATTATATGCTACCGTTATAAGTAAAAAGTCCATCATATACTTGATTTACACCCATATATAATTTTCCTGTATGTACTGCTACATTAGCTGCAAAAAAATGATCTTTACCCCCGTAAACCAATTCGTATAAATACGAAGCGACACAACGTTTATTGCGACATGGCAACATTTTTTGTCAGTATAATTGAATATACCACAAGCACTGCTATAAGAGATAGAAAATAAACAATGCTAACCAATGTGTTACTTGGATATGTAACTTATAAGTGTTTCCTTCGTAAATACCAGTACTCACAAGAAAATGAGACGTTGTGCTTGGGTAACAGGATAAGCATTGAGGTTGCTTTGAAGAAGTAGTTTGGATAATTAGGGTGGAAATAGTCTTATGATTTGAAGATACCGTCATTGTAAAAACAGACAAGGAGGAATTTTTAGAGGATCCTGTAGTTGGAGACTGGGAAACTAGAGTATATGGTTCATTAATTGGAATTGAAGAAACGAGTGGTATCGTTGAGGACAAAGATTTCCCTTCTGGTGTATTAATAGAAACGGTAGTCGTAATGAAAATATTAGTACTAATTGTAGGATTGGGAATTAATATGGTATTTGAAGACAGGACTAATGTCGTCAAATAACGACCAGAGGCTGGAGTAGGCACAGTATGGAGCGAACTAACAGCTGTCATAGTAGATATGCTAATATGTGGCACAGTCAATATTAACCTTGGAGCTGAGTAATACCCCAGCTCCGTACCAGAAGACGTCTCATCAAACGGTTGAGAGCTTCCTAGGGTTGACGATACGACATTATGGCCCAGGGAGAAGAAAGAAATAGTCGTAGTAGGTGTGTGTTCCAGTCCGGGTGTGTTTTCTGATGTAGTGAAACGATCTGGTAAACTGGAACAACATGTATGAAGTTGGTAATTCAGTGTGATACCTGACTCTAAAGTAGTAAAAGAAGACGGCCCAAAAGTAAAAACTTCCCTTGAAGAACTAAAGACACTGGACTGAGAATTCACACTAGGAATAGACAAACTAATGGATCCAGACAGTGTCAGACCAGTTATAAACTTAGAGTTCTGAGTAGTAGATGGGAAACTCAATGATGCCAGCACAACTGTGGAAGAAAGCAAATATGAAGGAGGATAGCTGCTAGAATAAAGATTCAGTGTTCTTTCAATGCAACCCATACAATAAGCTTCAGAAAAATTTGTAGAAGAACTCTCCGAAGTTGTGCTCAACCCATTCGAAGTGCTTGACAAAGAGTGAGAGAAGCTCAGCAGAGAAGATGTATGTAGTGTCTTTTCTGTAGAATGTAACAAGACCAAATAATCAACAAAGTTGGAGCTGACTGTGCCTATGGTGTTGTGGCCACTATCGGATGGAAGAAGTTTTGATAAAGTAGTTGTATGGGTTGTAGCCAACGAAGGGACAGGAGTGTCCAATGAAAACGAAAATTGCAGATTTGAACTTTCAAACGATATTATCAAGTCAATCAGTGTACGACTCTCTATGAAGTCACTCGTGGTAGAAGAGCCTTCGAATTCTGAAGAAGATGATGAAGAAATAGGGAATGCGCTAAACTTGGAATTAGTGTATGATATCAGACTTGGTACTTCAATGGCTACTGAACAGGAAGAAGTTAAGTCCTCTGAGAACAACGAAATTACCTGTGATGAGCTGAGGAAGGAATTTGTCAAGTGAGCAGTGAAAGAATCCACTTGAGATGGCAGCAACAGACTGTCTGATTCGACAAAGCTGCAATCATCTGGTACAAAGAAAGAATAAGATGAGAACACAAGTCCATGCGTTGTATAGCTTGAAGGTAACACAGAAGTCAGTGGGATATTTAAACTTGAAACAAAAGAATCCAAAACCGAATCCGAGCATTCTATGGTATCTGAAGAAGTAAACACCAGTAAGTGGGAGCTATAAGGAACAAAAGAATCACTTGAAGGAGATTCACTGGAAAATAATGTAGTTGAAATCTCACATTCTATTGACGCCTCTGAACTTGATCTTAAAGTGCTCGAGCATAGGGAATCACTGCTTAATAATTGAGTTTTTGAAGATGAAGAAGAAAACAATGGACTTGGTTCAATAGATTGGATTGTAGTCGTAGTCAGGAAATATTCTGATGAAGACAGACTTTGGGACTGTATTAAAGTGGAGCTTGAATAAGATTCAAAAGGGGAACTATCTGAAACGGAAGCGGACATACTTTGACTCTCATACTGTGAAGTAATCCAAGAGCTTTTAATTGTGTCAATCCCGACGACACTTGAAGGCAGTAAATACTCTAAGGTTGAGGAGGAAACAATGAGTGTGCTTCTTGCAAAATCAGATGATACATTTTCAACAAGGGAGGACAAATCGCTGGACTTGCTCAGTTCAATCGTGGAAGAAGGTGGAGAAGAACTATTGAATCCATACTCTGACAAATAAAATGGTGGCATCAGAATACTCGAAGAGTAAACGCTTGTAAAAGAATTCACTTCGGATTCAGCTGAAGAAATTGCGTGGCTGCTAAACTCAGTTGAAGCCGATGGTTTCAACGAACTGACCAGCTCAGTTGACCAAAGATATTGCAACAACTTACTCAGCTCTGTTGCAAATGAAGGAAGTACAGAACTGCTTATTTCAACTGAGGTTTCTGCCAGATTACTCCGCTCAACGGAAGAAGGAGAAAGTACAAAGCTGCTAGGCTCCATTGAGTATTGAGATGGCACTAAACTCGAATACATTGAAGAAACAGCTTCTATCGAAATGCTCCCCACAAATGAAGAAGTAAGTTCTAATGAGCTGTGTAAATCAATTGAAGGCGAAACTTCTTCTGAACTGCTTAACTCAAATGAAGAGGAAGGTTGCAACAAAATACTCGATTCAAGTGAAGCTAAAACAAGCCATGAACTTGAGGAAAATAACAGTTGCAAAGTACTACTCGAATCAACAGAAGTTAAAGAATATTTCAAGATAGTCAACTCATTTGATAAGGAGGATTGAGATGTATTGCCCAGTTCAATTGAAGATGTAATTGGCTCTGAACTGCTTGACTCGGTTGCATGTGAAGATTGCACAGGGAAGAGCAGCGCGGTTGAAGACTCCAATACACTTGAGTACTCACTGGAGGATGATTGCCAAAAGCTGCTAGACTCAAGCGACGATGAAGAAAGTTCAAAACTGGTCGACTCGATTGAAGACGATTCTAGTGAAGAAGATCCACTGATTTCAATGGCTGTCAGTTGCAATGAACTTCTCGATTCAGTCGACGAGGAAGGAATCATCGAACTGTTGAACCCAATCCCAGTTGAATAATAAGGAGGCAAAGTATTGCTTAAATCAGATGAACAGAATGATCTTATTGACGATCTCACTTCAGACCAAAAAGAAGACTGTACTAAGCTGGTATAACTAATAGACAACGAAGATGACGACGAGCTGCTCAGTCCAGTTGATAAGGACGATTGGAGGGAATTAATGGAGTCAGTTGAAGAGTCAGTTGAAGATTGAAACTGCTCAAAACTGCTCAGAGCAACCAAGGATGAGATCTGTTCAGAATTGCTCAGCTCAAGTGAAGATGAAAGCCCCTTCAAACTGCTAAGTTCAAATGTCGAAGAAGATTGCACCAAATTGCCCACTTCAGAAGTTGATGAAGGAAGTACAGAGTTACTGCTAAATTCAGTTGAATATGAAAACAATACCACGCTGCTAGCGACAGAAGCTTCGAGTGAACTACTTGTCTCAGTTGAAAAGGAGGTTTCCCAAGAACAGTCCCAGTCATCTGAAGAAGGTTGCAATAATGTATTCAGCTCAACAGAAGCAGAGGGTTGTGCAGAAAAACTGACCTTTAGCGAAGAGGGAGAAAGCTGAAGGCTGCTCCACTTATTGGAAGAGAAAGGCTCTACCGAGCTGCTTGACATTGAAAAGGAAGGTGGCTCCGTACTCAACTTTACGCATGACAGTTGCAGCAAACTTCTGGACTTCTTTAAAGAAGAAAGGAGTTCAGAACTGGCCGACTCAATTGAAGTTTCCAACGAGATAGAGAAGAACTTTAGCAAACTGCTCAGCTCAGCGGACGATATCAGTTGTGACAAAGTGCTCACCTCAAAAGAAGATGAAGAAAGTTCAGAGCTGATAGACCCAACTGAAGTTAATTCCAGTGAGCTGTTGGGACCATTCGAGTAGGAGAATTCCCATAAACTGTTAATGTCATCCGAAGAAGGTTTATATGTGCTGATAAACTCAATTGAAGAGGATTCTAATGAACCACTCCATTCAGTCGAAGAGGAAGACACCAAAGAACAAATAGAAGCTGATAGCTTCAGAGAACTGTTTGCAATTGAGGAGGAAGGAAGTACAGAGCTGTGGAGCCCTGTAGATGAATGTTGCAAAGAACTATTCAGCAAAACATTAGATGAAGGTTTAGTCCAGCTGCTTGATCCAATTAAAGACGGTTCCAGTGAAAATTTAGTTGAAACTGAAGATTCCCACGAGCATATCAAATCATCAGAGGATGGTTGCAAAGAGTCCCTTATCTCATATGAAGATGTTGGTTGCATAGAGTTGAACAGCTCTACCAACTCTAATGAGAGAGCAGAATTGCTTGGTTCAGCTGAAGACAATTCCAATGAAATACTCAGGTCAACTGAAAAGGAAGACTCCAGTGAACTACTCGATTCAATTGCAGTGTATTCCAGTTCACTCATCAATGCAATTGAAGATGGAGGTTCCAAGCTGCCCAACTCAACCGAGCCCTCAGTTGACAACAATTCCAGTGAACTACATGCTTTTGTTGCAATGGAGCTCACTATCGAACGACTCAGCTCAACAAATGGTGACAGAGTCAAGCTCGAGTCTGCCGAAGCTGAGGAAATTTCGGGGCTACTTGTGGACGAAGGTTGCGAGTAGCTGCTAGAATCAACAGCAGATGAAACCTGTTCTGAGTTACTTGACTCAATTGAAGACCCTTCCAGTGAACTTTCAGTTAAAGCCAAGGACTCCCACCAACACTCCAAATCATCAGAGGACGAAGGCAAAGAGGGGGCAACATCATAAGTTGGTGACGGACCCACCGTATTTGTCAACCAAACCGACAGGGAAGAGAGTGCAGTGCTGCTCTGTTTAATTGAAAACGATTTTGATGGACCAGTTAATCCAAAGGTTGATGAAGGTATTGTACCGGTGGATTCATCAAGAACTGGCAGTAGACTGTACCTGCTCGTGTCCATGGTTGATAAAGAAATCTCCGAGCCGCTGAGCCCAATTGATGATGAGTACTGGTAGGACCTACTCAAGTCAACAGAAGATGAACCTTCCATCCAGTTCCTCAGTATAGCACTCAGCAATCCAGATAAAGACTTCAACTCCTCCCTACTACTTGATTCACTTACAGGAGCAAATGTGGATGAACTAATGCCATAACTTGACTGAATTGAACTGGCTGTAGTAGAAGATTCGGTTGAACTTGACCATACATCTTCACTGTAACTATCGAAATCGGTGTGGTCAATGGACTGACTGATTTCAGGACTGCTATCAATCATATAAGGAACAATTGAGCTCAGTATAACCACCACACTGGATGTGCCCAAAGATACATATGCCGTTCTAAACAGGGGAACACTACTGATGGACTCAACAATCGCTATGGAACTGGATAAAGAAAAGGAGAATGAACTTGCTGAGACAAAAGAGGAAATCAGTACTTCAGTCAAAAGTTCAAAGGAGGAAGAAGTCGTCTCTAACAGAGCAGTGGCCTCCAACGACGGCATGACCTCTGACTCCGCCACCAGCCATTCTTCACATTCATCCTCTAACAACAGAAACAGCAACGCCATACTTGTTGACAGATAAATGAGCCAACAGGTAACCAAAAGGATGAACATAATTAGGGAAAACGACCGGATAAAAGGAACAGGAACTGGTCATAGTGACAACCATACGACTAAATTGTGCAACCTCCTTGACACTTTTATACTTTTTTATTGATACCAGCGGCTAAAGGAGCTGACATGTTTCAGATTCAAGGTTCTTCTACCACCGTTTCATGTATGTGTATATCTTTTCTACTATGTGTATTTTTACTATGTTGATGAAGGATATATATTTTTTGCAGCCGTTAGGACCTGTATATAGCGTTGTAACTGATCGATGGGCCCTTTCCTAATTGGGCCAAGTCTAATAAAGTCGTGGTTCAGCGACTTTATCACACATACAGAATAGTATATTCTGTATGGAGGCTTGCATATGTAGTAACTTATATATGGATCACTTCTTTCTACCAAAGATTCCAAACTTCTTACGAGAGCTGTGCTTCTCGGCGTCACTATCATTGTCATCTTTCTTTGTAGCTTCCAAACTGTTATTACTGTCCTTCCTGTGCAAGTGGAAGAACCGCAGATGAATTCCAGTGGAAGACGTAGCATTGGAAATCGTGGAAGCTCCGCCTATACTGTGGTTATCATCATTATTGTCCGTAGCTGGGGAGGAAGGAAATGGTTCCGTTTTCGACCTGGAGATTTCTCTTGTCGGAGGTGGTGGTGCACGGGAGGTATCGATGGAGTTCACTGGCGAGCCTTCAACGGTAGAGGATGACTTCAACACTGTAGGCGACGATACCAGAGATGTGTTGATAACATTAATCGTCAACGACAGATTCGAGGTTGTAAGCGTAGATTTAGATGCCGATTTGATGGGGTTCAATGTGGTTGTGTTCGATGATGAGTGGACTGAAGCATTCAGTTTTGATGCCTTGCTACCAGCAGATGAAGCAGAGGAAACTGAACTCTTATTAGAAACTCTAGAAGCATAATGAGCAGGAATACCCGTGGGTGAATATATAGCCGACCCATATCCGCTAGCAAGAGAATTACCCAAGTTCAGTATATTCAGCCCTTCACCCAAAATCGTCTTCTTGACGGGGGTCATAGAGAAAATACTCTTAAGACTGTTATTTGATTTTGTTCTTTCCAACTTCAGTCCTTCAAGATTCGATTTAGTACGTTCTAATATCCCCGTATATGATGTTTTGGAGCTAAGAGTTGTCAGAGAATGAACCGGCTTCAATTGGGGCTGTGGCTGTGGCTGTGGCTGTGATGGTTGAGTTGGCATTTCATTTTTCTGATCCGATTCATGCTTATGTCCCTTACGATCTTTTGAAAGGGCGTCCGCAATGGTCTTTGAAATTTCTTCATCATTTAACGAAGGGTCTTTCTTACGAAGTATGCTCTCCATTTCTTTCATCAACCTGGTCTCTTCTTCAAGAAGCATTTTACTCATTTGTCTGGCATTCATAGCCCTTAGCATGAGTTTAACATCCGTTACCAATGCTGCGGATTCGTAGATCAAACCAATGGCATAATCACTTGGAATTGGTGCCTTTGGCGAGACTAGTTCTGCCAAAGTTACGTTCAAAAGTTGTTTCCTGGCATATTCCAATTCATCTTCTTGTTTTTTCATTTCGTCAGAATTGAAATCTGCTTCTTCATCTTCATTATACATTGTGGTAGCTTGTTGATGAGAAGTCTTTCTCAGAGTTGGTCTTGATTTGGGGTTAACAAACGATGTATCATGGTTATCGAGGTACCCAAGACCAGACTCTATGAGATCCATTTCTGTTCCATCAATGTATTCCTCGTCAAGCTCTTCGTCATCATCCTCCTTTTCTTGAAGATCAGGTACAGCTTCAGTAGAGTCCAAGGGAGAGTCAGTGTTACCATCAGGTAAAGCAAGTGATCCACCTTCATTAGCTGCTGCAACATTAGACTGCAGCTTTCCAGGCAGCAACGCCTCGCTTGATAACAGACATTTGGAATGACTGGTTTTATGATAGTTAGAAGACTTCTTAAGTAAAACAATATCCAAATAACCATCATCAACAGTGTCGACAAATCCTTCAAATTCATCAAATGGAAAAGTATATTCTGGGTCAAGTTGGATCCCCTGTTTGCTTATAAAGTTGATATACTTCTTCTTGAACTTCTTCCATTTTCTTAGATTTGCTCCTTCCTTTCTTCCAATTATACCGAATAAGGTTTCGGTGATTAAATTGTACAACAAGGGAACATTGAAGAACTTGGAGAGCGCTAAACAATCTAATGATGTCGGACTAAGAAGCCACTTATCTCCGATTTGCCCCGTGTATAGGTACTCACAAAATGCCTTAATGGTATTGGTGGAAAAGGGAACATACAACTTCCGTGGGATTAATGAAGCTTCCATTTTGTAACTAAGTGGATCCAAGTTATCAAAGTTAAGCAAACCATTTTCATCCATCATCGCACTAGCGTCCAAAATAGAACTTGGATCCATTTCTTGCTTAGAAGTAAAAGTGTCTGCAGTGTGCGGCGGGTGGCCACTACTAGGAAAGCTCCCGGGAGAATCGTGGGATTCGTCACTGATTCCCAGTGCACTTCCCAATAAGAGATCACTGTCGACGGTATTCGTCGTGGATGTCGACGACAAGACTGAAAGCGGTGTCGCTTGTGGTACGGTGGTGGTGTGGTGGTCCAAATTTTCACCTGGGTCGACAGAAATAGACACTCTAGGAGAATTAAACGGTGAATCCCTGGGGGACTTCGGCATAGGGATATTTCTCAAACTTGTTAGGGTATGAATTATCGAGTTTCTTGGAGAAGCAACATCACTTGACGAGTTCTTTCTGGAAGCACTCTTGAAGCTTGTAGTAGTTGGAATCATTGGAATTGGTTCCATAGGTAATGGGAGCTGAGCAGGAATGTCACTCAATTCAGGCATAAACATTGAAGACCCTGATGTACCACCCAATGGACCTGGATCTACTGAATGACTTATGGCCGCCACTGTATGTGGGTCGACGGCTGAAGACTGAGACAAAGTATGGAGCCTGGAGCTCGATATTGTTGATGATGCTTCGCCGGGGAACAGTGATCTTGAAGATGGAGCTGAAGATTCTTCCAGCTTCCTCAGATCCGAGTCTTGGAACGGTAATCTAAATTGAGGAATTTCCTTCGCCGGTGAACCTTGTGGACCCGGAGGTGCAACATTGAATGGTTCAGGACTCAAATGCCGTGATTGGTGAGAATCAGATTGAGATGATTGACTTAAAGACAGTGAAGCCGACAACAGCTGCTTACCACTTTTCTGTCCAGGTGCAAGTTGGGACAATGATAATGATGATGCATTGGAAGTTCTTATATTATTGTTATTGCCTGCTGGTGAGGAGTTGAGCGAATCCTGCTGGAATTTACAAACAGCTTTAATGTACCCACGAGCCAACAAATTAACAAAGTATGAACCCCACCGTTCGATTAAAACATGAGTAGAAACCGGGATTCTATCACCATTTGCCGAAACAAACTCAAAATCAGATATTAAATCACCGTACCTGTCAAAGGCATTTCTTCCTAAGGTTACAGCTGCCGGGGGGAAGACAGAACTAATCGTTGAGAACTTTGCCTTGGGTGCAGCATAATAAATATAATCAGCAAAACTAATGGCATTCTTAGCACCTTTATTAGCGTTATCGATTTGAGTGGAGAGTCTTCTTGAAGGCCTAATTTGTGATGTTGAAGGTTCATGAATAATATTGGCATCATCATCAGAGTCCTCAGTATCGCTCAACAACTCATTACTATAATCACCATCATCATCTGAAGATGATGTTGAAGTTGTGGAGCTTGTAGAGATGGAGGAAGTTGGGATCTGTAACCCATTTGAAATAGCCACAGCTTCGACAGATGAGCTTGTAAAGTAGTCATTGGCCAATTCCCAACTTGCCAAAAGGTTAGTAATCGGTAAACTAATGGTGATCATCGTAGTGAAATACCTTATTGATGATGTTGTTCTTGAGGTATGTTGATTCCCTATAAGAACCACTTTATGGTGAGATTCCCAAACGAACCCCCCCCAGAATCTATGAGATCCATAATCATGATTACAAAAGACATTTAATCTTGACCATTTCCCAGTAGGAATGTTATAGACAAACACCGAGATGTCTAAGTCATTGGGGAGGAACCCCACAATTACAAGATTTTGACCAAATAGCCCACCGGTTGGGTATCGTAAGTTGAAGGGAACCACCATTCCTATTCTATTGAAATTACTGCGCTTCATGTGTAATGGTAGAGGTTTCCCATTCTTCATGGTCTTACCCAATTTGAACGAGACCAAAGGGTTCACCGGAGCACTTTTATAGTTTTTGGGTTCCTTAAAACTGGATTGATATGACATATTGTCATCACCACCACCTTTCTCAAGTCGAGGATTAGAATTCTTTGTGGGGGTATAGATAATAATAGATTCTTCATGAAGGGAAGAGGCTGCATCCTGAGAGCCAGCTCTTGGATCACGGCCACCACGAATATTACCAGCCGCATGATTTAGGGAAGAACGGAATACGTTAGGATCAACAGTATGGTCATAACTCACGATAACCGAATCTGTATAATCCACACTAATATACTTTTGACCATTAGTTGATACCACTTGGTTTAACCCGACCCGTTCATCCTTTTCTTCATTACCGGAAGTGGCCTTCAAATAGAACGATCCACCAGAGTTACTCACAACATATTTCTTCTCCACCAAATCAAAAATAGCATTATCATAAATGTACTCCGAATTGGTATCTTTACCACCAGCAATGAAGATCCCCATGTGGCCCTTCTTGTTGACAAAGGATAAGTTGTTTACTATGGTCATTTTGGGACAGAATCTTGGTTTAGGAATAGAAGCATCTGTATCCCAGCCAGAACCATCATGCAAACATGTCCATTTGGTTGTTGCCAAATTGAACTCCCACAAGTCATTTGAAGGTACCAAATTTTCAACTAGTTTCCGATCTTTATGAGCCTCTTTGATACGTAACCCCCCAAACACATAGACATAATTGTTTACAGCACATATCTCATGGAATGCCCGTGGTACAGGCCTGGGGAGGAACCCCTTGGAATGATCAAATTCTAGTCTTGTCCAAGAACGTTCTAGAATGCTGAGATAAAAGAACTCTCCAGATAAATACGTGGCCAATGACCGAGATTTGGCATTACCTACTTTGGATTCGAAAGTCAGAAAGATCTCGTTGATTGTGAGTTCTGGTAATTCCAATCCAATGGTTAACCCACCAAATGTAAACACAAACGAATTGTAAAGCGTTGATGCTGAACCTGTCCGAACGTTTAAATTGAATCGATCATCCTTTTCTGCTCGAGGCAATGTCAATGGGAAACATGTACTTGCTGCTGGAACCAACGTAGACATGGTGTATTGATTAGGGAGGGGGAGTCTTCAGATAATCACAGGTTTGAATCGTGTGCGTGTATATTATTTTGAAAACGGCCAGCCAACCACCCAATTCCTTCTTGATTGTTGGTTTTTGGCAAGGGAATATTATGACCTTCAATGGATGTGTGTTAAAACGAGTTCTGTAAGTGAATCCTGTAAGTGAATAAGTGCTTACTTACAGAACAGTTTATGCTTGCAGGAAAAGGAGTCCACCTTGTAATACACAATCAGTGAATATAAAAGACACACAATCAGTGGAAAGGGACACGGTAGGTGAGTCCAATCGCTTTATTAATCAACGCTTACGACGTTTTTAATATTTCCCTTGAACAAAGTATTCTTGCCTGCTTGGTTGTGAATTCTGGTGATTGAAAATCTCAAGCGTGAGAAAAAAAATACCCACCTTTGTGTGTGTAAATATGCTGTGCTTGATTTTTGGGGAGTAATAGGTAGGCCCAATTATTATTGTGTTTGGGAAATGCAATACGATGGATGGATCGGTCTGTGGAAAATAAAAAACCCACCTATGGATGACGCAGGTGATTACATTACATTACATATATACATACATTCGTTGATAGATTAAGTTTATAATGCGCAAAAGGAATGCATTTATGGATGCTTGTTTAATGAATCAGGAGTATATACGTAGTTTCACTATATAGTACGCCTAGTAATACGCCTAGATGTTTAGTCCTCTTTCCGCATGCGCATCGAAGCTTTTGACAAGCGTTCTCATTTAAAAATTGGGTGTTCATTACTTTGTGGGGTGTCATACTCATATACATTCGTGCATACGTACATTCATACATACATATAAACACTTATGTACATACATAGTGGCACAGCCTACAGCATACAGTAATTGAACATGGAATGAACTTAGTGTGCTAATGAACATACCAATTATAGTAGCTTTCATTCCGTACTATTCTGCTCACTCGAATACATAAATATGTATGTGATTATTTATTTGTTTGTTACTCATCCTTATTGTAGTTTATTATTCGTTGCTTGCATCAGCAGACATTTGTTTCCACAACCAAGTATTCAACTTTGTCGCTACTAACGATCCATTCCTTTTGGAGTGATTGCTTTATATGCAGTAAGTGAACTATAACAGCGATACACCAGTTGCATAGTTCGCTGCGGAAATACGCGCCCATAAAAATCTTTGAACAATAGTAAACCTACATCTTATCTGCGGGGGATTGATGTGCCAGTGTTCGGTTGTTGAAAGCACTGAGCAATTCCTCTACACAGCACAAACACCCAACGCCAACCATCTACTTAAGGTAACTAAGGATTTAACATTGTATTAATACATTATCTTCAAGTGGAATGTGGTAGATATTTCTATATAATTTCTTCATTATCCGCCTTACAAAGCCTATCTAGGCCATCAAAAGGAGGGGGAGGGGGTGGGATATAGTACTAGGAGAGACCGCATAACCAATAAAGGAGTTATATTTCCATGATAAGCGACCAGCTGATAAAATTCACAAAAACGCCTTGAAACTCGCTGTGTTTCGCCTCGCCCTTCTTTCCTTCGCTTTTAACCTGTTTTATCCCCAGATCCGATCCTTGACCTTAACTATGTTTAATTCTGTTTCTTTCACCTGAAAAATACAGCAGGGATTCAAACTCAACGCTATTTGCTATCTTAAGAAACAACCATGAATCCCATTTGCACTTGGTGATGTCATGCTTTGTGCGCAAGTCTCTCATAAGATGTGAACTGTGGAATGTATTCATTTCCAGTAACAGTCTCGGAGTAAGTTTTAAGGATTCATGAATATTATTTAGCATTGCGTTGAAGATAATAAAAGCATGAGCGTCTAATGTGTAGTTGAACTCAGCGAGTATGTTGTTATCAGTTAATATATGAGACTACGACATTTACTCTATTGTCACTTAAACTATTCCGGTCAGGACTGATTCTACAACCATCGGGTACTATATCTATGGCTTCTGCACATTGTGCAGCTGTAAATAAACTCTTGAGGTTCAATTCTTGTAGATATTGTTTAGGGATGTTCTGCTAAAGTATCTCAGTTACTTGAAAATAGTATCACTATTGGTAATGATAATTTGCGTACTTTCTTTTTGAAACATTCTGTATTCGTCACCCTCCCGTTTATGTGAGAGGCGAGAACAGAGTACTGTTCGCCGACCGTATAGGTTTGTAGATCCAGTTGTGGTAGTCGACGCCAGCAGGATTATTCTACCTGGACCAACCCTAAAATTATATCAAGGTTGCGAAATAGAACCTGTTCCACAGGTAGAGGAGCTAACATAGAGTTAAGCCCCAGTAGACCCCAGCAAGAAGAATAAGTACATTCTGTATATAGATGTGTCAAACAACATAGACGGTAAAGTCAGTAATAGACATAGGGCAAAGATAATTTGGCCGACTACTATTATAACACTTACCCAAACCAGAAGTATATATTGGAGATGGTCATGCCATAAAGTATACAGAAGCAATTTGTGCCACGTGACCAATAGAGTCCACTCATGTTATGTGTCATGTTTCGTGTGCATCATGTGATATGTCATGCGACGCTTGTTATGTGACCACACAGTACTGCAGCTAGACTTGGGTATGTTATGACGTATGATTAATGTCATACTTACTTCTACACATACCATAAACAAGTATAAACAGAAGTATGTAGCCCCGCGACCTTTCACGTTGCTATCGGGTTTCCGGCAACTCCACCTACGTTTATTCCACCGAATGCAAGTCGTTCGAATTATAGATGACATCATTGGTCACTTCTCAACATACAATTGAATTAAGAGCATTCTTTCAATCAAAACGCAATATAGCCAAATAATAGTGTAGCCTTAAACTTCGTCCCTTCAATGGGCGCTACCACAAACACTTACGTATGGACCTTCTCTTTCACTCTTGTTTGTAGTTTTGTGTAACAGTTGTCCGTTTCGACGAAATAACGAGGAATACCTGGCTGGCTTGGGTAACCCCTAAATTTCACTATTATAGCTTATAATAAATTGCTAACTCAGAATTAAAAAAGTGACTGGTCATATTCTTTTTCATCAACAATGTCTGAAACCGTTGACAGAAGAAGCAGCATCACTTCGAGTATTAAGGCTACTCCGCCCAAACAAAGTGGTGGGGTATTGAAGAAACTCGCTGCCAATAAAGAATGGGTATCACCATTTAGACTGGGGAACACACGGAATTGGCATAAGGACTTGCAGGATTTGAATAACATCGACAACATTGAGATCCCCAAGAAGTTCACGTCCCATCCTGCCTTGGACGCAAAGAAGAAGGAAAAAGCTGCTGAAGTTGAAGACGTCAAAGACTCAGGAACTGTAAAGGATGATACAGAAGATGATGGTGACGCAGAAGAAAAAGATGCGGATGTTGAAGGTGCAGAAGGTACCGAAGCAGTTACCGATGAGACTGTTGCCGAAGATGCTCTGATTGCTGAGTCTGAGAGGCCATTGAGTGAAGCTGAGCTTCATGAGATTTCAAGTAAGACTGAAGATGAACCCGAGGCTGAGGCTGAACAAGAAACCGAAAAAGAACCAACAGAAAGTAATGGGCATACAGAGACAGCTGAAATTGAGGACATTGACATTGTTACTGAGCAGCCAGAATCCAAGTCAAAGGACCCACAATTGGAAGCCATTGAAGCTGAAAGGGAACACATTTTGGGGGGCTTCAAAGATGAGCCTGTTATGTTATCTCACTACTCTCAATTGGAAGCCACTGCTAGTAAGTCTGTTGACAAGAAGTTGAGCGATCCTAACCGTGTTGTCAATTTGGGTGCTGGTTTAAAGATGACCAACAGTCAAATTATGGCTATTGCAGCTCAAAGAGTGGCTCCTATGTTAGCCAATATCAACCAGCAAGTGTCCAAAACAAGAGAAGAGGATGAACTCTTGAGACAAGAAAAGATTGCCACCAAGATCCAAGGACATGAGAAGAAGTTGGAAGGTATATTCGAAAAGCATGTGCTGAAAATTGGCAAGAGTCAGGCTAAATTTGATAAGGAAATCGAAACCCAATTACTCAACCTTGATAATTCAATGAAAAATGCAGAAGAGAATGCTCAGAAATTCCATGACGATACCAAAGCTGAAATCCAACAATATAAAGATGATTATGCTGAAAGAGAGGAAAAGGCTGTTAGTAAGCATGAGGATGACAAGGAAACTTTAATCAAAAACCATGAAGAATTGACTGCCACTAAGCAACAGGAATTGGAAGATGCCAAACAAGGTCAAATTGATGCCAATGCTGCCATTGAGGAATTGAACACCAAGAAGGAACAATTATTGGAATCCAACTCTGGTTTGAATTCCGAAATTGAAGAAATCGAAAGTAAATTGGCTGCCAAACTTGAAGAATTAGAAGACTTGAAGGCGTCTCATGAAGAAAAGCGTACTGCCATTGCTGCAAATATCTCTGAACGTGAAGAGATCAACAACAATGTTAAATCTTCAGAAGCTGTTCTTGCCGAAAAGAAGAAGAAGCACGGTACTTTGGCTGCTGAAGTTGGTGTGTTGGCCGCAACATTAGCTGCTTATGGTGCTAAGTTATCTACTTTGGGCTCCGACAAGACGGCTCGTTCCACCAGATTGACAGAGGCTAAGGAACATTACAACAAGTGGGAAGCAGAAAAGCAAGAAGCTGCTAGACAAGTTGAATTGGAACACTTGAGACAAAGAAAGGAGGCTGAACAAGAAGTTGAAACTAAAAGAATTAAGGCTGAACAAGAGGCAGCTGCTTTAGCAATTGAGGAAGAAGCAAAGCGCAAGAAGTTAGAGGAAGAAACCGAAACCAAGAGGTTAGAGGAAGAGGAAAGACGTAAACAAATTGCTGAGTCTGAGGAGACCAAGAAATTGGAAGAAGAAATTGCTAGAAAGAAGCAAGAACATGAAGATGCCATCAAAGCAGAAGAAGAGCGGTTGGCTCAAATTCAAAAAGAGAAGGAGTTAGAGGAGGAATTGAAGCGTGATCCTGAATACCAACGTGAATTGCGTATCCAGAAACGTGACATGGAAAAGCTTGCAATTATCCAGCAACGGGAAGAGTACGAAGCGCAATTTGAAACCAGAAAACTCCAAACAGAGAAAGAGGCTGAAGAATTGAGATTGGAAATTGAAGAATTGAAGCACAAACAAACAGAAAAGGCAGAAGCTGATCGGTTAGAAGCTGAAAGATTGGCTCAATTAAAGTTGGAGGAAATTGATAAGTTGAAGAAGGAAAACGAAGAACGTATGAAGATTTACGAATCTCGTATTGAATTGGAAAACTTACAAAGGACTCGTTTGCTTGAAGAAGTTGACCATTTGAAAAAGATTAGAGAATTGAGAGAAGAGAAGGCCCGTTTAGCTGCTCAAACTGTTGAAGATAATAAATTATCACACGTTCAAAAATTAATTGAAGAACGTGAACTTGAAGTTGATCGCTTGACAAGACAAATTGAAATGGATGATGACGAGTTTTATGCATTCCAAGCAAGAGAGAAGGCTTTTTTAGGAAAGAGCAATGATTTCGCTGCAGAGGAGCCACTGAAAATTGTGGCTCCCAGTAGCGAAGGAGCCAGAGAGGTGCAAGAAAATGTACCATCAAATTCCCAAAAAGACGTTGCACCTGTTATAATTCCAACATCTATTCCTCAATCTAAGAGCGTTGAACAACCTTCTCCAAAGGATAAGTCTGCCACAAGCTCAAGCCAAGAAGTATCTACTACTTCATCTGAAGGAGATGCCAACGAAACTCCCAAGAAAAGAAGAAAAAGTTTGAGGGCTGCTCTTGGATTTGGAGGTGCCACAGCAGCCATTGGAGGTGCCACAGCTGCTGCTGTTGCCAAGACCAATTCTGTCATCAGATCCCCTTCGAAGAAGTCGAAGAGGCCTTCAACACCTGAAACCCCAAGATCTGAAGTTCAATCAAAAGCAGTTGATGAGCCATTGATGAGGGCCATTGAACCCGAAGAACCCATGCCTAAGGCCCCTGAACTTAAGAGCGAGGCCTCTGAACTTGACGAACATAAGGCCGAGGCTCCCGAAGTTGATGAACCCAAGATCAACGCTCCTGAACGTGACGAACCCAAGATTACTCGTGGAAACTCGACTGTTAGTGGAAAAACAGAAAGCGATGTTCATGAACTTGAATCAGACAATGAATGGGAAACCATTTCCGTATACGAGGAAGTCTCTTCTCAAGAATGGGATGAGAACAGAAACGACCCCAACTATTTAGAGGTGACTCAGGATGAATTTGAAAAGAAGCAAAAAAAAGTGATTGAAAATTATGACACATGATTCCATTTCATATCGTTCTTCTTTTTGAGGACAGGATCCGTTGGCATTTACTTTACTTCTGAATAGGGCTTCCTTTCTTTTCTTGTTATTTTTTTATAGCATCTTACTCTTATCAGGCCCATCTCATTGGTCTTTTGGGAAACTTTTTTTTGTTTAGTTCTCTATTATATGAATTGATATATTGTTTCTATTGTCCATGTTTGGTGATTATCAGCCGTGTAACAGGCATATTCGCTTACAGGTGTGTGTTTCGAGCTGCTTAAGGGAATAAGGCTGCAGTACGCAAAAATATGTAAGTTTCGGTTTCAACATTGGTGCGGCTAACGCCGAAAATACAGGTTATAAGGAACGTACACAAAACAAAATAAAACGATCGTAAAAAGGCGTGATAGACGAATAATAATTAATAGGAAGTATCACAAACGTATCTTCCCATTATCTTACCTTGTTCCATTTCTTCAAAGATTCTTGGAAGCTCAGACAACCCAGCGATTTTGATTTCAGTATTCACCTTGCCCCTAGCAAAAAGATCAATGGCTTCTCTTGCATCAGCTCTGTTACCAACGTAAGAGCCTTCGATCTTAATTGATTTGATTACAGTATCAAAGACTTTAGCTTTGACTTCTGCTCCTGCCGGTAATCCAACCAAGACAACGGTGCCTGTTGCCTTGACGTAATCCAATGACTGCTGGATAGCCGCAGGAGAAACAGAAACATTGATAACTCCCAACGGACCCCCATTAGTGGCTTCCTTAACAGCTGCTACAATATCTTTTGTAGTTGTGAAGTCCACATAGACATCAGCACCCAAGCCCGTGACAAACTCACCCTTTTCAGCTCCACCATCAATACCGAGAACCAAATATCCCATTGCCTTAGCATATTGGACGGCCAAAGACCCCAATCCACCACCGGCTCCGGAGATAGCCACCCAGCTGCCCGCTCTCAAGTTCGCAGTCTTCAAAGCCTTGTAGACAGTTATCCCCGCACACAAAATAGGAGCCACTTTGGCCAATTCGACATTCTTGGGGATTCTAGCCGCTTGAATGTAATCAGCAGTAGCATATTGTTGGAAGGACCCATCATGAGTATAGCCAGATAAATCTGCATGGTCACAATTGGATTCGTTACCCTCTTCACAGAACTCACAAGCTTGACAAGAACCGTTTAACCACTTAACCCCCGCGTAATCACCAACATTCCACCCAACTACGTTCTCACCCATTCCAACAACAACACCAGCACCTTCATGGCCACCAACCAATGGCAATTTTGTAGCTAAGGGCCAATCACCTTTCCAAGCATGTAAATCAGTATGACATACACCAGTAAATTTAACGTTAATCAACAATTCGTTGGGTTTAGGTTTAGGAACGGGGATTTCCTTATATATCAATGGCCCGCCATTTCTCTCAATCACCACTCCCATTTGCTTTGGAGGAATTGCATACGTGGAGTTCAAACGAAGACTCAATGGTCTCTTTGTGAGTTGGCGACTTAATGCTCGTACGCTCAACATCATTATTACTATGTTTAATTGGATCACCTAATTGCTGTCAAATGCGGGGCATTGACATACTTATATATGTATGCATATGTATATGCATATGTATGTAGGAAGTCAAATATGTGACTGATTGATTTGCATAATATAGTGACTATTATTTGATACATACGAGTGGCTCAAAATTCTCATCCCGGGTTAACCCGTTTACATTGTTATCTGCTATCTAATAATATCTACAGTAAAAATCGGTAGATAAACACCGGGGTTTTCTCCAATCGCCGACAAAAACTCAGATTTGATCTAGCGTTACATGGCAATAGACAATAAGACACCAACTGAAAATAATCCTTTATTACTACAATCGCAACACTAAGAAAGGTATGACCACGTTGGGTGACGATCGGGGTAATGATTAGGGGGCTTTTCTGTAAAAGTAAAATTTGACGTGGCACAGTGCGAAGCTGGGTTCTAAACACCGAACGTATAGCGTCGCGCTAATCTATGACTAATATGCGGCTACAATTGTTACAACAAAATTCAGAAACCTGGTTAAATTGTTTACTCATAGTTATAGGAGTACCTTAATCAAATTTAATCTTCTTACCTTGAGAAGGAACAATAGCTGCACTGGCTCTTTGGGCTGTAGCCAATGCAATACTTGACTTAACTCTTTTATCTGAATCATTACTGTATCCCTCGAACTTTCTTTTCTTAATCATTGGCTTTGGCGTAGGTCTTGTGAAATCCTCTTGAGAATGTGAATTGTCTGTAACACTTGGTCTTTCCTTAGCTCTAAATCCACCACCATCTCTTGATCCACTACTATCTCCATTACCTTCGTCATCATTTACCTTGGGACGGTTAGGAGTTCTCTTAGATCTATCTTCACCATACTCCAAACGTAAAGGTCTATTTATCAACTTCTTGGCTAACTTTGATTTCAATGCAGTAGTAGGACCATTAACATCTTTGAAATCAACAAATGCAAATCCTTTACATTTCCCGGAATCTTCAAAAGTGGCCATTCGTATCTTAACAATCTCTCCGCAATGTCTAAAGTGCTCTTCAAGCAAGTCACTGGTAGTATCAAAAGACAAGTTACCCACAAAAAGAATACGACTAGGAGGGTTTTTAGATAAAGGTTTCCCTGCATCAGTAGTTGGTGTACCCGTGGCGGTTTCAGGTCTGCCTTCAAAACTAGTACTATCTTTAATTAAAACTTTCCGACCATTCAATTGTTCTTCACTCAATTTAACCACACTTTGAACGTGTAACACAGAAGGCAAATCAATATAAGCAAACCCTTTAGATTTCCCATTCTTTTTGGGTAAATTGACTCTGGAAATATCGGACAATTCCACAGGAACTAATTCATCTTTGAAATCGCTAGTCTTCAATGTGATGAACCGTTCCAAATCTTCCTTAGTAGTATCATATGACAAGTTACCTATCCACACACCATAAGGAGACCTCTTGGGTGCAGATTCTGACTCTTCCTTCCCGTCTTCTGTAAGTGGCTTGGGTGCTGGATGTTTCTTAGAAAGCTTTTCTAAATCTATCTTACCTTTTTTCAATAACCGTTGTTGTTTCTTAGACAAGGGTGTACCTGCTGTCAATTCAACAGTTATTTCTTCAAATTTTGTTTTATGATGTGACTCTTGGTTATCTGAAGTTGTGTCTAAATCATCTTCAGCAAAGTCTGTAGCTTCTGTCACTTCTGTTGCTTCTACTTGCTCTTCAATTTCTTCTTCCTCTTTGCTTTTCTTTGTTTCCTTCTTCAACTTCTTTCTCTCTCTCTTCTCCTTTTTAGACTCTTTCTCACCCATCTTATTGTTGTTATTGTAGTATGTCTTTGATTACTGAAAGGCATCAACTTTATTCACTTTCTTGAAGACGCGAGATGAGATGAGCTCAGCGCTACCAAATCGCTGTAAACTGCCATTCTCAAAAGCCTCATTGCTCTACTACTACAGTCTTAGTAGAAACGTTATCATACTACAAAGCGTAGTATCCAAAAGTATAATTAATCATAAGCCCTAAAAAAATACAAAAAAACAATTAACGTTAAAGGTCATCAATATTTTCCAAGTAAAGCCATTTCCGCCACATCTCACCAGCTTCATTAATGATGTTATCAATGTAATCAACACGATGAACTTCTGGAGAGTCATTTGAAATAATAGACCCAGATTTAACAGCATCACCGTTATTAACGTCATTGGTCATCTTGTTCCGTCGAGACTTGACAGCATATGATTTGCTAGGCAATCTAGACAAATATTGTCTAATTTCGTGTTGATCCAATTCAACAAGAGTATTCTCAACTGCTTTAAGCATAGCTATGGAAATGAAAACAACTTCAATATGGGGATCAATATGGGAATAGGGTACAATTTCTTCATCTTTACAACTAAGTCCCAGACCGTTCTCGCCACTCGAAACTGGCGTGAATTGTTGCTGATCTTTTTCCTTCAATGTGTCTGTCTCATCATCAACTCCAGCATTGGCATCAGTTCGAGGAACCCAAAAAACATCAGGTCCCAACTTATCGATAAAGTCAAGTGAAGGACCAGCCAACTTTTCTAGATAATAGGAATTGGATTTCTTAGGATTCTTGGCTCTCCAACCAAACATAAGATCCCATATCCTACCACGATCATATTTAGACCAGCATTTAGTAGTTGTATATTTTAACCACCATAATAACCATTCATCTTCACCAGGACCAAACTTCTTTAAGATTTGCTCTTCTTGAAAGAATTGCGAAAGCTCTGGAAGTAAATTCCTCAAACAATACACAAAGAACAGAACTCTTTCTTCAATAGTACCCCCAGTAACGGGTAAGCTTGTTTTATTAACCTTTTTAGGAACTTTAAATTCACCCAGATTATTATTACTACTATCGTGCCTTGTTTCTGGCAGATGTAAAAGCACCAATGAAAGGCGCTCATAAACTTCGTAAAACGTGAGCAGAGATCCCTGTGCAACAAGTTCTTGCATTCGTTGCTGTAAATCAGGAACATTGTTGATGTAATTGGAATAATCATCAAGTAAATCCATGACATTTTTACCTCTTCTGGAATTTCCATGATGATCATTGTCCTCTGAAACATGAGAGTGTACATGTTGACCACCACTACCTGTTTTAGCATCTCTTCCTATTAAAACCCAGCTAGTGTTAGCAATCGGTGGAAACCATTCTGCCAAATTCAAGGCCATCCAAGTGAGAGAACTATCATAACTGATAATCTTACCCCACTTGCTGATGAATTTATGAATACTATTCTGTAATATGGTGAAGATTTGCAATTCAATTTCTTCAAAGTTGGGAGCATTTGAAGTGATTGGTGGTGGATCATCTGCAAACTCCGATTTCAGAACTAACTTCGGAGATGAAGTTTCTGATGGAGATGTAGACGTTGCGGCAGTAGTACTTCCATTGGTGGTAGGTGAAGCCGTAGTAATAGTATATTGATTTTGAGGAACTGCAGCATTGTTTGAAGGCCTGTAATGGTAATATTTATGAGAGTAACGAGCCAAATCTTTCATAATCTTCAGTTTGAGATAATCATCCATATCATCATTATCGGAATTATTCAGACTTGAACCACCGGATTTAGGAGACTTCAAAGACTCTTCATTACCTGAAGAGTCATCTTGGCTATTTTTCTTTGTTGATTTCGGTTTATTCCTATTTGGAGTAATAAATGGGGCTCTGACAAATGGATGATATTTCAACAACGTAGGCCATACTTGGAATCGGAGGAATGGAGGTATACCCTTTTGACGAGCAATTAAAGCAAGACCAGTTTGATTCTTTGTTTCCAAGTAATGGATCAATGCTTCCAACACTTGAGAATCGTAATGGAAGGAAGGCTTGTAGTCATCCGAAGTTTTCTTCATAGTAGATTTTGTTGATTGAGTCATCGACAGTTTCTCACCAGCGCCATTAGTCTGTGTTGAAGATGAAGATATTGAAGAGGAGGAGGAAGACGGAGCTTTATGTCCAGATGGTGATGACGATGAAGGTGAAGCCACGGGACTGGATACACCAATGGAATGAGACGGAGAAGACATCGACATCAAGTCACACGAGTGAAGCGAAGCCCTTACAGAAAAAAAAACTTAGTCACTTAGTGACTGCTAAAATATAAAAAGTGTCGTGTAAGATGAATGAACAATCAGTCTACCTTATTATCAAACGGCTTAGATCAATGATAATTAAGGTGGAAACGAACAACAGAATCAAATTTAAAACATCATGTTAGGGAACACTCTGGTCGGGTCAGTGGAACTCTCTATAAATTTTGGTATGTTTGCAAGTGCAATCAACAATACTGCAAAAGCAATAGTGGTATTGAAGTCAAAGTCAAATACGATTGGATGACAGCCACAAATAGCTGCAATAGCACGGTTAGAAGGAGTAAGAGCCTTACTAAACAAGAGAAAACAGATTATTTATAATTTAAAATTTGGACATCATGATTGTAAAGCGTAATGAAATCAAAAACGAACACAAAACGGCTAAGCACGAAGTATAATTTTTTCTTTGGGTGCATTCCAGCGATCATGGTGGGGTGGTGTCATCCAATGCATGTCTAGAGAGAATAGTATACTGCAATGGTATCATATGGGATAGTATGATATAATGGCACAGTATAAAGTAAGTATAAGGTAAGTATTAGGCGAGTACCTTATAGTGTATAGTGTATCGGCAGTGTAGTATATTGATCCTAATCTCTGTGTTCTGGAATGTGACCTTAAACCTTTAAATCTTCCGATGGAACATCCGCAGATAACAACCCAATCGGATGTTACTCAATTTATTTGGCCACACTACCATTAACTCTATTGGACCATACTTCAGACAATTCACACTACATGTTCCCTATTTGCTACATCATTCATTTCAAATGTTCAACAAAGTGTGCATAAAGCCTGAGCCCAATTCTCCATTACTCAACATTCATGTGGAGGAAAGGACCTGCCTGTTTGAGATGTAAAAACATATCACGTGACCAAGCACGTGATCCATAATGCCCCTAAACTAAACTCCATCTTTTCTTATTGGATACGGTTCTGTTGTTTAAAAGGTTATCAGCTAGCGTTGAAGAAGTAGTACTGAAAGCCGGTGCTACAACTAATGTAAATAAATCAAAGTAAGGTAAGTGGTAATTTTTTTTACAATTGGTTGCCACATTCGGATAGTCACATTGCTTATATCCGAAATGATAAACTACGGATGAATCTGAAATAAATTATGGTCCTTCCCCTATATATATTCTCCTTGATGTAGTCTACTGTATTACTATGACTGCTAGATATACTCAGTAGCTCTTTGATGTATTTTCGTCAATTCCGACTCATCCGAAAGGGTCCCCCCCTATAACTGCTTATCGTTGCGTAAAAAATAGCTCTAGAATACACTAGGCGTATTTACAGGAACTTAAATGTATTGGTCCGATCGGGGAATAAACTGTACAATAAATTACTTCAATAGTCTTCCAATTGACGCGTAACAATTATATCTGAATTAATTGGTTGTCATCATAGGGAAGTGTGGATATTCAAGCCCTTCATTATTTTCCAATTCTCAACCCCCTATAACTTCCTTTAGAAAGGACTAGTATATTTACTAGACCATATATCTGGTTTTGTATAATCCTTATTTTCTCCAAACGTACGACCTAGGCCGCCCTCAACTATTGCTAGTACCAAGATTTTAATTGCAAACCCCTAAACATGAAGTTGAAAATACTCAGACGAACGAATACAGAACAAAAGATCAGACAAGCGACCAATGATGATATATCAAAGAATCCCACAGTAACCGATTTAGCAGAACTTTCCCTTTTAACATATAAGCCGAAATCTTTGAACGTGATAACTTCGGTGTTACAAAGACGACTTTCGCTTGTGTTTGAAGCAGATCATCCTCGACTGCTGCTACTGCTGAAAACTAATATTACTAGGAAGAATAGCCATAAAGTGAAACGAAATAGGTCGTCAACATCCCGTAAGGCTAAAGTTGTTGTACCACCTTGTTTATGTACACATTTACCTCAGTTGGTGAGTATCAACAAATCACTTCTGGTTGTATTGTATCTCATGGAAACCGCATCATGCCAATTTATCAGTTGGATAAAACAATTGCATTGTGGCTGGGATATTCCGGTTGAATGCTTGCAACTGTTTGTTTCCGGTAATGACAATAAGTTTGCAATTCAACATAAGCGCAGTACAGTTGAAAATTATCAACATATAGTTGGGAAAAAGATCATGGAAATCGACCGACTCTGTGTGAATAAAAGTCTATTAGATGAATATCGATTAAACCAACACAAATTGAGGTCTGATATGACAAGACCCGGAGTCAAGCAATCTCCTTCAAATAGATCATCATCATCATATTCTTTCGATGACGGGTGCGAACTCGAATCGGAAGTAATCCAAATCGATATGGATTACTTAAGACTGGGACACTTGGGAAACAACACTAGTAATAAAGAAAATTCAGCTACTGCAAGAACATCAATGGAATCAAACCGGTTAGAAGTAGTTTTTGAGCTGGATGAAGAACCTTTAAAGGAGGAAATGGAGAGTGAAAATAGTGAACGACTTTCAATTCCTATATCTCCAGTGTTTGCATATTGAAACATAAAGACTTGTAATAATGTATTGATATAGTCTTAAATCCCGCGAGGGATTAGGTACCTTTTTTCTCTTGTCATTATTTTCTTTTAATGTGTGACTGTAATGCACTCGTTATATTATTTTTTCACCCTACGTGCAAGGATATGTACGGCTGAATAACAATTTCTGAAAGCGAAGCATATCCAACTTTGAATAATAATATTAATAGTAATAATAAAAATACAGGATATAACAAATATCAGCACAATAACATATCAGCTCCCATGTCATACTTTTGAATGTGTTTATTGCAATGTATCGAAGCCCGATTATACGTTCGAGAACCTTCGCAATATTCGATGCTCGCAATAATGTTGTCACAAACTAATGACGGAAAATCATCTCAAGTAGGATCCCCCAAACTAAAAACACCGCATCACTAGAAATTTCCAGCTTCCTGCAATAGGGGTGGATGTTTTGATATGCGTTTGTTATCTGTATGTTCAACGGTTCTGTTTTCTAACACAAACACAAATATGCACCGTTAACTACTAACTGTTCTACTAAAACTAGCAATTAAGATTGATGGATCTCAATTAATCAATCAATTGTTATTCACGGAGTTGACATTAAAGCAAGTTGCTCTATAATGTTACTAGTCATCAAATGCAAATGATATTTCAACTAAGGATGCTGTATAGCTTTTAGTCCTCATCATACCACATGGATGGCCTCGTGACATAAGTGGAGTCATTTCTTTTCTCACTAACGTATGTACAAGAAGAAAAAGAAACCAATGTTTATTTCTGTTGAAATAATGTTCCGGAAAAAGAAATGCCCCCCACACCAATTGACCAGCCTTACATACTCTTACTGACACAAAAGAGTTATTATTTGGACGCTCTTTGTGTTTGCGGAAATAGGGGGTTATCGCAATAGTCGCCACCTAGGGAGTATAAATACGCTTGCCCACCCGGACGTTATATTAAAAATAATCGTTTTAATTTTCTCTAATAGAACGTTACATATATACACATAAATATACAATGCAAATCTTCGTTAAAACTTTGACTGGTAAGACTATTACCTTGGAAGTTGAATCCTCCGACACGATTGACAACGTCAAGTCTAAGATTCAAGACAAGGAAGGTATTCCACCAGACCAACAACGTTTAATCTTTGCTGGTAAGCAATTAGAAGACGGCAGAACCTTGTCCGACTACAACATTCAAAAAGAATCCACCTTGCACTTGGTATTGAGATTGAGGGGTGGTATGCAAATTTTCGTCAAAACATTGACTGGTAAGACTATCACTTTAGAAGTCGAATCCTCAGACACCATTGACAACGTCAAGTCTAAGATTCAAGACAAGGAAGGTATTCCACCAGACCAACAACGTTTAATCTTTGCTGGTAAGCAATTAGAAGACGGCAGAACCTTGTCTGACTACAACATTCAAAAAGAATCCACCTTGCACTTGGTATTGAGATTAAGAGGTGGATTTTAAATCAACCTTCAATAATTGGTAATATATAATTTGGTGGGGTCATTTTTATAGACTATTAATACATATTTAAAAGTCTGTGAACTATATTCGTAGTATATAGATTATAAATTCTTATCAGCCAACTGTTTAAGAACTAAAAGTCTGTGAACTATATTCGTAGTATATAGATTATAAATTCTTATCAGCCAACTGTTTAAGAACTTTAGAAGACTTTTCAAATGATTTGAACTCCGATAAATCCTTTCTTATCTCCGCCTGTATCTGCTCTGACTTTGAGTAGTTCATGAAGGATACCGTGAGCTTTATGAATTGCAATCTAACGTTTTCAATGGCATGTGACACTAAACATCTCTTCTTCAAAAGGTTCCAAATGGAAAACAACGACACTGTCGCCTCCGGACGTTCTTCCTCCTTCATTAAGCCCAATAAATGGGACATAGAAGTACAGAACATAATGTCTGAAGCCCAAGTCAAGTCAATGTCGCTTTGCGTTAAGAAATGTTCAGCCGCATCACAATACAAGGCCAATACTTGTTGAGACAAATCAATTGGCCGGTCAAAATAAGCCAATGAAATGTTGTCTATGAACTCACCCCGTTCCTTTTCCATAGCTAACATTTTAGCCTTTGATTCACCTTTAAATCTCTTTCTTGATTCATCATGATCATCATCACTTGAATCTGTATCCATATCATCACTATCCTCGGACTTATACAACCGAAGAATCTTCCTCATAACTTCAACGTATACCTCTACAGCTTGCTCCTGAGTGGTGTACTCTGCTATATAGAGGCCCAAACACTTTACTGCTTGTTTCTGGTACTGTTTGTTTCTTCTCCTTGCCTCGGTTATCAAAGTCTTTGTCACCTCAGAGGTGACAAGGTGATCTGTCACAACTAATGATTTGGCGTTAATGGTAAACTCAGTTAATGTCCTCAACACCTTCTCCTTGCCTTCCCAAGTCTTACCCTTACAAGCAACGATAAGCAACGACATTAAATGTAACAATTGTTTCTTATCGTTGTCACTCAAGTTTTCAATGGCCGTTGACGAGACCCCCCCCTTGCCACCAGTGACCACCAAGGAGAGCTCACCAATGGACGTGGCCAAGGCTCTTCTGGTTTCAAACCTGGGTGATTGCAAGTGGCGTTCATAGAAGTCCAAGAGCTCGGGCAAGTACAATCTGATAGTACTGTTGTTTCCAAACTCTATCCACATCTTATCAAAGGTTTTGGCCACTTCAGGATCAACATCGTGTTTCCCAATGAAGGCAAGGGGCAAGAATACGCCCGTCATAGATTGGAACTTATCACCAGAGTAAGTGGCCACACTGAAACTGGCAACAGCAGCTATCAGTCTCCATCTTGAGTCTTCATAGTTTTCGTGGTCAAAGTAGTATCTGTTGATCAATTCAGCAAACGATTCCACAGACTCAATGGACGCAATTCGACACAAGAACCCACAGGCAGTTGCATAGGTAGAAGATACTGCTTCATTACGGTCTTTCAATTGACTAAGAGCAATCTTCAAGAATCGGTCACCATAAGGTTTGGATAACTCTAAATGATCTGTAACCAAAGTGACCAAGATTTTGGAGCCACAGACTTTTGACGGTAACCCCACGGACTTCTTAATGGAATTTCCCAACTTCTTGATGAAAGTATCCATGTCTGTGTCTGCAAGGTTGTCAAGCATTTTCTCAATGGTTTGCATTATAGGCGAAGATCCAACGGCTTGAAGTCTTCGGGCATCTAACTCCGTGGGACTAATGTTGTATTTATCAGCATTCAACAGCAAATAGTTTATGGCTTCCGGTTCCAACGTCGACATCAACTGTACAAAATTCTCTATCAAATCAGGTATAAAGGGTCTAACAAATGCTCCACCATCCTTGCAAATCTTTGTAATGGTCTTAATGCTGAAATTCTTGACATCTTCAGCTTCACTCAATATACCCCGTGGTCCAAGAAGGAACGGAATCAAATCCTTAAGAACCTTCTCGGCTTTAATAGGCGAACTACTGCTGTATTTGGCATCAATGGTTCGTAACAAAATAGTTGACAACGATTTAGTCAATTTGTTACCTTCCTTTCTAACAGAATCTTTGATGTCATCCATTGCCCGGAAACTCATTTGCCAAATCTCCTCCAACTTATCGCCATAGGATTCTAAAGTGGACACTTGAAGAAGATCATTGAGTGCCGTAGTGCTGGCTTGTCTCACTCTCCATTCTTTGTTCCCCATTCCTTTAAGAAGTTCTTCCAATATGATATCAAAGTGCTCGTTAATTGTATCGGAATTGTTGGGAACCAAAGAGTTCCAAATATCATTCATGGCTGTGGACACTGAAGTATTGGGATCATATCTGTACCGATATAACCGTGGGATCAACCGATTAGTTAATTGTTGGTTAGTGGAAAATAAGTTATTCAAAGAAGTCTTGGACAATATAGAACCCAAACCAAAAGCCATACCTTTTCTAGAGGACCAAAGCACAGAGTTCTTAGCCAATGACATGAATTTATACACCAAACTTGGATCACCTACTTCAGATGCCAAGTTAAGAACATCTTTATACGTGGACACCGAGCCTTCACCAGTCTTCAAGATATCAGGCTCAAAAAGCTGAGTATCCTCTTCAACTGATCCACTAGTATAGATAGAGGAAGCATTAGAGTCAGTGAAAGACTTCAAAAGACCCTTAACAAGAACTTCTTTGAGTTCTACATCACCCATTTCATACACAATACTGAGTCCTCTTGAAGCAGATTCTTGAATCAACTCATCTTTGTCAGCTAAAAATATGGTAAAGGCTATGTGCATCTCACGGGCTTTATCTTTAACAGGTTGTAAATGACCACAGAACTGAGCAAGTGATAACAACCATATACATGCGCTCTTCCTTAATGCCGGTTTAGTGTTAGCACATGCTGCCAAAACAGTGGATAGAATTAATGGGAGTCTTGAAATGTCTGGTTCAAAGTACTCTATTTTGGTTCCTTGGATATCAAGATTCTTCTGCAAAGCTTTAGATTGCCATCCGGCCGCCATAATCAGAAATGCTTCACCAACAGTGAATGTGAACTCAAGATGTTTAGAAATATGGGTTTTATACGCCAAATTTTCACATTTGTTCAAGGTATTGTCGTTATCTTTAGTCAAAGACAATGTTAAACAAGCCAATGCATTCATTGCCCTCTCGTCCGATTTCTTAACTCCGTCTTCAACCAGATCAATGAATTTGGTAACATAATCTGCAAAGTCCGGCGAGTTTAATGCTCCAAACATGGATATCTGGATCACACATTCCCATACGATTGAAGACCAAGCTGGACTCTTTTGTTCCAACAAAAAGTCAAGATAACTCTTCAAGAAAGAGACGGAAACAATATTAGTGGCTCTTGCTCGTAAGTAAAGTCTGCCGATAAGATATCCCACGGACAAGGTTCTGATTTGTTGCAAGTTTCTACTACTTCCCTCCATTGCTGAATTCAATATGGCTTGTATCGAGTCATTGTCAACATTTGGATGGCTGGCTACGATCGCAAAGCTCTCACAAGCAATAGAGGCAGTTTCTCCAGAGACCAAACCTCCTTCAAAAACATCAACGAATAGAGGCACTGTCGTCGTCAAATCCCCAATAACGTTCGTGGGTGCAATGTGTAAAAGGGTTGATAATGTTGTACCGTAATTAATGTTTGGGTTAATTCCAGATCCACCACTAAACTGGTCTAAGAATATTCTAAGAACAAGCTTTATAAACGTGGAAAAGCGATCGGAACAACTACATTTATCAACTAATAGCTTTTGAACAACGCTATCAGTTTCAACGGCTTTATCGAGTCTTAAATCCCATTGCTCATCTGGCACAATCACTGTGTTTGCTTTATTAACTGCTTCCATTACGAACGTTCTGAAAACAAACACAACAGCTTTGCCCAAGGTCTTCAAGATCGTAGGCAGTCGATTCCTGTTCACGTCATTGAAGTGGCTATTGAAAGCACAAACCATATCATCAAACAAGGGGAACTGAACACCAGCAGATTGTTGGCCAAGTAACTCTTTCGAGGATTTGAATTGGGTTGTGTTTGCTGATTGGACTATATTGAACCAATGCGGATGTAAGCCATGGTTACTTTCTTCCACGGTATCCAATCTATTGTGTTTGTATGAACCGAGAATATTAAACATTCTGGCTTCGGCATCAGCGAAGGGGAAGGTGAAATTCAAGTATTTGACTATCATATAACGACAAGCTTGAAGATTTTCGTTTGAGGAGCCACCCCCAACGGAGGTGGTATCTTGATAAGTTAAATATTCTGCAGCATATTGCTTGATTTTCAGCTTTGACTCCGGACTAAGGGAAGGCAAATGAATTGCCAAACCAGAGAGGGCATCTTGAATTGAAGATCTCACATCAGAAACTTCTCCTTCTAAAGATTTGAATAAGAATTCAATATAGGAAAAGTCATTGACTGACAATTCAGAGCTCTGCTTTAAGATGCTACCTAAAGTTTCGTATTTAAGTGCTCTTTGGGTTAAAAAAGTGGCATAATTGGCTCCCTTTGGAACATCAGCAACCGGCCATCCTTCACCCAAAATACTACTTTTCAATTGCAGTGCTACGCTTGAATTTAGTGAAGAAGACGCCGATGATCCATTACTGGCATTTAACATCGTCACCCATTTTGCAAAATACAATCCAGCACTTTTGGATTTAGCATTATCACTTTCAAGACCTCGTAAGGTGATTTCGTCAATTTGAGGATGCTTGCCCACAATAGAACTTTTACTAAGCAAAACAAGAATCCGTTCTTGTAGCTTTGGAGTACAAGGAGGAACTCCATCGCCTCCAAGGAATAATTGAACGCAATCATTAACAAACTCTTCATCATCAACATTTAAGGTTAGCTTCTTGAACAATGTCGATGCAGGGCTGTTCAACGCAGAAGAATCATCTGCAGATGCAATCATGTAAGGCAAGGCCAAAACCATATCCTTAAAGCCACCCGATTTCAACAACTGCAAGTATCGGAGTTTCAACTCAGTTAGTTCATTGGGACTTTTGAACACTACCCCAGCATGAAGACTAAAGAATGCATGGTCGTCAATCGATAAGCCATGGTACAGCATGGGGGTCACACTATCTGAAGGTAGAAGAATGAAGAACTTGGCTATTTTCTTTGCAAGGAATATAGCATCTTGGGGATTGGCATCCAAATGTAGTGACTTTTCCATCTCGGCATATTCTACAGATTCATTATCTGGGGCCCTCCAACCTTCCAAGACTTTCCCCAACACATTGAAGAGTCGGGATGAAACTGTTAGAGAATGTGTTGATATGCCTTCTATTAATAAAGGGATCAATTTATTCTTATCTTGAATGGAGAGCCTATCAACACCTCGAGATACAAACAACAAACTGTATAATCGGACTTGACTCGAGTCTGCATCAATGGAAACCTTGGGACGTTTAGCTTGTTCCAACAATGCCTCTACTGGCAATTTGACGTCCCTAGCAGCAGTGATTCTCGGAATCAAGTTTCTAAGTATGGATAGAATGGCTGATCTCACAGGTCCATGTTCGCTTCCCAACTTAAGTAGCAATGGAGCGAGATAAAGGTTTAAAGCATTTTCAAACAGTGCATCATCTTGCGTAAGGGCTATACGCAACTCGACCTTATTGATCAATGCAAGATCTGCATCAGCCATGGTACAATTGGGTGCTGATGATGAATCGGATGGTTTGTGATCCAATCTTCATAATTATTTTGGCGGCAAATTTTGGAACCACCAGGAAGTGTATGGACAATATTTACTATCATTAGGATTAAATACAAATCGCTTCCGAAGATGACATCAGAGTATGTCAAATATTGCTAAATATGTTAAAACTACTATAATTATGAGTTATACATGTACTATGTATGTGTATGTTGCGTATGTGTGCTTTGCATGTCTGTTTCATACGTGTTATGTACGGAATAACGTCACCAGTATATGTATACACACACAAGCTGCCTCTAATCAAATGTATGGCTACTATCCTCTTTCTATGTATTCTTATATTCTCTCAAGATAACAGGAACAGATGATGGTGGTAAGGCTCCAAATTCAGTTACAACCTTATTGATATAATTTGGAGGAGTCAAATCATACATGATGTTCAATATATTCAAATTAGGAAGCTCTTCCCAATTATGCAAAGGAGCAGACGATTCTTGATCTTGATCTTCAACCTTATTATTATTATTATTATTATTATTATTATTCTTATTGTTATTATTATTTTTCTGCTTGGAATCATTTTTGGAATCTGACATTGCGTCATGCTTGTGAATAAATTGTTCAAATGCATAAGACTTCTTCTGAGGAGGCTTTTTGGAATCAATATCTTGCATCAAATCTCTGGGATCTCCCAACTCATTACTAGCAACGGAATCCAATTGCACCTTATCAGAAAACTTAATGGATTCACAACATGTAATCACAGGTATATTTCTTTTATGACACATCATGGCTACCAAACTTGTGCCGACTCTGGAATAAAGTCGACCGTTAGAGAGCATTGCATGAGCTCCAAGGAATAAGCAATCTACTCTTTCCAAAATGGTAGGTGATAAGCCATTTATCAACACATAATGTAACTCAATGTTCGTTTTAGTAATTGGAGGGGTCGTGGAGGATTTGCTAACTATCGATTCAAGCTCAGAGTCTACCAGTTCTGGTGGTTCAGCATAAGTGTCTGCCAAACTATTCAATAACTTTTTCCCTTCAAATAAAGGTCTAGAATCAACCACGATCAACTTGAACTTCTTATTCTGTTCCACGGCACAGTACTTGAATAACTCTTCCAATACAGTCGAATGGCCATACGTTAAAATGGTAGCATCGTTCCCAATATGTTGAGCGGCATTCTCAACAATTACTCTGTCGGATAAATCGATCTTCTCGCTTATAAAGTCGTCGATTTTCTCACAAAGATTGTCCTTTGCTTGAGCCTCGGTGGTGTCAATGGATATATGGGAGATTTCTTGCTTCAACCATCTAATGGCATTCCCCATTGAAGTTGAAAGAGGACGAGACGTTCTCAAAAACTCAATCTGATGTGATAAATGTCCAGTCAAGTGTCTGGTTAAAGTGGTATTCTCTGGTGTCTTGTAGTCTGAAATCACGTCTTTGAAAGCCTCCAACATCTTCCTCAATCTATTGGTTGAGCCAACCACTTTATATGTGGAATACTTCAATGAAAGCGCCAACACCGCAGGATGCACAATGTGGGAAATGGAAGGTGAAGATGCGTTTCTTTGTTCTCTTGTTTCTAAATGACTGAACATCGGTGGGGTCTTTTTTTTAGCGCTTTCATCCTTTATTAATGTTTGGTTCAATTGTTTCTTAAGATTGGTATTTGTAGCTGCTTGTTGCTTCTTCTTATCAATCTTTTGTTGAACCAATTGTTGTTGTTGTTCAGGGGTCATGTCGCCTGACTTCTTAGCAGCTCTCTTAGCAGCCTTCTCTTTCTTCTTCAACTCTTTTAGTTCTTTATTAGATAACTTCTTTTCTCCAGTAGTTTCTTCACTTGCAGCAGATGCTGTAGCAGAAACTTCTTTGCTGTCTTCGGTTGCAGCAACTGAATCACTTGCAGCGCTTGCACCACTTGCATCAACTGCTGTAACCCCTGCATTTACGGATTTTGGAATGTCAACTTCCATCTCTTTAGATTTACTCATTGATATTTTCAATATCAGTTAGAATGTCAACCTTCATCTTAAAAAATTTATTATCGTTTTGTAAGAATCATCTATATATGGTCGTGCACCATCTCCAAAAATATTATCTATAAGAATACATGTTTAAAATACGATTCATATGCCTTCTGACAACTCACCAAAGACTCCTCTCTTCTTAGTGGTATCATACAATCTGACGATTTTCTCTTGGTCTTCTGTTTGGGAGAAAGCAAATCCTCTTTGTTTCTTGATTCGTTGAACTTGCCTAACCTTTCTAATAGCCTTTTGGAATTGTTCCATTCTTGGTCTATAATCTTGGATATTATATTTTTGTATCTCTTGAACATAATGATAACTCTCTGGAGAGTAAATTCTCTTTAAGTATTTCCATCCAAAGTCTCGGAGAAGACACAAAATGGAGACTCCAAATACAACTGCCCAAAACGTAATGGAGGGATATGTGTGTGCCAAAACACCTTCATATTCCTTAGATACATTGATCAATGGTGCAATCGTAGCAAAGGCAGGAAAGAACCCAAGCCACAATAAAAAGGATCCAGGGATTGCAAGGAAGGTAAATTTGGTCCATAAAGTGACGGTGAGTGCTGCTTTTCCCAACACAGTTAAAGTACATGTTGTATAGACCATAGTCCCCCAAGCCCAATTATTAGCAATTTCTCCCCCTGGTAACATGTTACCATAACTGTAGATGTAGTAAGCAGTGAGAAAGATCACTGCTGAATGATAAAACCCATTGATGATCCAACTCCAGAAAATATTCACATTAAAAAACTTTCTTTGCTGTCCCAATTGATACAATTGAGGATACCGGTCAAGTAATCGGGCACTAACAAATTGATCGAAAACACCTAAAACAAATGGTGGTAACACGGTGAAAAACACATTATAAAATGTCAATGTCCATGATTCAGCAATAGACTGTCCAGAATAAGCGTTGGTAAAAACAAACCAGAATTGAGTCATGTATAATGCGATATTCTTGTAAAATGAATAAAGGATAGCAATGGAAATACGTCTGTAAGACCAAGCGCCATGTACCAAAAGTAACTTCTTCAAATACTTGAACTGACCAATGGAAACATCAGCACTTCTAGCAGCTTGCATACCTTCCATCCCACTAATACCAACACCCACATGAGCAGCTTGAATCATAGAGACATCATTCGCACCATCTCCAATGGCTAATAATAATGACTTCTTCTTCTTCCGTTTGACCATCTTTACAACTAATGCCTTTTGTAAAGGTGAAACCCGACAACATACAACTGCCTTACATCTACTTCCCAAATCAATAAACATGTCTTCTAATTCAGGATCCAAGGCAAACCCCAAGGAGTGGCCATCAATAATCAATGCAAGGGTAGATTCTAATGCAACTTCATTCTCAGGTTGGTTCTCATAAATTGCTTGTAGTTTCTCTTGCAAGTTCAATTTCGTGTCATGCTTTGTTTCTTCATTGATAATAAGCAAATTCATGTCTTCACTAAGCAATTTACACGACATTCCAATGTTAATAGCCGTTTCTTGTCTATCTCCAGTTAATACCCAAATTTTAATACCAGCCTCCTGTAATGTATGAATGGTTTCTGGTACACCATCTTGTAATTTATCTTCAATAGCTGTGGCACCTAAAAGAAATAAATTAACTTCAATGCTTTCAGCCACAGCATCTAATTCACCACTTCTGTCTTCTAAAGAGGTCGACGCTTTATAGTATTTAGCCGCAAACTCTTGATATTCCTCTTCAGGGATTATCCTTGAGGCAATACACAAGGTTCTCAAACCTTCTGCTGCAAAGTCTTCAAGATGTCTTAACGTAGCATCCACAAACGGTTGAGGTTCGTCTTTGGACAACCTTTCAAGAATCACATTGTCAGCACCCTTACAGAATAATCTAATTACTCCATCAGGACACCTGTAGATTGCAGACATTCTCTTTCTCGTAGAGTTGAATTCACAAATGTTCAACAACTCATAATCCAAAGATTGGTCAGTTATTGTGTTTATAATGCTAATACCTTTAGGAACACGAGTGGTGAATTTATAACCTAGATCAGCTGCACCTTGAACCAATGCACCTTCATCTGGTGAAGCAGCTTGATATTTAATTTGTCCATTCTCTTCATTTACTTCTGGAATAACTGTATGACAAGTACTCAATAATGTCATAAACTCATTAATGATAGCAGATTGAGAACTACTGACGTCTCTTAAATCATTAAACATATCAGTGAATTTATGATATCCAATCTCAATGCCATCAATGATTTGTGCTTGTCCATCTTCAGGTATCTCTTCAATATAGCATCTTCCACCAATTGAACAAGTTTTGAACTCCATAATATTCCGGGTAAGTGTTCCTGTCTTATCACTGAAAATATAGTCAATTTGACCCAATTCTTCAACCAAAGAAGAAGTTTTCACCCCAGTAGGAGTATCCGATTCTTCATAGTACATATCCAAATCACTACCAATCATGTAGGCTTGATAATACTTGATAAGTTCCACTGTCACAAACAAAGAAATTGGGACCAAGTTAGAAAACAAAATCCAATAAGTTAAGATATCTTTAAAGAATAACCCAACTAAATTTGTACCTTCTAAATACAAATAACTCAATTGTTTCTTTGATACTTGAACCTTAATGACATTTCCAAAGGAGCAAACAAGAGCCAAAATGATTAAAATACAAAACAAGGCAACAATTTGTAAATTAATGATTCTTTCAACATCCGTTCTTTTGATAGGAGTAGCAGTGGCGTTACGCATCAACTTAGTTTCATGACCAGTAAATACAACAACACCCAAAATCCATTGGGTATTACGTAAGGTTGCACCACGTAATAACAATTGATCTGGGGATAAAGGAAGAACATCATTGTTTCCAAAATTCTTCAAATTCCCTTCATAGGTATATAATGAGGAGTTGGGTTGTTCTGAAACGATTTCTGAATGGTCCAATTCAGAAACTAATCTTTTGGGATCAACTAAATGTGCTGTTTCCTCTTTGGCTTGCTTAATTTTTAAATTTGTTTCCCCATCTAAGTTTGCGGTTTCAATATAACATAACCCCTCTGGTTCAGAAGAGCTTAATAATATCAAATCAGCAGGGAACGGCTCTTCATTATGAACCTTAACAACATCACCAACTTTTACATTGATCCATTTTCTTGTGTGGAAATCTCCCGACACTGGATCAAGAACTTGAACTCTTGTAGTATTCAATTCCTTATCGGCATTTGATCTCTTGAGGTCTTCCATTGATTCCTTGATAGCCGAAACCAACAACACAACCATTAACGTCCCAATGGTGGTAAATCTGTTCGTTGGAGAAACATTGGGGACCTGTTGGATGATGGACGTAAACAAGAAGAACAAGTTGGCGTATTTACTAAACTGTTCGAAAAGAAACTTGGGTAGAAAAGTAGCAAAATTATATTTTGTGGTAGAAATATGATTATCATAATAACCAAACGATGCATTTGCTGAGTGATTCATGATATAAATTTGCCGAGGTTCCTTTTTACCGGAATCTGATGTCAGTTTCTTCCCACTTACTTTTGCCTTAATATTGCCCCATATTTTGCGTATATCAAAATCCGATTGTCCTCCACTCTTATCGTCGAAATCTCGCATTCCAATGTAGTCGTTGGTGTTGTTGATCTTTCCTGCTATTCCATTGAAGAACCCACCCGCACCTCCTCCACCGGTAGCATCTTCATAGGGAGGCCTATTCTGAGTGTTCAAGAGAGGAGCCTTTCTAAAGCTCCCGGAGTTGTCATAATCATAGAACGAATTGTTGTGGTCGTCTTCAAAGGGATCACTAAAGGGGTTGCTATTATTCATTTGTCTGCCACCACTAGGACCTTCACCGAATGAAAAACTATCCCTTGTAGTGTACTGCTGTTGGCTCTGTGGGATGCCTGATTCGTACGGTGTATATTGAAACACGTCACTACTACTTCTTCCATGGTCTAGATCAATCAAGTTGTTCCCATCACTAAATGGATCCTGCCCATTGTATTTATTATTAGACATGCTATTGGTAACTGTTTGACTGGTAACTGTTTGACTGGTAACTGTTTGACTGGTAACTGTTTGACTGGTAACTGTTTGACTGGTAACTGTCTGCTTGTACTGTCTGCTTGTACTGTCTGCTTGTACTGTCTGCTTGTACTGTCTGCTTGTACTGTCTGCTTGTACTGTCTGCTCAATTGCTCCCTCTACACTCTGCCTTATGTCCAACGGATATCCACTACTAAACAACAACTGTTAGGTTTGTTTTCCATGATGGTTGTCATAGCCCATAAAGGTCGTGCACAATGTACAAAACAGAACAAATACCAACTGAAAAATTTGGGTCGGGACTATTAGTCATTCATACTGCTACCACTACTTCTTTCTGCTAGTTAATACTATAAGGTGCTTTTATTATGGCCGAGAGGATTGCCAGAGACGCCAACGAGGCGTTTTCGGAGCTAAAAACGTTATCCAACGAACAGAGATCACAGGCTTTAGTGGCTATTCATGATGGCCTTAAAACCCATAAGGAAGCCATCTTGGCTGCTAATAAGATTGATATGGAAAATGCCGTTGAAAATAACTTATCGTCTGCTTTGGTCAAGAGATTGGACCTAAGCGCTGGTGATAAGTTTGATGCCATGTTGCAAGGGATCTTGGATGTTGCCGAGTTACCAGATCCAGTGGGTAAAATCACCTTGGCTAGAAAGATAGATGAAGGCTTAAACTTGTATAGGATAACTGCTCCATTGGGTGTGCTTTTGATTATTTTTGAAAGTAGGCCAGAAGTCATTGCCAACATCACTGCCTTAGCCATCAAATCAGGTAACTCTGCCATTTTGAAGGGTGGTAAGGAAAGTTACCAAACTTTTAAAGCCATGAGTGACATTGTGAACTCTACTTTACAAACAGAGACCCAAGTTCCAGCGGCGGCTATTCTGTTGGTTCAATCAAGGGAAGACGTGAGTAACTTGTTGTCTCAAGATAAATACATTGACTTGGTTATTCCAAGAGGGTCGAATGCCTTGGTAAGAAATATTAAAGATAATACAAAGATTCCTGTGTTGGGCCATGCTGATGGGATTTGTCATGCTTATGTTGATGTTTCCGCTGACGTTCTGAAGGCAAACAGAATTCTTGTCGACTCCAAAACAAATTATTGTGCTGGGTGCAATGCAATTGAAACATTGTTGATCAACAAAGATGTCCCTGGTGATTCCATTACTGAAATCTTGAAGTCCTTAACCGATGCTAAGGTCAAGTTACATGTTACTTTGGATTTAAGACAATACACAACCACCTTGCCTCAAGATTTGGTGGTTGATGCCCAAGATGCCGATTTTGGCCATGAATATTTATCCTTTGACATTGCTGTCAAATTGGTGGACTCTGTTGATGCAGCCATTAAGCATATCAACGAACACTCTTCAAAACACACCGAAACTATCATAACAGAAGACAAAGAGTCAGCAGAAAGGTTCTTAAAGGGTATAGACTCTGCTGGAGTTTATTGGAATTGCTCAACTCGTTTTGCAGATGGTTTCCGATACGGTTTCGGTACAGAAGTAGGTATCAGTACCAACAAGATTCATGCTCGTGGTCCTGTGGGCTTAGAGGGTTTGATGAGTTATCAATATCAGTTGAGAGGAAATGGTCATATTGCATCAGAGTATTTGGGTGCTGGAGGATCCAAGACATTTGTGCATGAAGACTTGGACATTAATAAAGTAGATCTTTAGTATACCTTGTATATCTGAATACAACTGCATATCATACACAGCTATATCTCTTTATAAAACTGCATGTCTTACATATGCATATCTTCTGTACACATATGCATGTCTTTATACACTTGCATGTCTTACCGCACTACTTTATATACTGGCAACAAATTCGGTGTAATTTGACGGTGGAAAGTCAGGAAACCATTGCAAAATATTTGAAACATTTTCGTCTTTCAAATCTAGTTGACTCCATTGTCCAACGGTGAACATGTCTGTCAAGTCCTTTATCCATTTCATTCTTATTTCAATCGATGCCAAGTCATCATCTTGGATGACTTTGCTTCGAAGTCCCAGCCTTATTTTCCCGAGGTTTTCAACTGCCTTATTGATATCTATGCCTTCAAAGTTTCTGGCTATGGTATCCTTTACTATTTTCAGTAATCGAGGCGACTTCCCATTAGTGCTTATCATGATTTGAAGGTTATCTTGATTGAACATACTACCAAAATAAAAATCACATAAAGGAGGCTTATCTGCTATGTTCACTGGTAATCGTTTGACCTTACATTGATAATATATTTTTGTAGATAATTCGTAATCATCAATGCAACAACATACAATAGCTATCATTTGGTCATGAACAAACTGCGAGATCAATTGATGATCCAGAGTTTCGGTAATAGTTCCTGTCTCATACATTACAAGATCATTAGGTTGATAATTCCGTTGTAGAAAGTTAAAAATCTTTCCTTCATTATTTAATTTGACGATTCCAGGATGAATGTTTCCTTCACCAGTTATAATGGTGATCTTAGCTTGGGCATATAAAAGATGTTGAACTCTGCTGAGAGCCACTTCTCCACCTCCTATAACCAAACAATGCTTATCCTTGACTTGCCATGCCAAACAAAGGGATCCCAAATGGCTCATGTTGGTAAAGATAATGTTCTCACATTATAGCTTTTTATACATACTCGTATATTATCTATATATTACATTTGAAAATGTACGATGTATCACGTGACTTGGGCACATTGCAGATCGAGGACGGATGAGGTAACGATATTGAATGCAGGGGTATTCATATGCAATATACGGAGCCAATCACGAATAATAGAGAGTTTGCTAAATTTTACCGGCTCTCCGCGTAGACTGCGCTGGACGAATCGAACTGTTGCTGTTGAGGCGATAGAAAGGTTGAAAATTCTTCAATTGAGATTAAAGGTTATATTAAAGCGGTGTTACCAGCGAGAATATGGACCTTTACAAAGAAAAGAAAAATGGTATACAACATAATACTAATGTATAACAGTTTAGTGTAGTGTATTGTATTATATCATGTGTAGAAAACTTTTTTTGGTAGTTGTTTGTCTTACATCACAACATAGTATAGTCAAGATCGTAAGTGCTTACATAAATAAAGCATATAATTATCAGAAAGTTCTGTTACATTATGTCATGCACGAATAACATGCACTAACTTAATATATGCACCGGAGTCATGTACTTTAGGCAAAGTGCAGATGCCGAATATTAAGCCTCCCCAATATAACTAATATAATTAGTATACTTAAAAGCCTTAATTACAGAGAAATAGATGGCAGTCAAGAACCATACCGTCGGTGGTATTCATACCCTCAATCACTTACACATGCATTACATGACATTACAGTATACATAAATCTCGTATAAACGTCTTACATATACATGCTTATCATTAAAAAAAAACTTTCCAAACGCAACAATAGCCCCTTAGAAAATTTTTTTGTTTGGCGAACGTTTTTTTTTTCCGTAGGCAGTATTATCTTTTAGTAAAAATTATCACCAACGGACGTAAAGAACCAACGTTAGTTACTTTAAAGCACCTTCATATATATATTCCCAAACTCCACCCGACCCAAGAACGACTGAAAAGAATTAATCGCATTTGCAACGATAACGTGGACGCAAGAGAAACACTCTGATATTAATATATTACTGTCCACATTTGCACCGACTGAAATGGGACCATACGGTAGAAGCGAAAGAAGACCTTCAATGGCCGAAAGAAGACCCAGTGTGTCGTATACTCCACCCTCTATCCCACATTTAGCAGGGTTGGAGAAACCGCAGGACCCCCACTTGAAACTAGACCATTGCGACGTACTCATTTTGGGAACAGGCTTGGTGGAGAGTATACTCGCAGCCTCTTTGAGTTGGGCCGGTGTTGAAGTGTTGCACATTGACCAGAACAAATACTATGGTGATCTGGCTTCCACGTTAACTGTGGAGCAAATAAAGAAATGGGTCATGGAAGTGAACCAAGGAAGAATCAACCATTTCCAAGAAGCACAACTATATGTTCCTGGAGGATCCCAAACCAATAATTTTTGTTCTAAAGATTATGGAATCGACTTGACTCCGAAAATCATGTTTGCCAAGTCCGATCTATTGGCTCTTTTAGTGAAGTCCAGAGTGTATCGTTATTTGGAGTTCCAAAGCTTGTCCAACTTCCATGTGTTTGAAAATGGTCAATTCAATAGGAAAGTCTCTAACACCACCAAACAAGATTTATTCACAGACCAAAGATTAAGCTTGACAGATAAAAGGTATCTCATGAAGTTCTTGAAGTTCGCCCTTATAGACATACAAGACGAAGAAAAGAACAAGTTGATCTGGGATAATGCAAAGACTCCCATAGGGGAATTTCTTAAACACCAATTCAAATTGGCTGAGCCTCAAATAAACGAATTGGTGTATTCAATTGCATTGTGTTCCAAGGAACTGACCAAAGCTCCTGAAGCAATGGCCAGAATAAGAAGATATCTTACGTCTGTTGATGTTTATGGGCCCTTCCCCGTGATGATGCTGAAGTTTGGAGGCCCAGGTGAAATCTCTCAAGGGTTTTGTAGAAGTGCTGCAGTAGCCGGAACTACTTATAAATTGGATACCAGATTAATTGATTATGATCAAGACAAAATGATAGCCAGATTCTCCGACGGGTCATCTGTTAAGATCAAAGAGAAATTAATCATATCTCCAACGCAAATCCCTCCCTTCTTGAGAGCTCAATATGAAAACGAAGTCGTCAAGGACTTACAGGAGTTTTATGTGACAAGATTGACGGCCATCATCAAGAGAGATTGTCATCAGTGGACCAGCGATCACGAGACTTCGGCCATAGTGGTGTTCCCTCCTCATTCCTTGCCCACAGATAATAACGAGAGTGTTCAGGTAATCATTCAGAACGGTGGCTCGGGCATTTGTCCCGTGGGTGAGTCGATTTGGTATGCTCAACTGATTGAACAGGATTTGAGTCGAGCAAAATTAGATCTCCAACTGGCATTGGATAAAATGCAGATGACTATTTTGAAAGAAGAAGAAGAAGAAGAAGAAATAGACGAGCAACCACAGCAGTCATCAATAGACGCCGCAATGGACGACGTTGATTATGATGATAACTTGTTGAAACCAACAGATATGATAATGAATAGTGGCGTAACCCCACCATCCCCACAGATAGTGTCTAGCTCATTCAAATTGGGCGATGAACTAAATTCGTTTACTCCAAAGAAACCTCTAGACTTTGTTTGTAAGTTGGGGTACGTTCAAAAGACTTACATCAAGCCTAACTTGGTCAATGTGCTTCTAAATGCCAACGAATCAAATAACATCATTTACAAAACACTAGCCAAGAATCCCAATGTCATCTTCTCCAATATGCCATCAGCAGAATTAAGTTATGATGGAGTAGTCAGTGAAACCAAGGGTCTATTTTCCCGAGTCACTGGTTCCGACGAGGATTTCTTTGATGTCGACTTTGAAGATGACGAGGAGTTTGGGGATGACGATGATGACACTCCGGCTCATCCAAATGCTTCAATTATTGGTAATGGCGATCTTCTGTCACAGGTACCTCCTGAGAATGCCATTGAGAGTGATGACGAAGATGACGATGATAAACACCATAATGACCACCATCATCACCCCTTTGATGTGGATCAGATGGAACTATGATTTGTGTCTTGTCTGTCCTGTTCTAATACTTTAGTTCTTCTGTATATGTACCTTCTATTTCTTATGCCTATATTATTTATTGCAAACCATAGCCCTGTACTGCTCAAGTAAGGCTTCATTAGTAGCCTTACCTCCGCATACGATATATATAATGATATCGTCGGCTTGTAATGGAATACCCAAAATCTCGTTCAAGACTTCGACCTTTGACGTTAACGATAGTGTAGCCCCACAAGCTGGCTCCACAATGGTCCCAAATCGATCGTGATAATCAACGACTCCCTCTAAGGCTTCGGTCTCGGTTATCACGTGATTAAGTGTTGTATGGGTTTGGGCATTGCTAAGTGACTTCAGCGACACATACGGACTTCCTAAGCTGGTAGCCACTGTACTGAATGGCCCACTTAGAGTCACAACCTCGCCTTTCACTACCGCATCTCTAAAACAAGGCACTTGGTCAGTCTCAACGGCTATAACAGGCACATTCTTTAACGATTCATGTCTGTGTAACCCTTCGACTATCCCATTGTACAACCCTCCTCCACCAACACTACATACTATACCTTTAACTTTACCAAGATCATCTTCACTGTTCAATTGGTCCACTATCTCATCGATCATGGACGCATGGCCCTCCCATATAACGGGATTATCAAATGGATGGACATACACAGATCCAGCCTTGGGGTATCCCTTCAGACCTATCAATTCCTTCTGTAAGTAGGCATCGGCTTCACCCCAATGCAAGCCGCGCACTATGACTTCTGCTTCCAAGTCGTCCTTCAACTTGTCTATCACCAATTGCTTCGTGGTCTGGGGCAACACTACAGTGCACGGCACGCCCATTTGTTTTGAGGCATAAGCAGCAGCCATCCCAGCATTGCCACCAGATGAACAGTACACATGGACGCTGGCTCCTTCAGCAGTATTGCTTCGGAGAGCTTGTTGAATACAATGGGCTATCCCTCTGAGTTTGAACAGTCCACTAGGTTGTTCTAGTTCATTCTTGTAAAGGGCCCGATAAGGAAGGTCTTTATAAGTGGTAGCACTAACATCAACTAAGGACGTGGATACGTAAGGTACAGTCATGTTATATAGTCAATATATGTTAGTATTTGGGATAGAGATTGTCAATGGCCAGGTGTTACCAGACTTCCATTGAGTGCGGCCTTAGCACGAAGAATTGTTGTAGTAGTCGGTTGTAACACGATAAGGAAATGTTGATAGAGTGTCTTAAATATCTACCGCATTACTAAATACGGTAATTAATGTCACAAGTTGATTTTCGTAGAAATCAAAGCGTGGGCTAAGTATAAACCGTCATAATGTAAGTATAGATGATTTTAGTATATAATTCAGTCACTATAACTTTGTTTATCGTTAAGCAGTTGAATCTATCCATACATTTTCTTTTTAGTTAAGCATCACGTGATAGCTGATCAATTAATTATGTAAACTAATCACACATCTCCCTGTCTTTTACTAGCATGTAGTAACCCAAACTCTAAAGATTTTCTCTATAACACCATCAGTGCTGGACAATAGTACAATCTTTATAACTCTCTTCTTAGTCTTATCTTTAGTGCTTATTTTAATTATATCATGATTCTTAGGGCTTGAACCCTACTCTTATAAATTACACAAATCCGCTAACACTGAAAATTTTTTTGATTGCTCGCGCAGAGGGTATAGTGAAAAAAGTTCTGAGCATTTCATACATATATTTCCTTCAAGCTTCTTTCTTCACTGAGAAGATTGATAATCTATCGAAGAAGTCCAATCATACACTAGTATTATTAAAAAATGTCTGACGTTGAAGAAGTCCAAGTTGTTGAACAACAAGAAACCGGTTCCGTTTCCATTGAAGACTGTTTGAAGGTTGTCTTGAGAACCTCATTGGTCCACGATGGTTTGGCCAGAGGTTTGAGAGAAGCTTCCAAGGCTTTGTCCAGAAGAGAAGCTCAATTGTGTGTCTTGTGTGACGCTGTTACTGAAGAATCCATCATCAAGTTGGTTGAAGCTTTGTGTGATGAACCTGAAGAAAAGATTCCATTGATTAAGGTCTCTGATGCCAAGTTGTTGGGTGAATGGGCTGGTTTGTGTCAATTGGACAGAGAAGGTAACGCCAGAAAGGTTGTTGGTGCTTCTTGTGTTGTTATCAAGAACTGGGGTGCTGACACTGAAGAAAGATCTGTCTTGTTGGAACACTTGTCTCAACAATAAATGTGTTAGTTTAGTTAACAAAGCTAATCTTTAGTATATGAATTAGTAATGATTGTTGTATATTAATATGATGTATTTACTATTTAACCAATGTATCTTATACACCACCATATCGCTAGGCATGTATCTACTATGAAAGTCACGTGGTGGGTCGTGTAGGACTCAGCGCTACATAAAGATAACAAAATGTATACAGATTATCTACACACCATTAAGCACACTACTACAGCTACAACTTATTCAATTCTATGACCTCGAGAGCTGATAAGCGAGATGCTCGGCTAAGAGGATCAGCGTAAGTCTACTGAAAGTGTACACATCACCAATAAACATCTACTAACACTATTATTAAATGTAGGTCTCGATCCTTAGATACTGGAGAGTTTAAGATAACTCCTACAGATTTACCCACTAATAGTCGTGAACTTAAGAACTTACAATCTGCATTAGTTAAGAATGAAGATCTCAGTGATTTACCTCGAAGAGCAAGTTTCTACAGACTGCCAGGTAAAAGTAAAGCTCATGTAGCAGATACACCTACACGGACCAATCCGGTAGAGAATATAAGTTCTATTCAAGCCAAACGTCTTAGCCCTAAGAAGAAGAGGGCACCGTTGAATAAGACAACACCATTGGCTAGAAAATCAGCTGTGGATAAGAATACGATACAAAGAACATTGAATACACTCAAAGTTAAACAGCAACAGTTACAACTGTTGCAACCACTGCCACCGTCACAACCTTCTACTACGAATGTTTCCAAGAACACTGCCAGCGAGAGTAAAGAAGATGGCAGTGGCAGTTCTTGGTTTGTAAATAACGGCAACAAACTCAAGCAATTGCTACGAACCAAGGAAGCACGGTTTGTGCCAACTACCGAGACTCTGGAGCTGAAGCAGGAACGGATACAGAAGCTGAAACTGCAACAGAAGCTGAAGCCGGAGCCCAAACAAAAGCTGAAACTGAAACTGAAACTGACTGCAAGGATTACCAAGCAAAGAAAGACTAATAAATATACCAGAACATCATCACTAGTTGAATCTAGTGATCCTGGCCAATTATTTACTCCACCCATAGCCCCACCCAAAGCAGCCCCAATTCTGTTGTCGAAAGCCACTTCAAAAGGAAGACAGAGACCCATGGTAATCGAATTGGACCGATTAAGTCACAGAGGTAATCAAAATAAACGTTTCAAAGTCAACCGTTTGGACGCATTGAAGCATTTAGTCAATACTTTTCAGTGTGACCATCATCATAATGTCACCGAAACAGAATTTAGACTTAACGTTATCTCATATTTGGACAATCTTCTATCGTTAACCTCCAACATCCAAGACATTCTGAAACGACTCAAGCAAATACAACGTGAGAAGAATGAATGGAGACAAAAGATTTTTGATCTTCGTCAGCAGCACAGTCACATTGGGAACGAATTGGGTCAACTTCGACAGAGCCACAACCAAATCAAAGCAACATATGAAGATACAAAGAAAATGGTTGATCTAGCAGAACAAATCCACAATACAAAGACGGCAACTGACAATTCCAATTCAAATGTCGCTTATCTGGCGGAGATTATACTGGAATTGAGTTTCAGAACCAACATGATAGAGCAATTAAAGTTATTCAACTGCAAGCTACACTAAAGCAATAATTCTAGCAATGTTATTAATTTCTTCATGTTATTCATATATACTAGAAGGTATGCATGTACTGCAAGGTATGCATGCACACTGAAGGTAAGCATTCAATACAACCACAGAACTAAACCACCACCATGGAATTAATCTTGGACCAAGGCAAGAATCATTCTATACAAATAATAGAAAAACATCAACAAATGGAATCCCAACTTGACGAACGATTCCTTCTTATGTTTGGATAAAGTTCTAAAGATCTCTGTAGCGTCCAACAAATGATTCTTATTAATAAACTTATTGACGTTGTAGGCCAACAAGGGCAAGTTCATCAAGAACGTGAACCAACACCCATTGAGCAAAAACATCACCGTGAGGAACGCATGGATCCCGGCTTCAGGTAAATACCAAGGGTTCAACTTGCTACATAACTCAATTGGGTTGATATAGTCACTTTCCAAATCGGAATACATGATGGTAAAGAATACTTGAGAAAACAAGTTGATGGCATTGACAACCACAGCAAATACAAATAACCTAAACGTTAGTAATTCCATAGTCATATACCCCTGGTGTTATGGTCTTACACATACCATGCTTCACTCATCTTAGATTTAATGTCCGTTCTGTCTGTTTATCAGGAGGAAGGTTCGATGGATTTTCTAAGGGGTTTCGACTTTTGATATCAAATTTTTCCTTCTTCGGTTTTGTGTCCTTGCGCGCAGGCCACCATCGATCTGACATCATCCACTATTTATACTATGTATTATGGTATGCGATACTATGCGGTACTACACACGAGTATGCTATGATTGTATGGCATTATCTCTTATGTACGCTCTACACAGCTCCATTCAAGCCCAGTCTCGGTAATAATAGTTGGCTCCTCGTTGTTGTTCAATGGGAATAACCCGCTATCACCATACTCTATAAGATAACTCCATGATGTAGATGATCTAAAGGCCCTAACAACATGTAATGGATGGTCGAGGCTTTGCTTATCATACACAACCCCTTGAGCCCAATTCCCAAGTCTAATCATACGTCCATGATATTTCTCGGTTTTAACGTCATATACAGTAACCAGATGAACGGTGGTTGAAGCTTCCCTACCCAACAATTCAGGAGTATGTACCTCAGAGTCTAACGATCTCCAAATCTCAATATAATCTTGCATTTTCCCTGTAGCTGGATTAACCATTTCTCCTGTCTCCTTTCGATCTTCACTACTTGGGATACTGGAAAAGTTACCCACATCAGGCTCTCCTAAACAATCTTCCATTGGCTTACCAGTTTTCAACAGTTGACTAATAGCCATGGAGTCAATCTCATGGTGGAATGCAATCTTATTGGACTCAGGAATACTCTCTTCTGTGCCCACAATAACCCATTGAAACACTTCAGTAAAATGCAAGTCTTTGGCTTGTGTCTTATATGGATAGTGGTTGGATAGAATTCTAACGTCCACAAAAAGATTTTTGGGTGAGGTAAACACCATAGTAGAGGTTTTCTCCTCCGCCAATTCAGGTGGCCATTGAATAGATACTCTAGTTGATAAAGTCATTGATATAGTCAGCACTGTATTGGTTGGTAGATGTTTTGGATAGGCCTTTATAAGAACCAACCTTCTGTTATCATGAGGATTACCAGATTAGGAAATTGTTTGCGCACTTTGGCGCATTATGGCTCAGAACGCTCCCTAATTCCGACGTCTGTTCTCCACATTAAGTTCTGTTGAATCGATGTTTAAGCTGATGTCTCATCTCATGGGTCACGATACTACCGTCTAACTTCCTTAATCGGTTGAAGAAGTTCACTATCACCATCTCGTAGTTAATTCTTTGATCAACACGTGTAGGTTCCTTTGCAATTTGAGATATAAATTGAGAATCTCTTTCTGCCCATTCCAGTTCACTCTTGTTCAATGATTGATAGTGAATAACAAAGTTCTCAATGTCATCCAATGTTTCCAATTGAATAGGACTGGTCCTAAGAGTATTAGAGATCTGTATGACATCCCTTTCATGAGGATTGAAGACATAAGGATAAAGCTCAACATTAACTGGATTAAGTCTAACATCAAGAACCTCCAATGTACTTCTTGAGTTAATAAGACCTTTGATCAAACCTTCCACTTGAACCATTGAATTGCTTACAAGGTAAAGCTTCTTCAAATGATGTAATTCGTTTAACTCTGAGATTTTATTTAAACTGTTGAAATTCAAATTTAATTCCCTAACATTCGGAAACACTTTACCAAATCCTAAAGGAATCTCTTTCAAGTCCATTGCACATAATGAAAGAACATTAACATTTAAGAACACGATATTTCTATGAGACTTTGGGTTATTACATACCAATCCCAAATCGTAGTCTCCATTGCCTGAAATATCTAAAATGTTAATATCTTGACACTCCAAAAGAATCTTCTCAAGTACTTGGGTATCATATTGTGACTTGCAAGAAACCTCATCCAAATTCTTCAATTTATCTAAGCCGTTTAATGATGTAAGCATGTTGCCATCAATTCTAAGGACTCGTAAAAATGGATAACATGAAACATCCAAATTTTTGATCCGGTTTAACTTCAATAATAGTTTCTTTAACTTTAAATGGGATTCATTGCAAGAGATGCTTTGCACTTGATTCTCATTCAAGTTCAATATCCTCAAACTGGGTAAATTTTCAATACCTTTAACTAACTTAATCTTGTTTTCAGATAAGTTTAATTCCTGAAGATTTGGAAGCTTGAATTTGATGAAGTCTAAATCTCCCGTCAAGTTGTTAGATGAAAGATCTAATGTCACCAAATTCTCAAGATTGCTTATTGTCTGGATGGATGAGATAACATTTTTAGATGCATTTAAATGAGCCAAATGAATGTTTGATGATAAAGCAGACAAACTACTGAACTCATTTCCAGAAATATTTAACCTTTGCAAGTCATGGAACCCAGAGAAAACTGTCAAATCTCCAAGATTATTACTCTCTGCTTTTAATTGAAGAATTTTAGATGGAATCCCCTCAAGAAACCTTATGCTATTATGCGAAATATCAAGTGAAGTGACAAAGGGTAAAAATCTTTCCAAGTCCTTCAAGGAATCAAGACCTGCTCGAAGTAATGCCAAAGATGTTACATCATTCCATTCTGTTGGTACGTTAGCTAGTGACTCTGCAATCGCATGAACAAGCTTTTTAACTGTTTGTGAGAATGAGACATCATCCACCCTTGAAATCAGAGTGACATCAGGAAGGTTCTTTGTAGTGTCACTTTCACGAATGGAACTATCTTCAGCAGGCAAGTTGAAACTCACTTCTAGCTTACTATCATTTCTCTTACTTCTTGCATGCTTTTGAAAAGAGTTATCTCTTTTTAATACAGTGCTGTTCTTCTCTTCTGAATAACTTACTAAATCTTCAATAGAATCTAAAGAACCATTTTCTAGCTCCCTATCATCATTAGGAACCCATTTATGGTTCTCCAAATCAAGCACCATGTTATCATATGCCACAGGTATATCGGCTGTACGTTTAAGAACTCCCCGAGGTAAAGGCTGGTTGTCACTATTCTTACCGTTTATTGGGGCAAGTGGTCTGCCTTGGTCCAAATTCTTTGCAATTGTCGGTTTTTGCTGTAAATTTTGGTCACCATAGAGCCTTTGGAACTGCAATTGAGAACCTGTTTTCCATTTGATTGTTTGGTTCGGATCAAAAGATTCACCACCAATTGACTCATCTAGAATACTATTTTCAGATGCGTTGATGACGTCGTTGTTGACCTTCTTGGGTAATTCTGGGGTCGTCGTTTTCGATTCCAAAAGTAGATCCACTGTTTTCATCAACATTCCCAATCCATTCTCTAAGCCAAGAACTTGGTTTTTTATGACATCAAACTCGGGACTGGAAACCATTTGCAGATTTAATTCGTTCTTTGTAGATTTCAATGGTAAGTCTCTTGCTTGAGTTTCCTTGAGTTTCTTTGGTGAGCTTTGTAATTTCTGTGGTGAAGACATGGCTTTCGAAGGAAGTGATTGCAAATTGTTGTCAATTACAACAGGAGTATACTTTTGGCTATTTTCAACAGCTGCAAGTTCTCTTGTAAATGCATCTTCGGAAAATGAGTCAAAAGTATACTCGTTTTGTAATTCGTCAACTTCACGCTCAATTTCCGGTACACCTCCTCCTTGAGAGCTGGAAGCGAGCTTGGTGAATGTAGTAAAATCATTATTAGTTGTAGTATAGGTAAAGTTATGGGAAGTGTGGTCGTTTAATTTTGAGTTCTCTGCCTCAACTTCATCAATTTGCTTTTGGTCTTGTTTCAAGTCAATTAAACTATTTCCTGAACCAGGAGAATCAGTTTCGAATCCACTAGTATACGAAGAATACTCAAGTTCTTCCATCTCCAATTCTGGATTTGAATAGTCAATGATATCTTTCACTAGCTTGTCATTTTTAGGGGTTGAGGTACTTGTTCCCGATTGATGATTAGATACTTGTCTAAAGTTTTGGGAATAGCCTCGCCGTTTCAAATTCTTAAATACTTTATCAGCATTATCTATGAATTGTTTGTCGGTGTATTGCCCTCTTTCTGTGAACTTCTTAATGCCATTGAGCTGATTATTACTATTATTATTATTATTTGAAGCTGTGAGGATCATGGCTGGTGGAGCATTCGAAATTACTTTATTGATTATGGCATCCTCCGTTCTAGGAGTGAGATCTGTCTTGGTACTCATTTTAGCCAACAAGCCGTTCAACTTCCCTTTTGTAAATGTATTATAATTAGTTGTAAACAACTTTAATGGAGATTCAGGAAGATTACTATTAAGAACTGTTGAAGGCGGCTGTGGGTTATGCTGATGATGTGTTGCTTTCACCTTTTCAGAAGTATCTAATGGTGTTGATATGGTGGAAGACATGGTATAAGAACCATTTGATTTGTTTCCTTGTGATGACCTTGCACCATCCAAACTTTTATCGTTGTTATTTGTATTTGAGTTTTGAGACATGAAAATACTCTGTAAATGAGGTTGTAATTTCTTATTCAGTTCATATTCTTTATGGGCTCTTTGCCACATTGGAGTGGTTGCTTTATTCGCACTATTGTGGACCATAGTATCTGAAGTTGAAGGCAAATTCAATTCAAATTCATTATTTTGTATACTATTTGTAATTCTTACTGATGAGTTGAAATTGTTGATATGATTTAAATCAGTTTCATTTTGAATGGTCCATTTCTGATTCAATTCAGAGGGCATCCAATCGGGAGTAATATTAAGGTCGTCATCGTTACCATCGATAATAACGTCAAGATTTGGTGGTAGAGGAACAGATGGAGAAGCAATTTTTGACTTCTTTTGTTGTATTTCATTCAAAGTTTGTGGTAAGGAATCATGAGAATTTGATTTTGATGATGAGGCATTCGTGGTCACAATTGCAAGAGCAGATTTGGTTTTGGCATTGGGATGTGACTTATAGTGGAAAGTATTGGGAATGGAATTTGTGTTGTAGCTGCTTTTGTTTAAAGTTGGATATGATTTATCATACAGAAAATTATCATTAGGAACGTATTTGAGTTTATTCCGATATGAGTTACCATCATTCTCTCTCACGTCCTCCTCTTGGGGTATTTTATCGAGAAAAGAGAAGTTGATCTCTTGAGAATCGGCATTACCACCTTCTGGAGACAGGTGACATTGAATCTGGTGATGAGCTAGGGGTGGATCTTGGCCCAACACAGCATCTTTTTTTGGCTCCGATTCATGAAGGTGACTCTTCCTGTCGTATAGTTGCTTCATTTGTTGAACTCTACCAACTTCATTATTGTGAGCTGATGGCTCAGAAGTTTGAGATGTATGCATGGAACTGTTGGTGGCTTCCATATCACTTAGCTGAGTATTCCGTACATAATCACGTATGTTTGCGGAAGTGGACGTAGAAGCGATGGAAGAGTGGACTTCCAGATTAGGCACCATTGTCAGGACTTTGGCAATAGCTGGGGGTGGTGGATGGTTTTTGGTATAGTAAGCTAATGGTTCCGTATTTGTTTACATTTCAACTTGAGTATACGCAGGATGTTTTTTAAGTCAGATTAAAGAAAGTAGTGTGTACACCATTGATGCAGCTGCATTCCTTCAATTGCTTATGTAATAATAGGTAAGGTAGGTTGCAAGCAATATCGCCTCCGGGTAATTATCAAATTAGATGTTCGTTATGTTTCTGCACAAACTACAGTAGTTTGAGGATGTTTGTTCAGTTGTTTCCCAATTCATTCATCTTTATTGCTGATTTGGTGGATGTTGGGAGAGGGGATGGAAGATTCACTCTGTATCGTCTAAGGAAAATACAATGTTGATATTTGATGTTTGCTTTGAGTTTACTAGCTAGTTTGGAAGTGTGGCTAAAAAGCGTAGCAAAATCAGATATGATGATTACAGTGTATTTGTGGATCGTTCAGTATTCTATTCACTTTCAAATATATGGTTGCACCTGTATATAATAATCTTGTCAACAATGCGTAAACATCGTCCCAGGGGGTATGCGTTCCGTAAATTTGAATTAACATTGTTCTTGAAGTATGTATCCTGCAAGCAGTTGTTCGGCAATGTCTATGGTAGGTGCTTTAAGTAGCAACACAGACGATAATCACATCTTTAGATAAACAATGAAGATGTCCCTTTTTAAACAAAAGTGAGCCTCACCAGCCCAACTCCACATTATAGTGTACTTTAGCGTGACATTGTTACGAGTGAGATATCTCCATAAAGTAAAATATTTTCTCCAGAATGTGTATACTAGACTTTACAGGTAGTAGTTTGTCGTACATACATATATACATATGTATGTATGCACTCATGCAGGTCGAGTATGTTATATTATACTTCAAGTATAAAGTAAAATTTCCTATTGAGCATGGCAGCAATTTTAGTTCTTTATAGCCAGTTTCTATTTATGGGTATGGGTACCTTTATCGAGATTTCGACTTAAAGTGTGTCGAGATCGACAACCAATCCAAAATACCACATGTTCGACAGATTTTTCGACCACACCGTTGAAAGGCATCACATAAGTATACTATTACCCTAGTATACTCATGAGCAAAGAAGGTTCAACACTGGATCGGATATATAGTGATGTGAGTTGACAATATCAGACAGACTATAATTCAGTATTAGCCCACTTTGCATTCACACCTAATGCACCTTGATTGCTTAAATGAATACATTTTGACGGCCTACCAAAAACAACCTGTATCATCACATACAACAAAGTTTTGTCCTAATTTAGCACGCACGTGAATAGTTGTCTCTTGAGGTGATATTTTCGACTTTTATCATCAGCCTTCAGTTGACTTTAAATACTACTTGATCGTTACACTATCATGATCGTTACCCTATCTTAATCGTTATACGAAACGTGCATTTGTCGTAACGCATCAGCAGATCTCTCGCATGGCTTTGTATCGTTGGCTAAAGCCACTCTCCGATCAAAGGCTCAACTTCCTTTACTAGGCTTTTTTGTAAAAGAACGAATAGCACTAACAAAAAAGTTGGACATATAATAGTTTTGTTATGGATCCCTTTTTCTGTGAACAATAGATTATTTCAATTTTTGTTTTTGTCGTTTCTGTCCGTCCCTTTGTTGAGTGCATTTTGTCCTCTTTTCCTTATACCTTTTCATAAATTATTATTTTTTTTTTGTTTTGTTCCTTTGGCATCGCACTATGTCTTTATTCGCTGAAGACTTTACCTCTTCCCCATAAAGATCGCTTCCCTACTTATGCTAATTGTTATTACGGTGAGCAACAGTAGTAATAAACCCGTAAATGTTTCTCCAAACCAGTTCTCGAATCTCCACAGTCTTTTAATTACTTTTTATTTTTTTATTTTGTCTTGTTTTGTTTTGTTTTATTTTGTTTTATTTTATTTTATTTTATTTTATCTTTTTTTTATCTTTTTTTTTCAATCAAGAATATACGGACTCTTATATTTTTGTAAGCACCTGAGTCTTCGATCTTTTCATTCACCTTCACTGGCACTCATTACGCTACTTTAAGTTACTGTGTGTTGAGTTGAGTTGTATCTCATTTACCTTGTTGTGTTGTGCGTCTTGTTTTGAGTCTGATCTTCACAAGATACGAGATTAGCTCCGATATTTATCTTAACAAGTTTCCAACAATTGTCACCATCTTTTCAATACGTTTTAATCTTGGCCTTGGAACAAACTTAAGTCCATTGGATAAATAGTGCCCACCAAAAAGTTAATTGTTTTAGTAATTTACGTTATCGCATCTCCCCCTTACCCTTTTATCCCCTTCCATGGCAGAGGGGCAAGTGGAATCGCTAGATTCATTGTCACACACCTTTACATCGTCCACCACATATCAAGATCAACTCCCCTCCGCTTCTATTCGTCCCGACCTTGTTCATAATGCATCTGATGGTAATTTAACTCAGATATATACCTCCTCCAAGATGTACTCCAATTCCTCAGCTTCTGTGCTTGAAAACTCAATGGGGCCCTCCCATTCATATACCGATCTTTTAGATAAGAACAATAATAATAATACTAGTACTAATATGATTATTACTAAGAGTGATATTGAGAGTGTCAATAACAATAACGGCACAAGCAGTGGTGGAGCGTCACCTATACGAATTCAACAAGAAGGTCTCATGTCTGTATCAAACACAGCAAGTGAGCAGCATCAACAAGAACAAGAAATGTTGAGCAACTTTGCAATCCCTTCACCCCCAGTGTCTACACAGCAATCTATTGCAGCTGTTGCAGCCTTATCTTCTACTCATGCATTGCCATCCATTGAACCACCACGGACGTTATGGATGGGCGATCTTGATCCTTGGCTTGATGTAAGTGGAGTTCAAGATCTTTGGTGGAAAATTCTCCACCGGAAAGTCAATGTTAAATTGATCAAACCCAAATACTCCAATATCACAATGAATTTCAGTAGCTGCGCTTCAACCGATACTCAACAGCACTCAGGATATTGTTTTATTGAGTTTGAAACGTTTGAAGATGCTCAACGAGCTTTGGCACTAAATGGTCAATTGCTTCCAGATATTGCCATTCCTTCACAACAACATTTCCCAAATAACCCTGATAACCAAAAGAAGTACTTTAGGTTGAATTGGGCAAGCGGAGCCACGTTGAATGCTCCAATAATACAATCTCCTGAGTATTCACTATTTGTGGGAGATTTATCAGCTTCAACGACCGAAGCTCATTTGTTAGCATTTTTCCAAAAACATTATCCAAAATCCATTAAGACCGTCCGAGTTATGACTGACCCCACAACGGGGAAGTCTCGTTGTTTTGGGTTTGTTAGATTCACAAACGAAAATGAAAGACAACAAGCTTTGATTGAAATGAATGGCGTTTGGTTAGGGGGAAGACCCATAAGAGTCGCATTGGCCAGTCCCAGATATACCAATAATAATAATCATGATAATAATAATATAGGTGGTCCTTCTGATACTGGTATCAAAGGAGTTAATGGTCTTGCTATTCCTGAGCTTGTTATTCCCATCGGTGAGCCTTCAAATAATGATACTCAGCATCCATTGATAGCAGCAGGACTGCAGCAAGGCGGCCAAGTATCCGGTCCAAACCATGGCATGTTTCTGGGTCAACAACGTCACCCACGTCCGCTTCCTCCGCTGTCAACTAATGCTATGTATATGCAACCGTCGACATTTCAACCTCTAATGTCACATCAGCATGGTCCACAACCGCCAGGCGATGGCAGATCACAAGGTGCAATGGGTGTGAATATCACTAATAGTCAGTCGTCTGCTTTCACCGACCCAACTAACACCACGGTATTCATTGGAGGATTATCCAATGAAGCAAGCGAAGACACTTTATATAAATTGTTTGAACCATTTGGGATCATTCAACAGATTAAAATCCCACCAGGAAAGAGTTGTGGCTTTGTCAAGTACCAGACTAGAGAGGAAGCAGAATCTGCTATTTCTTCGATGCAAGGATTTGTCATTGGAGATAACAGAATTAGACTTAGTTGGGGAAGAATTAGTGTTCATAATCGTCGATTCCAAATGCATCAGCATAACCAACAACTACCGCCATCAAGCGAACTATTTCAATTCCATGGAAACAATTCCAATTCTTTTGGAACTCATACTCATCATACGGCTTCCAATATGTTCCCGTCTGAAGAACAGTTATCACCTTCTTCACAAGCTCGAACTTCCAATCCACTTTTTAGTGGTACTCACTACCACCATCACCAATCATCGTCATCTTCGTCGACTGAATACCCTTCGTCATTGTCTTCGCTGTACCAGACAACACCGGCACCTTCACTGAAGAGCAGTTCGTCATCGAACGATTATAGTGTGCGGGCACATGGAAGTTCCAATGCAAAGGCTTATTCGCATAATACCAGACAGGCACCTATTAGACCTCTAGAACACAGCCGAGCAAGCACAAGTACAAATGGCGGTGAAGCAGACTTCAGTTCTAGGTTTCTTGCCAATAACGATCTAGGTTAACTTAACTTCTACAAGGTAAACGTAAATAAGACATTGATTTAATAAAGGACCACAACCTGTGATAAATAGAAACAAACAGAGACGTAAATAACAAACAGATGTTTATAAGCTAACAAAGCTTACTAACAAAGTTTAAGTGGGCGCTTAAGACCTTTCACCTCTTAATCTTCTAGCTAATTGGATATCCTTCTTTTGGATGGTAACTCTCTTAGCGTGAATGGCACACAAGTTAGTATCTTCAAATAATGAAACCAAATAAGCTTCAACCGCTTCTTGTAAAGCACCAATAGCAGAAGATTGGAATCTTAAGTCAGATTTGAAATCTTGGGCAATTTCTCTAACCAATCTTTGGAAAGGTAACTTTCTAATTAACAACTCAGTAGACTTTTGGAACCTTCTGATTTCTCTCAAGGCAACAGTACCTGGCTTATATCTGTGAGGTTTCTTAACACCACCCGAGACGGGGGCTGATTTTCTGGCGGCCTTAGAGGCCAACTGCTTTCTGGGAGCCTTACCACCAGTAGACTTTCTGGCTGTTTGCTTGGTTCTAGCCATGGTAGTATATACAAATATATGGGTATAAATATATGTATGGAAATGTGTACTAATACAGTGAGAAAAAAGTGGTGACAAAAAATTGGTTTATCAAGGGGGATCCCTTGGGGTTTTTGAAGATCAACAGTGAGGGGGGCGAATTAGGACGTAAGGGGAGGGACGAAAAATGTAGTGGCAGATTAAGAACTTGAATCTAGACCGAAAACGGAATCATGTGAGTGTCTCGATGCCCCAATCGCGTCACATGACTTGCGTGATTCAATTTACTATGTACCAAAGGGCTACCTGTCGCACATCAAATAGGTTGAACTAATGGTGGGTTGGAAAAATTCAAATTTCAATATGACTATGTGAGATGTTGGTAAATGAGTTATGTGCGAAGGTCGTGTGCTGGGTAAAAAGTGTGGTGCGTATAATTTATGGTGTATGTCATAGTAGTAATTGTATGTAGATTGTAGTAGATATTGGCATGAACGTATGTATGTATGTATGTATGTATGCGTATATGTATGTATGTATGCGTATATGTATGTATGTATGTATGTATGTATGTATGTATGAACGTATGCATACATGTATTTATGTAAATAGTTTCGTACATAATTGTTCCCGAAGACTATTGTGCTAAAAGTGACTCGTTCTTCCAAAATACAACCACTGATCACCATAACCAACCATGATGGTTAGAATGTCATTCCTCTATCTTTATACATCAAAAGAGAATTCTTGTCGTTAGCGTTGCTACAGGTATATCACTCTAAAGCTCTATACGATGTATAATGTTATTTATGATAAGCTCCGTTACAGGTTAGAATGAAATAATATAACCTTAATGTTATATGAATACTTAAAATACATAAAACACACATGCATTATGTGCTACCTCTTCCCTTAATTTCTGTACCATAAACGAGTGACTCTGGTCTTCATCATCTTCTTTTGTAATTGGAAAATACCATACATTAAAGCTTCTGCTGTTGGAGGACATCCAGGAACATAAACATCCACAGGAACAACCCTATCACATCCTCTAACAACTGCATACGAATAATGATAATATCCACCACCATTAGCACATGAACCCATAGAAATAACCCATTTAGGTTCGGCCATTTGATCATAAACTTGTCTTAAAGCAGGTGCCATCTTATTAGTTAAAGTCCCAGCAACAATCATGATATCCGATTGTCTTGGAGAAGCTCTGAAAATAATCCCCAATCTATCTTGATCATATCTTGGGGTTGAAACGTGCATCATCTCAACAGCACAACATGCTAAACCAAAAGTAACTGGCCAAAACGATGACTTTCTGGCCCAATTGGCAATCATATCCAATGATGTTAACACATAATCGATAGGAGCAGACGCTGTCTTTTCACTAATTAATGGGAAATCTGTTTGTAACTTCTTGGGTGTTAAGTCTTTGGTAGAAACAAAACGGTTACCAAATGCAATTGGAACTCCATGGAAAGGAGTGGTTGAACGACTCAAATTTAAGAGTGATCTTCTGGCTAAAAAGTTCATTCTTATTTATATATATATGATTAGCCGTTAGCTTTGACTTTAGTTTAGTTTAATGATTACAGTAGTTTTTTTTTCCTCTCGTTGGTTAGGCAAAACCCAACTGTATAGAGGACCCGATCATCAGCAAAATTTTCGAGCCACTGATTGGACGCGACATTAGGACAAGATCGCATTATGTCGGAGAGACATAATAGTATGGGGTTTGGCCATGGATTATGCTATGGTTGTACACTGCTATACTGCTATACTGCTATACAGCTATACAGCTATGCACTGCTGTGCACTGCTATACACTGCTATACAGCTATGCACTGCTGTGCACTGCTATACACTGCTATACACTGCTATGCACTGTTGTGCACCGGTGCATACCTGTCTATAATACGTGTGCTTCTGTGGATGTCTCTTGTAATGTACTTGTTTCCATCACTCTTAACTGTGCGAACTCAACGCAAAGCACATATACCTGTTTATTGTAGACCCTACACACAATGGAACCCGAAACTGCAAAAGGTAAAAGAAGAGATACTCTTGTCCACACGCTACACAATGCAAAACACAAACAGTGTAAAGATGATGAACGGCAACTAATCAAAACCATCACCGTTCCATGTTCTAGAACGCTCAGTTGTCCACTGGAGAGATTGGCGCTTGAATCTGAACTTAGCCACAAATACAATCAATTGCAGCGTCAAAAGTTCTACTACAAATGGGGTGTCTGGAGTTCTGGCGACTTATCAAAACCTGATACGGTACTTGAGACTCCAAATGATTTCAAACAGCTTATGTGGGACTTGAAGAAGAACCTTTGGACAAGACTTACAGTGTTTCGACTGCCATTGATTCCATTAAGGAGACACTATTTGGGTGGCTCAACCTTGGAGTTCAAATACACAAACTACCATACAGCCATTGAAGCCTTTAAACTAGTGGCAGAAGCCATCTTGACTAATAAGATCTATGACATGCCTCAAGGATTCATAGGCATACTTGGAATCACCTTGAAACAACTGACTCCATCACTGTATTCTATAATAAGAATCTGGTGCACAGATTCTAAAAACGTTGCTTCTCTTGCAAAGTCCGTAGCACTTGGGCTCTCATGTTCACTTGAAAACGAGTGGGACGATTGCGTTCAAGTCAACAACCTCGACAATACCCAGCTCCGGTTGGTGTAGAGAAAGGTCCCGGCTGCTAGGCTCTACCCCTTAAGGGCGCTACCACAATACCGTCAAGTTTGTATCATGCTCATCACGAATTACATACCTTACCATGGCCCTGCTTGTTACTGCCACTATCTACACTGGGGTAGCATAACTGAGTAGCGCATCCCGGACTATCAACATGGGCTCCATTTTCCTTCCTAATTTGCGTACCGGCTGGCACGTTGACCAGGCAATTCTCCTGGAAGACGACCGGTTGGTCATTATAAGATTCGGGCGTGCATCCAATAGAGAATGTATGCTTATGGATGAATACCTCTTCCAAATAGCAGAGAAGGTGAAGAACTTTGCTGCCATCTACTTGTGTGATATTGATGATGTGCCTGATTTCAACCAGATGTATGAGCTCTACGACCCGTGTACGGTGATGTTCTTCTATCGGAATAAACATATGATGTGTGACTTTGGTACTGGGAATAACAATAAGTTGAACTTCCCTATCCATGATAAACAAGAACTAATAGATATCATAGAAACTATCTACAGAGGTGCAATAAAGGGTAAGGGGTTGGTGATTAGTCCCGTAGACTACAGTTCTGTGAGACGACAATAAATACCTAACCTACTGTTCCTCACTTTGGGCGAAGAAGAAGTTGACACTCAACAATTGCAGTTTACCTCCATGTTTTTGGATATAGTCCCGAACACCACTTGATGGTGTACCTGTTCCCCAGGTAGGTCTACCCAGAGGTACATCATATTTAGCCACTTCTGGGTCTTGTTTATAAAGCAAAAACACATATCTGTGTTTACCTGTCTTAGGTGGAGGTCCAGGCCCTTCATATTTCAAGATTTCCGTACTCTTGGAAACATCCAATACAGTACTGATGAATTCAACCTCATCAGGCTTTGCGTCTTCCGAGGGAACATTCAATGTCAAGTCACTAACAATCCAATGGGCATATTCTGACCATTTGTGATCTTTATTAGAGGGAGCATCTGGATCCGTCAATACCAAAAGGAACTTATCCTTATTGGAAACACTAAACTCCTTACTGGAGTTCAAGATGAATTGTATCTTTGGAATCTCCTGGGTGTTAGCCACCGTTAACGTATTACCCAATGAGACTTGAGATCCATTGGGGTATTCAATTGAAAGCAACCCTTGGGATTCGAACTCATCAACAACTTCAGGGACAATTCCGTGTTTCTTAACAGAATCGTTCAATGATTGGGTGATGGTTAATAAAGGCATTCTTGTACTTCTGGAGCTGGAAAGAGGAGCACGTGATAATTGTGTTGATCTGCTGGCAATTGATGATTTAATGAATTGTGGAGAACGTCTTAAAACATTCAACATAATCCAGTTGATAACAATAACTCAGTCAGTTAGGATTTTGATTTAGGTTAAGGTGGAAGGGAGGTGGAGACAAGACCGAGATCCACCCCCTTCAAATTGTATTTGTGGAGTGCAATTCCGAAGTTATTGTGTCAGTGCACGACATCGGATCGACTTTCCCAATTTGGAATGGATATAATGAAATATAGGTTGAATAATTATTAAAGCCTTAGTATATTTACATAGATAGAAGTAATAGTAGTAGTAGTAACAGTAGTAGTAGTAACAGTAGTAATAGTAACAGTAGCAATAGTAGTAACAGCATCATATTAATAGTCTCCTTCATAGTTTGTTCCAATAACCTGCGAATTAAACTCAGAACCTCCCATCTCGTGTCGATCTCCAGTCAATTGAGGTAGGTGTTGTAAAGCGGGAGGAGGTGGAAGCTGGGTCATTGTGACTGAAGAAGTGGAAGGTTGTGACAATACAGGCGGTATCCCACCTCCAACACCACCAAATTGGAGTGAAGGTTGTTGAACTTGATCTTGGTGTTGGTTTTGTCGGGGGTCATGCTGATGATGTTGTTGTTGAACCAACTGCAGATCCCGCTGCAGTTGTATGTGATCTTGTTGTTGTTGAAACATAAACCCATTTTGAGCCACACCACCATCATGATCCAAAGGTTGTTGTTGGTCATTGTAGTGACTCGGTCCAAACGCGTTGGAGGTGTTCCGAGTCAAAGGAAACGACTTCTTTGGCTTCTCAAGTTCCCGAGGTACAACGTCAATTAAAAAGTCAAACATGTCACTCTTAGTTAAAGCAGCAGCAATGTCGGATTTCTGAAGGGTCCGACGTTTATTCTCTTCCGCATGGATCCAAGCTCTCATGGTTAACTCCGTTATGAACACATCACATCCTTTGGCAAACAATATGGGGGCTTCAGCACTAATCATCTTCACTTGTTCATCAGTCTTCATCACCTTTTTAATTCTAGCAAGTGGTAATTGATGGTTCTTGAAATCATGATCGTCATTTTCAATCGAGTTGATGGTCTCTTGCCAATACTCTAACATCAACTCTTTATACTTCCCAATTAGGCCTTGCCCGACGTTTTGAAATGCTCCTCCAGGTTGTGGTTGTTGTTGAGCTGCTAATGCTGCGGCTTCTGCTGCTGCCAATTCGGCATCTTCATCGCCGTCGTCTACTTCGTCTTCTCCATTTCCTCCTACCATCATATCTCCGTCTTCCTCTTCCCCGAGCTCTTCACTGTTCTCGCCTCCGTCGTACCGTTCTTCTTCATTGTCTTCTTCAAGGTACCTGTGGTCGTACCCATGCATTTCTGTGAATTCGTCACTCCGTTGCATTCTGTATGTATGTATGTGTCTGTCTGTATATATGTGTGTCCGATTGTATGTCTATCTGTCTGTCTATCTGTCTGTCTGTCTGCTTGTATATCTACTTGTCCATGTGTCTGTCTGTGGTTACTCTACTAAATGTTAGAATCATCACGATACTTACCTTTAAAACACTCCAGTTGGTCGTGTCCCACCGCTTCCTAAATTTTTCCTTTTACCTGAACCGGCGTTCTACATGCAGGCACACAACTTTGGGTGCAAATAAGTATACACCAAGTAGTTGATCATTATATATTAATTGTGTTCAATACGGTTGATAATAAACAATATCAGAAAGGAATAGATAGAACAGACCTATCTAGCTGGCCCCGATTCATCAACAGTCTTTTTTTCCCGTTTTTTTATGAACATTTCAAGTGTATCACCCGAATAGGTTCACTGGTCTTAGTCTTAACGCTTAACAGTCACTACCGTCCACTAATGAACTCAAACAACTTTAGTATCCTCTTTGATAACCCAAGACTGTATCTGAATCAACGACTTAAAGTCAATGAGAGATTGACAGTTTCAGATATCGATACCCTTATTAATCTGTTGATCTACCGCCGATTGTTTCTTGGGTACCTTGTTATCCTCTTGAGTCAATACATCTTTGCCTTCCTATGTATTCCGTTGGACACAATAGATAACCGGCCCGCCATTGCTTCGTTATCGCCGATTTTACTGATGCTAGCGTTTGGTTTCCACTCCATGACTCTTCCTCAATGCACTGTTCTCATCCCCAACAAGGATACGCTTGCCATATTAATTGGAGCTTGTGTGTCTCAGACTTTGGGGTTGGTTCATACTGTGCTTGCTACCGTGGCTGTGTTCCGTACCACAACCCCAATGCTTCTGCACGATATTCTGGGTCAAAGAGATACCACGGTGTACCTCCTAGGAGTATGGATCCTTGATACCGTCTTGGGTGTTGGAGGAGTGGTGGTGATTATAACCATAACCATAATGGCTTCAAGGGGGATTCAAAGGGTGACTCTGTTGCGGAATAGACTTCAAGAACATTCAAACCTTACTGTCCAATCATCGTTACTATCTCACGAATTAGCCAATCAAAGCAGGTTCTTCATGCCATAGACAGCTCATTGTTGTTAGTGTCTTCCTCCTTATCCTTTAAAACTCCCCATCCCATACGCTTGTTCAATTTCTCATATTTGGCACGATCACGATCACTTACTGAGGGTCTGATGCTCTCCAAAGCCTGTTCAAAATCTTCATTGGTCACAAGAATGTCTTCATCAACTTCCTTTTCCTCCTCCTCAAAGAATCCAGAAGCATCCAATTGCTGAATCTGTTGACCTCGAAAGAACTTTTTCTTTAAGGCCAACACACTGGCTTCACGAACTAATGAAGATAAATCGGCACCCGAAAAGTTCCGACACTTTTCTGCATTGGCAATCTGTTCAAGATTAACATTGGTTGCAGTAGGAGTATGGTTTGCTCTCACTAATGTGTTCAAAATCTCATGTCTTTCCAGTGCCGTTGGAAGCTCTATATACAAAGTTTTGTCCAATCTACCTGGTCTCAACATCGCAGGGTCAATCATATCTGGTCTATTAGTTGCTCCAATCACAAAGACCCCTTTACGATCATTCAACCCATCCAATTCAGTCAATAAAGTATTGACTACTCTTGAACTGGATTCACTTAAGGAAGTATCTCTTCGGGGGACCAAGGCATCCAATTCATCGAAAAAGATTATACATGGAACAGAAGCTCTGGCTCTTTGGAAAACTTGCCTAACGGCTCTTTCTGATTCACCCACGTATTTGTTCAATAATTCTGGACCTTTAATGGAGATAAAATTGGCTCGTGATTCATTCGCAACGGCTTTTGCTAAAAGAGTCTTCCCACAACCTGGTGGACCCCACATCAAGACTCCAGATGGGGCACTGATACCAACTTTAAGATATAATTCAGGCTTCTTGATGGGTTGAACAATGCACATGTGAAGCTCCATTCTTATATGACTCAACGCACCAACATTTTGCCATGTAACATCGGGAACAGTTGCAAAACCCTCTCTTTTAGCTGTTGGTTGAATAGTGGGCAAGGCAGCAGAGAAATCTTCATATTTAATAGCCAATGGAGCCAATTGCTCCTCAGTTAAGGGGTTTGGATGCTTGATCAAAAATTTCTGAATGGTTGAAAGCTTTTCATGTTCAGATTTAGAGCTGAATCTTTCAACTGCACTTTCATCAGGAATTGGGACCAAATTCAATGCTTTGTCAATTTCCATTGAATCCAATTCTTCCTTTAACATTTCTTCTTGTTGTTCACTTAAACCTTCAAAGATTCTTTTAATTGCAGCAATGCCCGAAGCCGTTACCAAACTCTTTAAATCCGCTCCAACATAACCAGGAGTTAATTTGGCCAATTCCCGATAATTAAAATGATCACCATCTTGTAACCGTAAAGTCTTGGTCATAGTACGAAGAATAGAAACTCTTTGTTCTTCATTTGGAACACTAAGACAGATTTCTCTATCAAATCTACCGGCACGTCTTAATGCTTGATCTAAGGAATCAGGTCTATTAGTAGCACCAATTACAATCACGGGATTCCCACCTGTTTTCTCCAAAGTTAATTCATCCATTAAGGTCAATAATTGAGCCACGATTCTCCTTTCCATTTCTCTTTGAGCACCTCCATCTCTTTTCGGAGTAATGGCATCAATTTCATCCATGAATATAATACAGGGTGCCAATACTTTGGCTTCTTCAAAGATTTCTCTTAACTTCTTTTCGGACTCACCTGACATTCCAGAAACAACACTGGGGGCAGAGATATTAATGAATGGAACTTGCAATTCTCCGGCCAATGCATTGGCAATGGTGGTTTTCCCACAACCAGGTGGACCATATAAAAGGACTCCTCGTGGAGGGTCAACACCGGTGGCTTTATAGATTTCGGGATGCAATATAGGTAACCCAATCAATTCCATGAGTTGTGTGGTTACACTATCTAAACCACCTAAGGAAGATAGAGTAATAGATGGAGTTGAATGGTCAATTTTGGATTTGTGTTTCTTTGAGCTCAGTTTGGTTGATGTGGTACCGTCACCACTTCTTTTACGACTATCCTTGACTTCTTCACTATCAGTTTTAGAAGGCTCTGGAGTAGCAGTAGCAGTAGCAGTAACTGTTGTTGACGGTTTCCATTGCGAGACAACTGATTTGTTCAACTTATTCTCATCCTTAACATCCATCAAATTCGATTCATCGTCGTCTGATTCATCTTCTTCTCTGTCACTACGAATAATAAGTGGATGCTCATCTTCCTCATCTATTAAATCCCTTTGAGCCTTTCTAATCCACTCTTCCAACGACTTATTCTTCTTGCGTCTCATCTTGAGACACTTGCGATGAATATAACGCAAGACTTCAGTGTGATCCAAAGAAGTAGCAGATGCTCGGGCTTTGAAGGGATCATTATAGTCCTTCAATTCACCGTCTTCTCCAACGGTTACGGGAACATCTCCAGACACTTTTTCTTCCAAGAATTGTTTGACTAACTCGTAAATCTTGAACTCATCTTCTCCCACAATCGATCCAGGCCGAGCCATTGTGATTTCTCAGCCAGCGTTACTTAGAGCTTTTAGTTGGTTAGCAGTAACCTTTAGTGATGCTCATCGCTTTTCATGATACCCAAACGGTTTTGTGACATTGTAATTACGTAACATTGTAGTTAATCAATCACGTGACCTATACCAATTGCCCCAAGTCTGAGTTAAGCTTTCGGTCTTAATAACCGTTCTAATAATAGTTCTTTGAATTAATTCATAAGCTCAAAGGTTACCAATAACAATGCCATGATCAACGGAATTCAATCAGTTTATTTTCAGATTGTGACAAGTTTATTGACGGAAGGATATTTTTTCGTAGTCCACCGGAACACCGAATGGCACCGACTGGCAGCCAATTGGCTAGACCACAATATTACGCCACATAGAAGGGTTCAGAACAAATGGCACTTCAATAGCAACTTTAACTAGTTGTTGAATTGATGACACAGGGGTACGCAAAAGGAAATCGAAGGCGTAGTTCATGCATGATTGTTTAAAAGAACCTTTGTTGCAGGTTACTGACGTCAGTTAGTAAAACACACACAGCAACCAATACCCAAGTAGTTAAGTTATAGTCTATAAAAAATAGAAAGGAGTGGGGAACCGAGAATAGCAAAGATTAACCATCAGACATATGTACATACATGTGAACGGATTAGGAAAGTAGTTTTGTTGTCATAAGCACCAGCAAGTATAAATTGGGTGCAATTTCTCCTTTCCTTGAGCCGTCAGTTCAACTCTTTTCTATCATTACTAAACCACTACAACTCAATTAACACTTTATAAATATGTCTGACGCCGGAAGAAAGCCAATTAGCACCAAGTTGTCTGAGTCTTTGACTCCTGACTCCCAAAAGACAACCACTGAAAAGGTCAAGGAATCCGTCACGGGCCAAGCTGACAAGTTTGCTGCTGCAGTTCAACCACAACAAGAAAAGTCCTTTGCGCAAACAGTTTCTGACGATGTTCAAAGAGGCCACGACCAAGGTAAGGAAGCTGCCACTCCTCAAAAGCCTTTAACTGAAACCATCGGCGAATACGTTGAAGCTGGTAAGGAAGTAATTGCCGAAGCAGCTGCTTACGTTACTGGTGCTACCACTGGTGCTGCTGAAGGTGCCAAACAAGGAGCTGACGCCACTAAGACATCACCATATGTTGATGACACCAGGAAGTAAGTCAATCATAGTTTATAGCATAGTAATAAACGGGAATCACCTATCACACAATGTATGGACACACGTAGAATATACACTATTTGATTTACATACACGACTAGTCACAGTACAGAGTTGACCTGTCATGTTCAATTATTGTGCTAATAGACAAGACAAGGACGTAAGTATATTTTGCAGTCGTTTTGACCCTTATATATAAGCTATATCCTGCATATAAGTATCATTATGGCTCATCTCAGGACTCGAACTCAGTACATAATAAGAAGCTTACGAAGAACATATTGCAACGTAAACGTATTACCAAGAGATGTCGGAGTCAGAGTCAGGATCAGAGATATCAGACAAGGGAGCAGAATCCAGGGTTATTCTGAATGAGAGTGATTTTGAATCAGACTCTGAAGATGATCAAAAGGTGTTCAATGTACGGAAGAAGACCAGCATAAGACGGGAAGAAGCAGACAGTGAGGAAGAGGCAGACAGTGGTGAAGAAGCAGACAGTGGTGAAAAAGCAGACAGTGATGAAGAAGCAGACAGTGATAAAGAGGAACTCTACGATGAACAAGAAGACGCAGACAGGGAAGAAGCAAAAGCCGAAACAACAAGCAAATCAAAGAAATTATCACCTGAAAAGTTGAAGAAGGAACAGAAGAGAATTAAGAAAACCGGTGTATGCTATTTGGCATCGATACCTCCATTTATGAAGCCTGCTAAAGTACGTTCTATATGCTCATATTTCGGACGAGTTGACCGACTCTTCTTAACTCCAGAAAGTCAAACCACTTACAAACGAAGAGTGAAATACGGTGGGAATAAGAAGAAAAACTTCACTGAAGGCTGGATAGAGTTTGTGAATAAGAAAGATGCTAAACTATGTGCTACCACGCTTAATGGTAAGCCATTCCCCGGTAAGAAGGGGAGTAGATTCTATGGAGATCTTGTTAATATCAAGTACTTGAAGAATTATAAATGGTCGGACTTGACGCAACAAATTGCTACGGCCAACGAAGCCCGTGAAGCCAAGTTAACTCTTGAGCTATCCCACCAAAAGAAGTTGAACTCCAATTATGTTCAAAACGTTGAAAAGTCTAAAACCATCAAACACATCCAACAGAAGCGCAAGGCTAAGGACTCCAATGCAAATAACGACGAAGACTCGGAGATAAGAAGAGTGTTCAAGCAAAGAAGAGTCACCAGCACAAGAGCTGATGCCAAACAAGAATTGAAGGTTAAAGCACAGCCATCAGAAAAGTTAACTGGTGTGTTGTCCCATATATTTTAACGGTAGTACCAATACTTCATTGAGGCCGTCTTGTTTTCCGTCCACATATAGTGTTTTCGTGTTCAACATAGTATCTCATAAATTGTACTCGGACTTGCAAGTCCGCAGTTGTAGTTTTAAATATGGGTTGAGCCAAGTCCTTGAGTTCTTTATCTGAAAGCCCACTCTTGATGAGTGTTTCTAGTCGTGACCACCGTTCTTTTTCCCAATCTTTGATTGGATTGGACGCCTGGAGAGACGGAATATTGGTCTTGGATATCGGGGTCACTTGTGGTCTGGAAGAGGCAAGTATGTTCCTTAAGGGAGAACTCGTGGATGCGTTCTTCCTAACACTAGCCTCGGTTTCCCTAGAGATATCAAGTTTAGGTGAAGGGATCTTCGTTGTCCGCTCGGAACGTGTTTTTACTGAACTCATTGTTTTTAACTTCTCTAGAGTCTCAAGTGCAAAGTCTGCATCATCATCATCATCATCATCATCATCATCATCATCATCATCATCATCATCATCATCATCATCATCATCATCATCACCATCATCATCAAAGCCAACACCATCAGAGTCAACTTCATCATCATCACCATCATCATCAGAGCCAACACCATCAGAGTCAACTTCATCAACATCATCACCCTTTCCCACTATCGTCCCAGTAAGTACATCCTGAAACCGTGGCAGGGTATGAGCTAAACTCGGCTCACCTACTTCCGACTGATCACCTCTTCTTCGTATACCGTCATCCTTATGCTGAACGCTGCCAAACACTTCATCTAAAGTCCGGTCAATGCTTTGGATCATCGACTCTTTGGAGATGTTCTCATCTATGGGACCGTCTAGATCCCGTAGCCGAGGGAACGCCAGCGCCCGAGGCGGCACAAACGCGTCTTCATCACCACCATTAAATTGTGACTGCTCGTCTTCGTTGTCAGACGGCTCCATTTCAATGTCACCTCCCCTTGGTGTGTTCTTATGGTGTTCGGGTCTCTGGATCGGGGATCCCATACCCCTTAATATTTGTTCCGATGTTCCACGATAAGGACTGGAGATCTCAGGGCTGCGGTACACCCCTGGAGAAAGCTTATTATCATTGGATATCAACTTGATGTCTCGAATCAACCGACTGTCTTCCTTGTCGGCATCTTCTTGGAACGCTGTAGCCGACTTTGTAGCAATCTTAGTGTGAGAAGTATTAGCCACACGTCGCCTTTTACGATGCTCACCAAAACTCCATCCTATTGTTGTATCATCAAACTCTATATCCGAATCTTCAACCATTGGCATTAAGATAGACTAGAACTCGTATTCCAAGGAACAGTGTTTAGGTAAGTTATCTCGGGGTTTTTCTATACGCGTTATATAGAAGTTGGTTACACAAAAGCTAAGGGATATACGGTCAATGTGTCACTTGTCAAAATTTATATACTGACGTACATGCTGTGAGCAGAAAGCATTAAGATGCAATTATCCGTACTATTGGTAGTATCTTTGTCGGTATGGTATCATTTAATGCAGACACCGGCTGAATTGACGCAGACATTTTTAAAAGTACCAGTAACAATTACGATATCCCCAAATTTTCTGACACTTAAATACGACATCAACTACGAGCCGTTCCAAAGCGACATTGTGCTCCACTAGGCCTCGATATCACAGAGAATGTCGTCGCCATAAGCAATAAAGTCAACCTCAAATAAACCATACGTTCTTTCATAATGTATGAGACTGAGAGATTGGAAAAACGCTCTCAAACTGGTTATACTCGTAATTCTTTTACACCCAGCCAATAAGGGTTTAATGGGATCCAGTGGTTGATCTATTGTAATGACTTGGTCTTTCAGAAATGCAAAATCAGTTTCTGCAGCAAGTCTATCGATAAATGCAATTTTGGGTGTATCCGATGTGATGTTAGTGATACTTGGATTTCCACCAGTGCAAGAAACAAATAACCATTCAAGAAGGTTAAATTCATCAAATTGGGACACAAGAAGCTGATCTAACAATTTGCAACCAGAAAGAATAAGTGCCAATTCATCTGTTGATATTCCAATCAATTCTTTAGGTGATTTCCCCAATATACTTTGAAATATGTTTAGTAATTGCTGACAAATGACTGTCCATCTGGATAACAAGTGCATTTCACTAAAACGTAAAGTTATAGCCCTTAAAAAGTTAATAATCTCCCTCCGGTATAATGAAGAACATTCTTCAGATAACACAGCTTCAACCATATCGAAGATTCCATTGAGACTACTCAAAAAATAATCTTTCGGCTTGATAAGAATCAAGTAAGTCATCCGTTTTAAGTTGTAAATCTTGTTGACATCTTCCGAGCTTTCATTCCAATTGAAAAGGTTAGTCGCAGCATTCGACGTGATGGTAAACTTGAGTTCAGAAAGCTTCAACTTTTCATTATCAACCCATATGGAAAGGATTGATTGCCAAATTTTATTACTGCTTTGATTGAAAAAGTCATGGTCTGAAAATGATGATACAATCACCGACTTCCATGCTTTATTAGGGTGATATTTCCCAATCAACTGTAATAGTTTAAGGGCATTTTCTGTCAATTCTTGTGATTTCTTATTATTATTCTTGGGAATAATAATATGTTGGATGGTACTTGAAATAAAGGTATTCACCTTATCAAGATCTTCCAAGATCGTATCAGCATGTCCTACTACCTGACTAAGGGCAGCAATGACTTCTTCTTGGGAGACATTATCAACCTCGGATTCTTCAGAAGCAAACTCACCACCTCCACCATTAACGGTATCCGAATTTCTAAATGACTTACTGTTGGCAATGACATTGAACACTTTAAGAAAGATATCGGCAAGTTCTTTCTTGTTCTTCTTCACTTCGGGATGGTTGCTGTCTGACAACTTCAATGAGATGGCCATAATGATTTTCAACATTTCTGGAAGAATAGCTCGATACATATTGGTATAGGAAAGAACATCCTTGAAGAATTGCACTGCAAAATTCCAAATCTGGGAGATGGTGTCACTATCAATAGACTCAATGTATTGGAGTAAAAAATTGGAGACATCCTTTGCAGAAATAGGAACGTTCATTGATGACATTCTTGGAGCATCTAAAGTTTGAGGATGGCATCTGGAGATAATGGAGTCAAAAATACAGGGCAATGATAATTGGGATCTTCCACCATCTAAAACACTTAAAAGCTTGATGTTGGTCTTCATGTTTAAATCAACAAGTATAAGACACTCTATGACTTCTTGTCTCTCCAAATCCATAAGCAGTTCCAACAACTTTCTTGCTCTAAACTTTAATCTGTGCGCCAAATCGACTACTGATTTTTGTCCATTTTCAGTTGCCACGGGCTTCGAGTCTGACCAACTCCAAATCTTGAAACACATTTTGATCGCATCATGGAACGATAAAAGAATCGAGAACAATTTATTCTGTTCCGATGTTCGTATAGCCGGAGACTCAATCAGAAACACACCTTGAATGACATTGCCAAAAAAACTATCGTTTTGTGAGTTGCTGTTGCCTCTAATGCCGACACCAGCACCACCAATTCCACTATTTCCATCTTTCATATTGGATGAGATCAAATAGCTGTGACTTATGGAAAGCAAGTCATTCACACCGGAAAGAAGCATATTGATAGACATATCCGCGTCCGTTAAGGCATCAAAAGATTCAAATTTGATGATCTTGTTGAAATAACTTTCAATCTTCTTTATCAACGCATCATTGAGAGGAAAGATCACACTGAAAACAGATTCGTTAAATAAATATAATGACCGAGTGAGCAACGAAACCCATCTTTCCATCAAGACTCCGCTTCTGGTGTTCTCAATACCTTGGATAATAAACTGCACTAACAAAGGATCTTTTTGTTCGTCTTCAACATGGAGTAAGTTGAGATTAATGTTCAATTCTTCTGCCAACGTAAGGAAATGGAATATACATTCCAAGTACTTTGTTTCAATAAGTTCTACCTCGTATCCGTAGCTGATATCAAGATGAATATAATAAGAACATGCTTTCATTAAAGTGTGGAAACGAGCATGGAAATCCTTTTCAGATCCAATAATTAACGATTGGTACAACTCCAACGCAACAGTGGTACAGTTCAAGTAGTCTCCAATCAACTCGTCATTAGTCACCACTTGCTCCGATAAGGTTAATTGTAAGTACTTCTCAAGTACACTGTAGATGAAAGATTTGTAGGTGGAATTACTCCAGTTATTATCATTGAATAACTTCATCTTGTTAGTGCTGTCCATGACCACCAATTCGTTGCTGAGAGCCTCCTTAATCTGTCTTTTGTTGCAATTCATGACGTTCAAGATAGTCTTTAGATAGTATCTAAATTGACCAAGATCATCAAACTCAGATACGCAAGTCACTGTTGGCTGGAGAAACTCAAAATCTAAAAGCGGGTTGGTGATAAGCTTTATCAACCTGCTTACCGAGCCATTCTTTATCACATTGGAAACAAAGTCAACAACGGTCAAATATTCTTGATCTTCAACATCATAAAGACTATCAAGCAAAAGCTGCAAGGGTCTCACCAAAATGGATTCACCTTCTGCCAAAGCTGTGGAATGTTTCCAAAGAGCTGTGAAGGCCCTAACTCTTTGGTACTTCAAACTATTGCGTAACATGTTCAAGATTCCAGCTTCGATTTTATCTGCTGCAAAAGTCAATTCCAAATCAAAAATGGCCTTAACAGCTTCGACTTGAAAGTTGATTGCGGAATGGGAAGTTAAAGCTGTCCAAAGATTGGTTAAGATAATTCTTAGTAGTTTCTCTAACTGAAGGACCTCCATATGTTTAGAATAATGGTTAAGTATCTTGCATAATGAGAATGCTAATAGAAGGTTGGATCTCTTTTCAGCCTCTGACATCGTTGTAACCGATGTTACTGGTGATTCAAGCATTATTGATATCAAACTTGCAGCCTTCGCTTTCCCTGGTGGTGCGATGTATAAGAATTCAGAATAAAAACTGAACAATTCCAAGTTGCTGTTCCCAGCAACAATTTGGTTCCCTATTAATTTTTGAAATGCTTGAGTTGATAAATAAATAGCCTTTTCAATTGAAATTGGCATATTTATTTCACTATCATCTAAGTTTGAAGCTGAATCCTCAAAGTATTTATGAATCTGTGGAATTAAATCAGCACCAGCATCATCATCATCAAAAACATCTGTGGTCAGTTCAACAGTAATAAATGCATCTCTGGGTATTGCTTGAAGAAATAACTTCAATAATGCAACCCAAGATCCATTTATAATTGGATCATGAACCAAAAAGACGTAAAATATAAGGGGAGCAAATGTTCGTCCACAATCTTGATCATTACAATCAAAGGTTCTTAAAATAAACTCTCCAAATTCTAATTGACCATTTAAAACAGTATCCAAAAGAATTTTCCATACTAGTTTGAGTTCAACACCTTCCATGAACGTTCTAGCCAATAACACAATGGTATCCTTTTCACGCTGTTGATAGCAAAACTCCAAGATCGGCAACACAAGTTTTGGCGCTATTGCTTGGTTAATTTCCCATTTATCGATTATTAAAGCATAACATATCTTCAAGTAGTCTTCAGATTTTGATAATGATGATGACGCCTCCAATTGGTCTAAGATTCCTTCCACCAACAAGTCCAACCCGTAGGTTTCAAAATAGTTCTTCTTGGAGTCTGGTCCCAATAACCAGCTCCATATTCTTCTATTTAAACTCATATCTTTCTTCAAAGTCACTTCACAACAGGCAGTCATGAGCTTTTTTTTGTCTGATTTCAAGATCATCTTGTTGATGACCAGACTGTCCAAGGACAATCTGCTCAATAGAAGATCGAAATAGCCTCTAATGATAATAATGTCGCTCACTGTGGTGTATTTAGTAGAGACATCCAACGCAGCCGTTAACGCTCGGACCAAAAGTCCGGACTCCGGAGTCAAGCATGCACGCGCTTCTTCCGTATACATCTTATCTCCATCTGGTGATGTTTGGATACTATTGAATAAGGGCAACCGTCTATTGCACCAATATAAGGCACCCAATCGTCTCTCTGGATTGCTAATGATACACAAGAAGAACGAGTACCAAAATAAACTATCGTCCAGGAGTTTCCGCTTGAACTCGTCCACTAACCCAATGACATCATTAAACACTTCGGAGTTCTCGTCGTCCATTCCCGGCAACAAACTTAAGATCAACGGCTTAATAATGGCTCTCAATCGGTCTCTGGAAACGTCTTTGAGGATATGGTTGCGGTAAATGTCAAGCACAAGTGGCTTCACCTGAATAGAACAATACGATAGCACAGGAAGCAATCCTGCTAGCCAAATAGACACGTCACAATCCAATGTTTCTATGGTCAAACTATTGAAGATCTGTTGGTATATGCTGAGAGTCTTTTGGTGGACTCCATTAGGCAATTGGGACGATAAACATAGAGCTAACCGGTTGGCTACCTGGGACGACCTGGGGATCCATTTTACCGACTTAGGGGTTGTTCCAAGCAGTAAATTCTTTTGCAATCTCGATAAAAAGGCAATGTAATCTGCCCATTCTTCAAGGGTTTCAAATGATCCTAAAGCCCGGTCGACTTGCTGCATGTACCGTCTGTCTTTCGCGGAGAGCTGGTTCAGATCCCGTTCCCTTGATCCAAACACATTGAGAAACAGAAGTCCGCTTCCTGACCCTGACATTGTCTTGAAGGATAGTAGTCGTCTGTTGGTGGTTGTAGTTATTGAATCGTGTTTATATTTATATGGGGAAACTATATACAGGTTGGGTGTTCGGGTGTAGGAGTTGGGATTCAGTGGGAGGCATAGGATCCATTGGGCTGACTATCTACTGTCTGACTGTCTGTATATGTAGTGTATGACTGCTTCTATCTGCATAATGTCTGTACATATGTTTAGCTTCTTTCCTACAACTGAAGAATACCTTGTATAAACTTCATGACATCAATAAGCTCATCCTCTGCAACAGTATGCACAACCCCCGGGTACTCCTTGTAAGTATAGCTACCAAACCCCATTGACTGGTAAAAGTCTCTAGCTCTTTGGGCAAACAGAAGATCAATCACCGGATCCTGAGTCCCGTGACCTTGGAATACCGGAGTGTCCAAATTGATAATACCGTCCTTGTTACAACCCTTCCTAACGGCTTCAGGAACAGGGTTGAACCCCGATAAACAGATCTCTCCACCGATTTTGGTATCTAACAACGCCAACGTTGCCAATGAGATAGCTGCGCCTTGAGAAAACCCACCAATAAGAATCTTCTCTGGAGCAATGCCGTGAGTCTCAATCTGTTCCTTAACTAAGGACTTAAGAACCTCACAGCTTTTCATGAACCCCGGGGTATCTTGGATTTGGGGCTGATCCACCGCTCCAAACTGCTTGATGTCAAACCATCCAGGCATTCTGGCTCCCCCGTTGGCAGTAATGGGGATCACAGGGGCATTGGGGAATACGTAGTTGATGGAATCACATTTCTGCACTATGTTGGCTTGTTTAACCACAGAGGGGAACCATGACCATCCACTACCAGTGTCGCCTAAGCCGTGAACAAATATAATGGCTGCCTTGGCAGGGGTAGCTGTGGCATTGACTCTTATGGCTGAAAATGAGGACATAGACATACTAATACCGGGGTATAGTGATAGAGACTTAGTTGACTTAGTTGATAGCGGAGGCTTTGGAGTTAGCCATAACCCATCGTTCGCGCTACCATAAACAAGAAAATGTTTATGTAATTGATTAGGTAATCGTAACCGTCTACCTTTCAGTATGCCTTATGTGTATCATACTATAAACCCTATGTCCCTGTATTGCTACTTATGAAGCAACCTCTGAAGTAATCTCTGATATAATTTCAGACTTTTCTTTCTTTGCCGGTTCCCGCACCAGCTCCGGTACCAGCTCTGGCTCCGGTTTCGCTCTCTTTGTCTTACCACTAACCTCTTCATCACCACTCCGTTTCTTATCCGCTGCCACCTTAAGCTTACGTGCATTCTGTTTCTCCCCATTGACAGTTCGGAAATATGGCTGACATCTCCAGTATGGTACAGTTTTATATCTTCCGCCCCACGACTCTTCTGGACCCTCCGTGATAACATCAAGCTCTTCGATATCCTTCCGATCAAAGATCTCCTGTACTATCGACTCAACCTCACACACAATCTTCTCCCACTCACCAAAATCAGCATGAACACTTGTTCTGCCAATCACAGGTCGCAACTCGGTCCTCACTGCCAAGAATGCATGTAAAAGCTTAAAGAAATGCGCTTTCATCGCGTGTCTTGAAGCCTGGCCGGGACAACTCTTGACAATCTCAAAGTATTCTCTTAGCATCTTGTCTACTCGAGCATACTGCTTCTCTTTATCGTCGTCCTCGGTCCAAAAGACTCCGGGATTGTATAAATTACCCTCAGCTGACATAACCGCATCACATCCAACATGCTTCGTACACCGCTCAAGATCCTCGGGATACAAGATGTTCCCGTTGCTGAAGAACACTGTCTCTGCCGGTAAGTTCTCTCGAAGATACTTGAGAATATCCCAATTGGCTAGACCGGTGAGTTGACCCTTCATGTCTCTTGTTCTTCCATGAATAGTAATGAACGAAGCCCCAGCGTCCAAAACCATACGAGCATATTCCAAAGATTTTTGCCAGTCGTCGTAAACCCGGATTTTGGCCGTTACCGGCACCGTAAGCTCTTCTCGTAACTTCCTAATGAGCTTATGTACCAAATCCCAGTCTTCCATCAAGAATGCCCCATAGTGGCCCTTTCTGGCTATACCTTGGGGACACCCCAAGTTCAAATCAACAGCATCACATCGATCCTCAACTAGCTTAGCAGCAGAAAGTAAGTACTCAGGGTCGTTGGCACAGAACTGAACTACTAATGGTCGGTCGAACTCCTTATCTCCATCCATATCGCTCCACATGGCCTTTCTATACTTCTCATCCGTGGCAAAGAGTCTAGCGTGGAACATGGGAGTGTACGCCAACTCAGCTCCGTATCTCCGACTCAAGATCCGCCATGCTAACTCCGATTGGTCCACCATGGGAGCAACGACGGTTCGGGGCTTCCCTATGCTATTAAAAAGTGTTCTTCCTAAGGCTGTGGGGTCTTGAGATTTCTCTAATGTCATCCTGCAGATATGTGACGTACATATAGGAGACTGCTAGTTACTAACCAAGATCATCATCTTCACTTGACGGATGCTCATCGCTTACCATTTGAGGCACACACGACTTTGGTGATAATCGTTCCTGTGCTCTAAGATGATGGGCTACAGTGTCAAAGGTCCATTAAAGAGCAATAAATAACGCATAAATTATAATAATAATAATAATAATAATAATAATAACAATAATAACAATAGTAATAAATAGCATGCCAATTATTTAGTCAAGTACTTTGCACGCTTCTTCAATCCCTCGGCATATGTCATGCTCAAAGGCCACACTGGAGCATCAGCTAAAATGTTCACCCCCAAATATAAACTCTTAACCCCCAAATTAACTCTTTTAAATGCCTTAACCCATTTGTTGAAGTTCTTGTTGTTCGAGTTGGTAGTGTAGTTGGATACGGAGTCAGTTCCCTCTAACAAGTTGTCATACAACTGGTGGATTTCCTTCAGGATTTCCAAGTCTTGGCCTGTACGCTCGTTGTTCAAGCAGTTCTTGATAGCCATGAGAATACGTTCACATTTACCATAGTTTACCAAGTCCCCAACTTGAAGAACAAGCATTCGTTCTCTCTCGAGGAATTGAACATATGTCAGGATAATCAACTGAGCAATGAAAAGACACGATACAAAGAACACAGGGGTACGAAGTGAGGTTTGTTTCAGGTCATTGATAATCTTTAAATGGTGGTTCCATAACTGTAAGATTTCAATGGCATAGGGGAGTGCTTCACGTATACCATCAATTTGAAATATAAGCAGGTCGATTTCCTTATTCATGGCGTCCCATTCACTTCCAATACATTGCAATAAAACTCCACTCAAGTCAACAGACAACTTAATTTTGGCAAGCCAATACATTGGCAAGATCAACTTCAATTCATGATGTAAGCTGAGCAAATGGTTGTTGTGACTATTGACCTTGAGAACACCACCATTATTGAAAAAAATGTATTCCCATTGAGTCAACATGTCATCGACCTCTGGCTTTACTCCGAGTTGCCAATTGACATAATCATGAGCCTTATAGCGAACCCGCTTGTTCTGGATCTGCTCATGGATATAAATAAGAATCGACAACAAGTTGAAAAAGGATAAAGGTGTTTTGCTGGACTCATAAGTACTCAAATGAGATAAAATGTTCGACTCTCCATTGGAAAGTCCAACGATATCTGTAATGATAGTTGAACCACTGACACGACAATATTCTTTAAACCATTCACCTGAATCACGACATCTCCAAAAGTTTTCATTAGAACAGTGATTACCTGACTTAATCATTTGGGTTGAAAACAATATAGGATCACCAACTAGTGAGTTTCTGAATACCAGCAACATTTCAAAAACATGGATTGTTCTAATCCGACTTTGAGCCATAATGAAATAGTCAAAGTTCAGTTGTATGGCATTAAAGTCTGCGTCATCTTTATTGGGGTTAGGAGGTATGAGAAACTTCTCCAATGGCTTATCAAAATTGGTTGATTTAATAAGTCCAATCATTGATTTCAATTGACGTTGCGTAAGATCAATCATTTGACTTTGGTTTAAAAACATGGAAATAAAAATGTGCAACACCAAACATTGATGAACCATAAGAGGAACCTTCTTGAACTGCAAGTTATCTAAGGTGATTTCCTTTTCAAAGAAGTTGTGGATATGGAACTTCGATAAATTGAACAAAAGAATGGAGTTCGAATCATGGTAAGAATAAAGCGAACCAATGGCAAACATAGCAAGCACCAAAGGTATAGATTCATTCCGGTAAACTAAGTTCCGAAGACTAGGCATGTGGATAAACGGAAAGTACTTATTGAATTCAGTCTCATACAACTTAATGTATTGGTTCAAATCTTCTAAAGGAGGGAAGTAGTTCTTTTCATTGGGTAAGTTGGACATCTTAATAATTCGACTTCTGAAATCATCGGTGACATATGGAGAATTGGATACACCCATTAAATAAGGTTGAGATAACGGACTAATAAATATATCCAATTCCGATTTAGGGATCTGCAGCAGCACCAAGGAGAAGCTAGACTGTTGTTTGGCCAAATCAATTTGTCTGTTACGGAAAATAGAACCTATTTCCAAATAGTCTTCAAAGTCATCACCACGACGTTGTTGATGGTTCAGATTATTAGTTGTGGTTCCAATTCCAGCTCCAAGTGGTCCTCCACCTAAACCACCAATATGTTCAATGGGTTGATGGTGATTATGCAATTGTTGCGGTTGACTAGGAGGTGACAAAGAAGCTTCAGAACCAGAGGGGACAGGCAGCAAGTTGGTGTTGTTCAATAAATGTCCTCCAGGTAAAAAGTTTTGCTGTGAGGGTCTAGTGCTTGCAATCTGTGGCATTTTAATAGTAGCAGTTGTAGTGGATTGTTGCTGTTGTTGCTGCTCAGAATAACTTGAAGAATTAACATGTGACTGGGATAAGTTTAGTGCCAGGGACATAGTATGCAATGGAAGCTTGGAAGACAATTTATCAATGTTTGGCGGAGAGTCAATAAATCCAATATGATGGGATGCTGTTGGAATGGTATTTTGGGAATACGAAGTGTTGATGATTTCTGTCAACCAATCAATGTCCGTTAATTCGTCATTTACAAGCTTTGGTTTCTTTATGACATTACCAGCAATGGAAGAATTATTCGTGGAAGGAGCAGTAGTTGTGGGGCTCTGTGATTGAGTTGATTTCCTTTTCAATGGTGAAGGAGCAGTGGAGCTACGGTCAGAAATGATCGAAGTAGAAGTTCCATGATTGGATGACGCATGGACACTAGGAGGTGGAGGAGGAATATCTTTCAATTGAGGAGTTGTAGCAGGAGTTCCCATTAGATCCAAAGGTGTAGTGTGTCTTCCTCCAGGGCCAATAGTATTTGGTTCTGTAGGCATAGTTTTTGGGTTAGGGTCTCCGGGAGATTCAGTCAACTCCACATTGATAGGAGTTGTGCCCTTTATATGATGAGGATGGTTAGGGTTTTGGAAAAGATAAGCTGACATAATATTTGGATCGTAACAGGCACTGGAAGTTTTCGTCATTGGTTGACTTAATATACTATTCTCATTATGAATACCCTCTTCCTCATTGTGAAAATTATCTGTGGTGACCAGCGGGTGGAGTGCTGCAGCAGACTTAAACTCTTCTGAAACTGTGGCAGTGGCATTCCACTCCATAGGGAAGTCATTAAAGTCCAAGGCCGGCAAGTTGTTGACATCAGCCAAATCATAATGGGTCGGGTAAAGTTGTGGAGTTGCAAAGTCAACCATATAAGGAGCTTCTTCAGCCAAAGTGTCGTGCATTTCAATGTTCAATGCATCTTTAATGTTGACATAAGAAGACCCACTGGATGCTGAAAAGGATGCATGTCTTAAATTATGAGATTTTGTAGTCTTACTAATATTAATATGAGAAGGAATTGCAGACTTTTTAGACGATGCTATTGGGTCTAGTGAGCTTAATGACGACACTGATGCGTTCCTTTTATGAGCCAGGCCACTTCCACCACCGGCTCCCCAGTTATGTAAGTTTGCATAGTTGGAAGACATCATTTCAGTAGCAGGAGGAGTGTTATTGGAGGACGTTGGTAAGGGAGAGGGAATGACATTTTGAGGACTCTTCCCGTTGCTCAAAGAGCCCCTGCTTCTGCTAGTGGCATTAGCAGCACCACTTGTTGAGTTCATTCTGGAAGGATGAGATGTTGTGACTGGACCGCCATTTTTAGTAAAGCTTACATTCCTAAAACTTGGTCTGGATACATCCGGCTGCTCATTGATATCATGTAGCTTGAGTTTCAGATCATTGGGCAAGGGTGCTGTAGCCAGAGTGTTGTTGTGGAGGATAATAATGTGATCAGCAGTGTTAGTGTTGTTGTCGGAAGAGTTGTTGCTGTTGGGAGTACCCGGAAGGGTAGCGCCGACAGAGGTGCCACTAGTACCGCTAGTTGTATTGGTGGTGGTGGTGGTGGTAGCAGCTTCAGCTGCTGCTGCATCGTCTTCATTAGTCACTGAGTCCATACTATCGTTTCTGTTCTTCGAAGGCGCAGCACTAAAAGAAGGGGTTGAGTTCTTCCGTAACACGTTGGGCAAAGACGTATGGAGCTTCTGCTGGTGTCTCAACACCAAGTCTCTTCTAGCAAAGCACCGGCCACACGCAGCACATTGAAACGGCTTTTCGTTAGTATGGGATCGTTCGTGACGTTTCAAGTGCTCCAACCGGGCAAATGCTCGGGTACATATCGTACAAATATGGGGTCGAGGTTTATCTGTTCTTATTTGTTGAGACTTCTTCGGGATGGGTTGGGTAGGGAGAATCGACGCAGACGTGGGGGTAGTAATGGAAGACACTGGAGTATTGGAAAGGGACATGATTTAGCAGACAATAAATAGTAATAAATAAATAAATAGTAATAAATAAATGATAATAATTAAACAAGTGAGTCGCTGAGTGAGCACTAACGGAACAGTATTGATATGTGACAGCGACAGTACTAATCTATAAGACAGACAAACAAAAATAAATAATAATAATAATAATAAATAGGTATCAACGAAACAGTGTCTGATATTAGAAGAGAGCTGAATACACCCTATACTCTTAAGGACATGATGAAAAGAACTGTTTCAATGCATGGGTTTTGCAGGGAAAAAATGATCAAAAAAATTCTACAGCGTGACACAAAACCGAAGTTACACACAACTGTGCCAGAAAAAAAAAACTGGGGGAGGAGCAACGTAACGACGCAGTATCAAGAAATAACAATAATACAATTAATTATCAGCATATTATTAATACTTACATACTACATAATGTCGTACATATTATACAACATAATGCCTTGCAAATATTAATTGAAATTAATATTATCATTGGTTGTGGCTGCTGCGGACATTTTATGTCCTCCCATGCTTAAGCCTATATATCATAACTCAATCCACCCAGTGTATATGTATGTATACGAAGTAATTGCATATTATCCGCTTTAATTCCGTGTCGCATCCCTTCCACACAAAATCATCAATATCGGTAAAAGTGTCAGATTGTCTGGAACAATTGCACGAACAAAAAGAAACAATCTGAAATACATTCCTTGAACTAAAACTACTCGCTGTCGTTACTTGATACCTCCAACTGTAACAACTACTATGTACCAAGCATTCTACTTTTTTGTAGTAGATCATTAAGCTGTAGAAGGCTTGGTGTCAGGGAAGGCATTACTTTGTTCCATCGGACTTGTTCTACCGGACTTGGTCCCCCAACGCACCCCGGAATTTTATCAATCTGGGGATGCACGCATCACATAAAGAACAAAGGTCAAACAATCTGCTGTCTGTTATCCTACTCCGGATTTTTGCTATGAAACATAATGTCACCTGTTTTGTTGGGTAATAATTGCTTTGTTAATCACCTAAAATCTGTTTTAGATTAACCGTTTTTTCCATTGCTATGTCGTCCCCAACTGCTTATTATCACCCACCAATCACAGTGGTGCTTCCCCTCCTAACTCAATAAGAATATTATTATTAACCATTGCCGTGCTAATTAGATCAAACGCCCACCCCACCGTCCGGGTAACACCGTGCTATTATGTTTCGGGCCGGTGTAATTTAATTTAACGGACTTTGGTATGGGCTTAGGTTCGGAACAAACTAACATTGCAGATTAGCCAACTGAAGACTGCATGAGAAGTAAATTGAATTGCATTTCATTCTTCAGTCTTCGTTTTATTATGACTTTTGTCACTACATGGTCTTTTAACTGTTAGTAATAGTAGTGGTGTTAGTGATGGTAGTGGTGTTAGTGATATTAGTTTGACTTTGACATTCATTACTCGAGTATTGTTAATTTTTTAGTACTTTCCAATCAGAACTCAAAGTCTCAACTGTCCATCACGAGCATTGTCCACTCTATTGTCTGATTGTATGCGCCTTGTCACATTTCCAAGCGTAGAAACAAGCTGGTTTTCTTATCGTGTCCGGTTGTTACTATCACCAAGACCTTATTCTCTGTTGTGGTTAGGCATGACCAATAGCGCCAGATATGGTCTAAGCTAGTTTAAGTATGCCCTCAATAAATGTCTTGATAAGGTCATGGTTCCCATTCAAGACTGTATACTTTAACTCCTATTATTGTCGTAGTGTCGTTGAGGCCCCTCGTTAAAAATTTTCCTGGCTCTCATACCCCAGATTTCGGAGTATACAGGCATCACCCAGTCATTCTTTATCGGGCCCAATTATGTAGACTCCGATTTGTCATGCCAAGACGAATGGCGGATTATATTTGCCTTCTAAACTGCTAAAATGCCAAGCATAAGGTTGAATGTCTGAAAAGTCGCTTCTATGGCCACATTTGCGAATTATTATTTCTACGTACTTCGGATAATCAATGCCCCGAAAGGAATTGCAGGCCTGGTAAGACTTTTCTCCTAGTCGTACGTCATCAATGATATTAGCTAGCATCACGTTTGAATTAATAAGCTACAGACTATGACAATCAGCCAACCAAACAACGTCGCCCATTGGGTACGGTGAAATGAGATCACGTGATGAATCACGCACCAAGGCACGTGATTTTGTTGATTCATTTTGGTTTACCTCTGCACAACAATCAACCCACAACATTACGCTGTAGTCTCCGCCATCGTAATCCCCCACTGCAATCACTGAAAATGTCTGTACTTGTCACAACAGGCGCGACAGTTACTTTTGAACTACTTCTTTCGCATGTAACATCTGCAGACTTTCTATCAGTGGTGTCAGCATACACAGACACCTTGATCATTCAATACGGACCCAAACCTGAATCACTTGAGTACATACAAAAATGCATTGCAGCTCTTCCTAGACACTATACTCGGACTTCAAAGCCCGATATAGATGACTCCAAAGCAAAGTCTATTACATTTACATCACCCAACCTTGAACTACGGTTCATTCCCTTCCATCCTCAACTAACTGAATTGGTAAAGCAATGCAAGCTAGTCATTTCTCATGCTGGAACAGGCTCTATTGTTGACGTTTTGAGATGCAACATTCCGTTGATAATAGTCACCAATAGCTTGCTTATGAATAATCATCAACTAGAAGCATCGGACGAATTCAGTGTGCGCCACAACTACTGTTTAAGCTGTCAGGATTGCGAGCTTCCACAGCATAAACTTGAACAGCTTATCAAGGATGAGAAATGGCAACATTTGGACCAATTGCCTCCACCAAACGGTGCCATAGTTGGACACATCTTATATGATGAAATGGGGTTACCCGGACCTGAAAACTAAAGTGCGGGTAACCCCTGGATATTATTTTAACCCAAACATGAAATGACCCAACTGTAAACACCATGTCTTCTATCCTTTACTTCTTTTATACAACTGAGTGCGGGGTAACATGAGTAGTATACAACAGCTTAATGGCAAGAGAAAGCGGAAGCAAAGGCTTTTCCTGAAAGATGTGGCGCAATTGTTGTGGGCCTTGGGAGACCCATCGCCGTCCAATGAGGCCACTATTACTGCGTTGGATGATATACTTGTGGAATGGGTAGTTGATCTTTGTCATAAGCTACAACGGTATGCTAAGGCTCACGGAAGAACCCGGGTGAAGATGGACGACGTGCCGTTCACCCTCCGGAATGATCCGGCCAAGTTGGCCAGGTTCCAACACTTGACAGAACAGATTGTTAGGATTCTGGAAGCCAGAAGGCTTTTTGACGATGACAAGTTCAATAAAGACAAACGACCACACGATGAATACGATGATGAGATTGGAGATGAAGACGATGGTGATGACTTGGACCATGAGACGGAAGCTCCAATGAAGAAAGACGGTAGAGGAAGAAAGAAGAAGCAGAAAGTTACAGGCAATATAATGACTAATAATTGATATAAACAGCGTATATATTAACGCTTGTATGGTTATTCTTCTTCGTTCATATTTTGAATGGCTCTTCCTTGAACATAGGTTTCGTTTTTAACTCGTTCACAAAGCATCTCCCAAACCAGTTGAAGTATCCAAATCAACCGTACACTCAATTGCAACGCAACTATCACAGGTAAGATAAAGAACCTGGATCTACTTGCGGTGTGCAATTGAGGATTGTTGGTCCAGAACAGTCCAGTAGTATAAACTGGAACAATCAATGCTATGGCCATATCGATGATTGCATTTAAGAAATGGTGCCTCCATAACCTAAAGTACTTAGAATGGAATTCTGTGTTGTCTTCTCGATGAGCCAACTTGAAGACTCCAGCAGCAAACGACAGTAAGGTGAAGATCCAAAGCATCGCAATAATAGGAACAGATAATTCATCGTTTTCAAAATCAAAATAATAATCAAATGGACGCTTTAAGATGATTTTTAATGGAACGTTCCAGCAAAATACCCATACCCAAATAGACCAGAAGAGTCTTATAGCAAGTAACCAAACACTAGAAATGATTACTCCGATCGATCGCAAGATTCCAAGGGCAGCTCCAGCTCCGGCACCGGCTTCAACATCGTTATCCTGTTCATCTGCAGCATCTGCAACATCTGCGACATTCACCTCATTATCACCAACATTATTCATATCTGTCCTTCTTCTATATGAATCGTACTCTTTGAACAAATACATCTCCAAAACGATTCCAAAAAGTGCATAGACAATATTAACTTTATTCGACAACAGACATTTACCAGCTATGCCGAGTCCTTTGTACGAAAGCTCACAAAGTATCTTGCAACAAATGTTACCAAGGAAGAACCCAACAATCAACACACTTAAGATCAACACCAAGGCGAAAACCCATAATAACGCAATCAATCCCATCCATCTATTCCTGAAATTAGGTGGTTGGTACACGATGGTGTAATGGTTGGGTCTCAAGATCCCTCCATCACCATCGGAATCGGTAGTGAGATAGTCTGGTTCTTCTTGTCGACGAAGTTCTTTAGCTCGTTCCTCAGCATCGATTTGTTCGAGTTCTTCAGGGTATAGGATTCGATCATCCTTTGTCACTGCCACAAATTGTTTTCTGATGAACTTTCTAGCAGTTGTATCGTTGTCTGGAACTCTCATATAATTCCCATTAGGAACAAACACAGCTTTAAGTTGAGGATCTTCGGCAAATGCTGATTGAACTTGATTCATACTCATTGGGTTGGAATAATCCGGTTGTGGTTGTTCAATAAATTGGTAATAAACATTCCGATAAACCGTGGTTCCTCTTTCTTGTGGGATTGGTTTACCTAAAATGAAATGGGAAAGTCTCATCTTATGACATGAAACATTAAAGGCATATTTCCAATATTGGAAATGGGCCTCTTTAAGTAATACTCTGTTTCTGGACCAAACTTTATAAAGGGTCATCGCCAAAATTGGAAGTAAAATAGAAGATGATGAGGTCCCCAATTCCATGGGGAAATAAGTCGGCATGATCCACTGTTGTATATTCCAAACCACAGATCCAATACCAATCAATATAAAAATGGTATAAACCCTTCCTCTATAAAGAACCCGAAACATTTGTGTTTTCAAGGGTTTCACAAGGGCACTATGGATTAATCTGGTGTTCGGGTCTTCTGGTGATCTGATGAAATAAAGTACTCCAGGACGTAAAATTTGGGATCTTGTCATACCCACAAACACAGCAAGAATCACAGCGTATACGGTTCCGAAAAACCAATACAGAAACATTCTCCAGAATGGAGAGAAAGATTTGGATGTTTCAATTGCAGAAACCCAACTAACGTTTGAATTGTCCTGTGATGAAACAAACAGATGAAGCATAGTCCATGGATTAACATGTTGAAATGTTGAAAACAAATTGTATTTGACAACTTTAACAGAGTCAACTTGTTTGACATCAACAATGTTACTTTCGAATAATGGAGTGAAACAGAAATCCAATAACCAACCACAATAAGCTGGAGAAAAGAAGAATTCAATAGAAAACACACAAAGGACTTTCAAAGTTGCAACGAATTCAAATAATACCCTATAAATGGTTCTGGGGGTCCCCATTATAGGTTTTGGTCCACCCACTAAACTTTTCATGAACATTTGAATGATTAGTCCAATGGAAACATATCCAATGGATAAAACAAACCCTCGTTGTAACCAACTGAGCTTGGTAGGGTATTTGTGCACAAATAAGTCCAGATATGGTACCAACAAGTTTTTGTAGAAGATTTCATGAACAAAGAATGTCGTTAAATCAACCACGGTGTACCCAGTTTGAATTACATAGCCATCATCAGTATAAAACCTGGGGATTATGGTTAAACGTTCAGGATCCAAATAAACCGTCCAAAGTCTGGCCAAACTTAGTACCAAGTTTCCCAATATATGTGGTATCAAATACACTCCAGATAGTATCACTGCAAATATTAAGTTGAGCGATACCATGACTAGAATTGGAGTCTTTACATTGAAGCCCATACCTAAGAATTCAAAGATATCTAAACCAATATCTTCAGCTCCTGGATCATCACCATTATTATTTTGACCTTCGCCCACGTCGAACTCATTTATAGGGTCATGTCCAACCATATGATTGGGTTCTGGGGGAGCAAATCCATTGTCATTAGCATGAATGTCGTTATTAGCACGAATTTCGTCCTGTGCCTCACTACCGTTATCTTCATGTAAATCTTGTACACCCAGTACAACATCAATGTCATCATCATTATCATACTCATCGTTATCTCCGTCATACTCGTCATTATCCTCTGTGATAGGATCTCGGCGCAAGAAGAACGCATTGGTCTCATTATCATCAGGCTCTGCCTGACCAAAGGTATCGGGGATCCCATTCTCTATTGCTCTCCTTAATGCCTCCTGACGATCCCGGGTGACATTAGCACCTTGTTGGGCTTGCAAGTCATTAAGGACCCTGACCAAACTTTCTATACGTTGCAAGTTCTCTCTGGCATCGCCATTATTGGGAGCATCGTTACGTAAGCCACTGATGGCCTGCTGGATCATATCCACCAATTTGGACCGGGGTTCTTTCCCGACTTTCCGGAGTAGCATCATCACAAACCCATCGTCTCGAATAACCCATTGGTGCTGTAGGTAAAACACCAACACTAGAAGCGTACAACATAAGATCTGCCCTAGTCCTCGGAAATAGCCCAAATACATCACTATGGCCGCTTCATAGTAGAATTTCCTGAGCCTTGAGGATCCACTCATAGTGTCCACCAATGTGATATCCACATTGTTCTCGCCGAACTTGAGGGCTTCCCAAAACGTCCCGTTGGCGTCTGGAAGTTTGCCGTCAATAAGCCACGTCAATAGCCGTACCGTAAAGGTCCAGAACAACGGAACCTCCACAAGTATACATGTGACTGCAAGTACGATACTGGTCACCTTCAATGCGACATTCTTGATCAACGACATGATCTTGGCTCGCACGAGCGACACGGGGATCCGGGAAGGCATTGATGGGTCATAGATGGTCTGGAACTGATATTCAGTATTACAAATGTCGCATCTGGCTGGTGTTCTCTTGGAGTGTTTCAACCATTCCATTAGACAATCTTGATGGATGTATTTCATAGACCCTCGGCAACGACATGGATGTATGAGGGTTTGTGTGGGAGAGTCCTCGCCTCGACAGATACGACAATAGAAGGTATCTGCCATTGTGACGGTCAGGGGTTTGTGGAGAAGAAGAAGAGGAAGAAGAAGTTGGTGATGGTTTAGTTTGCATTTTCATAAGAGAAGGGAGACATTTTCATTTAACAGAATGAGACATCTTTATATGCAGTATCTCGTAGAGCTATACTGATCTACGGATCTTAGGTACAAATGTATAGCATTCGACTGGAATCAAGTTGCATATGTATAGTTACTATCTGTGTGTGCTGAATTAGTGTCTGCCTGAGTGTCTGACATTAAATAAAATTAAACTAAATATTTCGTACATTTGTTTCAAATCATTCAATAGTCTATCAGAAACTAGTATCAAATAATGTCGTGGATGGCCATTATGTCGCTCTACAGTGCTTAAACTTACATTAAACGTTTATATATAAAAACATATACCCATGAGTATAAATTGACTTCTTACTTTGTTTCCTCATCAACTGGTGACTCGGCAAGGGGAGGAACCACTGGAACGTCGTCTTCCTCATCAAAGTAAACGGTTTCAGCTGGAGGAGGAGATTCCAATTCTTGATGTTCATCAATGGCTTGAGAAATCTCTGGAGTCGCCTGAGCTTCTTCAAGAACTTCTTCAGCTGCTTCGGGGACGACTTCGAGAACTTCTTCAGCTGCTTCTTCCTTAACTGGCTTGGCCTGTTCAACGGCTTCGTGAACAGATTCCTTAGCTTGCTTAATAGCTTCTGGGACGGCTTCTTTGACGTTCTCAATAGCTTCGTGAACAGCTTTCTTAGCATGTTCAACAGCTTCTGGAACAGCTTCCACTACTTGCTCAACAGCTTCTGGAACACCTTCAATCTTTCCCTTGACTTCCTGAACTACTTCAGGAACGGCTTCTTCGACTTTTTCAACGTTTTCCTTGACTTCCTCAACCACTTCAGGAACGGCTTCCTTGACTTCTTCAACTTTTTCCTTGACTTCTTCAACCTTCGCTTTGACTTCGTCCTTGACTTCTTCAACGTTTTCCTTAACTTCTTCAATCTTTTCACCAGCAGCAGCTTGAACAGCAGACTTCTTTTCGGCAGCTTCTTGCAACGCAGCTTGCACAAGTTCCTCTTGATCTTCACCAGGAGCAGCTTGCTTCACGAAAACCGTTTCCACTGCCGATGGTTTAGGAGCATCTTTGGTCATGGTCTTGGTGACAGTTGGCATATAAATGTTAGTCATGGTGTAGTTACTGTATTCTCCCGGGGTATCAAAGAATGCGTTACACTCAAAGTCCCAAGTTGAAATAAGCTTTGAGTTGTTACAAACCTTCTTGGTCCATGGAGTACCATAAATCAATGAAGAATAATTGTAGTAGAAGAAGACCGAAGCAGCAAAGAAAAGTCCAAAGAAAACATACGACATTTGACGTAATCTTGGAGAAACACAAATATAATCCACAATTAATTCAAAAAAGTGTCCCACAACCAAGACACCAAAGTAAAAGGCTGGTAAATAATGATGAATGAACAATTGTCTACCCATAATGAAGAATGGGAAAAAGTGTAGGATCCAACCTAAAGTATATCCAAACACTTGTGAGTTGAAGTTGAAAACGTTTTTGTTAGTTGCAACACTTCTACCCGTTTGCCATCTCAAGACAGAAATCATAACGTGTACAACGAAAGTAACAAGAGCAGCAGTTACAGCATAGTATAATGGAATGTTCCCAAACAAATAAACTTGACGATGATCATGAACCCAATAGTTAATACCTCTTTCAAACAATGGCCAACTTTGAGGAGATGATTGCCAGTTGTGGTGACCAGTTAACCCATTGTTAATGATCCACATTCGCTTGTGAGATTCCAAAAACTTCTCCCAGAAACCAAACTTAGGATAATCAACATAAGTACGACTGGCAGCGGGGATTCTTTCATTGGTATTCTCTTCAATGTACCAATAAGTCAAAGGTCTTGCACCTTGAGAAGCAGTAGTAACTTCTTGTTGCTTAAAACCCCAATCAGGTAACTTAACTTCGGAAGAAAACAAATAAGTTCCAGTCATAGCATGTTTTAATCTGAAAATTGTCTGGATTGGTCTAACAAAATGACGGGCCTCTGGTTGAGATCTTTTCTGAACAATTTCAACAACAAAATCATCGTTGGCATCACCAGGAAATCCATCATAACCATAACAGGAAGCTTCCTTTTGCCAATCTCTCTCAGAAACTGGTGGCTTTTCATCATGGGAATGTAATCTTCTACCAGAGGAAGCGTGTTTCAATCTAATCTTCATACCATTGGTTAAAGGAACAAATTCATCTTCGGGAATCGTCAGATTATAAGGTTCAATGACCCATTTATTGTTATGATCAATGTGAGGGTATAAGGTGATTTGTTGTTGTTTGGAACCAGTTGGATAGAAATGGTTATGAGAATGCAAGTAACCACCAAAAGTTTCCAAATGTTTAATGGTAACCACAGACCCCAACCCAACCAGAGCCAACATATTCTTTGGAATATTGTTATTCTCCAACGAAGCCTTGAAGGCGGAGGTCAGAAGAGCAGTAGATTCATTATCTTTGGTTAAGATATTGAAATGAATAGCGAAAAAGCCCAAGTACATGGTCAAAGGAACCCCCAAAAGGATAAACCCACGGTAGAACAAATGAGCCACGACTTGGGGGAAAGTGACACTCAAATCACCAATAATAAACCAAACCTGGTAAACACAAGAAGCACCAACCCAAGCAATGGTGAAGAGACCAACCCATTTAGAAGAGAAGGATAAACCCAAACCTACACCAGTAAGCACCAAATAAGTGAACCAAGCACTAGTAAAAGGCTTTTGGAACTCAAACTTCTTATAAGCCCAGATGGAAAAGGCTATGAAGAACATCAAGGGAGAGTCCAAAAGAATGTATCTCGAAAGAGTGACCGAACTGTTTTCAATCAAAAACACCGACAGGGTGAATAAAGCCACCAAAGGTCTAACCCCGGAGTTTCTTAACGTCAAGTAACAAAACAACACAGTGCCTACACCCAAAACAGCAGGGAATAATCTCATCAAATAGTATGGAACCTCGGGAGGGAACGGATCACCAATGGTTTTAAAGGGGAACTCACCATCATAACCACCCAATTGACCTACCCAGCCATAGAGCATCTTGGCTAAGGGAGGATGAACATCCATAAAGAACTCCTTCTTAATATATTTGGCCGCAAACTTACCAAAATGGACCTCATCAAACACAACAGAATTGGGGAACCCTAACGCATAAAGTCTAACCACACAGGCAACTATAAGCAACCCAAAAAGTATAGCATATTCTTGAGTATCAATGGATCTATTCCGAACCAACTTACTACTGGGAGTAGTCACAAGATAGTCACGAACTTCGCCTTCAGCAAATTTAGGGGCTTCAACGGGGTCAACTCCGCTTAGAGTGAACTTGTCGACCACAATAGGTGGGGGGACTCTTTGGCTGGTCTTCTTAGCCATAATGAAACTAAACAGGAACAACCACTATGCAATTGATTGGCTAGAATGCACTATGCTCTTTCGGAGATTGAGTTCCTTTATGGCCTTGTATGTTTAGATGAACTCGAGAAACAGATGTAGCATTATGTGTTGTCAAGTGAAAAAAAAATACACCACGTACAAGAAAGGCCGACGTGTTACTTGCTGGAGGTCGTATGCTTACGTAATACGACGCGTATGCAATTTAAGGTTTTTGTTTATGTAATCAGCGGACTTTTGGGCTAAATGACACGTATTCATTGATTGAGTTGTGGTTTATTCTTTGGTGGATTACCCATTGGTACGTTTTGGTTCGTTACCCTTTGATACGTTACCTATTTGGTACGGGGTCTTTGGTGAACCGTGGTCAGGGGGGAAAATGAAGGAAAGTCCCGGAACAAATTTTCATGTGTCAGGTGATGAGTACCATTTTCTTTTTTCACTTTACATCGTCTCAAAGGTACCCTGCTGACCGTATGTATGGAAGACCACAGTTTATCGTGATCCATAGCTATTATTAGAATGGTATCAATGTGTGTTGTAGTCATTGGAGTCATCGGTAAACGCACGACCGGTTAACTAAATTGCATAAGGAGTAGTGAAGGCGATCATTCAGACAAGGGTTTTTTTTACGTAAGGCTGAGGTATTATTACTGGGGTTTTTATCTACCTACTATTGTTCAGCATATAAAAATGGGTTACTTTTTGGGGTTGGCATGAAGCGAGAACAAAGTGAGAGTTTCTGTTTCTGAGTGGAAGGGAACTGAGGAGATAACAGCCCTAAAGGCTTTGTAGTTATAGTACACTTATGTAAGATGGGTTCTTATGCTTACGATACCGTATAATACACTGCATCAAGCAAGTGTTTTGTACGCGTATCAATGGTGATGTGTGGTGGAGTGCGTTAACATACAAAATAAATCAATTGAGTTTCTGTAGCGCGCAATGCGATTGTCTCATAAAAGTTCGGACTAGTTGCAACCGAGTGAGGAGCATTGTTTATAACCTTGTATGATAAAGGAGATACATGGACTATTTGTTCATACTTATGCTTATACATGTACACACATTTGCATTACATTTATAAGTACATATGTATACACATATGTACTTGGATGCGTATTTCCATGCTTTCGTATATTAAAGCGTGAAATTATAATGTATCACTAGCTCTCACGGATAATTCAAATGTACTATAAACATACTCTTATCGAGATCTGGTACCCTTGTACATGATTATTGACCCCAATTTAACCCCCCCCTGCTAAGGTTGTACATCCTGATAATAATATTAATAAATAACAATAGTTAATAATAATAATAATAACAATAACAACACTGGCTACTCCCGACCCCTGGGATACCGCCCGTATCAAATTCCACATATTTGTGATTTGATCGACTCGGTAATTTTTTAAAAATCTCCTTGCTCTTCTTCTTCTTCTTCTTCTTTCCTCTACTGTATCTATATCCAAATGACATACTACACTTATAAGTTCGTTTGGTATGTGCGCAGCTCCTTGCTCATCCCCTTAGTATCATGTTTGGTTTGTTAGGTAGTGTCGTTTTTCCGACCCCTTTAACTGCCCCTTAATATGATACCAGTAGTATTATTATGATACGAGCAACATTATCACCATAAATGGCTTTGTATAGATCATCTACTAACTATGTCTTCTAGGCAAACCACGGATCCGGCTGTGCGTTCCGTTGTTGTCACGGGGAATTTCGATAATTGGTCCCAATCCAGTGATCCCTTACTTAAGAAGGACGATGGCCGTTTTGAAGGGGTGATCCAATTTAAGAAGAAGGAAAAGTTGACCTTTAAGTTTGTTGTTAATGGATCTGATTGGGTGATTAATCCTGACTACAGTACTGAATGGGATAATGGTATTGAAAACAATGTTATTGACGAGTCAGATTTAACTGTGGTTGAACCTTTTGAAGAACTGCCATCAGCAGCAGCTAAAATTGAGCCAGAAGTCGTACCACCTGTAACTGAACATATCCCAGTTCAACATCAAGAAGAGCATGATGACGACGATGAAGATCTTCTCATCTCAACTCATACCGATAAGGACACAGAATTGAGTCAAGTATCATCATATTCTGCAGTTTCTATTCCTGCTTCAACCCTGGAATTTGTTGCTGTTACTCCTGCTGTGACTGAAGAAGCAGTTATACTTGAAGATAGTATTGATATTGATGATGACGGGAATGCTACTCCTATTCGTTCATTATCCAATTCAGGAATAGTTTCTGGTGCACCCGCTACACCTACATCACCTGTGGATGAAGACTATGATGATGATGTTGAAGAAGTAGGCAATGATTCTAATTCAGAAGTGCTTCCCAAATCAAAAGAAAGCAATACCAGTGGGAAATCACCTTCGATCCTTAATTCCATCAATGGTAACTCTCACAAGAATCAATCTGCATTGAAACCTGTTGATATTTTAAAGGCTCCCGGTGCTTTCCCATCTTCTCCAGCATCACTGGCAGGAGGTGATACTGCTACTGCTACCGCCTCTTCTACTACTACGACTGGTAAAGCTTCAACTAAACGTGATGGCTTTATGGGCCGTTTCAAATCATTGTTCAGATATTAAGTATCTTGTTTTGTTGTATCATTATTATTCGGTAAGGCACTATAAATTGATTGAATAGCATTTAGTTTATGTGGTCTCTAATATCATCTTTAATACCATGCAAACAGTATATATGCTGTGACGGCACGTAGTATTAGTTATACAATATCGATTATATCATTTTCTTCCCTTCTTCTTCTTCTTGGTCTTTGAAACACCAGATGGTTCCGGCAACACTACTGGAGTCGATTCTTTTACTTCCACAGGAGTTCCCTCAAATCTTGCGTTGGCCATAACCAGAGCCAATCCTAGACCGTTCACTGTGTCATGGTTAACTCCACGAGGCCCAACAAACGTCATCAACCGACTGAACTCCTTGACCTTGGACGTACGGAACTTGAGACATTTCCCACTGGCGGGCTCAAAGCATTTGAAGGTGACTCGGTGCGTAGCACTCAGGCTTCTTGTGGTGGTGCGATGTTTCTTCGACACATTGCTGTAGGTGATACTGAGCCGTGTGGTTGGATATGTGCTTAGTAAATTGGCCAGACGCTCTATAAACGACTCCACTTCCTTTACGTATGGCATTGTAGGGGCAAGGGTGGTGGGTCCAGTAGGTAGAGGTTACAAAGGTGGTGGGCTACAGTTGATCGTTTGATCAAATTTTTCAGTCGAACGACTGCGACTGCCATAAGGCGCGACAAAAGCTAGGTCGAACTGGCTGGTACGAGTACCGCAGTAGGTCGTAGTAGTAACGTTATATTCTAATATACAATCTATAATGCTTAGTCTTCAAATACACTCAATATCAAATACCCATTAAGGACAGTCACAAAGATCCAAACTGTAACCGCAATCGTCGTACCAATACGACCATTACTCATGTCCTTATAGCCTTTAATGAGTCGAACGTTATCATCTTCATCATCGTCATCGTTCGTGAGAGTGTTGCTTGAAGTAACCTGTGTGATCAGCAGACTACGTGATCTAGAAGTATTCTTAATGGTAGCCTTAGCGGCGGCCGCTGCAGCCATTCCAGAATGAACCAAATTGGTCCCACTGGTACCTGGGGTTGGAGCAACCGTACCTACTGATATTTGAGACGATGATTCCATTAACCCGAATCTATGAATGCCCTCGTCGTCGTCTTCATCATCCCACGCGGAACATGGGTGTGAGTTCCGTAACTCTTGGAGTCTTATAGCCGGTTGAGTCGCGGTATACTTCCTATGAGAAGAAGAATCATGGGCGTTGTTATTGTTTCTATCAATGGTGCTTTCAAAATCAACTATGGTGTCAACTTCGATCTCGTCTTGGAAATAAATAGGAACTCTCATGATCTTCTTGCTGCACGTGAAATAAATCAATGGTGCTGTTACCGCAGGTAAAAGTATGGAAAGAACAACTTGACTGTAGTTCAACACTTGTGATAATCCATTACGTCCAGTTATCATCACTGCAATAACACAAGGAACAATGGCTAGCAATCTGGTGATCAAACGACGAACAACTGGAGGGAAAGACCAATTCATGAACCCTTCACTAACCATTTGACCTGCAAGTGTACAAACAACTCCTGCTGATTGACCTGAACAAAGTAATGCAAGAGCAAATACAAATCCGGCTGTAGGATTCAAATGCCGACTGAGTAAATTGTAAATGGTATATAAATCAGCAGATTCATAATTGGTATTGTCATCATCTGAATCATAGTCATCATTGTCATCGTCATCTCTTCGTCTATGATCGGATCTTGAAGTTAATGTTGCACCAGCCACAATCAAAATGGCAGAGTTAACGAAAAGTGCAACCGTGAACAAAGATATCACCAATTCTGTTAATGTGTAAGCCATGGTATCTTTTATAGCATGAATCAGAGGACGATAGATGTCATCTTCATCTTCATCTTCATTATTAGCAGTTGTTAAATTCTCTTCCGCTGTTTTATGTGGATACTCTTGTTCAGTACCACTCATTAAATGGTCATGTTCATCCAGCAGTTCATGAGCAAGAGTAGTATCATTATCTACTATTGTAGTGACATCCTTTGAGGAAGAAGAAGATGCTGATGTATGACGTAAACTCTTCGGTATGAAAAACCCAGATTTAATGTCATATTCTTTAAGACGAGCTTGTACTAAACCTGAACCCAAATACAACAGATGAGGCATAACTGTAGCACCTAAAATGGCAAGGGAAAGAAACAAGCCCAGAGTATTATGATGTTCTTTAGAAATTTCCACCACTTCGGATGAAGGGAGAAATCCACTAAGAACTTCCCCCAATTTGAAATTGATTTGTTCATCGTGACTTACTTGCAATAACTCAAAGGCAAAACATACTACTGTAGCAGCCACCAATAAACTAACAAACCCTTCAAAGATTCTAATGAAAAGCATTGGACCATTGGGTCTATATGCCATAAGAACCACCAAAACATCCACTACCGTAACTAACACTCCCAATATTAAGGGCAATCCAAAAATGATGTTTATGGCAACAGCACATCCAACCACTTCTGCCAAATCTGTAGCAATGATTGCAATTTCCGTCATTATATAGACGAAAAGATTTGTCTTGTAACTAAGATGTTCTCGACAATTAGATGCCAAATCAAGTCCTGTGACTGCCCCCAATTTGGCTGAAAGTACTTGAAGATATACTCCTAAACATGTGGACATCATCACACTAAAGAGCAACTTATACCGATAAACTGAACCCGCAGCCACGGCAGTTGAATAGTTCCCAGGATCCATATATGCCACTGCAACCATTAACCCTGGGCCCACAAAACGTAGGTACTTCTTTATGACACGTAACATTTGTGATCCTCGACCTTTCACCCAATGTGTAGACATGTTTTGATATGGTTTATTTTGTATGTGGTTCACGCCGGCTCATTCACTGACTTGGCATAGATGCACACAAAATATACTGCACACGACAATAATGGAGACCACGTAAGTAGAAGGAGTACACTGTAACAGTGGAACAGTGGAACAGTGGTGAACAGTAATGAACAGTGGTGAACAGTAACGAACAGTGGTGAACAGTAATGAACAGTGGTGAACAGTAGTGAACAGTACAAGTATAACTGGTGCAGCTGTAATAGAACTAGTAGTAGTTGCTGTTCAAGCTGCTATATATTCCCCTGACTATATTATAATGGACCGAATTCGCAATTGATGTTTCCTTCTAACAGTAGAACTAACGCGTGCTGTTTTGAGATTGTACCTTGATTGTAAGCTTAAATGAATGCTGTATGACTTGGACCAACAAGAAGAAGAATATTTGCTTGATTACAGGGCGTATGCTCCATAAAGTCTGCGGGGCTGTGAACGATGGGGCACTGCATACTGAGACCCATTAACCCGGTATTTTCCTGGACAACTTATTCAAAAGACTTCCCGATCTCCGGGGACGTGTGACGTATGCTTACGTAAGCATACGTATAGGATGTCAATATAATCCGGAAATGTCGCGTCCGTTGAATATCGATGTCGCAGGTCTTGTTAATCGGAGTTATACTTGCGAAGATTCAATGGCTAATACCATTGTCAATAATTAGGAAAACTAATCTACTCTCTTTCCTCTTCTACGTTCACAATTGAGTCAGTGCCATCGTTCAATAATATACATCATGCTTAGAACAGTAACAAGGCCATCTTTGGCACTTTTCAAGAGACGTTTCTTTCACAACTCCGCTGTTACGGCTGCTGCTTCTGTCTTCAAGATGCCAGCAATGTCTCCTACTATGGAAGAAGGTGGTATTGTTGGCTGGAAGGTTAAAGCCGGTCAGGAGTTCGCAGCTGGTGATGTTATTTTGGAAGTGGAAACAGATAAGGCGAACATAGACGTTGAAGCACAAGACGATGGGATCTTATGGGAAATCATTGAACAAGATGGTGCTCATGGGATTCCTGTTGGGAAGCCTATTGCCTTACTTGCAGAGCCTGGTGATGATTTGGCTTCCTTGGAAAAACCTTCGTTTGAAGATTCTGCCGCTAAGCCAACTCCAGCAACATCAGAAGCTGAAGCAGCACCTCCAGCTGAGTCCTCTTCCAAGTCTGCCACAGAATCGCCCAAACAAGAAGAAACAAACACAACTAAATCCAAAGGTTCTTCAGAGGTGTTCTCTTCTGCCAATCCTAACCAGAAACTCTTACCTTCAGTAGAGTTACTACTTCATGAAAACGGAATTAATGCTGAAGATGCCCTTTCGAAGATCCCTGCTTCTGGACCTAAAGGTCGTATTTTGAAGGGTGACGTATTGGCTTATTTAGGAAAGATTGCCAATGAATCCATTGAACAAGTGACCGCATTCATTAAAGAACGAGAACATCTTGATTTGAACAATATTGTACTTGCTGAACCCAAAAAGAAGACAGAGGGAGAACCATCTAAACCAAAAAAGGCCAACAAGAGTGAAAAACCACCAGCACCAAAAAATATTGTTAAGTTTGAATTGACCGTGGCTTTGGACTCCGAAGTATCACCAAATACTTTCCAACATGCTTTCAACAGAACTCTTAGTGCAACTGTTCATGATACCTACGCCGCCAAGTTCCCTCAATACCAAAACTCACCTTCTGCAGTTGGTACTTTAACCGCTAATGAAATTTTTGATGAGCTTCTTGCACCATCAGTTTCCAAATCCAGATTCAATGTTTCTGTTCCTAAATTTACTTTCCATGAATCAAAGACAGCTCCATCATCAACGTCATCACCATCTCGTACAAGATCAGATTCTCTTTTTGATGAACTTGTGGGCTTTACTCCATCCCCATCACCTTTAAGTCAAATGGTTGCAACTACAGTCGTACCATCTGTTGATGTTACTTTTGAACTTACTCTTAATCTTGGTGTCAATGATGCTAGAACTTTTGCCAGCCATTTTGAATTGCTTTTACTCAACAAAGTTCCTGCCTCAAGAGTCAAGGTGTCTACATAATTATTTAGAGGAGGAGGAATCATTCGGGCATCTCACTGTGTAACTAATGAAGTAGCAGCTGTATAGTGGACCGTAAGACTGAAACACACGGCAGACGGCGCATCACCCGCGCTACCAAACGTGGTGCGGATTAATTTTTTTGTCTTCGCGAAGTATGCGACACAAAACCTGTAGATTAATAAAAATAAAAAAAAAAATACAATCCTAAAAAAATAATGTAAACCTACCAAACATATCAAACCTTCTACAACTGGTGAATATCAATACTATTGATATCATTAAAATCCACGGCATACTTAAAGGCACGCGCACTTATCTGTGGGTTCTTTCCGTGATTAAAATTGCCTGAAAAATCAGGAAATCGAACAAGACTCTTGTGTGTGTTTGCAGATCACCGTTAAGACCAAACAAAGCAATACACTCGGTCAAATAAGATTCCATTGGTGCAAAGCAACATTTACTTTTTGACGTATTTGTTTGACATAATTGTCTGACGTACTTGCTGGAGATATTCATATTTGTATTTATTTAGTTGATATTTTGTATGAGTGTTTGTCTGATTTTTCAGCTTGTTCCTTTCAGAAGCCGTTTATCTACTACGAAGTCTAACTAAGCTTACCAATTAAGTCTTATATTATCCACTTTGGATACAAATGTATCTCCCACTTCCGAATTATATCAACAACACTAGTTCTTCCAGTTCCAGTAACTCAGATAATGCAAAGACACCACCACTATTTCCAACCAGAGGCCATCAAACAATGCATCCTCAACAACAACATTCTCAAATGACATCAACAGCAACTCTTCAAATGTCTCCTGGTGCTTCGGTGCCCTTGCCAGTTACTCATACACCTCACCATGGACAGCTGGCTTATTCAATGGCTTCTGTACCTCCTCCTTTACCTATGGGTAGTGCAGCATCATCTGCTTCCACAACAAGTGCCTATCATCAGTCACATATACATTACAGAACAGCTGCAGGATCCCCACCATCCAATGGTGGTCCTACTATTGCCGCTGGGGCCACTTCTGCCACTACTTCTGGTTCTGCTGCTGGTGTCGGTGTGCCTGCTGGAGGTCCTGTCACATTTGCTGCTAATACAGGTATTGGTATTCATCTTGGAAATGCCGTTATCGGTGCCACTACTACCGACATAGGGAATGTTTCCTTTGATCTCACAAATGGCTATCAACAGTTACAACAACAGCAACAACTACAACAGCTGCAACAACTGAGACACCAGCAACAACTGAGACAACAACAACAACAACAACAGCATCACCAGCATCATCAACAACAAGATCAGCAACAGCAACAACAAAGGTTGCTCCAAAACCAGTTCCAATATACTCCTGTTTCATTCCAGCTTGCCAACGTTACACAACAATTCAACAGCTCAATTAATGCAATAGCACCAAGATCACAACTGCTGAACATTCAACTGCAACCACTGCAACAACAACAACAGCAGCAGCAGCTGCTGCTGCATCACCAATACCCAAACCAGCAACAGCAACTCCAAAATCAGCACCAACATCAACATCAACTTCCACACCAACATCAACACCAACTTCAATTTCAACTTCAGCATCAATATCAACAGCTGCCTCTACAACAAGAACTGCCACATGCACAGCATGTAAATACACACCCTAATCAATTTCTTGCAGAGCAACCCCACCATCAACATCAACAATCCCAACGGCAACCTCATCAACATCCTTTCGAGCAGCAACATGATCCAGCCGCTCATCAAACCCGACAGCAACTGCCGCAATATCTGCAACAGCCACAGAAACATGACCAGCGTCAACATCAACTGCAGAAACAATCCCAACAGAGTTTGAACCCACGCCATATTACTCAAATCAACCCCCAAGATTTAAATCCACAGCAAATTAATCCTCAACAGATTAACCAGTTCAATCATTCATTAGAGTTAAATTCCCAACAAATCATTCCCCAAATAAGTGCACTGGATGTTAGCCCCCAACAAGTGAATTCTTCTCAAGTTAAAGGTCAACCACAGAATTCCAAACCTCAACAAGTGAATGCAAAGCAAATCAACCCTCAACAGGTTTATAATTCTTTACAAGGAGTCTCGTCTCCAAATTTGGACATACAACATGTACATCTACTGCCACAATTTCAGAATGGACACCCTCACCAATCGCCATCTATGCAACATCAACGGGTGAAGAAAGGCACGCAGACAGGAACGAAAAGAGGAGCATCCAAGAGTCTGCTGAAGAAGCCACCACAAAATGAAGTTGCTGCTCATGAGACTCAATCCCAATCAACATCATCTGAAGCACAACAAACACCCAAACCATCGCCTCCAGTTCCTGAAGGAACAAAGAAAAGAGGAAGACCAAAAAAGTATCTTTTTGATACAACTTTAAATATTTATATTGATTCACTGCATCCAAACTTTAAGGAATTGAACAAAATTGCAAAGAGTGAAGCAGCAGCAGCTTCGGCTAGTAGCAATATCGACGGGGGAGGAGATGGCTTTGAAGGGCTGGTTTCTGGGAAAGGTAAAAAGTCTAAATCCAACGGAGATGGGTCGCCTGGTATGGGAGCTATTATTGCCGATGCTGCACCACAACTTCGTGCTGGATTGGCCCGTTTATGTGATCAACCTCCGTATTTACGGTCACTTGAAGATGATGCTGTGAAACAATTAATTCAAAAGAAAGACCGTCGTGGTCGCCCTAGAAAGTTCCCAATTGAGGAAACAGGTATAACTATCAAGGGTATTCGTGTGAATGGTCGTGGTAGACTGACCAAACAACTGTCAGACCTAACAAAGGATATTGAACATCCAGAAATAGGTCATGTTGGTATGCCATACAATTAATCAATTAGCGTATAGAGTATGTAATATTAGTCTTCTTGAAACACTAGTGATTTCTAAGATACCCATTAAACAGAGGAAGTCGTATGTAAATTGCATTATAAACTCAAATGGTAAAGCCTATACAGTACTGTATATAACTGGTATCAAAGTAGAGTGTTATCCTGACTAGACCTTAAGTACATGAAAACTTTTTGTTTTAAAGTAGAGCGCCGTGGCGCAGTGGAAGCGCGCAGGGCTCATAACCCTGATGTCCCTGGATCGAAACCAGGCGGCGCTACTTTATCACTTTTTTTGCACTTACTTATATTAAAGTCTTACAGACTTATACCAATTATTTTATATGTGTTCCTTTAGGTTAAGAAATTAATAAAGTATCATTGCTACTAAGAGTTGTAGAAACCGTACCGATATAAGAAATACAAGAATATATGTAACAAGAGAATACAACGGAAAAGTATTGTTCATTGAGTAAAGGTCATCACTTCTTCTTACCTTTCTTCTTAGAGGATTTCCCCTTCTTCTTTTTCTTTTTACCAGTAGATTTGGTTTTGGTATTGTTTGGTTCTGGGGTGTTTTCAGAGGTTGATGATTGTTGGACATCGCAATTGCTCGCAGGGAAGTCATTTGATCCCGACTGAGGTTGTGACGAGTCAGGTTGCGACTGGTCATCTATTGTGGGAGGAGTTGATTCCAGTGGGGCAGCTTCTTGAGATGGTTGTTCGGTAATGGATTCAGTTTGACCAGTCGCTTCATCATCTTGATTCTTATCAGAAATAGGAGTAAGCACAGAATTTGATTCATCATTTGTGGTTGCTTGTTCATATATTCTTTCTCTTAAATCCATAACCTCTTCAGGTTCATTGGTGATTTGGGAGAAACTACCATCCAGATTAGCCTTTTCATTCAATTTGGGTTGACTGGTACGAGGAGAAGAAGTATTATCACCAACAGCACCAGTAGTACCACCGCCAACAGCAGCGGATGTGGTTGCTTGAATAGATCTGCCAAAGAAATCTAATTCTTCTTCGGGATAATCGGGTGGCAATTCTTCACCTTTGGCCAAAATCGTGTCTTCAAGTAACAGTGTGCCATAATCTGGTAAGGCAGTCATGCCTTGTTCACCTCTTATCTTACGATAATCACTAGTAGAAACAAAGGCATACTTTTTTACGTTTGCTTCGACCCAAACAAACCCCAATTGTCCAATGTTGACTTGGAATCTACCATTGGTCAGGAAACATCCAATAGCTGGGAACAAATCCAAATATAACCCAGACATGACATCTAAGATCTTCTTCCCATTACGAGTGATGAATAATGTACCCGAGGGAATCACATAACCAAACCCTACCACATCTGATTGTTGTAATGGAGGTAAAACTTGAGCGTTATATTTTGAGTTTTCACCCATATGCTGTTGTAAGGGAGTTGGAAGTGGTTTGTTAATCTTCAAATTACCTGTGGATTCATAAGCAATTGAAAAGTTATTATAACCTGGAAGTCTGAACTGGGAAGGATAAGGTTTGGTGACCAACCCAATTGAAAAATGGGCATTGGCCACAGAATTATCAAATTCATATACTTTGGTTTCAAAATAAATGGTATCAGCATGAGTTCTATGAATAACGGGCAATGGATAATTTAACATGGCTGTTGCAGTAGAATAGGGTTCGGAATTATTTTGAAATAATAAATCTGTTTTATCAGCAACAATAAACTTTGCATTTAGAATATTATTTGGAGATTCCTGAACAAATTCAAATGCTTCAATACCTTTGTCTTTTATTAAACTCAAGTCCTCATTAGTGAAACTTCCTCCTTTAATATGCGTGATACTTCTGGGATGTTTTTGAGTGAATTCTTCACCTAATCGATATGCAGATAACTCTTCAGGTGATACTCCAGTTAAGTCGTATTCCTCTGCCAAATGAGTCATGGCTTCTTCATCATTTAAAAATTCATGGGGTACATTCCCTCTGCCTGAATTACCATCTAGAAGACGACTATATTCATTAATTTCCCCGTTTCCAAAGTTGAACGACAAACCTTTAGCTATTAAAATACATCCCAAAATAAGGAATATGATAGCAACTAATATCAAGAATACCGACATTCCAGCGTCTACCACTGTTTGAGTCTCAATTGCCATATTGCGTGAAATGCAATATATCTGCCTAATCTACTACAAAGTCACGAAAATAACTCGATAGTTAAAGCAAATTGCTATCCCCGCCAAATATGAGTTATTAGACCCTACGACAACTTTGTGTTGATGAACGCTTTTTCTTATATCAGTTCCAGCAATTGAATAGTGGACCCAGTTAAAGGTTGACTTCAGGCCTGTCCCACAAAAAGTGTGTATTATGGCATCAATGATATCGTGTAGCAAAGGTCGTGGATATCCCAAGAAAGAAAATTTTTCCTTTATGTGCGACTTTTCACTGATATTATTTATGGCTGCAAATTGAAGTCAGGAACGGTATCTTAAAAAGTACTCAGTAAAATTCTTCTTCTACATCAGTTAAGCTGCATTACATATGTACTAATAGTGTGAAAAAGCATAAAGTTACATGACAGTTATGCAGATTATGAATGCATATTTACAAAATAGGCGCATTCATTTACGTGTGTATGCATATCTGCTAACATGCGCAAAATTATCAATGTGTATACGACGCACATGTAAATACATATGTTGAAGAAATATCATTTTCTCCTATTCTATTATTAGTGTTATCTTATGCAATACCATTATTATCTTTAATGATTTGATTTGCTTTGTTTCATCAAATGTCTAGACCCATCCTTAATGGTGTTGCAATAATGCTTATCCAATAATACATTCTCCCATATAGTAGCAGCTCCACTATTACATCTATCAAGTTCAACTTCTCTCTTGGATGTTTCAATGCCTAAAACATACAGACCTTCACCACTGATTCGTTCTTCTGTGTTCCATAGTCCCTTGACTTCTTCCCCATATCTGGAAACCAACTTGGCCACAAACTTAAGCGTAGCAATAGTGGTCCGCTCTGGAGCGTGCAAGGCTCCCATATGCAATCTTTTAATAAAAGCAGCAGCTCTAGAACTGGAACCGTTTCTAGACTTGAAAAAGATGAAGTCAAGACATCTAAGTAAAAGTTCAGCTTTAGTGGCCACGTTAACTGCAGGTTTATCAACAATGTCAACACGTCCAAGAGGATCTGCAAGTCGTAAAGTACGGTGAGACAATTCCAAATCTGCATCAAGCATGAAATCAACAATCACCGCATAAAGTGTGTTTGTAAATGCAGATAAATCAGTAGTAATAGGCAATTTACCCATAGAACTGTGGTTGAGAACAAGTGCAAATGATGTGGCTATACAAAGAAGTACTTGACGCACTTGAGTTCCATAGTAAACTCCTCCTATCAAGTCATCTTCATCATTATCATCATCCTCTTCATTATCTCCATCCTTCTCCTTTGTTGTGACAAGTGGATTGGTATCGTATAACGAATGCGACTCTACAATGTCCTGCATGATTTCTTTAAGCACCAGAAGAAAGTCTCCTAATAAGTCAAAATTAGCCATCTGGCCAAATCTTGATAACCCTTCCAATACTGCAGCCATCAACTGTGATGCATCTTGTGCAACAGAAGCAATCATTGTATACGTGCCTGCCTTTAAGATCTCCAAATACAATGTAAGCATCATCTTCAACACTTGAGCTTGATATTTTTCTCTTTCTTCTGCAGTAACAGCTTGTTCGGCAACACGCATCTCTTCTTCGATTTCCTTGCGTTCCTTCCGTGCCTTACGTTCCTTCTTTGATAAATGTACTCTGTCTTTCTTTTTCAATTTAGGCTTTGTGTGCTGGTCTTTATTGTTATTGGGGTCGTAATCTTCTAACAATGTCAACGAAAGGAAGACGTTAATCACAGACTCATCAACACGATATTTCTTGTCTCTTATAGCTTTGGTCATAATGGTAACAATATCAAAGGTGATGTCACCATGTTCGGCATCGTCTTGCAAAAGAGACTCAAGAACACGCACACATTTGGTGAAGACATCTAAATCATCAGGATGATTGGGTTTCCTATTCAATCTCTTGATAACAATGGAGAAAACCTCTTTCCTATAATTGAAGTGACGCAAACTCGATTGACAAAGTTCAACAGCGGCTTTAGTTGCTAAGGATCCCAATTTCTTTTGCATTAGAGTGATACTTTTGTTGCTTTCAGAGTTCAGGTATGAAATCTTGGAAAGCTGTGTTAAATGGTCGACAAACGCAGTGTAATTTTTCACTAAAGTTTGTTCGTATGTTCTGAGACGAGCAACTTCCTTGGTAACCTTTTCACGTTGTTCGGCATCAGTTAACGGACGTATTTTATACGACGGAGCAAGCGACTTGAAAATAGGGATTAATGCTGTTAATGCTAACTGACTAGTGACAGCATTCTTCAGGGTAGACATTTTACGTAACCGAGTTAAGTTTAGAATATGTTCTTCTGGGTTCTCAATAAGTCCTGACGCTAAATCTGAAATCTCTTCCTTGGTCTTTATAAGAAATTCTCTTGGAGTTAAATTGTCCAATTCGTCTTCTTCTTCTTCTGCTTCGTCTTCTTGTTGATTTTCATTAAGTTTATTGGAATCATCAGCTTCATTTTCATTATCAGTTTCAACTTCTTCTTCTGGCTTCTCTTTGGCTACTTCTTCTCTCATCACTCTCTTAACCATCCCTTCAGCTGTTTTGATGGGTAATGACTCCACTAGAGTTGCGTTTTTCTGTTTGGTGGTTGATCGGGGCTTCAATTCATAATCTTGTTCTTCATTGTCCCAATCTTTCACATCACTGTTTTCCACTTCCGTGGAGAACACACCGGTAGAAAGTAAATCATCTTGCTCCTGTTTAAGTTTCTTCCGACGGTCGTCAGCTGCTTGGTTTCTTCTTTTAGCCATCACCACCAGACGTAGAGACTGTTCTATGTTGGTTGTAGAGTGTTAGTTCATCTCATCTCATCACTTACTTTGAGAGATGCGCACAAAAAAGTGGGTTCCAAAAATGGAACATTTAAGCACGTGACCATAAATAACGTCTGTGCAAGTGCTTGCATTATGCGTAGTTGGGCGGTACAACTCTTAAATGTTTTAAGTGCTATATTTCAACGAAAAAGGCCGGAATATTACAAATGCCAGCATAATCTCCTACACAGATAAGAAATTGTTTACGATTGAAAAACGACTTGATTAGACCAAAATTGTGGAACGCACGGTATTAAACGAGACTATATTTATAGCAGTCGTAATTACTATTTTGAACGAAGGTATAAAGGAGTCACTTAGTCACGGGTGCAAAACTATCGCTTGATAATACGAGAAACCGTTTCTCGGCTCGACAGCAAACTGTTCCGAGAAAAGTAGCAGGTCAAACAAACGCGCGTCCTACAGATTAAAGAGGAGATTAATGGATGAGGTATGGCCAAATCATAAGTGCGTCAGTTACAAACTTTTTTCTCTGACGGATGTATACGATTTGTGGTTTGAAATTATTGGCTGATGGTTGGCGTAGACCATGATTACAACCGATGTTTGTTATTGTTATTCTAGGAAGGTAGTGTATTTTGTACCAAGAGATGAAGTCTACTTATCTCCTGATGTTATATGCACACAATTTGAAAAGGTAGTAACATGTTCGTAGCAGTATTGTTGCGATGTGAATAACAGACCAGCATAATAAGAACAAGCATAATCATACAGCATGTAGACGCATTGCTTATGGAGATGTATGGAATAAGAAATGTACGATATGTAGCATAAAAAAAAAGAATAATTCGAATAGACAATAGGAAAATAAAAATAAAGATAAATCTACTTTACGTGGTTTAATTCCGCTAAATCCGCAACGCAAGGTACTCTATACGAGTTGGGGCATCCCCCGAGGTGCAAGAAAAAAAAATTGCGTCGTATAGTTTACACATACAACTTTCGTATCCTGCATTCCCTTATATCTTTTAATATAAGCACCATTAGCTACGCCAATCTATTTTTTTATCTTTATAATCTTTCCTTAAAAACATAGCGGGTAATTTTTAATTACATCTTTCTATCAAATGAGTGTGAACGTCACATCGCCGGAATATATAGCCGGGGGGCCGGCTGCTGAGGTTGTTGTCTCCAATGGTTTAGTCAATACCGTAATCCAATTTCTTAGTTCAATGTCGTGGTTACAAGTAGTGGTTACCGCTATTGTTTTAGCAGTGAGCTATGATCAAGTTAGTTATCAACTTCAAAAAGGTTCTATTGCCGGACCCAAATATAAGATATGGCCCATCATTGGCCCATTTCTTGAGTCGTTAGACCCCAAGTTTGAAGAATATAAAGCCAAATGGGACAGTGGGAAGCTTTCATGTGTTCTGATTTTCCACAAGTTTGTTGTCATTGCCTCTGACAGAGATTTGAGTCGTAAGATTTTTCAATCTTCCAAATACGTGAAACCTTGTGTTGTTGATGTTGCAGTTAAGATCTTACGTCCTTCCAACTGGGTGTTTCTTGATGGTAAAGCTCACACCGATTATCGCCGTGGATTGAATGGATTATTTTCTCAAAAGGCTTTGGAAATCTATATCCCCGTCTTGGAAAAGAATATGGATCAATATTTGGAAAAGTTTCTTGAGTATGATAGTCCAAGAGAATTCTTCCCTGAGTTCAGAGAATTGTTGTGTGCCTTATCGTTAAGAACCTTCTGCGGTGATTATATCACCCAGGAACAAGTGGCAGAAATCGCAGACAACTATTATAGGGTCACCGCTGCTATGGAATTGGTCAACTTCCCCATCATTATCCCATACACTAAGACTTGGTATGGTAAAAAAATTGCTGACGAAACCATGAAGGTGTTTGAGAAATGTGCTGCCAAATCGAAGCAATACATTAACGAACAAAATGGTAAACCCCAATGTGTTATGGATGAATGGATCTATTTGATGAAGCAAGCTCGTGAACAACAATCTGAAGACCCTGAATCCAAATTACTTGTCAGAGAGTTTTCAAACAAAGAAATCTCCGAAGTCATTTTCACTTTCCTCTTTGCTTCTCAAGACGCTTCTTCTTCTCTTGCATGTTGGTTGTTCCAGATTGCATCCGATCGTCCAGATGTCGTTGCTAAAATTAGAAAGGAGCAATTGGAAGTGCGTAACAATGATCCTTCTGTCCCTCTTTCCCTTGACTTAATTAACAAGATGACCTATACTAATGCCGTGGTTAAGGAAACATTGAGATATAGACCTCCTGTTATTATGGTTCCCTATATGGCTAAACAAAACTTCCCTGTCACCGATTCTTATACTGTTCCTAAAGGTGCCATGGTTATTCCTTCTGTTTACCCGGCTCTTCATGACCCTGAAGTGTACCCTGACCCTGATTCATTCATTCCAGACAGATGGTTGAACGCCACCACGGATATGGAAACTCGTAATTGGTTAACCTTTGGTACCGGTCCACATTTGTGTCTTGGTCGTATTTATGTTCTCATGTTGTTCACGGGAATGTTGGGTAAGTATGTCTTGAATGCTGATTTGGTTCATCATAAGACGGAATTGTCTGAAGACATTAAAGTTTTCGCCACCATTTTCCCTAAGGATGATTTGATTATGGAATGGCATAGACGGGAGCCTACTGCAGCTTAACCAACAGTCCACTGTTGTTTTGTTTTATTGGATCCTACTCGTTCTATGTTATCATCACTATATATTTATGTTGGAAGGTTGTCAATCCACTCTGTATTCTCATTTATTTAGGCCGTCAAAGGACTTGGGTTCCTCTTATAGATTAGCTATCCATATCCAGACATTAATTTGTTAATTTTTAAACCACTTAGCATTTATTGTATGTCATCCAATTAACATATTTATAGATATAACTCCGCCCAATTCTGGCGCACTACCCTATTGTATACATGTACGAGTATATAGCAAGATGTGATGTTTATTATCTAAAAACGAAATAATAACGTAGTACGCATAACAGATGGGAAATGTGTATACGCATGTAGACATATGTAGACGTATTTATACGTACATGCATAAAAAAATAGATAAAAGTATTATTCTCTCATATGCATGTACTTATATATACGATATTCAATAACTTTGGTATCGGGAAATGAATTTATAAAACGGAGAACCTAGATGGCTGAATGGACATTATATTTAATTTAAAAATCACAAGTCAAAGAGTACTTCAACTTGTAATTTGCATCGAAAACACCCCAGTGCTTTTCAACATCAGAGATACCAGAAGTGTCAGGCTTCCAAGCTTCATCAAAAGCCTCAAAAACGGCAACATTCACACCCCAGCCTCTCATAGCACAGATAGCCTTTTGCCAGTAGGTCTTAGCGTTTTCAACAGATGGTTCGGCACTTTCAAAGTTAGTACCCTCAGTTGGCCAACCAGTTTCACCAACCCAGAAAGGAATATCAGTAGAACCTTTAGTAGTTTGAATAACTTGTAAAGCTTGCATGATATCATCAAAGAATGAGTAAGAAGAGTTTTGTTGAGTTTGACCTTGCCAGTAAGAGAAAGCATTGGCAAAGACAAAATCGGCTTCCTTGATGGCTGGTTGAGCCATACCATCAACCAAAACATTCCAAGAGTCGACGGTACCGACTTGAACAGAGGAGTAAGATTTACCATCTTTATCCTTGATTCCTTTCAATAAGTCTTTTATTTCAGAAATCTTTTCAGCCAAACCTTCACCGGTTAAATCACCTCTGTACATGGCTTCAGATCCAACAGTAAAGTATTTGACAGTAGAAATAGAGATGGTTGGCAAGTAAGTGGTTAAGGCATTCTTTTCGGCTTGGAAATGAGCGTCATCGGTGGGCCAAATACCCAACATCAATTGGAAACCAGCTTTTTCAGCAGCTGGACCAATCGTTTCCAAAGTGTTACAGTCAGAGACAGCATAAGTCTTGACAATCTTTGAATAACCTTCTAAAGTTTGGAAATCGGTGGCATATTCAGAGGCTGACTTACAGTTACCACTGTTATCTTGAACACCCAAGTTAAAGGCAAGCTAGGAGTAGGTATGTTAGTAAAAATGTTTCAAATGTATAAGACAGGAAAATCGTTCACATACATCACCGATAGCTGATACGGAAGATACAGCAGTAGCGAGTGCAATCAAGGTAGAGAACTTCATGATTAATATAACGATCGACAATCAATGAAACTTTGATGATAAAAAGAGAGTACGAAGAAGAAAAGATCCATCATATAAATTTAATAAACATTATAGCCGCCATATAGTATAGGTAAAAATTGGAAGACAAGAAGGAAGGAAGGCACCTGGCTCCAACAAGAGATTGATGCCACAAAAAGAAAAGCGACATTGCCCAAAACAGATTTCCGACGGCACAAATCTGCTTTCCGGGCTTAAAATGGGTTATATACCGATATGGGCTTATAAAGTGAGGAGATAACACCTTTATATGCCGTAATTAACGAGTTATATACCGCCTTGTGTGGATGTTTGAAAACTTTTATCACGTGGTGGTCTGGCCGGAATTGCAGCACATAAATAAACAAAAAAACAAAACAAACAAACAAAAAAAAGAAAACAACACTGGGAATGAATCTAAATATAGAAGCAACTTGAACGGTGATGAAAAATACGCTAGGGTTATATAATTTACGTGAATATCCTGGTCTGGAATCCCCTTTATACTATTTCAGGTAATAAGAAACGTTACTACTACGATCTAAATGTCTATGTAGAGAAATCCAGTAACTAAAATACGCTGCTCCACTATGGCTAACGCCTAACTAGGGTAACAGCAGCAGCACTATATTAACTGTAAAGGTTCAAAATTATGTGATATGTTCTGATCAATTACTTAGTTTGTTACTGTATTTTCGTTCCATTACCATACCATAAGTCACACTAACTGTGGGACTAATTTAGTGCGCTACCATTAAATTTCACGTGATGATGTCCCTTTCTGTTGCTGCAAATATCTGCTTCTTAATCAATTCCCTAGACAGCGAGTTAATGCAATGAAAACAGCATCTTCTACACGGGCTGCTGTTGGAACATTAATCCTACCATCAAACAATTGACTCACAGAGTCTATGGAACTCAATTGCGAGTCTGCCTTCTTCAAAGCTTCCAATTCTCTATCATTCGAAAACACCAATAAAACTCTGTCTTTGCTATTAGATGGTGGTTTCAGTTCTGTAGATACAACTGAGTTGCCAAAATAGTCTTGGCATAAAACATGCAATGAGCAAGTATAACCATCTTCAAATCCAGAACCTGTGAAAACCGCACTAAGCAGCCTAGCATGACGAACTTGATATCCAAATGTTCCTTTACATCCTTGAAATCCGTATGCTTCAAGAGGACTCACGACTTTCTTATTTGCAATGTCAACAGTGACTCTTACATTAACAGGAACATCCTGACCAACTAATTCTAAGGGTTCTTTCTCTCCAATGTTCACATATTTGGTAACACTTAATTTTGAACCTTTGACCTTCTTTCTCTTGTTCAGGGTTTGTGGTGTTCTTTTAGCAATTGTGAGGCCTTCTTTGAAACTACGATACACCTCATTGTTCGACATGAATGGTAACATTGATATTTTGGGAAGCTTCTTAGCTACTCCAAACTTATTTTTATATTGGTTTTTGGCAAAAACCGTTTGAACAAGATATGGAGGTGTGACAAAAAACTGCAATAAAGTTGCAAAGAGGACACCGTTATCAAATGTACGCATATCCTTTAATTGAGGCTCATTATTAACATTTTCATTAGAAGCCACTTTTGAATCCATCTTCTTGGTTTCTTCATCGTCATCGAACTTAAGTTTGGTTCCACCTTTATCTCCCTTTAGCACCACACTGGAATCGTAACTTTCTTCTTTCTCATTGGGAACATCTATAATTACAATCTCACTCACGTTGAATGTTGCAGCAGCTTTGGCTACCTGGTATGCTATATGGGTCACATGTTCTAAGTTGGCAGCATTAGTACGCGATATTATAGTTGATGGAATTGCAAGCGATACTTGTGGAGATGATGGCTTTCTACTGGGCTTTTTCACAGCCTTTTCCACCACTTCTGTCTTTTTTTTAGCTGCCATCTCTTTTTTTTTGCCTATTAACTAAAAAGCAATCGATGCTGTATTGTCAGTTTAGTAGTTGTAGGTATGGCTAGGTTACCGATGGCCCATCGCTCTATTAATTTTTCAGATTAGTCAAAGTACACGACTTGTAATAATCCTAAAAACTGCTCAAGGTAAGGACATATCTGTATATATTGGTTGCCAAATTTCTTTAATTAGCAAAACTACACCCATATATAAACAATGCAGTTCAAACGCACAATGGCAGAGTTCACGGTTAGTCAATTGATTCTAAATTAGTTCCCGTTTTCCTCAACAGCAGCTTCTTCGGAAGGTTCTTCAGTGGTTTCTTCCGAGGTTTCTTTTTCGTCTGCCTTCTTTTCTTCTTCAGCTTCCAACGCAGCAAGCTGGGCCTTGGCTCTTTCCATATTAACCTTGGTTTGCTCTTCTTGTTTGTCTTCCAAGGCCTTCAAAGTTTCCTTCAATACTTCGATGGTACCTTCAACATCTTCAGATTTGGTTGGTAATGGAATAGACAAGTTTCCTAAAGCAGCAATGACTTCTGGGTCAACAGTGAACTTAGTCTTGTTCTTTCTTTGTCTGTTGGCCTTCTTACCCTTAGTACCTTCAAAGAAAGCGACAGTTTCTTTTTTCAAGACAACAACATCTTCTGGCATTTCAACCTTACGAATGGATTTGTGGGTATTGATTTCACTAGCACCGTTAGCAGTGGAAGTTGATTTGGGAGCAGGCTTAACATATGCTGGATCAAAGTAAGCCAACAACGTATGTATGGAGTTGATTTCTTGAGTGAAAGCAGGTACAGAAGCTTCAGACAAAAGCTTCTCAGCAACTTCCTTCTTCTTTTGTAACTTTTCTTCTTGTTCACGAGCCTTGTTTTCTTCTTCTCTCTTCTTACGTTCCGCTGCTAAGGTAGCACGGAACTTATCCATTTCAGCATCGAAGTCAGCTCTCAACTTACGGATTGCGTTAAACTTAGCATCCTTCTGTTCTCTAAGTGCAGCTCTCTTCTTAACAAATTCGGATCTTTTAGTGGAAACGGACTTATTTTGTTCGTTAATTTCATCCAACTTCTTTTGGATTTCTTCAAAACGTGCTTGAACTTCCTTATTTTGCAAACCAGACAATTTCTTCTTCAATTCGGCAATCTTTGTCTTATCAGCATCAATCAAAGCTTGTTGCTTTTCAATGGCACCAAAATCCTTACGTAACTTACGCAAGCTAGACATTTCCTTAACAAACTTACGTTCTTCGGCCAATTTCAAAGTACCAGCATCAACTAAACCATCCAAATAGTCAATACGTGCGTCAATGTCAGCAACAGATTTGAAACTGTTTTTGGAAGTTTGTGCTTGGATTTCAGCAACTTTTCTCTTCAAACTTTGGTCAACTTGCTTAATTTGATCATTAACAGCATTACGTTCAGTCTTCAAACTAGATTGTTTAGAAATCAACAGTCTTAATTCAGTTTGTAATTCACTACGGGCTTCAGCATGCTTTGGATCCATAGTAGTCTTATCAAGTTGAGCAGTCAATTCGTTACTTGCCAAATCTAATTGGGCGATTTCCTTTCTTAAAGCTTCAATTTGCTTCTTGACAACTTCATCATCAGGACGTTTAATGAACTTTCTGGGAGGTTGTTGCTGAGACTTAGAAAAGCCAGCAGAAGAAGAAGGAGCATCGGAGGAAGACATCGTTCACGGGTGGGGTACAGTCAATAGTCTTTAAACTAGAAGCGAGAATAATAAAAGATGATCAAATATCAGTTAAGTAGATCAGATCAAACTAACGATTTCAATTATTAGATGGTCAGTATGAAATATTACAACACAACAACAAAAGAAAGAAGGAAAGTAGTGCAAAACAGTTTTAGCTGTGATTACCGTAAATATTCCAGTAAATTACTTTATCAATGAATCAATTGGCTAAGTGGAATCTTTTCTAATTTATTAAGTAGGAAAGGGCACCGTTGGCATTCAAAAAATTTTCAACGCAGATTGAGAAGCTTTGTGTAATAAAAGTCCAGAACAAATCACTATTGTTTACGTAATCTGATCTTTCTTTGAAGTCATATGTGCTGCTTGGTAAGTATGCAAACTTAATGAAGAATTATGGCCCACTTAAATGCTTGAAATTGGATGCACATAAATTATAAGCGTATATAGGAATCAAGCTAAGTTAATGAAAATTAGTCATTATCGTTTGAAAGGCTGAACCTAAAACAAATCAGTGATGATACTAATTACCTTTTTAGGTATATCACGTCATTTTGGGTCTTTTGATGCCTTTGTGGTATCTCGTTTAAATCATTAGAGTATTCACGAAGTGATACCATGGTAGCGCGTTTGCATGTTTTATTTCGAAGATACATACCTTCACCTTCATGATCCGTTAAAAAAAACTGCTACCAGCGTATGTAATTGTATATCTAGTACCGATTTTCTTAATATCCACGGATCAATCTGGATCTGGTGGTTGGCTTATATGGGTCTCAAATCCATGTGCCTATATATTTCGTTCCGCTACAATGTGGCACAAAACGCCAAACGAGTTGAGGTGGAAAAATCAACTCAAACCATCATCTCAATTCGTATTGGATCTCTTATCACCTAACCATACCACAGCCGTGCCTAAAAGGTCAGAGTTAAAACCATTAATTTATATATTCAGCAGAATATACACGGGAGTAAGTTGTTGACGATAACAATGTCTGAATACGAAAACTTGGTTAAGAGTTTGGACAAGTCTGCCATTCTTAGCAAATGGTCTGAGGTTACACCATTAGAACAGATTTCTGGGATTCCACGTTCTGCGGGCTCAGAATCTTCATCTGCCGATGAATTCCTTGCTGGACACGATGAAGAACAAATTCGTTTGATGGAGGAATTGTGCATTGTTTTAGACTACAATGATGAACCAGTTGGTGCTGGTACCAAGAAATTGTGTCATATCATGGATAATATCAATGAAGGTTTATTGCATCGTGCTTTCCTGGTTTTCCTTTTCAATGAACGTGGAGAATTACTTTTACAGCAAAGAGCTTCTGAAAAGATCACTTTTGCTGATATGTGGACTAACACTTGTTGTTCCCACCCTTTATGTGTTCCTAGTGAACTTGGAGTCTCTGAAACAAAGCGCGATATTAATAGTTTGGAAAATGCCGTTGCTGGTGCAAAAGTAGCTGCTCAAAGAAAGCTTGATCATGAGTTAGGTATTGCAATCAGGGATGTTCCAACTGAAAACTTTGATTATTTAACCAGAATTCACTACAAATCCCCAAGTGGAGCTAAAGACAGTAAATGGGGTGAACATGAAATTGATTACATTTTAATTTTAAAGACCAAGAATGATATTCCTTTGAACCCAAACTGGAATGAAGTAAGAGACCATAAATGGGTCACTGCTGATAAACTCCGGGAAATGTTTGAAGATTCATCTTTGGTCTTTACCCCATGGTTCAAATTGATTTGCCAATCCTTTTTGTTCAAATGGTGGGATAATTTGAGTGATTTGACCCAATTCCAAGACGATACTATTCACCGGTTGCTTTAAGAGTGAGTGACAACTACTTCCTTGTATTATTTTCTTGAATTATATTACTTTGCTCTTAATTGCATGATCCCTTTTTTGCATCTACTGCGTCATGAACTTACTTTCATTCTCTCATGACTCCTATATATGACTCGCTTATATGGCTCGTTTATATGACCTTCTCATCTTAGCATAGACAAATGCTTATTACTTATTATAAGTACCAACTGAGTCACGTGACGGAGCGAAGGTAAACTCTTTGAACCAGAGTCAACTATATATGACTCTGGTTACCCCGGCGTGTCTTGTTCCGAAAAAATAAGAAAAGACTCGTTCCCGTATTGACTCAGGCTCCGATTGCCGTTTTGGTACGCACTCTTACAAATGGCAATGCGTTAAGAAGATGGCCTCATAAAGGAGAAGACTGCCACTCCACAAAAATTCAACTACTGCTAATACTTAAGTTGTGTGATATATACATACATTTAGTAGAGTCTATTTTATACGTAAATAATGATTCGTGCCTTAGGAAGAAGACGCCAAGTCTGTGGGTTTATAAGAGCTCTCTCGACTTCAGAACGAGCCACAGCAGCAGCAGCAACATCATCATCAACATCTAAAACAGGAGATAGTGGTGCCCCTACTAAGAGAAGACAGAGAACTTTATTCTCTGATACGCTCAATCAAGGACCAAGTTTTGAAGATTTTGTTAATGGTAAAGCCCAAGATATGATAGTTGACCCATTGGAGGCAGCACGGTCTGATCCGGATCAGAGACTTCCCAAATGGTTAAAAGTTCCCATTCCCAAAGGTAAACTGTTTCATAATGTGAAAAAGGATGTTAGAGAACTTAAGTTAGCTACTGTTTGTGAAGAAGCCAGATGTCCAAACATAGGAGAATGTTGGGGTGGGAAGAAATCTGAATCTACAGCCACTATTATGCTTTTAGGTGATACTTGTACAAGAGGATGTCGATTCTGCAGTGTGAAGACTAATAGAAAGCCTTCTACACCCGATCCCAATGAGCCTGAAAATACAGCTGAAGCCATTAAAAGATGGGGGTTGGGCTACGTTGTTTTGACCACAGTCGATAGAGATGATTTAGTAGATGGAGGAGCTAAACATTTAGCTGAAACTGTTCGTAAGATTAAAGAAAAAGCTCCTCAAACATTGGTTGAAGTTTTAGGTGGAGATTTCCGTGGAGATTTAGAAATGGTTAAGATCTTAGCTAATAGCGGACTTGAAGTTTATGCACATAATATGGAAACCGTCGAAGCATTAACTCCACATGTTAGAGATCGTAGGGCAACCTACAGACAATCCTTAGCAGTGCTTAGAACTGCTAAAGAATTCAAACCTTCATTGGTTACAAAGACTTCATTGATGTTGGGATTCGGAGAAACAGATGAACAATTAATCCAAACTCTTAAAGATTTACGTGAAGTGGGTTGTGATGTTGTAACCTTCGGTCAATATATGAGACCTACAAAGAGGCATATGAAGGTTGTTGAATATGTTACTCCTCAGAAGTTTGACTATTGGAGAGACAAGGCTTTAGAAATGGGATTTTTGTATGTTGCATCTGGTCCATTGGTCAGATCGTCTTATAAAGCTGGTGAAGCATATATTGAGAATGTCATTAGAAAGAGGAGACACAATGTGGGAGAAACACCCAGACTTCTGGAAGTAATTTCTCCCAATGTTTTCAAGTCTGATAATGTATAGCATTATTATTTGTATATATCCAAGGTATAATACCTTCTTACTCAACCTGTATATCCAGTGCCATATATTTAGATTTAGATCAAGTATTGGGTTGGTGTTGGGGTGTTCCTGTGTTCGGGTATTGTGGTGTCCGGGTGTCGAATCATGAAACACAAAGGTCTCAGAAAATCACTAAATGAAATCAAAAGGGATACAATTACAACTTTATATATAGAAAAATTACCACCAATCATACGTATCACATTTATTGTTGATACTGTGTCTATTTATAGATGTATCATATTTATTGAACCATAATGAGTAATCTTAGAGAGAAACTAGAGAAGGAAAATGATAGTGAAGAGTCACTCATATCCCAATTTGAAACCACCTTAACCTTTAGACCAACATCAAACGCAGACTATGGAGGTGGTGGTGATGGAGGTGATGATATCACGATCGACCAGACCCAGGACTTCAATGTAACCTCTATGAACTACACCAGAGATGTTAGTATTGTTGGAATAGAAGAATTGGAGGAAGAGGAGTTGATGCTGGAACAAATCCCAAAGTTCAAAACAAGAAATAGATACAGCTTACTCCCCAATTTAGCAACTAAGGAATTCAAAGATGAAAGGGATTCAATAAGAAGTTCTTCTCGTGATGGGTCACCTTCTTTATCTTCATATGGTAATTTGGATTCCACCAAATACAAGGATATCTTAAGGCCGTCTCCATTGATTGATATCGCATTGGAACGGTTCCATAAGGCCTTCGATTTGTTTCTTGATTCCAATCCTCATATCAAAAGTGAATCACCCCGGTTTCGTAATGAAAAAGATCGGACTTTGGTGGTGTTATCTCCGTATTCTTCCGAACATGCTTTTGGAAGACTGTGGGTTTCGAAATCTTATTTATCAACAATCTTTGAACGTCCACAACGATTACTTGCTTCGTGTCTTGGTATTTCGGCTGCATTGACCATGTTCCCCTTTTTTTATCAAATTATTAACTCCACTAAAAGAGGGTCTCTATTTTCTCCTCATGTTCGTCGAATCCACGGTAAAAACTGGCCCAAAAAATTGGTTGAACTTTGTTTAGAATCTCATGATAAATTGTTAGATGATGAAATAGAAGTTCCGGAAGGTTGGAATGCTGGTGATATTTATTTAACTCCGAAAACCATCAATGCTATAGAAGGAGTTATAGGAACAATCGAAACAGCCATTGATAATGTCATTGGTAACATCAGCAGTAAAGATAATTATGATTTGGCATTTGTTGTAATTAGACCTCCAGGTCACCATTCACATGCTTGTTTACCAAGTGGATTTTGCTTGTTGAATAATGTTCAAATAGGTATCGAATACGCTGCTGATAAATATAAAGTCAGTCATGTTGCTATTTTAGATATAGATTTGCATCATGGTGATGGTTCACAAGATATTTGCTGGGAACGTGCAGGGTTTGCTGGTGATTATGGTAAAGATGATTTTCAAGATTTAGATGAAGATGAATTGCGTAATAATCCTAGAAATGATTATGGGAAACGTACGGCTGGTTATCCTAAAGTTGGATATTTTTCTTTACATGATATTCGTAGTTACCCCACGGAATTGGGTTATGCCACTAGAGAAAACATTAAGAATGCTTCCCTATGCATTATGGATCATGATTTAACCATTTGGAACGTTCATTTACAATCATGGGCCACTGAAGATGAGTTTTATAAGCATTATCTGACGAAATATGTTGCTTTGCTTAATCGAGCCAATCAATTCTTGAATACTGCAAAGAAAGAATATGAAGCTGCGTATCAAGAATATTTGACAGATTTAGCAAAGTACAACAAATATCTTATGAAACCTCATCTATATGGGAATCAAAGTATTAAACGACCTGAGATTCCTCAACCTTTTAACCCATTGATTATGATATCTGCTGGATTTGATGCTCTGGAGTATGAAAACCCACAAATGCAGAGACATGGGATTAATGTTCCCACATCATTTTATGCAAAGTTTACTAAAGATGTTGTTAAATTGGCCAAAATTCATACCAACGGGAAAGTGGTTTCCTTTTTGGAAGGTGGTTATTCCGATGGAGCATTATCAACAGGAATATTTTCTCATTTAATTGGGTTAACGAATGACGATGATATTCAATGGAATGAAACTTGGGGTAGTCAACAGGTTATGAAAGAATTATCCAAAGGATGTAAGAAAAACTGGACTCCTTATAAGAATCCTAATGCTGAGATTACTGTTTGGGCTAATGAAGTGATCAAATTAGGTAGAGCAATGATGCCTAATGCAATTTTACCTGCGAATTATATTTATCACTATGAGCCTACAAATTCAAAATCTTCAGGGATGACAGCTAGTTCAATTGGAAGTGGGGGTGGAGGAACTGCTTCAGAAAGAATTGGTTCTAATAATTCTTTACAGCTGCACTCAATGGTTGGATCCAAAGATCTTGTCAATCCACCACCAATACACAAGATGGTTAAGGAGATTTTGGCGGATGGATCCGAAGCAATTGAGTCAAGTCCTATTAAAGCTGATCCTGAAGATTCTAGACGAATAATTAGACACACAAGATCTTATTTCAAGAAAGTGAACAACGGTAAAGACAGATAGAATAAGATTTTAGTAGTGTATATAGGATTTATAGAATGTACTATACTTTAACTGTTGACATATGGGGAAAGTTTAATAGATATAGTCGTATAGTACGAATCGTATCGTATGAATCGTATAGTACGAGTTGTTGTTAATAATTTGCTCGTGCTTGTAATCTCCATGCATAATGTGTTAAAAAGCAAGTATATGTAGGTTTCCTTAATAGGCAGTTTGCTAGGTGAAAAGAGACATGAACACAAGATCTGGTAGCAATCTCAAGCCATTCCAAGCGATACATTCAATTAGAGCCGTAAAAAGCAACATGAAAGCATGTGAATTAATGCAAAACAATGTCGATTTCTAAAGCTCATATGTTCAATTTTATACATATTAGAGACAACCCATGGGTAAGAAGAAAACGATTGATTGTTTTAGCCGTACGTATTTCTTCACCATTTCTTAACACGAAGAAGTCCACGTACATTGAAATGATCTATCTGCAGGATTGATGTTTTGGGTAGCGCGGGGAAGTAATTTGAGGAAGCCTTAACGAAGAAAGTACGCAATAAAGTTGACCAAAACCTCAGATGAAATAAGTTTACTACATTCCATTTAAAAGTATTCCGTTAACAATTGGCATTGCGAACCAGCCTTCCCAAAGGCGTGAACGTGAAAGAAGATATTTGGGAATTAGTATAGAGATCCTTGTCTGTACAAATTTTCAGGGGCTTTAATTATTGTTATCGCATGTATTATTAGATCGCTTGACGTATCACCACTTTATATTAGGTTAAACATGAGTGGCAAAATAATACCACGAGACCGAGAGATTCATCTAGACGACAAGAGTAATGAAATATGCGATGATGAAGATGCCGTGATTTCAGAGTCATCCCCCACACGCAATGGAGGAGTATATAATTTGACTGCTAATACGGTGTTTGGTGGTAATAATAGCAAGAATAATGAGAACGACCATGTGAGTCCAAGTGATCCATTATTTGATAGAGCCAATATAAATGATGCAGATTTCATTGAGATGCTTATAAAAGAGAACCAAGAGCTTAAAGCGTTACAACAAAAGCACCAAAGACAAATCTTGATGTTGAATTCCAGAATAGAGACTTTAGAATCTTCAACGTCGTCAGAAAGTCCTTCTAACAACTTATCCAAGAAATTAAGCAACCCTAAAGATGAAACATCTTCATGTTTCAGTGAGCAACGTTCGATAGAAGAGCCGAAGAATGATGATATACCCCAGAGATCAGAAAGACGAAACCATCTCAACAAGACTTTACCTATGGCACCATCATCAACATCGATTTCTTCCATAGTTAGTCATCCGCATACTATTGACTCTTCAAGTATACTATCAGAGGGGACTAAGTCTAACTTGGCCAGTGAGAGTTCAGAGATGCTTTCTTCCCCTATAGATACTACTTCAGGGTCGGGTATTATGGATCGTGCGGTAAATACTGGTGGTATTGGTGCTACTACTGCAGCTTCATCAGTGAAAATGGCCGCAGTATATCAAAATAAACTGATCAAGAATAGCAGTACCTCAAGTATAGGAAGTGGAAGCGGAAGTGCTGGTTCAACATATAAATCCAGACTTAAACTACCCGCAACACTACAAGCACAAGGACAAGGACAACAATCTCAAGCACAACAGATATCGAAGAGAACTCTGGATTCATCAAATGGATCTCAAAGCAAGTCAATTTCCACACCACAACTACCATCACTGCTGGTGATGAACTCCATAACTACACCTCAACAACTGCAACATTCTTCTCGCAACTCTTACAAGAGATCGTCATCAACGTATGCTGATTCCCCACAGGGAGATAGTGTGACTCCACAAACACCTCGCCAACAGAATAAGTATTACCACGATTCACCACCAATTGTTACACCTTATGCTAATTTTCAGACCAATGAGAAGCCTATTTTCAAGTCACCGGAGAGACCTTCTTCGACAGCTGATGGTAATCAGCAACATCATCACCATTTGGATGTGGGCTCTAAATCTATTGGAGGTTTCCTAAGTCGACGGAGAAGAGGTAACCTGACAACAGAGACAATACATTCTGGGATAGGTAGTTCTGGCACTAATGAGTTACCCCGATCTCCAACCAAGAATGTCCACACACCAGCAACGCAGGTAATTCTGGTGTTCCAAAGTTTAAGCGATCGTAAAAGCATACCCAACTCACCTGAGAGTTTAGCTGTCAATAGTAGACATGATCTTCACGGAACAGACGTTCACAGTTATATTTCATCTCCATTACCTAATTCTTTTCAACACAATCTTTCATCACCACAACGAAGTTTCCTGACCGACACTGAAAGCTCTAAAGGGGGGTCAGAGAGTTATACCAAGAACAGCAATCGAAGTCAAACATTAGGTACGTTCTCAGTATTGAACAATAGTACAAAGGAAGAAGACTATTCCAAGTTATTTATCAAGCCAGAAGATTTTGGGACCATTATGGTGTCAGCTATCAGTACACTTTCCTTAGGTAAGAATGAAGAACCCCACTGTATATTAGGGGCCGTTGATAGATCAACGTCAAAGGAAATGTGGAAGGTTAAGAAGAATTATATTCAACTCTTGGCTCTTGATAATGACATCAGACCTTCACTTGGATGTTTTGGCTTACCACAATTACCAGATAAATCGTCCTTCTATTCCAACATTCCCACCAAGGTTGACATGCGGAGGATCACCATTCAAGATTATTTCAACTCCATCTTTGTCATGCCCCATGTCCCCCATCTGGTGTTGTATGCACTTTGTTTGTTTTTATCGTGTGATATCGTTAACCCGTTGGATGATTTCCGTAGTGGCTCTGCAAAGGAAGGGTACCTTATTCGGAAGTATAAAGGGTTTGGAACGTCTTGGAAAGTTCGTTGGTGTCAAGTTGATGGTCCTGTTTTGGAAGTGTATGATTCGCCTGGGGGCACCTTGGTAGAACTGCTTCAATTACAAGGGGTTTCTATAGGAAGACAAAGTAATGACTCAGTTGCTGATGAAAGAGGATATCGCCATGCGTTTTTGATCATGGAGAGTACCAAATCGACCAAATTATCAAGTTCTAAGCATTTTTTCTGTGCTGAAAGTGATACCGATAGAGATGATTGGATAACTGTGTTGTTGCAATATGCTACTACTCCCGGCGGAGGTGATTCATCCTCATCATCTTATTTGGAACAAGGAGGAACCTGTTCGTCCATGCAAACACCCACTAGCAAATACGATGGCGGAGGAGGAGTGGATGAATTAGATTATGGGGGGTATACGCAAGGGTCAAGGCACAATAATAATCTTGGAACGTCGACACCAACATCTACGTATGAAGAAGCATTAGTAGCTGATAGCTCCATGTTAACCACCAATACGACCGGTACCGGTTCAAGTACCGGTATGACTACGATGGACGAGTCCAAGGAACGGAAACAAACTTCTAATTCCAGCAAGATCCGATCATTGTTCCCCTTCGGTAAAGCTAGTCGGAATCATACGTCCGATAGTGTTAGCGCGACTGGAGGAGGTGACGATACACTAGTGCCATCTGATGGGCCACCACTGAATAACTCTCATGAGATTGACTATTACTTGAAACAGATGCAACTAGACGACCAAATGGCCAAGGCTATTTTTGGCAGAGAAATCGACTATGGATATAACCTATCAAGTGGAGTGTTCTACAACAGAAGCATTCCCAGTGTTCTCAGTCGATGTTTGATTTACATGAATAGAACAGGAGCCATTTACGAAGAAGGGATCTTTAGATTGAGTGGATCTGCTTCTACTATACGGCAATTGAAGGACAAGTTCAATAAGGAGTACGACGTGGATCTTTTCCAAACGTCCTTGAAGCCTGACATTCATACCGTGGCTGGGTTATTCAAAACATACTTGCGAGAATTGCCATCACCCATCTTTGGCTTGAAGGCGTACTCCAAATTGAACTCCTTAGCCCATTCAGGCAAATCAGACAGGGACATTGCTATTGAGTACCAACACTACATCAATACGACTTCAGACATTGAAAAGTTGAATTACGATGTGTGTTACGTAATCTTCCGGTTCCTTCGAGAGGTGATTGCCCAATGCCGCAACAACAAAATGAACACAAGAAACATGTGTATAGTGTTTGTGCCGACATTGAATGTCTCGGTGGAAGTGTTGATCCCTTTTCTTGTTGATTTCGAGTGTATTTTTGAAGGGGGTGTTCCTATTCCGGATTCTCAACGGGAGATCTTGGACGTTAACATCCCCCTGTTCTAAGGGGGGGTAGCCTCGTCATAATGAAACAATTATCTATGCGTAATAATAAATAAACAATAATATTTACGTACGTACTTAATTTACCATTCACACTCACCAGTAGCTTTCTGAAACACGTAATCCTTACCATTGATATTAGCAACACCTTCTTTCAAATTGGACTTCCACTTGTTTTTGACTCTTTGAACCTTGTCGTACAAACAAAGCATGATTTGACCCTCTTGGTCTGCATCTTCATCGTCACTCTTTTCACTTTCTAAACCTTCATCTAAATCAGAGTTTATGTCGTCCGAATCGTTAAATATATCTGAATCGTCTTCGTCGTCATCATCGTCATCCGGTCCATCGTTCTGCTTTATTCTCTTCAGTAGTAATTGTTTCTTTTCGGCAATAGTGTGTTTCTTCAAACCCTTCCACAAATCACTGGCCTGATCGGTTTCAATGGTGAATTCAAACGTACCATCTGTTTGAGATAAGTTGGGAAGCATTAATCCCCCAGTGGTGTCTACTGATGGAATAATAGTCGGGATCTGAAGACCATTGTCTGATGCTTCTTCTGTCAATTCGGGTGCAACATCATTGTTAGTAGCATAGGATAATTCAGGCCCTCCCAATAAATCGTTATTGTTATTAATATTATTATTGTTGTTGTTATCATTATTATTATTATTATTAATACTGGTATTATGATTGGTGGTATTTGAAGTTATGGCATTTATATTGGTGTTCGGGTGTTGTTCCTCATCTTCCCACCCAAACTTTGCTACTTTTGATTGGCTTAATTTATCACACCAGATTCTTCTTAACTCCTGAAGAGTAGATTCATCAATACCACTATTTTCAAAATCTTCTCTTGATCCACTAATGACTTCCTCTATGACGTATTCATAGAGTTTGGTGGCTTGGGCATTAGACATGGTGGGGTAAAATAAAACTTGTCCAATTGAATTGGGGGACACTGGTGGGGGTCAGAACGTCAAAAAATCAATCCAGATAGAACTGTTCTTCAGCTGAAAACGTTCTACAATCTATGATTAAGTAATGGTGGTTAATTGTGTTGAGTTTCTACTTGAGGTCGCAAATTTTTATACTCTACAAATGTTACACAAAAGTGGGCCACTAGGTTACCACCATTTGAGTTTACACTTTTATTTCAACTTTTATATCTACTATGACACTTCTATTATTGATATTATCATTATCATCTATGTGTTACGGTCATCTTTAAAGAATTGCTCTCGTATGTTGACTACTGCACACACGTTATTACCCACGCGTTCTACGCATAGACTATTACCCATATTTTGTCAGGCTCCCCATGCCAAACCATTACTTTAACGACTGTTACATACTATTACGTACACTAACAATTCTTGTATTATTCTCAATTCATACGGAGGGTACTCCACTATACTCTATTAAATTATGGGTGTGAGCCTTATTGTATCAACGCTTCTATATCACCGGTGTTTCACTCTAAGAACTACAATGCTTCAATATGTTACATAGTAAACATAAGGCTACGCAGTACCACCAATCCAACCAAATGCACAACTAATGGTAGTATGTACTAGAATACTGTTATTATAGTTATTTGTACAACTATATGTTGCATCAACAGTTTGTGCCGGTACACGAGTATTTTCTTATACTACGCTGTATATTCCTCAAACTATACTGAATTATAATTACTTTCACAGTTGCTTGGATTTAGTCCCACTGACCATCTGCATTAACCTTTTAACTTCCAGTTGAGACCTTTCGTATTTGGTTTGTAATGATGATACCTTCTCGTTCCATGTAGCTTCACGAGCTTGAATTCTTTGAGCTAATTTCTTGGAATACTCACTATGTAAGAAATGCTCAATTCTCTTATTATTACTTTCCAATGCATCAACTTCACGACGAAGATTCTCAACAGTCTTAGCATCATTACTAAATTCAGCATTTTGTTGGTGCAAGAAATCGACCCTCTTAATTGCATCCACTAATTCAACTTCTTTTTCATGTAAAGCTGATTTAACAGTATCAATTTCATTTTCTAATTTTGATACTTCGGCTTCAAGGTCGGCAATTTTCTCCGATTTAATAGAAAGCTCACTATAAGCATGTGTATTCTTTTCCAATAATTTTTCTTCACCAGAAAGTAATTGAGATATTTGTTCATTCTTGGAATCAATGGTATCTTGCATTTGTACTTTGGTTTCAACAAGTTTTTCAATATATAAATCCTTTTCATCCATTTGTTCTTGTAATGTAATCGCCGATTGTTCTAATCGAGAAATGGTATCTGATTTTCCCTTCATCTGAATAGAGTAATAATCAGTCATAAACTGAAAATTATCTAATAAATGCTTGGAAATCCCCACATCATAAGCAACTTGTTCTTGAAGTATTGAAATGGTTTCCTTTAGTTTCTGATCATTAGATACTTTGTTTTCAAGCGCAGTCATAAATTCCTCGCTTCTATCAACTGATGGGGCTTTAACTTCACTAATTGGAGATTCAAAATCATAAACATCCTTGGTAATCGGTGACAAAACCATATCATCTTGTTCACCACCACCACTACTATTATTCTTTATACCATTTGATATTTCAGGTTCTTCAATCTCAATGGTTTTAGAAGCAGCTAAACGTACTTCCTTGTCATATTGGATTTCATGAGATTGATCATTAGTATCACGACTTTGTCCCTTTCCATAATCAACGGTTATATTCTCCTTATCGGGTTCATTCAAATATGCTGCCTTCGTGAGGTCTCTATCGGTATATTCCATTACGTTAGTGCGAGTAACATCTTCTTCTCTTAAACTAGGATCAAAATCTATAGGATCAGGGATAGTACCTTGACGATTAGTTGGTGATGATAGCCCGTCAAAATCCAGATCTTCGTGATTAGGAGGGCTCATTTTAGGGATCTTAGTTTTCAGTGATAATAATCTTTTGACACTAGGTTCAGTGTTAGGAGCAGCAGGATCACCGTTACGTTTCTTACGATATTTTTCTAAAGGAGATGATCTGGTACTGGAGCAAGAAGATTTAGACATTTGAGGATGTTTAAAGTCCTCAATATCTAATTTTGTTCCTCCCACCACTTTATTCCGTGAAACAGTAGCAGATTTGGAGTTAAATATCGTGGATCCTTGTAACGGAGTAACGGAGCCTATTTCGGCGGCACTATGAGGTTCTCCGTGGCGAGAAATATGTTTTGAATGCAATCCATGAGGATGAGATCCTAGAGATGCACCTCTTTGAGTTGAAGAGCTCAAAGACGTGAATGATTTATGATGATCAGGAGTACCCATTTGGAGGAGAAACAAGTAATTATCACAACCACAACTGTCAGTATAACAATTATATTGTGATCAGTAATAAATTGATTGGTATGATGAGCGGATCACGATCAGTATTCTGAACTCAAGTTAGTAGTATAGTTATCGTATTATAAAAGGAACTAATGTTATGTTTACTTTGGGGCACCAATACTATATTAATTTTCGGCTTGTTATATGCCGGATATGGACGAACTTTTATGGCTGCGAATACGTGGAATCGTGTTTCGTACCAATTAGTGACTATTTTAGCGGGGGACTACATTTTAGGTTGTTTGATGAAAGGCCTCCGTACTTAATGGTTAATGAGTATAAAGAAAAACTATAACAAAGATAAACGATAATAAAATATAGCTACACGGTTTGCAGACAATGTTCCGCATAAAATAATCAATCAACCAATCAAGCAAAAAAATAGGGTGGAGCTAAAAGGGAAGCTCACGCCGATAAAACACCAGTAAAAAAGACATATTTAAAAGTAAAACAGTACACACCGCTGCCGGCAAGCGGGACTGGAAATGGAAACAAATTTTAGACGCGAGGACTTTTGTTAATAGAGTTTAATAAAACCTATAAGTAGTAGTGTTCTTCTTCTATTCTCACTGTTGAAAGTGAGCTTCGTATAACGATAGCAGTGGGTATATACTGGTGCCCATGGATAGAAGGTCCCAGTATAAAGCAAATACTGTCTTTTGTGAGTGTATGGGCGCCTCATTTCAACGTGCGGTTCGCCATATGTAAAATAGGTTCTTTCGCAGTCGTCATAGGCTTTAAAGGGCTATGGCCCGTTTTATAGTGGTAATATAATAAAGTATAACATAAGCACTTGAGTCCAAGGCTTCTGAGTTAAATCATAATTGAGTTCTAGAACCAGCAAAACAATATTGTCTGTATTATTGTGTCTGGCTGACTTAGTACCCTTAGTACAAATAATAGAATCCATCTCTCTTTCTCAACTCAGGAACTGTGCTGTTGACATAAGATGTGGTTGGAGTAGCTGAGGATGAGATGGTCACTAAGTTGGTTTGAGTAACTTCAATGTATGAGGTGACTGTGAGAGTGGTATCAGATTGGGAGAATGTTGCAGTAACAGGTATAGCGGTAGTCTTAGTAATCATGGAATAGCCAGTAGGAGTGGTTGGGGTTGCAGTGACAGTTTCTGTTTCTGTTGCGGTAACAGTGACAGTTTCAGCGACACATCCAGTTGACGTAGAGATCAAAGCTTCGGTGTGAGTCCCAGAGTCATCGGTAACAGTGACAAATCTGGTGATGGTGGAGGTGGTTTCTTCGTCAGCTTCAGTTTCAGTAGCAGTTTCGGTAGAAGGAGAGGAAGGAGCCACAGTGACAGAAGAGTCTTCGTGCACAGATGTCGTTGTTTGGACAGTTTGGGTGGCTATGGTTGAAGTAAGAGTGTTTGTAGGGACTTCAGTAGTGACAGAGTCTGAAACAATTGTTTCATACATGGTGATGGTTGAGGTCAAGGTGACATCAGAAGTGTATTCGTAGACATCACTTGATTCAGCAGCAGCTTCCTTGGAGGCAGAAGAAACGGCCAATTCAGCGGAAGAAACAGCTGAAGTATCGGAAGTTGCCAACGTTAAAGTTGTGGATGGTAGAGTAACGGTTATATAAGCGTTAACGGTGATAGTGGTATCAATTTCTGAGGAACTGGCAATGGCAGAAGAAGTGGTATCAGTAATAGTACTGTTATCGTACCTTTTATAAGGCATTGCAGCCACAGAAGTAGCCAACAAAACAAGGGAAGCGAACAACATTATAGCTTTGGTTTCGATTGATAGATAATTTTAAACTTTCCGGGGGGATATTTCAAACGACGGACTTAGAGTCGGGGTATAAAAGGGTCAGAATCGATAGTTTTCTAAGGAATGGACGCGATAGAAGTACGCAAGAAAATGAAAGGACGGATGGGAATATCAATGGAATTAAAGATAAATCTCACTGACTTAAAAGGAAATCTACGATTCCAAAAAGTTTTACGGAACTCGGGTAGTATAAATACTCAGGACACATTTCCTACCCAAAAATGTGACGGAATGGTGCATCTGCATCTCTGAAACATAGACGTTTGCAACATACATGCTTTGGCAAATTCGCGTCTATTTGGAAAAGTCAACAAACAGGCACCAAGCAGGAACCAACTCTTCTGCACAGGAAAGCTATGTTTCAGCTTCTAAATTGTTGTCAAAATGTATCCTTAGAATCGGGGCATACTCCGGGTGCTAAGAATAATTTTTTCATAGATGAGTAGCTTTCGAGGACCAAGCCAAGCATTGAAACGGTGCTCATTTTTCTTCGTTCTATCCATTAGATGGCGGGGCGGAAGAGTGTGATAAAATGAGGCTAAGTTTTTCGCACCCATTCTCTAATAGTAACCAAGAGGAACGTTGTACATGCTGATATATATGCTATCTTGATCTCCTTTGATATAAATTAGCGGTTATTCTGGATGTTCTGGTGTTTGACATTAGATCATCACCCCCATTATATCCTGATGAGGCCGGTCATCGGTTGCTGTGTGCAACAACATCATACATACAGATGATCTTTGGTGATACCAAGAAAGTCGTCCCCCTTTCGCACTCACTATGGGTTTCAATTCGTGATTCGTGTTGGACTCAAACCATCAATTATAATGAAACGAGACGTTTTCCTATTGGCTTGTTTGTTTATTTAATTGTGTTTTTGTTTACTTACTTATAATCAGGATGTGACGTTATACGATTTGTATACTAGTATAATTCGTTGCAACATCTGTTGAGCAGAATCGCTATTTTCTTCCACTCAACCTGAACCTGAAGCTTGAAAATTTCGGAGACTAACTTAATGGACTTTTCTTTTTAATAGCTGGGGCCACCGCTTCGGCCCCTATTGCAAGTTAATGTTTGAATTTAGTTCAAGTTGGGGACTTAGCGACCACTGGAGACTGCATTCTCAAGTATGAAACAGTTTCTTTCTCCTTTGGGTCAGATTCCTGCCCAACGTTGTAGTTTTCGTCTGAGTATGGAATACTGATTTGGTCCTGTATGTGAGCTACTACTATTGGAATCTACTATTTGGTGATGCCCTAAATTGGCAACATTGTACATTGAGTGGGAGTATCCTCGTCGTCTGTCAAATGTAGCAGATCTAGGATTTCGATAAAATCAAACAATACTTATGCCTTTAATTGCCGTTAGCTTGAAACATGAATAGACTCTCGTTTAAACCTTTTACATAACAATAGTAACACAACTAGGCAATGAGTACCATTTTTTCACTTACTAGATGGTCTGACCCTCAGGTACTAATGTTTAAGTGCTGCTTTAAGGAATCGTGTGCTTTAACTCCTTGACACCCTAAAACCAATTTTTATATTGCTAACCATTGAGTTAAGTATGGCTGTAGACTATTTTCTAGTATGTTTAAATTGTAAATATGTCTTTAGCTGAGATCAATCGTGCAATGATGTTGATCGTCGTTACTGCTCCTTCTTTTTGCAAGAAATTCTGCCTCTTTTCTGTAAAAATTATGGTTATTGTTTGGGGTGAAATTCTTTTCGCAGCCAATAACCATTTAACAAGCGAACGTCGCAGAGACTACATTCTACTACTTGCTCCGCTTACATAAAAGTAATATAACCTTTTATGGATACTATTCCCTGTTTCCATCTCTGCTAATCGAAGCCAATAACTGATTCCGTTAATCCTTGCCATTTGAAATCAAATATTAAACTGTACGTCTGAGCCAAAGCAAGTGAATGGAAGATTTGCTGTAAGGTCTGTTTTTAATACCACCCACACATGTCATGAATGCTTACTTTTTAACAGAGAATTACAATGTTAGTACGTTGAATTAAGCTACTAGTCTCTAAAAATTCAACCTTTCCTAGCTGCTTTTACAAGTTTAAATAAAAACCTTTAACTCTGAAATAGGTATGCTCTTGCTTGCTAAATCATCCATTCTGCCCCTCACAACTACAAAAACTGCACATTCAAATTATAATGATCTACTTCTTGCACTGTGGATAACATTCTTTACATAACAAAACTTACATCACTTCCAAAGTCATGGCCATAGTGATGGAGAATAGATAATTCCTGGTTGCTTTTCTCTACAGAGGCAATCCTTTAGAAGTGAGATCTTTTGATATAATACATAAAGTTCGAAAACACATTACACCTTTCAAGATTCTGCATAGTCGTTTTGAAAGTTATAATAGTGGATTATAAACAGCCAGCATGGCTTATAAACACACAAGACCATCGTTCAAGTCGGACAACTGTATATCACTATGTGAGCGTTTGAAAGGGGAACCCAACGATAGTTATCTCGGAGGACGGTCGGGGGTTTTTCGATATCCCAAAAGTTGGCCGTTTAGTATGTGGATAAGGTAGCACATGACTACTACACCAAAACACAAAACAAGGCGGCAGCATTTAAGATCAATTCAAGTTTGTTGACTCCATCACATGATGGCACAACTAAAATAAAAAGTTTAATTGTGCTATTGATTCTTCAGGCGATAGGAGCAATCACGGCGTCTGTCATCTCAGAAATCATTTACCCAAAGTTAATATAGTTGACTACAAGCAACTTGAACCTGACTATACGTACTAGCGGAGGTGAAACAGCAATAAAAATATACACTGATAGAGTCTAGTTTGTTGTCCTTCTAAGGCTCTTCTAATTATTCAAAATCTACTAAACTGATTTCATAGATGAAAGCGATCCGTGTGTTTATTTTGGGAAGCATTGGAAGGTAGAGATTCGTGGGTGATTTTTCGCAGCCAAACAGTGTATGATGGAAAGCGTATAACAATTGCCCGTCCCTACCAAATTTTAACAAAAGAACAGCCAAACAATAGACATGAACTTATATAAGCCCCTAATAATAGGAATGCCACTTTTATGAGCACCTTGTTTGATAGCGTTTATTGTCGACACTATGTAGTTATGTTAAAGAAGTAATGTCGCATTTTGCGCGACATACGACATGAAGCGCTCTTGCGATATCTACACTGAGAAATTGAAAAATTTTTGACCATACAACCATATTAAGCATTGTTGCTTGTTATACGATATAGGATGCTAAGAACACAAATACGCCGGTACTCCGTGAAGGATATACCCTTTGAGGCAGTCCCAAGAAACAGATACAACCAATCAAGGTCTGCCTTCAATTTCAAGCCCAAGGCGACTCCAGGCTTGGTACATAATCCATCCCATGCAATTTTCCAGCCCTCCCAACGTACACCCAGAGCCTTCTTACCTCCCAGCGACCCTAGATTGAAGTTGAAGGATGTGCTGAGCATGAGCAGGGAAGACGTGGAAGAGTGTCCTTTGATCTATAATGCTTCACAGAGGGAGTATGATTTGACTCCAGAAATTGTTAGCGAAATAGTTGAATTAAGAACTCAAGATCCAGCCACTTGGACTGTGGGTAAATTGGCTAAGAAGTTTGGGATTGAGCAGCACAAGGTGAATGTGTTGACTGCTACCGTCAGCAAGGAAAGAAAGACTCAACTCGAAGGAGAATTAAATGACATAAAGACCAAATGGTCTCGTAATAAGCTCAAGGGTCGGAACGACAGATCAAAGAGAAAGCAAATGTGGTTAAGAAATGAGTTCTAGATCTTGCATATATGCTTCCTTACTTCCATCTTGTAAATATAAATTAATTAGGGTATTTGCTTGTTATTAATACATAAATAAATACATTAGTAGTCGTCCTTTATTATACAATTTCCTCGGTGCCAGTAGTAGTTGCAATTCCAATTGACAGTGCTCCTCCAACAGGTACTGACGACCCCCCTTCAAGTTCAAGACTATCCTGAATGTTACTGAGCTCCAAGTTAAGAGCATCGTCAAGCTCCAATATCCCCAATCCAATCTTAGACCGAAGATTATGGCATCTGGAGGTAACCTGGTTGGCAAGACCAACAAGCTCGTTCCTCTCTCGAAGTAATTTCAAATCAAGAGCATCATGATCCATTTGAAGACGTCTGAGTCGATTCTCAAGTTCAAAATCACTTTTGGATTCTTGTTGTCTCATCTCATTCATTTGTCTTTCCCAACGTTCAAGTTCTGTCAGGTACTTCTGAGAAGCTTCCATGGTTTTGGTGTAGACTTCGTCATAAACCATTTTGGCAGTAAACAATTGAGCTTCTTTACGCTCAAGTTGATTACGTTGATCCAAGTTAACTTCATGCTTTGTTGAAATTTCTTCTTCTAATTTGAAATAAGTTTCCTCATGATCATGTGTTTTCTGAAGCAAGTGATTTCGTAATTGAATAAGCTTTGACCTTTCCTCCGTCAAGTCCTTAGAGATTAAGCGTTTTTCGTCTCCATCTGCTCTCCAAATCTGTTCACTATTGAAGGAAATACTAAAATCATAACCTGAAGATGCAAGTCCACGAACCATTTCATTATAATGCATTAATGTTGTTTGCAAATTCTCAAGTTTCTTGAGAAGTTCTTGCTCCATTGAATCAACACGTACCTTGATATCCTCTTCTCTGGCACCCAATTGTGCAATAGATTTAGATTTATCGTCACGGTCTTTGAATAAATCATCTATAGCCAGTATTGATAACTCCTTAGATTGTAGCTCCCCTGCAATTTCCTTGATTTCAAGTTCTATTCTGAGAAATTCATCTTTAATTCGGTCCTGCTCATCTTGGTAACTATTTAGGTTTTCAGCCCATGTTCCACGATATGCCTCCATTCTTTCAGCATATGCTTGAAGCTTTACAATATCAGATTCTAATAACCTAGTGGCATTTTCTTCTTCCTCAAGCATTTGCAAATGACTTGAAAGATGTTCATATTGTTTTAAGGCATCGTCATTAATCTGCTCATATTTTTTGATTTCTTCTTCTATTTTCTCAGAGTGTTTTTCAAATGCTTCAACTACTTTTTCATAATGCTCATCAACATTGTCATCATGCTGGAGGAAATCTTGATAACAACTATGCACATAATCATTCAATAAGGCGTCAACTTCATCATCGACTTCTGTCCAATTCCCAACATTATATTTGATGTCCACGATATCATTATTAAACTTTACCATCCAATACAATAGACCTAAAAACTGAGGCCAATTCTGGCCCCCAACTGCACTGATATGTGAACGATTTATATGTGATAAATAGGGATATCCAAGGCTTTTAAGAATAGGTAGGATTTCCAACTCGATAGATCTTTGGAATTCGTAATGTGGGTCTATCTTTAAGTAAAGAAACTTGAATATAAGTACAAAATCCTTTTGAGTTGGTTGTTTAAATGTCCGAGGTTGTATAGGATGATTCATTTCCAGTTCAAACTTATTGGTGATTAGGAAATCTAATATTTCTTGCAGAATCAACGCCTGGTAATTCTTATCTCTTAATGGACGTTGATCTAAATTCTTATTATTCATGCTATCGACGGCAACTGCTGGAGCCACTGAAGCAGCAGATGCAGCTGTGGCTGATTGCAGTATCCTTCGTTGCAGCAGCTGCAGAAACAAAGCCAGCTCTTGCAGCGATGCCTTAGTCTGCAGTGATTGAGGATTCTGCAGAAACGTTGATCTTCTTCTTTGACTCGTCAGCGCTGTCGGTATTGACAGTGCCATTTGTTGTTGTTGACCAGTTAAACGAGACGGAGTCTGAAGGGCTGGAGGAATCACTACAGCCGGTCTTCCCAAGTTGTCGTTGACTCCAAACAGACGACGTAGATGGGAAGCCCTGCTAGGAGTGGATGAAGACCGTCTTCTTGCTGATTGGCTGAACACTTGTTCTAAAAACTTTTTGCTTGGACCACCCGTTGACGGTGGATTATTGACAATCATGGACGCTCTATTGACAGATGCAAATGACAAACTCGTACCCAAACTGCGTCGCCGCAGGGCATCTGTAGAAGTCTGTGAGTTCATAAACAATCCCTGTGTATGTGCTTTATGGAGGACGACTTGGTCAATCAGAATACGTTTTCGGAAAGGAATGGATGGTTGTCAAGAAATTAACACGACAGCTTCAATGAAGGATGCCTTTTTAAGGTACTCCTGGCTGTGAAGTTAAGGTGACAGATTTAATGTTTATGTTTATATTCAAACGCCAGAAACCCCAGTTGCATGCAGAAGCACTAAATCGGTTAACACACTACACTGAAGATAATAATAACAATGCGGAAAAAATGTCCACATTATGTACAAATACGACAAATTGGTACTGGCATTAATAATGCAGACACGACCACGAGGTAGTGTCGTTGTAGTGTTTATTATCATGCCAAATGGTAGCACTTCTCAACAAGATCACCTTTTTTATGGGTTTTGGTCGTGGGTAGTATCGGTGTCACGGTCACCCTAAAATCTCAAAAAGGTGTGTTCAAAACACAAAAGTCTCGAAAGTTAAGGGGAATTTGAGTTGTAAGTTTGGAATAACAGAAAAACCACGACAAAGCATTGAACGAAGACAGTCACTTTGACTTGTTCAGAGATAGGACCGACTCCGCTGTATTCAACAGCATTAATTTCTAATAGTTTTTCCAGTGCACTGTGTCTGCACTTGCATTTCAAATCGTGCCTGAGTGACTCAAGGACGAACAAAAATACATTGAGTGTATGTCCTTCCGTTGATCCCAACCATCAATAAGAATTCAAGGCACCAGCATACGTCATACGTCAAACATTAATTCAGATAAAAGTTCTAATACTACAATTATAATGAGTGGACCCAAAACACCAGTATCATCGCCGCCCAAGTTAGGTCGTCTTTCCAAAGCTCTTGCAGAGCCACATTCAAGCGGAATGATAAAGGATACGGAAATGACCGATGTTTCAGTCAACAAAATACCAAAATCCAGAGCTACAGCCGTTCCCTCCGAAAGGGTTTTGCGGAGTAGTCCCAAGAAGAAAGTTGGATTTGAGACCGCCAGTGATAACGGAGTAGATAGTTCGCCCACAAGATCCATTAAAACCACACCTGAGAAAAGAGATTCCATCGGGTCAATCCCTGTCACAGTTCCCTTCACTCCTACGTTGAAACGGACATCTAGTGGTCACTACAAGCTGCCAGAGTACATGCATAAGCTTGCACTGCCGCAGCAAGGCTCTAAAAATGTACTCAAGACACCACGACCCTATGATTCTGATGAAGAAGACGAAGAGAATGAATCAAAGCAAATATTCCGTCCTCAGAAAACGTTCCTTAGTCCCGTGGGGAAGAGGTTGGTATTTGACAACAGCGGTAATCCGGTTGTTCCAAGTGGAAAAGATATCAGTGATATGTCGGAAATATCTCATGTATTAAAGCTGAAGCTCACTAGCGCTTTAGGGAAACTTCAACAACAGAATTTAGAACGACAACTGCAAAGGCAAATGCAATTTAATCAACTCTTGGATACGATGTCATCACCAACAAAAAAAGTAAAGAAACGACCAGTTTCTATGCCGAATCCACTCCCTTCTACTAGTTCCCAATTCACAACTTTAGGACCAACAACTAGTTCCCAGCCACCTATAAGTCCACTTCCAGGATTACCTACGCCAGGCAATAGACAACTTGGAAATGGTGCCAATCTTAATCTTAAGACCCTTCAACAATCTCCTGTGTCGTATTCACAGCACCATCGACATTCTCATCATTTCCATCCAATTCACAATATGCCCAGTCCTGATGAAGAACAGAGCGCTCATAATGCGCTTATGATAGCATTGGCTAAAGTTGGAGGAGGTGGTAGTGGGGCAGGAGACCGGGAATCGCCTCGAAAGTCAACAACTGTATCGAACCAAGCAACTATAGACACTAGAGTTATCAGTGCAACTGTTAACTCACCAACAGCCAATCGAAGACATAGTATGAACCTGCGTAGATCTTCATTACTCACCTCGCTCCCGCCCATAGAGACATGCCCCAGTGCTTTATCTAAATCCGTTGAAGAAAAACCTTCAACAACAGAACCACCATCTACCACCAATGGTGAACAGGAGGCGATTATGAGTTTGATGCTGCTTTGCTCTCCTCGAAACCTACATGGAGGCCTGATCACCACAGCGACACCAGATAATGACGAGACTGATGTTGAAGATGCTACTGAAGATGAATCAGACGATAATGAGATGGAAAGTAATGCAAAAACATGATAAAAGTCAGTGAGCCTTCAAGGAAGAGATATACATCGTTTTTACCAAGGCAATCCATCAATAATTATCAACTAATTATCTGGTTATAGTTTAAAGTGATGGACACACAAAGCACCTTCGTCTAGATGACGGAGTTTGGGTTGCGTGTTGGAGACAATAGTGCGTCCCGCTGACTCTTTTTGGGCACAACCAAAGTGATTGTGATTGTGTAGACCGTTTTCAAGGGGTAAGTAGGTATGAATATTTAATAGTATTATTTAAAGAGTATTATTTCCATCTTAGGAATTGAAATAATTAGTAGCCTCGGCTGCTAATTCCCACTTTAAGCGGTTATTGTTACAAATCTCCTCCATCATTTTTTGCTTTAGTCCCTGGCAGAAACTTTTGCTATATCCTTCGGTCTTCAATTGCTGTCAAACTCTCGAAACAGGACCACAAGAAGACCAAGATGCAGGTTCTCTCAGAACCATCCGCGGACGTAAATGGAGCTTAATATGTCAAGACCAGCTATATCGATTTTTAAAATGCGTTAAACTTAAAGGGCGTGTCTGCGGACTACTGTCTGCTGTCATGTGTCGCATGCAGATTTTGGTACCGTGAGTGAGATTTCCATAAATGCAAAATAACGCAAGCAAGAAATTTTGTCAGTAAAAGTCCGATTATCAATGCCGACATTAGAAATCGTAATTGTGCATTGAATAAAGAGAAAGTTAGTATCCAGGCTCTATTCAACATGACAAGACAAGACAAAATAAACAACAATTCAATGCAAAAAGTAAACATAAGTTGAAAGGTATTGTAGTAAGAGATCAGTTGTATGCTCGGATGTTCGCATCGAGACAATTCTGGTGGGTAGGACGGTGCATCCAAGTATAAACATCGTATCTCGGAGGGGATTGAACCAATCATACACAACAGTCTCTACGTAAATAATGTTATTGGTAAGGACGACGACTAATATTTAATCTAATATAATCTTCCCCTCTTCCCCCACTGTATGAAGTCCGCTGGGCACCAGAGTAAAACCGTCGTAAATAGTAACCAATAGACCAGGAAGACATTATGATTGTGGATCAGTTCACAATGCCGTAATAAAATAATAATGATGTTGGCTAAAAGATAAAAATAAGTGGTATATAAGTGGTACTTTTGCACCTGAAGGTGACATACCGACACCAGCAATGGTAACAATAAGTTCAACAACGGCTGTCGCGGGTTTGACCATATTGTCCAAAAAAAAGTCTGCAGTAATGACTAGGTCTGCAATTTATTTACATCTAGATCCGATAGTCTGGCTTTCAAATATTTGTCTGTGAAGGTTGCACTGCCACCTTTTAAAAGTGGCTTCTGGTTAACCAGACACTTCTTAGCCCGTGTCTTCCCCTTGAACGTCATTCAATTTCTACTCCTAGGCCTGCCTACGTTACTAACCGTTGAGGTCATTGACCTCACTAGTCCAATTTTGAAACACGCTTTCAGGCTGGTCCATATGCAAGTTAATATGTCGATAACGCTCGAAGCGAGCTCTAGTATCACGTGTAATCCATGTGACCGCCTACTCCCCTGTAACCAAACATGATGACTTGAGTCCTAAAATACAGAGTGACGATGAAGCTATAACTGTGCCAAAGGGAATCTGCTAAATTATTATACGTTCTTTTAATTATATGAGACCGCTAGAATTCGACATACAATTGCAGCCTTTGCAGGTCTCATAATAGTCAATCATTGGGTCATAATTAAGAAAAAAGGCCATAATTAATGTAAATGTAGTAACGAAATAAGGTTTTGTTGAAAATAGCAGCCCTGCAAATGAATTAACATTGATGCCCTTACGTCTTAGAATTGGTATTACAAATAAAACCACTTTGAAACCATATAGCTATTGTACAACCAAATGTGCAATATGTAATCTATTTTTTACTGGTTCAGTTATAGTATACGTTCAGTTGTGGCTTTTGTCCAATGGCAGGAGTCTAGCATAATTAGGTACAATTCAATAACGTTTTCGGAAGAAAACTAATATACGCTGTTCAGAAGAATTACCACAGTAAATGTATGAACTTCATAAAAAGCCTGTGATACTCTTTTAAAGTCACCAAAATCGAGTGATACAGAGCTATATTAAGGCTAATTTTAAGATTGAGAAAGAAAAGTCATTTTATTGTTATTTTAGTCGTCACTTGTGTACTAAAGTATCGCAAGATTTACAGGCTAATCTAAAAGGTTTGTGGACTGTGGCTGAATTGATTGGAATATTTATTATAGTCCCTGATATGTGGTTGAATTGACTGTGAATTTGATTATAACTTGTAATCTGCTCTTGGCTTTTAAGTCATGACAATTACAACCTAAATAGATTGCCCGAAGTAAATATGATTCCATCCCATTTATCTCTCAAACAATATCCACAAATGGCCAAACCAAGCTAGTAATACAACTATCTGGTTCAAATACCATTTGTATTGATCAATAGTGATTTTTTGTTATATTGGCGAAATCCGAAGAATCAGGCACTGTGGTGAACCAATAAAGCAGTGGAATACACCTTACTAATAGTTTCTCAAGCTGAAGTAACTATCATGATACATCTACATAAGGATTACTATTCTGAGTTAAAAAACGATTATTACTGTTTAGTCTATCACTTATTAGTACCGGAAGTTTATACCATTTATGGTGCATAGCTCCGGCATAGTATTTCTTTGCCAGGTTAGGTCGTGGGAAAACGGTCCGTGGGTTCGTGTCTTTCTAATATGGTACAAGAATGATTCAATTTGTCATCCAAAAGATGACTATACCAAATCTCTGGTTCGTCTTCGTTTGAAAGTCATCTTTAGTAAAAATATATCAAACTCGAGTTCATAAGCGCAGAGGTTTTGCAATACTAAGTTGTTTATCGTTCACTGCCAGTGAATAAATATTGCACTTCTACTCTCTAAATTGAAAATTTCCAAAGTCCCACCTGCGATGAGCGTGCTTCTCTTACTCCACCCTACTACTGTCACCAACCCAGACTATGTTACAGGTTTAAAGGCCAAATTACAGCAAGAAAGTAGCGGTAGTGTCATTAAGCAACTTTTGCTTAATAATATCGAAAATGCTGATGATCTGGAGCAGAAATATGGTCGCATCTATATAGCCAATGATCCAGAACAAACAAACTTACCGGTAGGCATTTTCTCCAAACTTGCACTTTTATTAGATGACTCTCCATCTCTGAGAGTTGATGGGGAGAATTTACCTTTGGGCCAAGATTTGGAGTTGGTGATGAACGGGCTTGTGAATGAAAATGGTGTATGGAAGAAGATTGCCATACAGGAGACTCGATTGAGCACAAGCGCTTTAAACAAGAAAGAAAGTAATAACACATCTACATTGAAGAAGGGAATGTTCAAGCGAAAGGCAAGTAAATTGGATTATTTCAATGATGCAGACGAAAATAACGATGCTCTTAGTCCAAACGAAATGATAGATGAGGATTCGTTGGTTGAAGGTGGAATAAACTATAAGTTAATCAAGCCATCATGTTTGGACGAATTTAAAAAGACCAAGAGAAAGAAGAGAGCCTGTAAAGATTGTACATGCGGATTGAAGGAATTACAAGAGGAAGAAGAAGAATCTACAAAGGTTAAGTTGACAGCCACCGAATTATCAGAAATTGACTTCACTATCGAAGGAAAGAAAGGTGGATGTGGATCATGTTCTTTAGGAGATGCATTCAGATGTGATGGATGTCCATTTTTGGGTCTTCCTCCTTTCAAACCAGGTGAAGTTATAAGAGTTGATGGTTTTGACGATTTGTAAGAAATGAGACCCCTTGTCTGCTTCCACTTTATAAGATAGCATAGATAATTAACAGCAGGCTGCCAATGTATAGTATGTATAAAATCAACGATTTCTAAAAAATTGCATCCGGCACTTAATTAACTTAGGCTACTAACGAAGGCTACATGCCGATTTCGCTTAATACTGCTTTAGAAGTAGTACTGTTTGCAACTGCCGCCCTTCAACTAATGCTTTCATCCGAATACATTAGACACCGTTTGGGATTCCGCCTTTGCTGCTTGTTGGACAAGCGACTACAGCTTGAAAGCATTCTCTGATGGAACATACTTGTCCAGGAAATGTAGGTTTAAAACGACACGCAAAGATAAATGGGCAAGTATCAAAAGGTGTACAAATTTGCGATTGGCTCATCGACCTGTGAAACGGCTTAAAACACATGCTCTTTTATTGTAGGCGATATGCAGCTGCATTGATGGAAAATTCTGTTGAGAAGAACTTCTAACCAGAAGTTACAATAGAACACAGTTCAGACATTAACAAACAAGGCATGGTAATTGAGGGACGTAAACACCATCATACATCAAATATAAATGTAAGAATGGAGGAAGGAAGGAATAGCTAATTAAACAAAAGAGCAAAAAGGGATGGAAAGGCAATGGAAAAAATATGTCAAATAAAAGTTTTGTCTAATGGGAAAGGTGAAGGACTAAAAGCACAATAATACAAGTTTGTAAGAATAGAATTGATTATTTGTGCAATTCTTCGGTGCTTCAAGTGAAAGCTTTCGAAGCACAGTGCATTGCATACAAGAGGGCCAAAAAGGTACCTCTACGGCTCATGTGACCAATTACCAACAAGAACATGGCTATGGGCAAATACAACCCCTCCGATGCATGCAATTACCGCATAGTAAAGACCGCCATAAGCACCCCATGCCCTTAGTAATAATTTGTAATCGTTAATATGTTACTTGTTGGCGTCCCTTTGGCGCGGATATTATATGACTTATATAATAATTAGAAAGACAATAAAAGCAAAACAATAGCAACCAGTACGGTTGACGCATGCTTCTCATGTGCGCTGTAGTGCTTCAAGTTCCAGTGAGAGACAAACGTTGGGTGCTACCCTCACCATCTGTTAGAATTGGAATTCATGTGCCGTGGTCCTACTTCCCTTGTACTTCTTAAAGTGTCTACATTTACGGTCCTGTCGAAATGCAACATATAGGGATTGGTACACACATGTGTCCAACGTTCGAAAGTAGTCGAGGTACTGCTAAATCAGGTAATTCAACATTTAAGTACCACATTCCACATATATGCAGATATACCTTATCGGGGCAGATCTTCAACAGCTTTGCTCACTGGCATCGCATATCAGTTTGTATGTAGCCGCACCGTAAATCCAATCAAATGTGGCCATTTTAAGCTAGAATAGGGGCCAAATCACCGTTGCATCGCACCTTGTCAACAGATCTAAGTGTGTATATATGCACTCCAAGTGATTGCTTTCTAGAATCATAGAGCAATATATTAGTTTAAACTTTGACACGCGTAAATCCGTACCAATCAAAATGTTATGGACATTTCCATTGGAGGCGGGCTTCCCCAAGGAACTGTAAATATCGCCTTATCTTATTGTAGAGATATTGAAGGCTTTTTGCCGGATTAAGAAAGTGCTGTCTTCGTTTCCATTACGGCTTTTTATGTTACTTGGCTCTGGGCTGCACGTCGTAGACACCGAAGGTCTCCCTGGTTGCCAGGAAGTCACTCGAAGGTACACCATAGATTTACATCAACAACTCAAATCGATTTCCACCCCAGGAGAGCTCATTTAAAATACAATTATATATAGATATACAACATAGAGATGAAGAAAATAGTCAGAAGGAAGTAAACAAATAAAACTATTAGGACATTGAAAGAAAATAAAAAAAATGACTCCATAACACTTCACATATACTGTTCCTATTCACTTGCTCACCCATTCGATCATTAGGCATCCTTCTCCAAATACTCTGGCTGGCTTATTTCTATCAAGAGCTCCATCTTAGATTAAAGCTATCGCCAATGTTGCTAAAATCACTAAGGCAGAAGAAGCATATTAAAAGGGAGCAGCAAAAACAAATAAACTCAAATAGATATTCAAATAGAAGTAAAGAAACACATCAGACAGTCAGTAAAATTATCAACAAATAAGCTAGAGCAAATCAATAGCTATAGAAATCTCACAAAAAATCAAACAAAACAAATGAATAACAAAAAAACAAGTAGCTAATTATTGGGGCTGCTGGTACTCATATCCTCCGTGGTATGGTTGGCCATTTCCTTGTTCCATTTTAATTACAGGAGTAGGTAACGAGTTATATCTCACTTGGCCATTGCTATCATAGGTTGAGGTTTCATTTCCATGTTGTTGGGGAGCACTCGTATGTTGTTGGTATTGTTGGTAATGCGGACTCAACTTCTCTTGAAAGTTCTGTTGGTGCAGTTGATGAGGTCCCAAGGCCTGGGGTATATGCTGTTGATGATGTTGATATTGATGTGCTTGTTGTTGTTGTTGCTGTTGCTGTTGTTGCTGTTGTTGTTGCTGCTGCTGCTGTTGTTGTTGTTGTTGATGATAGTTGTAGTTTTGATATTGATGTTGAGGATCATAATAGTAAGAAGAGTTGTTGGTAGTGTTACCAGCAGACCCCAGAATTGAACTATTTGTAGATTGGGGTGTAGTCAAACCAAAATGGTCAAACACTCCTGGAGGAGGATTTCCCAGGGGGTGAATATGTTGCAGCTGTTGCAGCTGTTGTTGAGGTTGTTGCTGCTGTTGCTGAGGTTGCTGAGGTTGCAGGAATGATTTAAAGTTACCATCGTAATACTGATTATTGGAAGTGGTATTGTAGTCTTGGAATTTATTCTGTTGAAAGGGAAGGTAGTTGGCCTGCATTCCTTGAGAAGGTATACCCTGTTGAGGAGGAAGTGGTTGCTGTTGTTGTGGTTGTCCTTGCTGAATACCAGGTTGTCTAGGAGCCATAAAAGTTGATTGAGTTGGAATCATGGCCCCAAATTCTTTTTTATCTTGCTTTTGTTGTTGCTTCAACGCTTTCCTTCTACAAGCTGGACATGAACCTTTATTCTTCCCATGCCTTCTAGGAGTATACTTGTAACCAGGATATTTCTTAGCATGGTTTTGCTTTTCTTCTTCCGCCAAGTTATTCCAATGAGCCTTCTCTTCGTTGGACAATTCCCTCCATCTTCTTCCCAATTCTCTGCTAACCTCTGGATTCGACCTAACCACCGAACCTTCATCCAATACGGATTGATGATACTTTTGTCTGAACAAAATGAAAGCATTTCTCGGTCTAGGGATTCTATTAGGATTTGACTTACAGGTACACTTTTCATCAATGTCGTCAGAAGAAGGTCCTACTTCATTTGCACCAGATATTGAAGGCATTGAGTTGGAACCAGTAGGTTTCATAGCTCCCGCATTAGGGTCAATACCAGCATATCCTGATGGATGAGTACCAGGATATGACTTATACACATCATAGTAATCAGCGCCAGCTCCAGGGCCTCCAGTATTAGCAACAGACTGAGCATTTCCTGAAATATTTGAGTTAGCGTTACCATCGCCAGTCATGGTAACAATTTGAGCTAAAGAGGGCAAGGTTGAAGGGTTACTCCGGTTATACAAAGCTGACCCAATTAGAGCAGATGCTCCTAAATTACCTGAGGATGAGTTAGGAGGGAGGAGGTTTGGGTTAGAAGGTACGGAACCTGTCGCACTTCCCGACAAACCTGAATGCTTGTGTAGTTCATCGTTCATTGTAGCTGGATTCGACAAGGTTGTCATAATCTTTTTTCACTCAAGAATTAAGACTTTAGTACCAAGAGGTAGAATCAATCAAAATACAGAATAATTATGGAATGGCTAATTGTGACTAAAGTTTTTGGATCGCTTATTGGTAAGGCGGATACCGACGAACAGAAACAAAATTGGGAAGAGTTTGGTGTCGTAGCTTCTAGGCCTTAATTTTTTAAAATGGAGCGAGTAACAAGACACAAATTATGATTGGTTATCACGACAGACACACACAGATAATTGAAAACAGTGTAACGGTAACAACGTTTTGAAGATTGTTAAGTCGCACGGCGAAAACTGCTGGGTTTGCGATAATGGTCAAAGATGGTTTAAAATTCCGGTTCGTTTCAAAGACCTAAACAATCACCAGAGATGTTGGATAAGTCGTAATTTTGATAAGACTTTATTTTAGTAGTTTTAAATACTAAGGTAAAAAACAAACACAATTGTAATCGCAAATTAAAGAAAGAGTTTTAAGGATTTTCTTGCGATCTGAATAACAATCGACAGTATATATATCAGAATCCAGGACCACCAAAAAACTCTTCCCCAAAAAATAATAAACGGAGACAATAAAAATAATAAAGCAGGGCGGACAATAGCAAGATAAAAAAAAAAAGGAAGCGGAAGAATTTCATGGACTTATAAAAAAAATCAGACAGGCAGACATAAGTATGCTATGTGACACCAGACACTAAACGCTTCCGTGTTTAAATTTGAGCGGAGAGGGCAGCGCGGTTCGGGCGGGAAGCCAATTCAAGCTTGTGCAGTCAGGAGTTGTAACTTTGAAATAGAACGACACCCCTACGGAAGCACTTTCTAGTTGTGAACCTTCACAAACGACTTGTAAAATACCAAGGTTGGTATCAGTATGCATTTTGTTACGTAGTTGATAAGGGAGGAAGAGCAGTTGTCTCCAGCGGATAACATGCCATTTAAAAAAATTATAGAGTCAGACAGACAAACAATTTTAAGTTTGTCGGTCCAAACTTTCATCTCAAAAACCAGAAATGGACAGACAAATATCGCAGTTTTGTGTTATGATACCAAGTGCTGATGAGGTCCGGTTTGATTGTTTAAGTCTATCACTCACAGATACAATTTTAATTTATTTAACCCATTTTGCATAAAATATCATATGTGTAGGTTTACCAGACTCTACATGTCGGACAGACACCAAGCCATAAGTTCAGTGAGACCAGTTTGCCTATCATTTAATTCTTTGACAACTAGTTGTCCCAGGTGTGCATTACAGGCGGTTGAATTCCTTGCATCCAAAAAGTACTTACACGTTATTCCTACAAATATGCCGTTTGCAAGCAAATTAGGGTCATCTTCTTGTAATCTCAACCAATCTCTTGCATGTGAACCCATTCTGTAAGTGTATTTACTATTTAAGGAGTAAGGATTTAAAAATTCTCCGAGTATTTTATTAGTCGCCAATAAAGTACTTCTGATGCAGGATCTACGATGAAAACAAATAGGAAAAAGTCTGTTTAAGTGGTGGCTCGAAAGAGTGTTTTGTTAATAAAAAGTTTGTCCTCTGACATTTGTGTTCTTAGTCTCTTCTGGCTGTAATAGTATTAGTTGGCTCCTTTTAAGATTGTGCTTCCCTGTGCTTTCTGTCGGTGTCACGGTTGCCGACATGTCAGAACTGAACAATAATGATGTGTTGAGCATGCATTATGCATGTCTTGTGGGATTTTTTGGCCGCTGCATTCTCCACATTAATTACCCGTACATCTGCATGCGCTTTCGTATGTACGCACGCTGATTTAAATCTCTGTTTTTTTATTGTTCAGGTTGTCATTCCTTTGTTCACCCAGGTATCTTTGTTTAATTTTACCTGGGAGCAGTAAACTTGTTTGTGTTAGTAGTGTTTCAATCATGTAAGTCCCTATCTTAAGTACACACTCTTTCGCAGACAGTAGTGAGCACTTTGGAACACAAGTCCTTTTGCCCCATACTTTTCGGAGCCAACGTAACAACTTTGTTTCTGGTGTAACCATTACTCCCATATTATATGTCTTACAGAAATTTCAAAACAGTGGAATGTGCTTTATAGGGTAATGATAGTTAACTTCAAAAAATGTAGTTGCTCCTAATTATTACCTAATGTAGTTGGAAGCGCATATTTGATGGCAAAGATCTCGCAGAATGAATTGAAATACACTTGCATTTCACTCTATAAAGCCACACAGTCTGCCAGTATTAATAGTGTTACTGTTTATTCTTAGAATATTTGTTTTTAATTTAGTAAGAAATTACCCTTTGGAATCCATTTAAGATTTCGCTTTATCATCAATTGTGTGTGCCATTTACTGAGTACCCGCGAACATCTCATGTTCTAGTGAATTTTGGCATGGGCTATTCTCAAGTTTAAGTAATGATGCATCACTATATTCACGGTTAACTCAATAAGGTGGAAGTGACTATGCCTTATGAAAGCCTTAGTAGACCCTCTTAACCTTTTTACCGACCTATTGCCATTAATCACACGACTCCTTATATTACATTCTCAGTTCATCAACTTTGACAGGCCTTGGTTTGCTACAATTTCCATTTAAAATATTTGAGATTCTACAAGCTGCGGATCAATTGTAGTCTACATTCAAATATGAGTGTACATAACCAGTAGACCTAACTCCCATGTACTCAATCTATAGTCGTCTTGGCCGTAAAGGACTTGCTTCTTAACGTAGAAAACAAAAGCAAAATTACATCAATTCTGTTCTAAAAGAGGGGACCTAGAACAAATAGATCAAATTATACGTCTGTAACTCGAACCGTTTGAGCCACTAAAAGAACAATAGCTTATAAAGTGAACAGACTTCAGCATTCATTTGACACACTATGTAGTCTAAAGTTGACATAGCACCCCTTTTGTAGTGGCATGGCTATGAAATCAAACGTATATTTGATGATATCACTTCACTTCTTTGAATCCTAGACTCTAAAAAATAACCTTTGATTGTCAATTGGGTTGCATTTGTCGCTTGACCTTGGCCCTATGGCCGCCTGTTTTTCCCAATTAATACATCATTTCCTGTCTACGCAATTCCCACAGAAGTGAGATAACTAAGGTCACTTACATACGCTAAGAAATTGAGTACCCTGACTGCGCCCTCCGCCAGATTCATTCTCAGTAGGGTACTCCATGGCTTGTTTATTTTTTTGCCTGGGAAGAATGTAACGGTTTTTATTTTTCGGAGGTAGGGCTGGCACATCTGAAAAAGACACGACTAATACTGTACTATGCCGTCATTACTGATACTCAGCCTTTAGGTTAGCAAACCTTATAGATGGTTGCGTAATATGGCATGTTAATTTATGTGTGATGCTTAGATGCTGTGGAACCTGTGAGTACTTGCTTTGCCGTAATTATTTTTGGGTGTTGAGTAGGTTCTACAAAATTCTTAATATGGGAGATATTAAGCTACTTTGCACCTAAACGAACTTTTACCATATGTCTTGTGGTACAAGTGAGCCGGCATCACTGTGTACCATAACACATCATAGAGTAAACAATAGCCCATTCAACCACAATAGGAATGGTCTTATTCTAACGTCTTTGCTCCTCCCTTACATTGTAGTATCTTTAGTTTTATTGTTATTATCTTTCTAGCTAATATTTTTTGTTTATATATGGGACACTGGATATAATATTTGTGATCTAATGAACTCAGTTAAGGGGATCAACTTGTCCCCTTCCTAAAGCAAGATCGTAAAACAGTTTCTCCTTTAGTTGCATTGTATCTTTAATATAAAATACCGGTTAAGCATAAAGAAATAAATCGTCATACAGGGTTCTGTCTTTTAACTAATTGTGCATGATGTTTCCATTTGTTTGGGATCAAGTTTATTCTATGTGGTTCCAATCATTCAAGGCTCTACTAACTTGATCTTAGCATTCCACTACAATTTTCTAGCCCATTAGGAAGCTGTCTCTATTGGATGGAAGTACATGAATGAAGTGAGTTAACGTTGTAGCAATTGATTAACACGATTTCGGCGCACATCCGAGTCTAACCTTTCCCAAATCTCAGAAAGCTGTGACTTTTCTACTTGACATTCACACCAATGCAAGCAAAGAGTTACAAACCACTAACTATGCCCCACCTCCTTTCCACGTCTAACCTTGGATGTAGAAACGCTTATCTCCTTATCTCCAACATTTAATCGGGGATTATTTAACTTATGTCCCATTTGGTATCTGAATTTCTCAGGTTTTTGAGAAGAGCGATGCTCAGTTATTGTGCAGTCATTTAGCACGCTCAACATTAGCTACCAGGAAACAATAGGCCAGACAAAGTCAGACACTAAAAAATACGCAGACAAACACCCAGCGTTTAGCCGCTGTTTGCTTTACACAATAATAAAGTCATTCCACCATTACCAGTTGGAAGCCGAGGCGACAGACAGATGAGTGTCTAGCTCAAAATGCGACGGCTGCGGACTTTGTTGACCTTAAAATAATGAAGCAATATTTACTCCCAGCACTTTCCCACCAAATCAACCCCCGTACTCTACCGCTCATAATTGGTACATCGACACGCCAGTGGACAGAATGAGCATCTTTCTGACAATTTGGACTGTGAGTGTGAATTTTATTACCAAGATGCATTGTAAAGTCTGCTTCGTTTGCATGCAATAACAATTAAAGTTACTCTATTGATAACGCTTGGGCAAGTACGGAATCTTTCCTTTGAACAGTGTCCCGTAAATCTTACATTATAAGCGCCTATTGCATAAGCGTGTTGTTATAAATGCAGTATTTCCTTTCTATCAGGCTTGTTAATTTACGTGTACCATCACGTGTATATGTAAGCCAGCGAAGTAGTAATACGGACCAAGAATCCACAAAGCCACAAGGCAGTGGGCACCTCTGTTGACGTGAAGTGGATGTACAAATACAAAGTCGGACTTATGTTTTGTAGAAGTCGCACATTTAAATTTGTACGTAA